GATATTTTCCTCGTAGCCTCCAAGGAGCGCAAAAAGCGGAAAGTCACCTCTAAAAAGCAAGCAGCACTCAGATATCCCCACAGAAGCACACACAGATACATATACGGATACTCACGCACACGCACACGCACGGGCAATGCGCGATAAGCTTAATTGAGTGCGCAGCGGTGGGCGGTGGGCGGAAGGAGGGGCGGGCAAGTAAAGGGGGAGGGCAACAGGAGGAGGTGGGAGCCACTGGGGATGACACACGGACAACATTGCCAGCGCACCAACACTCTCTCGCACACACACACTCGCCAGGAGAGCAAGGAGAATGATGAAAAAACATAAAGTGAAATATGCACGCAGTTGTGACGCCGACAGCGACGCCGGCAGCGACAGCGCCTTGGGGCAGAGGCCCCAAAACGCACGAGGAGAAAGCAGCGCACACTGCGTGCTTTTTCCGAGGATACCCCTTAGTCGACATCCTCGCATGGGGATATTGGCACGATAGGCAACCAAGTGAAGGGCTTCCCACAAAAGTTCAAAAATCCCCAATATTCATTTGTTTACTTTATAAAGCGATTTAAGAAATATTTTATTGTAATGTTACCCAGTTAAAAGTGCACTTAGGGGTATGATACCCTCTAATATGGATAATGGGTATCCCTGAGACCATTCCCCAAGCTTTCATTTGCTTCGCGTACTTCGTACTTAGTCTTTGGCTATCGTTTCCTTTGTTTGTTGCTGTTGCCCAGTCGATCAGGGCGATTTGAAAACGACGATCCTCGGGATTCTTTTTTTCTAGCCCCCTACTCCCCCTCTCCGTCGTTCTTGGGTGGTTCGTTTTAGTTTTTGATTTGGCTCGTGTTATTCATGGGGATATCGCCGCATGGCCGTCTGCAGCTGTTTTTGAAAAGTTTCGTCAGAGGATCGCTGACTGGAACCCGCAATTGGGTCAGATTATAAATACACGCACCAATTTTTTGATCATCCATTAACGGCGCCAGGAAGAACGCGCCCACCCACCCACTTTTGGGTGAGGAAAATGGGATGTGTATCAACCCCAAGAAATCTTATTCTTAGAAGGCGGAATACAATTGTTTTGATTTATGGAAAAGTCCTTACCCAAAAAGAAAAAACTGCATATACATACATGCTTATTAGTTTTTTAATTTTTTGAAATCCTATTTAATTCCCGATTTTGGGAAATATATTTTTAATTTCACGAAACATTCTCCCGTGTTTAAGAGCCAAAACAAACACATGTGCTCGGTATTTCTCTCGGAGCATGCCGGCATTCTAATTTCTACTGGCTCTCTTTCCTCGGTGTTATCGCGGCAGAGCGAAGAAAGCTTTTCGGGCGGCGTAAGAATCAGAAAATCTCGCAGCTCCTAGAAAAGGGCAATCTGGTGAGTCACGGGGAGCAAGGCCTCTGGAGCTGCTGCCTTTATCTGGCATGTCCCAATGAGCAAAGTACACGCATGTGTACACACAGCTATCGCGGAGGTACTTCCTTCGTCCGTCTTATCAGCGAAACGTGGCTGAGAGAAGTACAAACATATACGGACTGCCAGGAAAGCACTCGGAAAAAAAAAACATTCCTTGCAATACAGAAGTGCGGAATGATGCGATCCGATTCTTGGATCATGTATCAAAAATAATCGAATCTGATTTAACTGGCTTCGAGTTTTAAACTAATCAATTTATGGGTTGCTTTTGAGTCAATGGTATTTCCCAGTTCCCCTCGACTTTTGAGGGTTTCTGGTGGCTTTGCGGTGCCCATGTGGAGAGCAGTGGTGGATCGTCGAGTGGCCAACCAAGTGTGTCAGTGTGAGTGCTGTGCGGCGGAACTTTCCCCGTCCGCCGGTGACCCGCATTTCGTATGTCTAAATTAAGGACACCGCCATAAAAAGCTCGCCGAGTGCGAGGGCAAATGAGCGAGGGGCCTCTTGTGTGGGTCGAGGCGTGAAGCGGCCGCAGCAACAAAAACGCAGGCATAGATCAATAATGCTGACAGCCAGAGGAGCCGGGGGAGGGGAGGGGTGTGCGAAGGAGGGGAGATGTGTTGCAAGACAGTCGAGGAGAGACGCCCTTCTATGGCGCAGATATGAGTTGCGGCGCTTTTTGCCTGACAAATGCCAGCCGAAAAGCGATTTGGTAATCAACGTCCCAAACAAGGCGACAAGTATTCGGGTCCCCAACTGGATTTTAAAAAGGAAAACGTACAGAGAACAAAACTTAGCTTGGCTATTTTTAGAACAGAAATCATGACAATATCTCAAATAATGCTTGGAAAGCATTAACTACTAGTTAATTTTTCCGTGTGTAAAGGCTGACATAAGTATTTTGTTCCTCTAACGATGGCCACAAATCAGTCACTGGGAGTCGCAGTTTCCCAGCTTCCAGATCCCGCCGATCGCCTGGGTGAGCTCACCCAGCCGAGGGCAACTAGTTTTCCCCCATCCCTTCCCCGGCCCCTCCTCCGGCACCTCCCCTAACTGATTTCATAGTTGACTAGCCGAAGAGCAGAGCGTTCTTTGTTGTTTTCGTTGGCGCTCACTCCTCCGCAAATGTGTGCCTTATATGATTGGAACCAGTACAGATATACATACATACGTTGATCGGATGTGTTACAGACATCTGGCTGTGTGTCTGTGGGGACATGCTGTTGTTTTTGCTGTTACACGCACAATGGGGCAAGCAGCTAGACTTTCAGCTTTTGTCATACTCCGGAATTAGTTTATAAGAACTTCAGTTCATCAACTAAAAAGTAGATAGCTAATAAAACAAAGTGAACATTTCAAATCAGGTTGTACAGAGAGGCAAAAAACACCCAAATGTGTTTCAACTTCAATAAATATAAATGAATAAGTTTTCTAAGCCATCGATTTATTGACACTTCGGCAAAAGATAACGACCAATAGATATGCAAGCAATCCATTAATAAAGAAGCGACACAACTTCAGTATTTTATATGTGTACCGAAGTCTAGTTAATATTTAAGAAATAGTACTAGGTGAAGTGAACAATGTAATTCCCAACCTAGCTGGTCATTTCAAGTCCATCGAATTGTGGCCATATTCTCGAACGATCTCCATTGTGCCGCACGGGGATTCCTCTACGTCGCGTCTATTATTAAATTTCTCTATGAATGAAATTATTCACTCACACATACACCCCAGCACCCATTGGTGGGTGGTTGTGCGGGGGTCTGTGTGTGCAGAAACCTCTGTTACACTCGAATGACAGTTTCGAGACTTGTGGGGGACCTGGTCCAAAAGCCAGAGTCCTACAATGCGAGTGTTGGTGTGGCATTGACAACGGCCCCCTCGAAAAGCCCCTTCTCTTTGGGGCTTACGTGCTCGGCTGCTAACCTTTTTTCCGTTTGCGTTTCCATTTTTTCCGTTTCTGTTTTTGTTATGCTTTGAGCCAAGCTTTTCTTTTGGGTGCCTACGTGCAAAGGAATTTTACACTTGGCGAACAAAGGCGCAGAAAGAGCTAGAAGCCGCCGGAGAAACAAAAACAACAACGGGACTTTATGACAGCCAAGCGTCGTCGCTAGAAAACGCAGAAGAAGAGGGGGGAAGAGCGGGGCCTGAACAGCGAAGAGCAAAGCTTGAAGAGAAGGGAAAGGGGGTCGGAGAGCAGGAGGGCTGTGGCTGTAACCAAAGTACAAAGAGACGAGCTTCCAACGGCGACAATTTGTGAGCCAAGGAGAAGCGGCGAGAAGAGAAGAGCGGCGAAGAGAGGATTGGGAGGCATTAGAAGAACCATACACTTGGCAAAACAGAGGACTGCCATTTCACGCTAGCTCTATCCTAGATCGAGTTACCTTAATTGTTAGTCCACAAAATAGAAAACCTATTAAAATGTTAACATTGAAAATGCCAAACTTTTCTGGCTAAGAAAATAATTTACTACTTCATAATTCAAAATATCTTGTTTTGAAATTCCAATGAAATAGGTATTTTTGTGGCCTGGTTTTTATCTGTGTAGAAGGAGGGACTTGGGAGGTTTGGTTTCTAGACGCGACGATTTGCGGCAGGAAGGCGTCAAGGGGAGTGAGCAGGAGCGATAAGGGGGAAGGGGGTCTGGGGGGAACCAGGCGGTCGGCACATGTGTTTGGTGCCAACCTGCGATACCTGTTCCGCCGTTGGCATCGACGGATCGCCAGAATCCGGCCACATAGCTAGCAGCAGTTACTCAGTTAGTCAGTCATCAACACAGATACTCACGCACACTGCTGCGCGGGCACAACTACCCGAGCAAGCTGACGTTAGGAGAGCTAATGTATTTCTCTTTTCCTCTCTGGGCCAACTCGGTGGCTTTTGCTGTTTACACGGCACAAATAGTGCTAGAGGAAACCAAAAAAGCAAAAACCAAATGCCCCTCGATCTTGCATCCCCCTCGCTCTCACGCACAATAGATGGGGGAGGAAGCGAGGTGGGGCGCACACGCATGTAGAAATCACAGGCTCTGATGGTTTTCGGTACACTAGGTGGCTCAGTTCGGTGGATTTTCACATATTTCGATATATCGCGGGGGCGACGATTGTGATTGTGAGTGGGCCACATGAGCCAAGTGTCACGCACACTCACTCACTCACTCATATATATACTAAGTCCCCCGCCAGACGAGACTTCAACCACAACAACAACCAACAAACAACAACCAACAAGTCAGCCAGCGCCAGAAACCCACTTTAAGCCCAAGATATTGGGTAACAATTGGCAACCACTGATGCCCAAAGGGTCGCCTATAAATAAACTTGATCAGTAGAAGTCATACAACCACCTCTCGTTGTGGAAGGAACCATGATCTAGCTGGAAATGTCAATAGAAGATCTGCGTGAAATAATATTACATACTTTATAGGTACAAAAGATTCAAATGATTTAAAGAACTAGTGGCTTTCTGTTCAGTAACCTTCGAAAGTTAAAAAACTGTATGTATTGTATAACCCATATCTAATAAGTTTGATATGCATTCAATATATTGTTACGGAGGATATCCACTTACCTTAGGCCTGGATGTGACGATAAAGCCAGTATTTGAAGAGGTCGATATATTTCTGTTTTAAGAAAATGATGAGGAGGGTAAATTCGAATTTCTTCTTAATTCTTCTCGATTCTAATAACCCAGTCCTTGGCCAGCTGCCTTTGGATATGGAAAGCTGAGAGTCTTAAACTCTCAGTGGTTGTGGAAAACCCACACTGGGAAAATCATTCGTTATAATTGCCCATCCTCACTGTTTGTCAGCCACTCTGGGATGGGGCCTTCCTCCGTCGATGTACAAATTCCGTTTTCACTCCCAGCCGAAATTGAAATTTCAACATCATCATCGTACTCTGTGGGAGAAGAAGAGGAAGCATCGTTAATTTGTGAGCCCTGTCACCGATTATACGTCCAACCTCCGCTCTCGCACACAAATGCAAGCCTCCGGTGGATCGTACTGTTGTAACTTTTTGCTGATAAAATTCAAGCAGGAGAGCGGTCCCCCGCCTGCAACTCCCCCTTGCCCCTCTCCGAGGAGTGGGGAGAGGAAGTCATGGAGCGTAGATAGAGCGGTTTATACGTATTAGACGACTACTAAGTAGAACGGCAACAACAATGGTGAAGGAACTAGCAGTACTACACTCGAAAAAAAGGAAATAAGTTGCTGTGACTATGGTATCTTTCGAAATCAGAAATTCATTTTTAAAGAAAGAGTCATCTGTCATCCAATTTTCGCATCTGGGGGCTCTGTTCTGGGGGATCTTACCAACTAAAGCCTGCCTTATTCGCCCCTTAGATCTCTGATCCTCTTTTTTTCTCCGTGCAACCATCGGAATACCCACATACCCATAGCCGCAGACCTGGACCATAGACCATAGACCGGGCCACAGCCCCGAGAGCCGGAGTCAGAGTTCCGATCCCAGGCAAAGCTCCACAAAAGCCACTCAAAAGTGAAAAAAAAATTAAACAGACTGAAAAAAATATAAAAACACACCACCAACAACACGCAATAGGGCAAGGCAAACAACAACAGCGGCAGCGACGCCGACTGCGACTGCGACGTCGACTGAGCAACAGCAACAGGAATTTACGATTCAGTGACTACCTTATTGTTGTAGTTGTCTAGCCTGTGTGTGTGTGTGCATTTGTTGCTATTTCACCTGGGTTGGGGAGCTCAGTACTTGTGTGAGTGTGTGAGAGCCTATTAGGCGAAACGATCGTTTCCGTTGCAAGGGGCAAAGGGGTGTGGGGGATGTTGTTGTTGTTGCCGTTACGCCTTCAGCCAGTTAATAATAGACAACAACAACAACAAAATACCCACCAAGGTGTGTAGGATAAAAAACACATGAACAAATTATAAAAAAAGAGCGAGGGAACTTTGCTCAAAGCTCGCTGTTTAGGATCCCCAGCCGCTTTGAGCCAGACTGCCATTCCACTTGTAGAATTTACAGCCCGCTTACGTAATCCCTTGCCCAAAAAAACATCAGACGAACGACACTCCTGCACATCAAAACGAATAGTACAGTGAAAAATCCTTAAAAAGGAAAATTTGATTGTACAAATATTTTTACGAGGATTTTCATCTTATTTCTTAAAAAGTTTTTTTCCTAAAAGTTTATCGAAATTTTAATGAACATTAGAATGCTAACAATTTCATGCACTCACTAAGCTACTAGGCTGATTAAGATATGAGTTTGCGTAAACTCTATCCTATTTTTTTTCTTAGAGTATCTACTGTATGTCCCGCCACGCCTGCGTTGCTGGCTCTGTCGTTTCCACACTTCCACACGCTTTTCCCATATTTCGGTGGCCTGGAAAACCCCAGTAAAGCTGCGGCCCAACCCCACATCGTTTCAATAAAGCGGCCCAACCCAAAATGTTGCCCTTACAACAACAACTTCTACAATGGGATGGAAAAGCAAGGGAAACAACAAATCATCAACTGTTGCACACCCAAAAGGTTGTTGCTGTTGCTGGCGGTTTCCTAGCTTTTTTCCAGCGCGTTTTTCTTTTTAACCCCGTTTCGCCGCCCTGCCCCCCGCATTCCGACCCCATCGCGTGCAAAGGAAATTAAAAATTCAAAAAGTCAAAGGCGCAAGCAAGAGAGCAACACATGCGCTCTCTCGCTCTCTCGTCTCTTTTGTAGACTTTGGGGACCAAGCAATAAGTCTCCACAAACCGCAGCCCTAGTGCCTGTTTGTGTGCGTGTGTATGTGAGCAAGAGCGTTCCTTTCGAGAGAGGAGGATTTTTTGGCGTATGTGTGTGTGGGAAGAAGAAGCAGCGCTGGCAGCGACGTCGACGGCACCGCCTTGGCGCTCGGGAACTTGGAGCCCAGTTGCCGATCGCCAGAGGATCGCCGCTCACTCAAAGTATTGGTGTCAAGCAGAACGGACGAATATCGCCGACGACGCGCCGTTGCCAAAAAGAGAGTTTCTTCCGCTCTCGCTCTCTCCGCTGCCGTCTTTCTCGCGCGCTGGGTTGTGAAAATTTCTACAAGTTAAAATTAAATAAAAAAAAAGTGCAAAGGAAGCAGGCAAAATAGCGAATAGTAATTTCGGTTTAACAACTGCGGGCAGTGCATTAGTAAACCATTAAACGGACATATTTTAAAAAATAACTCATCGGGAAATACTAATAAAATAATATAAAGTGGAACGGAATCACCAGCTAAAAAAGGTGCTTACGATTTATTAAACCCCTATATCTAAGGGCAAGTTCAATAAATAAGGTTGTCGACGAGTGCTAAAAAAGTGTGGATTTTTTAACAAACGATACAAAAATACTTAAGAACTATACCCCTCCAAAAAGGGTGCTAATAGGTTACCCTATAAAACTTTGAACTTTATAATCAAACCAGAGTACAACCATTTCTTTTAGAAGGACAGTCTCAAACATAATTGTTAAGTTATAAACGTTAAACTCCCATGAACATATACATATTCAATGCAGAGAAAAATTAGAATAGAAAAAGTGTATAGTAATTTAGGACTTACTATATAATCCCCCCAACCGAAGAAACGGTCCTGTCCCTCTCGCTCAGTATCTCCTTCTCCCTTTAAAGGCGTACAAGTATTTAAAGGGGGTGTAAAACTGTTCGAGTATGTGTGTGTGCTGTAAAGTGATCTCCTCTCCGCAGGCAACCGCCCACCCCTAAAAACATCCGCTCTTATCAGGCGCAGTGTGCGTTTGAGTGTGCATGTGTGAGTGGGGGGTATGAGTGAGTGACGTCGGCAGCGCAGTCGGCTTCCTGCGTCGAGGACTTTGACTTACTCATTCATTCGCGAGCCTTTCCCAAGTGAGGACGTGTCCACTGGAACTAATCCTCTCGCCTGCAGTCGCTCCCACCTTATACAAAACGGTAAAAGCAGTAAAAACAAAAACCGAATAGTGGCTACAAAATAAAACAATTTCATTTAAAAGCCAGACATAAATGAGAATTACACATATTTGTGCGATCGGGCAGGCACAAAAAAGCTTTTGCCGCTAAGCTTTTCTAATAACTGTTTGCGGCGACTCAGTGCGTGTGTGTGTGTGTGCTTGTTGTGTGCTGATCTCTCTCGCTCTCGCTATATTGAATGGTTTCTCAATTGATTTGAACAAGTGCATAAAAACAATAACAATTGCAAACAAACGAAAAGTGGAAAGCATAGACAACAAAATAGAAGCGTGGAAAAACAGAAAGCAAACTCAGAGTGAAGACTGTGTGTGCCAGGAAGACGGCGATGGGAATTTCGTGGGCGAATGGGAATGATTTTCAATTAAGTGTACAAAGCAACTGAAACTGGCGCGGCGATAAGATAAGACCGGCAGCAGCAAATATTTAGCAAGTGGAGGAAGCAAGAGGAAGCGTGGTTTCAAGACAAGGATTTTTTTGTTGGAATTACGATCGCCGAAAGTGAGATAACGGGGACAAGAAAAAAACGTGCCACGAATGTTCCACGACTTTCCACAGCGATTGCCTGCTGGAATCGAGGCTAGTGCGTGTTAAGTGTGTGTGCGTTCCAATTTCCAGTTGGCGCTGGCCTGTAAAGTTTTCAAGACGGTGCCCGTCTCGTTTGTGGCTCTCCTAATTCCACACCCTTTGGCAAATTTTCAAGTCTCCAACACACACAACAACTCTAGCTGTCATTCCAGTCGCTCTCTCTTTCTCTGTCTCACACTCACTGTTGTCGCCGTGCGTGTGCGTGCCTTGCTGTTGCTGTTGCTGCCTGCCTATTTGAAACACATTTGAAATTTCCATTTGGATTTTCCCATTTACTTTTCCTCAACGGCGAGGCCTGCATAATGTGCCCGCTTCTGACCCTTTGGGGTCGACTCTTAAATTAAATTCAATTGGATGCTGGCGACGCGGCAGCAGGGCAGCTCCGAGATGCAGGACACTCTTTTGAAAATATAAGTGTATAGTAGAGGGAACTGGTCAAGATCCTTGATCAAGTATAGTTACCTTAAATCTTAAAAGAGCGCTAGTTTTCTCAATTTTAAGCAAAGTGTTTTCACGCTAAGAATGGCCCAATATGAATTTAGGACCTATAATAATCTTTGGGTTTCCTTCGATTGCAGCACGCCCTGGAATATATGTTTTAACGGCCTTAGCAGCTGTCAGGCCCCAAGGAGAATCCCAGCCCAGGACTACCAAAGGACCTTAGATGAACACAGGGCACACACGCAGCCCCACTTGCATGAGGACATAAATCGCGATCGCACACCCACTCGACACCGCTTAGAGACGCAACTACGGCCTCCCAATGAAGATGGCATCCCAACGCTTCTGCCTGCGGTGGAACAACCACCAGAGCAACCTGCTGTCCGTCTTCGACCAGCTGCTCCACGCAGAAACCTTCACAGATGTGACGCTGGCCGTCGAAGGGCAATACTTAAAGGCACACAAGGTGGGTGGTCTCTTGAAGGAAATATATCCAAAGAGTTAATAATAATCAAATGCTCATTAGGATTTCGTTTGGAAAGCACTAAAACATTTTTAAAATAAAACTGAACCCTTTTTATTTGCTCCCCTTCCGTAGATGGTGCTATCCGCATGCAGTCCCTACTTCAACGCCCTTTTCGTAAATCACCCGGAAAAGCATCCGATCGTCATTCTGAAGGACGTGCCCTACTCGGACATGAAGTCCCTGCTGGACTTCATGTACAGAGGAGAGGTCTCAGTGGACCAGGAGCGACTCACCGCATTCCTGCGCGTGGCCGAGAGCCTGCGCATCAAGGGCCTCACCGAGGTCAACGACGACAAGCCCTCGCCGGCGGCAGCATCTGCGGGGGCAGGAGCGGCGGCTTCCGAGAGCACGCCCACTCCCCCCCAACTGCAGCGCATCCAGCCCTACTTGGTGCCCCAGCGGAACCGCTCGCAGGCCGGCGGTCTGCTCGCCAGTGCCGCCAGCGCCGGAAACACGCCCACCCTGCCGGTGCAGCCGTCGCTGCTTAGCTCGGCCCTGATGCCCAAGCGGAAGAGGGGCAGGCCCCGCAAGCTGTCCGGCAGCTCGAACGGGACGGGGAACGACTACGACGACTACGATCGCGAGAACGTGATGAACGACTCCTCCGATCTGGGCAACGGTAAACTGGGCAACGAGTCCTACTCCGGCAATGATGACGGCTCCGACGACAATCAGCAGAACGCAGGCCACACGGATGATCTTAATGTGAGTCTCTGGTCGTAAACTACTTCTGCACCTGCCTGTACTCATTTGAGTGTCTTTCCATCCACAGGAAAGCCGCGACTCCCTGCCCTCGAAGCGATCAAAGAACTCCAAGGATCACCGCACTGTGAGCCAGCACGAGGACAACAGCACTTCCGGTGAGTCCCCCTTCAGAACAGAAAACAGCTGCGCTCGGCACAAAAAGAGCGAACCACTGCCTAGTCCTAAGATCATTTGCCTAGCTCTAAGACAAACTGCACCATCAACCAATATCGAAACCTCATTCTTAAGCCGACTCTCATGTGCACCCAGCAAAGACATATCGAAAACGAACTCGAACTCAATCCAATACAGAGCCAGGCTGAAGTCACATAACCACATTCGACCAATCTCATCTGCGAATATCGGAAAAGCTAAAAGGGATTTTACGCATTTCAATTAGTAGAAATCTGAAAAGCAAACTCGCGTCGGTTCCTCCTCTCTCCGTTTAGTGCAACCAAACAAAACAAAAAAGAAAAAGTGAGAAAGTTAATTTGAAATTTGAAAATTGTTAAGTGAATTCGCAAGCCTCGAGGCATCTTCCGTCCGTCGGCAGGTGAGTGTCCCAAGAACCAGCTAAAGCAGTTGATGCCCAAGAAATGCAAATCCACCAGCTGACGAAGAGATTATTGTGAAGTTGAGAATCGGGTTGAGCTCACAGGGATTCATGGCCGACGTGATAAGAATGTTATAAAAATAGCATAATGTAGCTAACAAAATTGTCCAAATTGACCGCGCCTCAAAAAGTCTCAAGATAACTCCAGAAACTAAATGAAAATCGACACCTCTCATGACCATCACCCACAACGAAATGCTGATCTCTGTTGTCCATTTCCGACCATCTCCTCGAAACCATGCAAAAATTAACCAACAAACAACAGGAAAATGATCAACAACTGAACACTGTCAATAAAAAACAGAAAATCTTTCGAACTCGAAACGCGTTGAAAATGGCTTGAAATCCCTACAGCTTTTCCGATCCGATTTGAAACTATTTCTCTCTCACTTGCTCGCGTCATGTGTTTGCCTTTCTCTCGCATACATCCTGCACACACATCTATACACATATTTATCATAACTCATACTAAGTTTATACGCCCAATTACAATGCCTTTGATTGACCTGATCTCATGGCAATCTCAAAGCAATTGCTTTGCAAGAAGATGTGGCGTATGAAGCTAGTATAGGACGACTATTAGGAATTCACTTAACCTTCTTACTTAACATTTTAGACGGCAACGACAGCGACGGCGAGGGATTGGACACATCTTACATGGAGCCTCAACTGATGCTGGACGAGTACGACGAGCCCGTGGAGTTCAAGTACAACCCGCTCACCGACAACAGCTCGCCCACGCAGGACCAAACGGACGGCAGCCACCTCAACGAGCAGGCGCGCCAGCAGGCCTTCCTCATCGCCGCCCAGCGGAAGCACCAGGCGGAATCAGCTGCAGCGGCGGCGGCGGGCGGACTGAAGGTCAACATCATCGGAATGGCGGCGGGCGGAGCGCAGGTGAAGAGCATGGTCAGCATACCCAAACTGACGCCCATCGGGAAGGTGAACGCCGCCTCCACGCCACTCGTCTCGCCCGCCGGCTCCTCCTCGATGGCGTCGGCCAAGCCGCGTGTCCAGAAGCGACCCAAGCAGGCCAAACAGAACGGCGACGTGAAGCCGGCCGTGTTCACCAGCCAGGAGTACCTCGACATCTACAACAGCAACGACGGCTTCAAGTTCAAGGCGGCCGGGCTGAGCGGCAGCACGCCGAACCTGAGTGCCGGAATGGGAACGCCCTCGGTGAAGACCAAGCTCAACCTGAGCAGCAACGTGGGCGAGGGCGAGGCGGAGGGCTCGGTGAGGGACTACTGCACCAAAGAGGGCGAGCACACGTACCGCTGCAAGGTCTGCTCCCGCGTCTACACGCACATCAGCAACTTCTGCCGGCACTATGTGACCTCGCACAAGCGCAACGTAAAGGTGTACCCGTGTCCCTTCTGCTTCAAGGAGTTCACGCGCAAGGACAACATGACGGCGCACGTCAAGATCATCCACAAGATCGAGAACCCCTCGACGGCGCTGGCCACAGTGGCGGCGGCGAATCTCGCCGGCCAGCCGCTGGGCGTCTCGGGCTCCTCGACGCCCCCGCCGCCGGATCTGAGTGGCCAGAACTCGAATCAGTCGCTGCCCGCCACCAGCAACGCGCTCTCCACCTCCTCCTCCTCGTCGACGTCCTCGTCCAGCGGGTCGCTGGGACCGCTGCCAGCGTCCGCCGCCCCGCCCGCGCCAGCAGCCGCGGCGCAGTAATCTCCGGCCGCCTCACTCCGAGCCCAAAAAGCACACACTCAAAGGAGAAGGTTGAGTGGAGGTTGAGGCAGCCGCTACCACTACCGACCGATTGGAGGAAGCATTTTGCAGCGCCAGGCGCTCATCGGGTTTCATTTGTTGTTGGGGAAGGGAGCTTGAGAAGTTAAAGTAGACTTTTTGTTGATTTTGTTTTTAGTTTTTTACTTGGCTTCGGTGGAGCATCGGAGTGCTTCAGAGCCAGCAGAGGTTTTATGTTGTGCAATTTACTTCTTCAGTTACGATTATAATATTTTCCGGTCCCCTGTCAAGTACCCGATCACCACGCAATGCTTATCAGTCCTACCAATTTACCCCTAAGACTACAATTATTATTTATCCCCCCGCCCGACGACGGCTTGTCGATCATTTCCACCAGCACGTAGTCCACGACACAAAATTCAACACTTTTGTGATCGGCACTTGCGAACCCATCCATTTAGGTTCGCCCCCTTTTTTATTGGACACCAGAGCGGCCTTATATGCGAAGTGTATCCGGGCAAGAGTTACACTTAAAACCGAAACTAAACCTGCACTTTTAGATAATTAAACTATATATACACGCGGATATGTTATACATAATTATAAACATAATACATAAACATCTCTAGCTGTAGTTGTATTAATTAATTTATCACTATCGCTATGTTAATGCTATACAAAATATGCAAATCCGAGATCCGAAATCTGAAAACGGATAACGGTAATCGGAAAACGGAAGGAAGAGAATCAATGTAATGTTAATCATGCGAGAGGGAGCGCAGATCTACCTTGTTGCCTTCAAATGAAGCTAGTTAAAAGTTAATCCCGGGTCTGGGCCAAGGTCGTCTGACCCCCAGCACCCGACCACCCCTCAAAAGCCCGTTCACCCACACACACACACACACAGTTCCCACGTAACTTCCGGAGCCCGGCGAAAGATTGAAAATGTTTCGTCGGGAGCGTCGTCGATACAGTGTAACTACAGATAGTAACGACAACCATAGCTGTAATGATAACAATAATATTAATGAGCATAAAGTAAACCTAATTTATCGATCATTAAACGATTTATGTTGTATATCGGAGGCTTAAATTATCGCCAAAGAAAATGAAAATCAAAAACAAAAAGCAAAAGCAAGAGCAAAAGCAAAACTAAGCAAAAGGCAGTTCAAATCCAACAGCAACAACAGAGCAGCAAAGCAACCCACAGAAAGAAAAGTGCGCACTTGCAAAATATGTATTGTTGTTAATGCGAAACGATCTCCAAACAGAATAAAGCACTTGAAAAGTAGACAACAAGTAATTCCTCAAGTCATGTAAAACGTTCAAATTTGTTGCAACTCGAGAACTAGAAATATATGAAATCTTAAAAAAAAAAATTTTAGTCTTCAAGAGAACTTCTGACACACAAAAACTGAAACAAAATTAAGCGCAATCAAATAATAAACCAGCTGCGTACGCTAACTTATTAATTAATTTTTGTTTTTAATTCTTTATTTAGTGGTAGCTAGTGCAATTTAGTCAGTAAGCCGCCGTCTCCAAACACCGACTAACGACCATCGCAAATATATATTTTCACCCAATCTTCCAATCCTCTCTTTTGGCGTTAATTTTAAACAATCAATCAAACACACCATGCATATTTATTTGTATGTGCACTGTTTGTACTATATTTAACTTTTATTTTAGTCTACTTTTTATACGAATATATTTACACATATATTTTTGCATTCAACAACTATACACCTTCAGCAATTTTCTCGCTTTCAAACAAAAATGTCCAAACTCGAAACCCGAACGAGGTGTATAGCTAAATAAAAAGAGTCATGCTTTGATGCCCAAAGAAAATGAAGAGTAAGAATCGTAATGCAAGGCAAACTTCCATGTGAAAATGAGAAAATTGTCTGGAATTGTTGGTAAACATGGTTTCCGTTTAATTAGCTAATTACGAGACACACTACGATATATCATACGATACTTTAACATAATTACTAAATAGTAAATCACACGCAATATTAATCAAGCAGAACATTTATATATTATTGTTTAAAACTGACCAACAGAGAAAAAATAAAATACACAATGCAAAAAACACCCAAAACAAAATCAGTTCTGAAACACAAAATTGATTCCTTTTATTTGTTTTGATTTCGGGCCTTTTGGGGAATCCCCCTTGAAAGCGGTTTGTTGAAAATAATTAATAATAATGTTTTTATTTAAAATCCAAATGACTCTCTATCCAAATGAACTCTCCCTTTGCAGTAACTCCAACTCAGGCCACTCCGGAGCTCTCCCAGCGGCTCTTCGGTTCATCCTCGACGACCATCTCGGCAACGGCAACAGGCGGCGGCGTCACCTCTCTCCCAGAGCCCATTTCCCTGCGGGAGGTCTCCGACAATCGAGACTCCTCTCCGGTTCACCTGCCCACGATATTGGGTCTGAAGATCCGCGCCATTAACACCACGTCTCCCGCCCAGCAAGCGTCCCCGCAGACGCCCACGAAGTCGAAGCCGAAGATCAAGCAGGTGGCGGGCAGCGCGAACAGCAACTCGCTGCTCAAGCAGCAGCTGCGCGGCGGGGCAAAGGACCCCGAGGTGCCGCTGGCCTCCAGGGTCACGCTGGCCGTGGCCCCCAGTGCCGCCCAAGGCGTCGAGGAACAGGGAAAGGAGGTGGCGAGGTCGAAGCAGGACGAGGTCAACGCCTGCATTGGCCTGCAGTCTTTGGCCAACGCAGCCGAGCAGCAAGCCGCCCAGGCGGCCAACAAGAGCGGCAGCCACCAACTGCACCACCAACTGCTGCTCCACATGGCGGCCAGCAACTCCATGCTCAAAACCGCCGACTACTACCAACAGCAGGCGAAACAGGAGTCCCCCTCGAACGCTGCCCAGTACTTGGATGACGACATGGACCTCATGTGCATTGCCGAGCAGCAGGACAAGGGCGACGGGCCCGACCACGAGCTGCTGACCCTGGCCGATGAGAACGACGGCTTGCCCGGCTACCAGGCCAACGAGGCGGAAGCAGCACCTGCGCCGGAAGACGACCTCGCTCCGGAGACACCGGCGGCCCCGCCGCCGACGCCCAGGAGCGGCAAGAAGAACACCAAGCGCCCCATCCAACGGCGGAGGGTGCGCCGCAAGGCCCAGTCCACGCTGGACGACCAGGCGGAGCACCTGACGGAGATGTCCGTGCGGGGACTGGACCTGTTCCGGTACGCCAGCGTGGTGGAAGGCGTCTACCGCTGCACCGAGTGCGCCAAGGAGAACATGCAGAAGACCTTCAAGAACAAGTACAGCTTCCAGCGGCACGCCTTCCTCTACCACGAGGGCAAGCACCGCAAGGTCTTCCCGTGCCCGGTGTGCTCCAAGGAGTTCTCGCGGCCGGACAAGATGAAGAACCACCTGAAGATGACCCACGAGAACTTCACACCGCCGAAGGACATCGGGGCCTTCAGTCCTCTCAAGTACTTGATCAGCGCAGCGGCTGCGGGCGACATGCACGCCTCGATTTACCAGCAGCAGCAGGAGCAGGCGCACTACCAGAGGCAGTTGGCCGAGCAGCTGGAGCAGCAGAACGCCTCCTTCGACAGCCAGGACAGCTCGCTCCTGCTGCCGGACGTCAAGCTGGAGCAGGGCGAGGATCAGGATCAGGACCAGGATCAGGATGCGGATCAGGAGGCTGAGCTCAGCGACGGCGGCTATGAGGCCTCCAACCCCGCAGCCGCCGCGGCCGCCATGCTGAGTCTGCAGCAGGACGTCATCATCAAGAACGAGATACAGATCTCGCCGTCGCCCTCGCCCACTCCGCCCACCTTCTGTGCGGGGGCGGAGGGCAAGTCCTTGGCACTGGGCCCCACCGCACAAACCGCAACGTAAAGACTTGGCAGGATGACAGAGCAACTAGACCACGTTTATCCTTAAGCAGCGGGCTCTGAACTGTAGAACTCATTATTGGTAGTTGTATAAGAAACTGTGGCACTCAAATCGACAGACTCAGAACGGTTTTTAGCTAAATTCGGTAGTGTAGTTAATGTAGGCCCGTAAGCAATATTATTACTAACACGAGCTCCGTCCAGAAAGCCTTTTTAAGCAACATTAACGCATAAGTTTGCCTATTATAACATAAGTCTTGACCCAACTAAGCAACGCACAGTTCAGTGAACTTGGATGACTTTCGGCTTTAATTATAAACCACTTGACTGGCCGCCCACTGGATCTCCGAAGGATCCGAGTAGCAGGCACTTTAGGAACTTTTCATTTCCCTTTGTGATTTTGTTGAACCTTTTGTGTAGACCTTTGTTTTTTATTTTTTTGTTGTACATACATAGCTATGTATATATTTATAGGTTTGTTTAATACTCAAAGTCCGTAGTTTAATTTTGTTCATTTCCTTGGCAACAAGCCGGAATCAAATGTATTGGCTATTTGTGCAATCATCAAAACGAGTTGGTGGCTGCGGAGAAACGCGACAGCGGGTCCTGCGGCCCCAGAAATGTTGTAAACTTAACTACCTACTTAAGACCACTTAACTAGGATCTAGGCGTAGTCTTAAGGCAATCGATGCACGTTCCAACGTACAACAAAATGCGCAACGGACTTCCAGTGAAGAAATTAACTGATATTTATACGGAATCCCAATCTGGTATTATGCATTGCGATTATAACCGTTTACTTAACGCAACAATTACGACTTAAACTTATGCGCTCAATCTCTAGATATTATAATTGCGATTTTAGGCTTAATATCCAAGAACCAATTAGCGAGTTCATTGAATAAAGAGAATTTACTGAATGGCAAGCAACGTGCTTTACAGATTTGGTCATCGTTCTGCAATCCATTGAATATTAGAACAACCAACAAAAAGTTGTCAGCTACTTAAGTAAAAGACACAGTTCGTTTTCATAAATATTTTATTCGAACTGGCAGGCCTCATATTTTACTGATTATTGGCTCTTCGGTACCAGAAGCGCGCCCGAAAGTCATCGGAGCAGGTGAGGAATGCTGGTGCGTTGGGCGAGTGGGTTATGTAGCGCACAGGTCCATTGTGTCCAAGGGAGTTCAGTGTCAGCCGGCAGCCATTACGCGAGTTCCAAGAGCAAAGCGAAGTAGTGGCTTCGTCAGGGAAGAGTACGTAGTCCTCGGTGTGGTTGAACACGGCCTCCGTCTGGTGCTCCTGCTTGCCAGTGGTTCCAGCACCCGTGTACGTCTGGATGGGGCGACTGGTGCACAGCTCCCACAGGTAGACCAGCGAGTCCATGCCCGAAGAGAGTAGGTACTAAAATGATGGAATTTTAGATTTGCTCTTTAGAAGTTCTGGCCTTAAGGTTTTCTTACCTTCCCGTTCCTCGTGAACTCCAGTGAGCAGATGGCCGCACCGCCGTGCGCCTCGGCGATGGTGTTGATGCACCTTCCGCTGATCCCGTCCCAGATTTTGATGTCGCCGTCGTAGCTCCCAGTGGCATACAGTTTTCCGGTGGGTGAGTACTTCACGCAGGTAACGCCTGCCTTGTGCTGCTGCGAGGGAATGGCACTTACGAAGCACTGGGTGGTCTGCACATCGTACAGCCGCAGAACATTGTGCTCCGTGCCGATGGCCACGTAGTCACCAGTGGGGTGGAAGGAGAGGCACAGCACCGGCTCACAGTCGGTGAACACCTTGTGGGCCTTCTTTACTGATGGCTTTGCTATGTCAAAGAGCTTGACAGTGCCGTCCCGCGAGGCGGAGGCCAGGATGTGCTCCTTGGGATGGAACTCCAGGTAGGACACCTCGTCAGTATGATCGTAGAGCGTTCGAATCACCGGATGACCCTGCTGCTCCCTACCGGGCTCAATGTCTTCGGGTGCCGACTTGGCCAGCATGCGCTCCACGTCCAGAATCTTGATGCTGGCATCCACGCTCCCGGTGGCCACCAAGGAGCCATCGCAGCTGAAGGCGCCGGCGCGACAGGCCTGCTTGTGCGAGGTCACATATGCCGTTTCGTAGGAGTGGGGCTCCGGGGCCAGCGCCGAGGCCTCCGGCTCGAACTCGAGGTCTATCCCCGGCAAAACATCATCCGTCTGGGTCTTGTCCTTGTCGCTGAGAGTCTGCATCCCGGCAATCATGACGTGCAAGAGGCGTTCGCTCGGAGCACACTGATCCGCCTTCACTAACATGGACAGCTCCATGGCGAACTTCTCGAGGCCATCGTACATCAGCTGGCTGTTGGATTCGAGGGATGTTACAACGATATCCGGACTTTACGGGTTCACCCACCTTATCATCAAGCGGTACAGGATCTCCCGGTTCTTCACCAAGTTGCTTGGGTCCAAAATTTCATCGCGCATGGTGCTTATTTATTATTGTCACGGATATAAACAAAAATTGAAAGATGTAGAGCTGGAGTCGCAGCTACTGTTATCGATTATGTTTGCATTGCCGGTATCGTCTCTATTCAGTATTTTAATACCGCTCTTATGCTACGTCGGCCGTTTGGTATTTCCCGGCTTGTGGTCACTCTAAGAAGCTGCAACACGTGCGGTTTCACATTGTTTTGATTTGGTTTATTTGATTTAAGCAACGTTGGAACTTTTTAGTTAAACAGTTTAACCATGAAAATCCGCAAAAACCATGCCCGCAAGCGCTACCGCTACAACGTAAACCGAAAGACCATGAACAAAACACGCAGTTCCACGGGGAAAATCAAGGAGTAAGTGTGAATAGAAATTCAGGGCTCTGTTAAAATCCACACATATTTTATTCAGATTACAAATTAATTATTTTAACTTTTGCTTTTTCCAGCCCAAGGATGAAAAAGATGTGGATTGAGGACCAACGCGTGGGCACCAACTTCAGCGAAATGGGTTTGGCCAAGGATGTCAACAAGGCGATTGCGATCCCCAGCTACAAGCAGGATCGTCTCCTGGCGGCGAGAGTGGTGAATGGATTTCTGGAGGAGGAACTGGACGACGATGAGCGCCGAGCTCTGGGCATTAAGAAACCAGTCGCGGATGAGGGTCCAAAACGAGGACATGTGGTCCAGGAACTAGAGCAACTAGCCAGCGAGCGTGCAGATCCGGAATTCAGGTATAAGGGACCTCCCCCATATAAAACCATTTTATAATTAATCAAATTCCCACAGATTACCAAAGGGCGTCGTCAAAGAGCTCTCCTACTTCCTTAATAAGCACAAGTTCAACTACAAAGCCATGGTCGCTGATAGAAAGAACTTCGGTCAATGGACCTGGCGGCAGTTTCGATTGAAGATTCGCAGATTTATGTCCATTCCGGAGCAGTTTAATGTTTATCTAGAACAAAAGAAACTTCCTGTGGGAATTAAACCCGACTGGGAGGAGTACGAGTCGGACAGTGAATGGAAATAAATTCTTCAGACTTTTAACATAAAATAGATCTGGTTCTTATGCTATAATGTGTAATACTTAGACTAATCGTAACTTTTTAAATACACAAAAAAATATTAAGAAAACAAAATTAACAATGTAACTTTTTGAAGTCAGTGAATTGAGGCAATCCTTTTTTTTTAAATTTCTAACGTACGACCAATAGAAAACGGGAGCCTGTCGTCTCCTTCTAACTATAATGCGAATATGTATATTGCTCGCGCTCTATTTTTTCATGAAAGTTAAAATATAAAACATTAATTTTTAACAACACTGAATAAGATACAAGTTTCGACCATTGTGTTCAACGAGTCGGCTACTTTATTTTTTAACAAGCCCACCCATTTTTCGTGAACTGAATTTACATATCAACATATATTTTTTCAATAGTCAATGAAATTCAAAATAAAATAAATACAGAACAGAATACCTTAAGTCTTAAAAAAAAACTCAGGTTGCCCTGTTAGGCGCACTAAAATAATAGATTGTCAAATACGTTTGGTATAAACATATTTAATTTATTATTTTCTTAACACTGCATCTAGCAGTGCATCCAAAGATATTTTTGCAAATCATATCACGTTGAAATACACGATCCTGTTCCATCTCTATATCGGAATCGGTTCGGCTCGTTCAGCTCGGAGTCGTTCGCTTTTTCGGCCTTTCCGTTTTGTGATTTCGAGGTAAGTGCACGCAGAGCTCCCGTGAAATCCTGATAAATTGTCAATATTAATAGGCATCGATTGGTTTTGCAAGTGCCAATCAAGCAGCTCGCGGGAATTTAATTTGCATTAATAATTAAGTGCATTTTCTTCGGTTTTCTTAACTTTTGGAGCTTTTTATTGAAAGTGAGTGAGTGTGTGTTTTGCAATGCCGGCCGGTTTCCCATGATGTTTTGCATAATAGCCGCGTGAAATAACGGTGGCTGGGTTGTGAAAATCGATCCGAATTGGAAATTGCAGTTCCACAGCCCTTTAAAAAAGCCTGTAAGCTAAACCAATTTCGTAGACTTTTAAATTTCAACATGGCGGCTGGCTGAAAGTGGACGTGTGTGCGTGTTCGATTTCGCCTGGATTATTCCCGTTCCCACGCGGTTAATTCCCGAGTTTCTATTGGAATTTGTTGGCAGAAAATATTGAAATTGCGGCATGACACATGCTCGGCATATTATTTTCCTACCCTGCATGTCTGCCAAAGTATTTTTACATATTTCTCTTTTGCTTCTTTTCTTTCTTGCAATTTGCACTTCGATGCAAATACAGAGATTTAAAAATAACATGAGGGAAAATCGGCAAGTAAAATTGTCACTATGGTAGAAAATAAATCACAACGCCCTGCGACTCTCTCTTCTGCCGCCTATTTCCTTCTCTCTTGGCAGGAAGAGCAAGTGCAATCTGCGGCCATTCGCCGTCCCTTTCACGCCCCACTCTCCCTGTCTCTTTCTCTGCAGTTTTTCACCCTTTGGAATCGCGAATTTTCCGCCGCACGAATGTCGCCGAATGCCGATGCTTCTGACCATTTCCCTTTAAATTACTTTTTCACCATGTTTCGAATTATTTAAATTTTGACATTTGCAGCATGCGAGTTTTAATTGTGTGTTATTTTTATTGGTTTTCTCGAAAAGAAGCCGGCCGGCACATTTCCCCCGAGCTACCGCAATGTTTTTCGCATTCCCCATGTTGTTGGGTGGGGGTTTCTCTCCAGCTTAATCCTCGTCCGCTGGAGAGGAGAGTGCATTTTCCCCTGAGTTCGCAGACTTCGGCTCGATTCGTTTCTGTCTGGGGCTCGTTATTGATTTTTCGCCCGGTGCAAATCGGCGAAGAGATATATACGGCAGTCTTTAAACAACGGACACTTGGTTTAGTCGTGGTCTGGCTGCAGAGTACGGAAAAGACACAAAAACCAAATTGGAAGTACACCTTTAATGTATTTTTTTGTTGTTTAACTTCTAGGATATAGCGTCCAGTGGAATTGTGATCACTTTTGATAGCTCTACATCGGCGGTGACAAGCTCTTAAAAATCGTTTTAAATCAAGTAAGTTTTTCTATAATGCCCCGAAAATGCAGCCGACATTTGCACACTTAAAAAAGTAGATCCCATGTTAGGTGAAAAATATACTAATAAATTATTCGTAGTTTCTATAAATATAACTTCAAATTATTATTTTTTCATACTGACGGAATGTAGTTAGGTTTATGTTTTTAATCCAAAATAAATTTGTAAAGTGATAATTTAGGTATTGATCACACTGATGAATATGATTAGAACTGCAAACCAAGAGAAAAAGGCAAATTCATTTTAATTTCAAAACCATTTGCCTCGGATTTCTCCCTGTGCGCTTGTTTGCATGTGTGTATGCAATGTGCTTTTGGTGTCTACACCACGATGACTCGACCCACACCCACAGCATACATACATACGTCACTCGTCTGCACCGCCCATTGAGAAAAGGTCCACACCCACACGCCCCCCAACTCTATCCGCCCACAACGCTGATTCAACTATCTCGCTCCTCCTTCGTGTCTCACTGCAGCTCTTCAAAGGTCCCAACATCCTGTCGCAAACTCCGTGAAGATGGGCAAGGAGAAGATCCATATCAACATTGTGGTCATTGGCCACGTCGACTCCGGCAAGTCGACAACCACCGGCCACCTGATCTACAAATGTGGCGGCATCGACAAGCGTACGATCGAGAAGTTCGAGAAGGAGGCCCAGGAGATGGGCAAGGGCTCCTTCAAGTACGCCTGGGTTTTGGACAAGCTGAAGGCGGAGCGGGAGCGCGGCATCACCATCGACATTGCCCTGTGGAAGTTCGAAACGGCCAAGTACTACGTGACCATCATCGACGCCCCCGGACATAGAGACTTCATCAAGAACATGATCACCGGCACCTCGCAGGCCGACTGCGCGGTGCTGATTGTGGCCGCCGGAACCGGAGAGTTCGAGGCTGGGATCTCCAAGAACGGGCAGACCCGTGAGCACGCCCTCTTGGCCTTCACGCTGGGCGTGAAGCAGCTGATTGTGGGCGTCAACAAGATGGACTCCACTGAGCCGCCGTACAGCGAGGCCCGCTACGAGGAGATCAAGAAGGAGGTGTCCTCGTACATCAAGAAGATCGGCTACAACCCGGCCTCGGTGGCCTTCGTGCCCATCTCCGGGTGGCACGGCGACAACATGCTGGAGCCCTCCGAGAAGATGCCCTGGTTCAAGGGGTGGTCCGTGGAGCGCAAGGAGGGCAAAGCGGAGGGCAAGTGCTTGATCGATGCGCTGGACGCAATCCTGCCGCCGCAGCGTCCCACCGACAAGCCGCTCCGGCTGCCACTCCAGGATGTCTACAAGATCGGCGGCATCGGCACCGTACCAGTGGGTCGTGTGGAGACTGGTCTCCTCAAGCCAGGTAAATACGCTGTTGCAGTGCACCGTCTTGACAGGTGCCCTCTTCCTCCTCTTCCGGGTGCTCATGAGTGCTGGGCGAAATTTCCAGTCACCCCTCAGCTTTCTCTGCGGAATTTGGGTCGCCAGTGGGCTGACACTTCCACTTCCACTCCGCTCCCCTTGCCACCGCCCCCAAACGGAGCTCGCGACGAAGTCTTGCGCATGTATGCATTATTGAGCGACTTCTTCGTCGAGAGCAAGCACTCCACCCCCGTGCAGTTGGGGAAACTGGTATCCTCCTGCCAAGCGCTCCCATGCTCAAGTAAAAGTGAAAGCACCCACCTCCCATCCCCACCTACTGTACTTATGCTCGGATGCGAATCCTTTGCAACTCTTTTTCGCTGCAGGCATGGTCGTCAACTTTGCTCCGGTCAACCTGGTCACTGAGGTGAAGTCGGTGGAGATGCACCACGAGGCGCTTACCGAGGCAATGCCCGGCGACAACGTAGGCTTCAACGTGAAGAACGTGTCCGTGAAGGAGCTGCGACGCGGCTACGTGGCCGGTGATTCCAAGAACAATCCTCCCAGGGGAGCAGCCGATTTCACCGCTCAGGTGGGTTATTTCTGGGGCAGCAATCAATATTAGCATCACGTTTGAGGGGGATCCAGTGAAAAGATAAATCGTTAAATAACTTTTTTATTGTTGGTCTCACCCCCAGGTGATCGTGTTGAACCATCCGGGCCAAATAGCCAATGGCTACACCCCTGTATTGGATTGCCACACGGCCCACATTGCCTGCAAGTTTGCTGAGATCAAGGAGAAGTGCGACCGCCGCACGGGCAAGACCACCGAGACGGAGCCAAAGGCCATCAAGTCCGGCGACGCGGCCATTATCGTGCTGGTGCCCAGCAAGCCGCTGTGCGTCGAGAGCTTCCAGGAGTTCCCACCGCTGGGACGGTTCGCTGTGCGCGACATGCGCCAAACTGTCGCCGTGGGCGTCATCAAGTCTGTCAACTTTAAAGAGACGACTTCGGGCAAGGTGACAAAAGCCGCTGAGAAGGCACAGAAGAAGAAATAACTAGGGTGCCAGCAGAAGTACGACATCGCTCGAACCCAACAGCAACAACAAGAGCAACAGCAACAGCAGACGGCTAGAGCATCAGCAACAACAACCACATATAACAACACACATGTCAAAATTATAATATCCACTCGACGATCAAAAGCAAATCTTAGCTCCGTGGCAACCAAGACACCAATTACTACTATTAGCAGCTGCCGCCAGAGGCAGATATTATATGAGATTGAGCAGATACTACCCTATATTATAACCACACGTACGATTAGCGAGGAGAGGAGCTGCAGCAGGGATGCCAAGCAGGAGTCCGTTCAGCTCCCCGGGCTGATTTTAGTCGCCTTTGCCCTGGTGGTCTTCTGCAGCTATCTGAACTTGCACCGCCACCGCAAGTCCTTTCGCAGGAAACCCGCTGACCACCATGACTGTGAGTGGTGGATAGGGTCCTTCCGAGCACTGCTGTAGCCAACCTCTTCGATATATACTCATCCACAACCTAACCTACATTTGATTAGCAGCCACACATTCGGTCGTGCATCATCCACCTGTTTCGAATGGATTTTAAACATTTTTTATACTTTTGATAAGTCAAGTCGGAGGCATTCGATTTAAAATCTATTATACGATGTAATTTCCGAATTTAGTTTTAAACCTCGCCCACACTCCACCAAAAAAATGGCCTAATGCCCCTAAACCCAAACAAGACAACATTCGCAATGAATTCAAAATTTCTCTTGAAACCAAAAGACAAATGCTTAAGAAGTATTACAAAAACAAAAACAATTCAACATAACTCACATAATCAAGCGGTTTTTGAAAACATTTTAAATGTTCGATCGAGCCTCATTTGCATTTGCATACTACATTATACATATATACGTTAACCAAATGACATTGCATTACCCCTTACCAGCATATAATACACGTTACTCTCTCACTCTCTGAATTTATACAATTCTAAAACAATTGTAACCGACACCAGAAAAATTCTTGGATACAGAACATGTTGCTTGATACAAGATCTTTTAAATGATGAGAAAAATAAAGGAAGCTTAACCGTAAAATACCACAAAAAAAGGTCTTTTACTCGAAAGTGCTGTGTAGGCTGTACTGTTTTAATATCATAGCATTTTGTAATCTGCGCGTATACTTATTTTCTGATCGGCTTCAGTAAAAATTAAATTTTGGCGGTTCGCAGTGGTTCATTTTAGCTAGTTCTACAGGTTCAGGTGACAACTCTGGTTCTGACTCACTAGGCGGCCTGTATAAAAACAAAGCACCGCAAGTTTACAGAATCTCAGCCGGCTGTTCGGAATTTGGCCGAAATAACTGTGACTCATATCAAGAACTCCCCCGTCGAGCTATTCCAACTTCATTCCGTAGTTAAAGAAAGAGGAAGCAACTCGAAAATGGCAGATCCACGCGTTCGGCAACTGGCTATTAAGGGTGGAGTCGTCAGGCGGTTGACCAAGGAGAAAACCTGCTACGATAAGGACATCCTGATCGAGCAGGCCAGGCTGCTGAAGTTTAAGGGGGAAGGAGCTGACGACCATGTCTTGCGGAAGCAGGAGGAGGTCATCCAGGAGTGTATTATGATGGTCCCGGACGCCAAGAGGAGGTTTTGACCTACAAGTTTTCCCCACTTTCAATGCTTAACCCTGATTTTCCTTCACAGACTTCAAAAGGAGTACGAGGTGCTGGAAAAGTACCTCGCAGACGAGCAGGATCTCAAGGAGACTGAGGAGTATACCAAGGCCGCAAGTTTCCTCGAAGCAGCAAAGGCTGAACTCAAGGCTTAGGGCCAGCACATTCCCGTTTATTATTTACCCTTAAATATGTTAAGTATTTGGAAAACTGCAAAATTCTTTGCTGGCGAGTGGCCAGAAATCCCTAAGAATAAGCAATTTAATCCCTTCCTCTTTGTTTTGATAAACAAATAAATAATAAAACAGACAGACAGCTGTTGACTTCCGGTGTTTTTTTCTTTTCAAAGAAAGTTATTATTATTAAGATTTATTAACATTTTTGGTAAATACTTCAGATATCCCCAAATAGTAAACGTAAAATATTTTATTGCACCCTTCAGCTTCAGACATTAGGACGTTTTCCAACACAGATTCTGTAAAATGCCCAACAAAAATCCAAAATTGATCGAAATTAAAGAAAATATTCATCATGTAATAGCTAACTTGCAACAGTTGGAGCAGCTTATCAGTGAAGCAGGGCACGATTTTGACCTGAAGCATGCGGAGGAGCTGCAGCGGAGCACGACAACCCTGCTTGATGCACTTGACCAAGTGCCGGTCCAAAAAGTTGCCGGCGTACAAAAAAAAGAAGACGTAGGCGACACTTAGCCAAACAGAAGAAAAAGCGAGTGAAATGTGAGAACATAAAAACCGAGGGTCATCTTGGTCTGGAACGAAAGCATTCTGTTGAACCACCTCGAAATCCTACCGTGAAACAAGCGGAGCACATCTCCTTGCGAAAACGACACGATGCAGCCTCCATTTTGGAGACCTTTGATCTTCTGGAGAAATTATGCGAATCTCGTTCAGGGAACAAGGTTGCCTTAAGCCAAAGACTGGCCCAAATGCGTCATCTTTGGCGGAGGGTTCTGGAGGAGAACAAGCAAGAGACCGTGAAGGAGTCAGTGAAGGCATCCTCCATAGGGGCCCAATGGGATTTGGTTTTCTTTGGCAAGTCTTCACTTGCGGATCGAGACAGCAAGGGCAAATTTCTGGAGACCCGGTATAAGTTTGAGAGCATTTGTGTATGGGAATCCTACGTCACTAACTTCTTCCCTTCCAGTTCCACCTGGGATTCTTACATAAGCCTTGGCGGCAACGGTTCCTGTATACCCCGAGGATGGGTGCTACCTCCAATCAAACCCACAGCCCCGTGGGCAGCCTTTAGAACTGAAACCTAACATGTTTGGTTGTTATTGAATGACCTCTTGTAGCTATTCATTAAACTTGTGCATGGGATGAGTTGCTTTCCCCTTGAAAACTTTTTTGGTTGGAACCATCTTTTACTTAGTATTGTGGAATTTTATTTCTTTATAAGAATCTCTCTGCATTCAGCTTAGATGAGGGGCAAGTAATTGAGGCACCCGCCTATTCGTAGATCCAGTCCTTGGCGGCCGGGGTCCAGGTGACCAGCTCCTTCTCGTTGAACCACAGGGCGATCTCCTTCTCGGCGGACTCGACGGCATCGGATCCGTGGATGATGTTGCGACCGACCTGGATGCAGAAATCACCGCGGATGGTGCCGGGAAGGGAATCGGCGGGGTTGGTGGCGCCGAGCATTTGGCGTCCGGTCTTGACCACATTCAGACCCTCCCACACCATGGGCACCACTGGGCCGGAGTTCATGTAGTTGACAAGACCGGGGAAGAAGGGGCGGCCAGACAGATCGGCGTAGTGCTTCTCCAGCAGCTCCTTGGAGGCCTGGTTATAAAACGGGTTTGTTATCAGTTAATTGCAGTTTTGACCTCTAAAACACATGTCATCTGATGACGCCTGCAGCCAACCTTTGAGGTTATGGCGAAGATAACCCCGCGTGGGGCCACCTCTGTATTGATTTCTTTCTAATTTAATTATTTGCTCACCCAGGTGAACTTCAGGGCGACCAGCTTGAAGCCCTTCTGCTCGAAGCGCTCGATGATCTTTCCAACGAGTCCTCGCTGGACGCCATCAGGCTTAACCATAATGAAAGTCCTCTCCTTGTTAGCCGCCATTGTCGCCGAAATTACAGAAAAGAATGCCAAAATCGTGCCGAGCATCTGTAGCTTCATGTGTACGCCTCTTAAAAATCTTGAAAAAAAATGCGCCGGCAACGGAATTTGTTGCGTATCTCCAAGTGGTCACACTGCTGAGCCGCCGTTATGAGTTTTTCGGTTTTTTGTTGGCGATTTTAAAGGGAGAAGATCCCATCGATCGTGGTGGATCAAAGCCCTATTAGTATATCTCTTTGCCATCTCACTTAATTTAAAGACTCAAAAATCGTTGAGTTATCCCCGTACCGTGGCGTTACCACATTGCTATACGATTTAAACTGGCTTTTAACGGTTTTCTCGACTTCAGATATTTAAAGACCGCGGGAGTCTATAATTTTATACAATTATAAATACCATTTCAGAATGCTCTTGTTTAATGAAGTCCCCAACGCCTAGCCAACCCAAGATTTCTCCCTTGCAGTCTGTTTTTGATTCATCCCGCTTGCCAGCCAAGTTAAACCGGCAAAAAGTCACGTTTCGATTAAATTTTATGTCCCGATAAGATTAGATCCGTGTGATCACAGTACGTGATAAAACAATAAAAGTTTACAAATAATATATACAGTTGGTGGGTAGATGCAAATACGCTGTGTAAATCACTTGGTCCCGTCCAGCTTTGTCAGTCCGTCAGCGTACTGGAACTCCGGACTGTTCTCATACTCGCACATGTCCAATGCGATGACGCAGCTCTCCTTGACCACCCGCTTGTCGTCCTCGGCATAGCGATTCAGGATCTGAATGCAGTCGTCGGTGGCGATGGCGCCGAGGGCCTCGGCGCACTCATGGCGCACCATTTCGTTTTCGAGGCGATCCTCCAGGTTCTCCTGCAGGTAGGGAATGCTGCAGGGCTCCTGCAGTTGGCCCAAAACGAAGGCCACCTCGTGGCGAAACAGGGCGGAGGAATCCTTTAAACCCTGTGCGATTGCGATGACACTCTCCTCGCTGCGCAGATTACGAAGGCTGAACATAGCCCTATACCGATCGAACAGGCTCTGCTGGACATCCAAGTAGATAGCCTTTAGTTCGGCCACGCTTTTATCGCCCGCTGCCGGTGGTGAAGGATCCACGGAGGCATAGGGATTATTGTCGTCTACCCTCTGACCACTTTGCAGCCATCGGACGCGGTCTAGGGCAATGGCACAGGTCTCGGCCACCTCCACCACCGGATCCTGTTTGTATTCCTCCAGAATGGGCAGCACATCGGGATGGCCAATGGCCCCCATGGCCTCCGCCGCCTCGTGGCGTACCATCGGCTCCTGCGTGGTATCCTTTAATACCTTGGTGAGGATATCTAGAGCCTTCGCGTCCTGCATCTGACCCAAACAATAGGCCAGTTCGTGTTTTAGCAGCGCTGAATCATCGTCAAAGGCTTTGCTAATCGCCTCGATTGCAGTTCCTCCTCCAATGTTCTTCAGTGTAAACAGGGCACGAAAACGCTCCTTCAGCGGGCGATCCTTGTTGTTAAGAACACCTCCGATTGCCTCAATTTGCTGCTGGGAGACCATTTCGTAGCAGTGGGAGTTTATAAATAAAAGACTTTAAGTCAGCCGCGTGGGAACTGCCTTCACTTTGTTTACAAACACTGGCTAAAGTGGCTAGTGTTGACACAAATAACGTCATGGTTAATAGCTATTCTTTTTCAAGGAAATACTCTATTAAATGAGGACTACCGGATTTATGTACATATGTTTTAGTGGGTTCAATAAAAAGTTGAGATGCCTTAACTTGCCTACAATTTGACATTTATAAATGATACGTATATCCACATATCCAACTTAGTTATTTGGTAAAATAGGTTACATATTTGAAATCACCCGACAACCCTGCTGCTGACACTGCCATTCACTGCGAACCCAAGCCCTATCCCAACACTGGCCCGAGACTCCGCGCCGCCACAAATTGTGCAGCACTAGCAAGAAGCAGTTTAGTTACGTTTAATCCGTGCAAGCGCGACAAAAAAAACACCTAAAAGGCAAAAAATCGAGCATTTTAGGCCCGAAAATTATTGGCAACTTCTGGCCTACACCATTGCGTAGCATTAGTGTACTGAAAAGACAAACCCCCTTCGTGGAAAGTGCTTGCAAATCAGCATTTGATAAAGTTGCGCGTTCACGGTATGCCCAGCGTGGCGTGTGTGTCGAGTTACCTGTAATTGTGTGCGCCTGTGAGAGAGCGGAGTAACTCGCCATCGTTTCGAAAAAGCCTGCAGTTTGAAAAGACATTGAATTGTGAAATACTTGTACCACCAAACCAACTAAACGATGTCGGAGGCAACTGGGGTCCAAAAACCGGAGGCGGTGGAAATAGAGGAGGCGGCGGGGGACGAAAAGAAGACACCCGTAAGTAGCCCCACATACACACGTTTAGCGACAATTAACATAACGCGGCGATAACGCACACCAACAGGGGCGTTTTGCCCGAATTATCTGCGGTATTTTTCCAAAATAACTGTGTGTGTATATGGGCACACAGATTTTATGCATTTTCCACATTTCCCTTTGTGCGTTCATTTTCTATTTACATACGTTTCTTTTTTCAACGTCTGCCCTCGTGTGCGCGCGCTTTTTCCTTTTCACTTAAAAACTTCCCCCACCCCCACTGAAGCGAGCAGGCATGTGTGCGTGTGTGTATACGTGTGCGGCATCTACTCGCTGAAGAAGAAGAGGGGAGAGGAGATGAAATGACGAGAGAGGCAAAGGCAGTCGGCGTTTCCTCTTTGGGCTCACGTTTTGCCGCCGCGTCTCGTTTGTTTTTATTTTTGCTGGTTCCCTTTTCGACTTTTTGTTGTTTGCTGTACTTTGTCATACACAGCGGCACGAACACTTGCAGCCGCTTCGTGGTGCTTGTGTATGTATGCGATACGTTGCGCTCTAGATTCGGTTCCATTTTTTTGCGGCGACTTTTCTAGTAGATATAGATGTTTAGCTGAACTCCCCCGATCGACAGCAATTAGTATGGGGGTTCATTTGGGGGTCTGTGGTGTGAATTCAGCTGTAAACACGGCTATGCGAGGGCGGTTGCAGCTGTAATTCAGTAATGTCGATAATAGTACAGTGCACGCTCTACAGCGTAAATAATGAATATCCTCTAGATTTGTTATGCGTGGAGAATTTAAAACAAATTTGACAAATGTTTAAATTTTTGGCCTTTTTATCAATTGTAGGTCATAAATTTTACCACAACTGACTAGAACAGAGCCTTTGATTTTTGGAAACAATACAATGAGACGTTCGCTCACCTGAAGTAATAGTAATTATATTTTTTGGATTCTTCTTGTTTTAATCATAACTTAAAAAAAAAACAACAAAAACACTGAAGGGTTAAAAACACAACATTTCACAAAACACAGAAAAAAATAATAAAAAAAATATTTGCATATTTCCGGTGCTGTTTAACGCATGATGCCAGAATACAAACACACACACATACAGTCACCTGTTTTTTGCATTGCCACCAAAAGAGAACAAAATTACCGATCAAACGAAATTAAATTAGTGATTTAATAAAGCATATACCCGTATTCACTTGCTATCTTTATCTGTATAGCATTTGTACAACTTTTTGTTTATGAATTAAACCCGAATATAATTATTTCCAAATTCTAATGCCGATGCGTGGGACGCTTCTGCTCGCCAAAAAGAAACTGAACGGGAGACCGGCTTTTTGGCGGGAAATTAGTGGGAGAGCTTTCGGGCTAGGACAACGGTAAAAAAAAGCTCGCTCTCCTTTTAAGATCCGATCTCTTTCTAAAGGAAATAGGAGAGTTACGGCGGGGAATCACAGATTTTACCTAAATGTCTCTTTATATATTTATCTTTTCGCCTTGCCAAGTGTACTCAAAGGAAATCTTTTTAATTGCAGAAACGCACTCCAAAACGCCGCTCGTTCATTGAGCGGGCTCAGCAGGAGAGCGAGGAGTTGGTGCGGACGATGGGCGGCAGCCTGGAGCTGGCCGGCGGGCGACGGACGCGGTCCAGTACTCGAGGAACTCCGACGCGGGCCACCGATACGGTTACGCCGCCGCCCAGCAAGAAGGCGCGCACATCACCGGCATCGGCCACCAAGGCCAGCGGAGGAGGAAAGGGTCGCGGAGCGCGAAAACTAGATGTGGGCAGTGATGAGCCCGAACAGGAGTCGGAAAAGGTAAAGACTCCAGCCAAAGGAAAGGTAAATACAGTGAGAATTCTTCTGATGATGGCTTTCTGATGAACAAAATCCATTTTCAGGCTGCAAAGAAGGACAAAAAAGAGCTGAAGAAGGAGGAAAAGCCGGCAAAAGAAGCGGAGCCCGCAGAGGAAGGGGCAGATGCGGAGGAAGAGGTCGATGAGTCCAAGGAGAAGGACGCCAAGCCAGCCGAGACCGACGACCAAGCGGATGGTGTAGTAAATCTGCCTGGAGTGGCGGAGGAGAAACAGAACCACGTCAACGAAGTCGAAGCAAATAAAGAAGAGCCCGAGAAGCCAACCGAAGAGGTGCCAAAAGCCGAGGAACCCGTTAAGAAGAGCGAGGAGGCCTCTGAGAATGGTGCCGCCACAGAAACCACGCCTGAAGACCCTGTTTCCGCTATGGATGTGGACGAGCAAGAACCGGCTGCCGAGAGCACACCTTCAGTTGACAAGGAACCTGCACCAGTTGATGAGAAAAATGCCGAAGAGAAGTCCGACGAACCTGCAGCCGTAGTTGTGGAGGAACCAAAGGTGCAACCTGAACCGACCAAGGAAGCCACTCCCGAGCCCATGGAGGTGGATGCGAGTTCGAAGAGCAGTTCGGACACAGCCCAAGTAGACACACCAGCCACCGAAGAGGTTGCCGCCGCTCCACAATCAGAAGCAGCAGTTGAGGCAACAGAATCAAGCGATGCTGTCGAGGAAGTGGCCGTAGAGGCCAAGGAAACGGTTCCAGAAGCGCCGATTGCCAAGGCCAAGAAAGCGGAGATTGTCGTGTCTGCGGAGGAGTCCAGGGAGACCAGCATACCGGGGGCTGAGCCCCAGGAAGCCAACAGCAGCAAAGAGCCCAAGGAGATCTCGAGCTCCGCGGAGCCAACGGAATCTGTGAGCTCCAATGTTGAGAGTGAAGCACCCGTCGCCGCCGAGGTTCCAGCCGCCCCCGCCACTAATGACGTCAGCAAGCCTGTGGAAGCCGATGCCATCGCGGGAAAGGTAGCCGAGAGTCCTGTCAAGGAGCCACAGGCCATCAGCGAAGTCAAGAAGGCGGAGATCAATGTTAACGGTGAGTTAAAAGAATCCTTCCACCTTTAAGGTCTCTAAATAACTAGACGCTCTTCCAGGTGAGCCCAAGATCGTTAATAGTTCCTCCGACGTGGGAGAGAATGCGGCGCCGAAGGTCTGTAACTAGACCGATCCCACCGCCATTGGACAATCAACCACTTCAATGCGTTGCAGATGTGTACAAAAAGCATCTTCAGCTCGCCCGCCGAGTTGGTCTGGATGTTGCCAACTACATGCAAACACTTAAGAGTTCCCCCAACTTACAGTTACAATTTTCTTTTTAAATTGACCCCTTGATTTCGTACTCAAAATACCTTAATTTTTTTGATGATTGTTTCGTGTCCTCCCGCACTGGGTTGACACGAGGGACGCCATCAGCTGCAATCGATGCTGGACTTTCAATGTTGCACTGCGTGCGTCAGGTAGACAGTCAGCCAAACAAGTAGGCAATAGTTCCAGTGCCCAAAACAAACGCACCCACCCACTCCCCTTCCCCACTTCCCCGGAAATACACAGACAGTTTGTAAAATGCATCTTAATATAATATGTATGTTGATAATTAATCAAATTGGAATCAAACAAATTATACATTGACAGAAATGTATGTAAAATAGATGTTTTTAAATTGTAAGACATAATATCCTTAATTCTAAACCCAATTTGACAACACTCAAAACATACGCAACAAAACGCGGAAAGATTTTAACCATTGTAACGCAATACGAATGCTCTGCGGCTCTAGAATACGTCTATGTATACCTTTCACTCTTTTTGAATATTTTTTACGTATTCCAAGCCCGTTTACTGAAGGCATTTAGTCAACGTTTTTAAAAGATCCGATTTCCAACCGGTGGCCACAGATAAAGGTCCCTCCAAGCGATCACTCCTAACTGAATTCGTAAATACATGCTAGAATAAAGAGTAAACTTTTTCAATGAAAAAAGGAGAAACACAAAATTCTAATAATAATAATATATTATATAAACACAGCAAGAGCGTAAAGTAGTTTTGGAAGCCGTTGCAACTGAAATGATCAGTCAGACCGTTTTTGTATGTAGCTTATCTTCTGTATAAGGCATTCTTCATTTGAATATTCTTTTGTAAATAAATCTTTAAAAAATACAAGAGAAATGCAACTTGTTTGGCAGCACTTTGGGCGGTTTACCACATAAAATGTCAGTTTATTAATTAAAAACTTGAGGCAACATCATTGAAACTGTAGAACCCTTAAGCTTTTGAAAACAACCTTGCTTCTGATTCTTTTCATTTTAACAAACGGTAGGAACTTTCTTTCGATATCTATACTTTGCATCTCTTGGATACAGTTCTTAAGGGTAGTGAATAATTCTAGCAGGAATGTACAAATGTTATGATGTGCTTCATTAGGCTTCTACTGGATGGCCGTTGGGCTTCTCCTTGACTTGCTCCTCGGACAGGGGCGTCTTCAGAGGCAACTCCTCCAACTCAAGGACGGGGGAGGACTGGTTCAGCCAGCTCCGGACGAAGGGCGAGTAGAGCTTGGGGTTCTGCTTCTCGTCCTTGTCCAGGGGCCAAACGTAGCTCATGGGAATGGCCCAGGCGAAGACCAAGAGGGCACCCAGCACCTTGTACCAGTAGAAGGAAATGTCGTAGATGGAGAAGTCGCGGTTGCTCTCGAAGGCGGTGGTCACCAGCTCGGGTGCATCCAGGGAGGGAATCGGCGTGGTGGCCACTGTGGTGGTGGTATTTCTAAGGGGAAGAGACGGGATCGATGCTTGAGCTCCCTAAGCTTCCTTCGATCTAACTAGACTTACATGGCGTTCAGTATGACCTGGAAATCCTTGGCTTCGCACTGGTCCAGACCGTTCGGCAGCGGTTCGTACTTGATGAGCCCAGCCTTGAAGTTCATCTGGCCGTTGATGATAATCCACAGCATCGCCAGGACACTGAAGGCGATTCCACTCACCGCCACCTTGGCGTTGCAGCGGGGCACGAACATTCCCAGGCAGAAGACGCCCACCACCGCGCCCATGTTGATGCCCGTGATCGTCCACATCGTCTGGATGATGGAGTTGAAGTTCTGCACGACGAAGCCGCCCACGATGCAGTAGGCTCCCATGACCACGATGACCAGCTTCATGGTCGCGTTGGCCTTGGCCTCCGTGTGCCGGATTCGCGGCTTGATGTAGTCGAAGTAGACCACTCCGGCGAACGAGTTGAGGCTGGCGGAGAGGGAGCTCAGGGAGGCACTGAAGACGCAGGAGATGAACACGCCGGGCATGCCCATCAGGTGGCCCATTATGTCCTGGATGAAGAAGGGCATCAGCTTGTCCGGCTTGCTGACCAGCTGCGAAAGATCGAAATTGAGTATGGGTTGACGTGCAGCAGCAGCAGCAGCAGCGGCAGCAGCAGCAGCAGATTAACAATCTCACCCCCGCTTGAATGGGATCACATCCGTAGTAGTAGGCGAACATGATGATGCCAGCAAAGCAGGTGAAGGACATGATGAGCAGGAAGCCAACGCCAGCCATGACAAGGCACTTCTTGGCATGGCCGTAGGAGGGCATGGACACGATCCGCTGGACGCAGCTCTGGTCCAGTCCTATCTTGCCCGTCCACATCAGCAGACCGCTGGCCATTCCGGTGAAGAAGGTGAGGCGCAGGCGGGGATCCAGCCCAAAACTAAAGAGGGACAAAAATGTTTTGGAAATGCAAGGTGATGATTGTCGGACTAACGAAGTAACTTACTTGAAGTCGAATCGGCCACCTTCGGAGGCGCTCTCGAGAACATTGCCCAAGCCACCGGTGTTCGAGGTTCCCAAAATGGCCACCAGGACAACCGAGAGCAACATGACGCCTCCCTGGACCACGTCTGTCCAGACCACGGCCTTGATCCCGCCCAGCATCGTGTAGAAGACGCAGATGGACGACACCACCGTGTTGATCAGGTGGATGTTGTAGCCGGTGACTGCAAATGAAAATGAATTTTAATTCACACACCGACGCGCCTGCGATTAAAATCTATTTCCATTATACCTTGGGAGAAGGCCAGCGAAGGCACGAACATGTAGACGGGCAGCATCAGGAACTGATTCAGGACGAACGTGATGGTCACCAGTTGGCGGCAGCGCTTGCTGAACCGCATCTCCAGGTACTGAAATGCGAGCAGGTTGGGGTTTTATTTTAGGAACGCCAGGAGCTGTATATCATTCACGTAATTGCTTTTATTGCCACAGCTTTGCGACAGCTTATTAGGCTTTTTGCTACAGTCATTGCTGCCATTTTTGTAAGACTGTTGTGAAAGCAAAACAACAACAAGTAACGCAGTCTGTTGTGAAATCAAAATAATTCACAGAAAGCAGAACAAAATCGTTCGAAAGACTAATGGGAGCAAAGGGATTACTTAAAGGTACGCTTTTAAGTTAAAATAAAATTAATGTAAAGTGTATTCCCTTTTCATTGGGGTACTCCTACTCCTATCTATATGTTTGGCCTCGTCGAAAGAGCTGACTCATCCGGAATATTTCACTCACCTCGTAGCAGTTGGAGACGTTGTTATCGTAGAAGACGGGCACGATGACATATATGAGCACGGGCACCGCCAAGACCATGGCCCACACCACGAATATCATGTTGAAGCCGAAGGAGTAGGTCTCCGCCGGAACAGACATCATGGCCACGCCGGAGAGCTGACTGAAACGGGAGTTGGCAACTGGTTAGATCGCTTCTCGGAAGCATAGTCCCACCCAGCAATATTTGCTCCACCCAAGGGGAATCGGTTCCCTGGTCTGCAACCAGTAGTGGTTTCCGCAGAAAAAAGGGGCTCGAACCTGATACGTATGCATAATTTCACAAGGCCCGCGGCGATATTGCCATTCATCTGCACTAAGCCTCTTTACGGGAGCAATAATTGCCATGCGCATTCGGATAAGATAGACGGACAGACGGAGGAGAGTAGATGGCTTAGGATTACGCACGGGAGGAGGCCCGTTACTACGACGCTATCTTTATGGGGCCGCGCTGTGTCTGGTGCGCCTTTGCAGCCACGACGCGGAGTGGAAGGGTAGGTGGGTAGGGGCGGCGTGCGGAAAACTCACCTCGAGACCAGGGAAATGGCCACCGGCAGGGTGGGCATCTTCTTGCCGCCCTGCAGGTACTCCTCGGTGGTGTTCTTGGCCTTCGAGAAGAACCCGAAGTACACCCCGATGCCCGCCGAGGCGCTCAGCATCAGGGAGAAGACAACGTAGTCCGTGATGCTGAAGCGGAGGTCCTCCATCGCGGCTGTCGAGGCTGAGGCCACTGTGCTGGCCAAGACGCTAGAACCGCTCGTCATCCTTGAGGGGATTGGTTTTTCGGAGGCGCGAGTGGGGGAACCGTTCCGGGAAAGTCTCGCAGCTTCGGCTCGGGATGCTGCCAGCACACTTGTGAAGATCGGGTCCGGGCCACCCTTCTTAAGTACCGTCTCCAGTTAGCTGGCCTCTGTTATCTGGGCGCGATATCTGGCTAGGTGCGTCGTAATCGAGGCACGTCGTAAATCAGGAGCGCTCCTTATCTGCCCCGAGAGCACAGGCCGAGTTAACCAGTCGTATCCGGAAAAGCGCTCTGGAGATGATCTCGTGCCCTCGCCACGATGCCAACTCATCCATCAATCGGAGCCGAACATTCTGATCCCTTCGTGGGGATCGAGAAAAAGTGCCCTCGATCGACTGGAGAAAGACTTTCCTTATCACTAGGAGTGGGAGCCGAGGCAGCCTTGACTGCCATTGCCCTGAATCTAGTAACTCTGATAATGAACCGAATAATCTGGTGCGCATCTACTGGTCTATTTATAACACAAGTTTTCTCGGGACCTTCAGTTGCCCTCTGGGTCGTTCAACCTGCAAGACGGTTGAGTAATTGAACGGAGGCGGTGGGTGGGATAAAGCTATCAGTATCAGCTAGTTTTCATTGATCTCAAAAATATATGATTCCTTGGCCCCAAAAGTAGTCTTTATCCCATAGTTCCCAGGAAGTAAAGTTCTAGTTAAGAAGCACACAACATCGTTTATTCTTAATCATCTTGCTCATATTTCAGCCTTAACAACTAAAATATGTAAAGTAAATCAGTGTTCGAGACCAGCGTGTTTTGCCTTTTCGGCAGGGTCTACCCGGAGGTGGGGCGCCTCCCCTCGCAGCGGCACCTCCTCCAGTTCCTGCTCAGCGGCGGGCAGTCTGAGGAACCTCCTCACGAAGGGCGAGTACAGCTTCGGGTTCTGCTTCTCGTTCTCGTCGGGGCGCCAAACGTAGCTCATCGGCACTGCCCACAGGAAGATCAAGGCGGTGCCCAGCACCTTGTACCAGTAGAACGAGATGTCGTAGAGGGAGAAGTCGCGGTCGCTGTGGAAGGCGGTGGTCACTGGGTCGCCGGAAGGTGGCTTCACTGTGACGGGGGTGAAGTCGGTCTTGTTGCTGGAAGAGAGTGAGTATATACGTACAATAAATACTATGCAAGATAAGGCGGGAGTGAAGTGCGTCAGAACTTACACCACTTCGGCAATCATGTGCAGACCGCGGGCCTCGCACTGATCCAGCGCGTTGGGTAGCACCTCGTATCTGACCAGGCCGGACTTCTGGTTCATCTGGCCGTTGGCGATGACCCACACCATGGCCACCACGCTGAAGACGATGCTGGTCACAGCCGTCCTGGCGTTGCAGCGGGGCACGAACATCCCCAGGAGGAACACCCCCACCACGGCACCCGTGTTGATGCCCGTGATGGTGACCACCGTTTGCAGGATGGAGTTGAAGTTCTGCACCATGAAGCCGCCCAGGATGCAGTAGCCGCCCATCACGACCACAATCAGCTTCATGGCCCAGTTGGCCCGGGCCTCCGTGTGCCGGATTCGCGGCTTGATGTAGTCGAAGTACACCACTCCGGCCAGCGAGTTCAGGGTCGCCGAAAGCGAGCTGAGGGCGGCGCTGAACACGCAGGAGATGAACACGCCCGGCATTCCGGCCAGGTGGCCCATGATGTCCTGCACGAAGAAGGGCATCATCTTGTCCGGCTTGCTGACCAGCTGGGGAAGGACACAAGGCAACGTCATTTCGATATTCCCCTCTCAATTCTCAATGCAACCAAGTGGTTAAAAGCAGAGGCACTTACTCCAGCCAACATTGGATCGCATCCGTAGTAGCGGGCGAACATGATGATGCCCGAAACAGTGTTGAAGAAACTGATGATCAGGAAGCCCAGACCGGCAATGATCAAGGATCTATATACGACAAAGTAATCGTATTAAAAGTATTACAATTTTAACAATGAAATAACTCGAAGGATATGTGTTTGAATGGGTTTTTGGTGGCAGCTTACTTTTTGGCGTGGGAGTAGGAGGGCAGAGAGACGATGCGCTGCACACAGCTCTGGTTCAACCCAATGTGACCGGTCCACATGAAGATGCCCCCCATGGAGGCGCTCCAGAAGGTCATGCGGATGCGGGGATCCAGCCGAAAGCTGGAATGGGGAAGTTTTTGTACTCGCACTCGCAACTGCATCCGAGAAACTCACTCAAAGTTGAGGCGTCCGCCTTCAGAGGCGTGCTCCACGACGGTGGAGACGCCTCCCGACCGGATGGTGCCCAAAACTCCCACGGCGACCACTGATAGGAGCATGATGCCCCCCTGAACCACGTCGGTCCAGACCACCGCCTTGATCCCGCCCAGCATCGTGTAGAAAATGCAGATGGAGGAGACCATCACGTTGATCAAGTGGATGTTTATGCCGGTGACTGCAGAGATTTCAGTTAAATAGGGGCAAGTCGATGCACTCGTAATGGGAAGCTTACCCTGAGCAAAGGCCAGGGACGGAATAAACATGTAGACGGGCAACATCAAGAACGAGTTCATCACAAAGGTAGCGGTCACCAACTGGCGGGTGCGCTTGTTGAACCTCATCTCCAGGTACTGGCAAACAAATTTAATGACAATTAACAAGGTATTTCCCGATCGGAGGGCTCCACTCACCTCATAGCAATTGGAGACGTTGTTTTCGTAAAAGACAGGCACTATTATGTAGATTAAAATGGGTATGACGACAATCATGGCCAGGACAACGAACATGTAGTTGAATCCGTAGGTATAGCTCTCCGCGGGAATGGACATGATGGCGATGCCAGACAGCTGGCTGAAAACAATCAAATGGGAATCAGTGATTGAGTTTGCTGAGCTGCGAGCTTTTTATGATTGGAGCCAAAAGAGATTCCCCCAGTTCCGTGTTTATGCACAATCGTTATGAGGGGATTTGGCTAATCCCCAGTAGTTCGTGGAACACAGCGCACTCCCAACACTTTCAGCAGTTGACGCAATCCCCGTTTAGGGCAGCCAATAAAGCGAGATAAACTGTGACGGAATCGGGAGGAATCCGGCTGGGACCGCCGGACACCGCCGCGCTCTCACCTGGCCACCAGCGAAATGGCGATGGGCAGGGTCTGCATCCTCTTCCCGCCGCGCAGGTACTCCTCCGTCGTGTTCTTGGACTTGGCGAAGAACCCGAAGTACACCCCGATTCCCGCCGAGGCGCCTAGCATGATCACGAAGACCACGTAGTCCGTGAGCCCGAATCTCAGATCCTGCGCCGCGTCGGAAACGGCGCTCCCCATGGTGGTTGTGGTGGACATGCTGCCTGGAGCCTGGTTTGTCTATGGCCTAGCTGATGCTGGTATGCTCTTAGTAAATGCTGCGTCCGATGGAGTCGGTTCACATTGCACGGATGCTGGAGGCAAACTTGCGGGCCCTGGCCTGGATTGTACTTAAATATAGTGCCCGCCCGGGGCGCCTCCTTATCTGAACTTGGCGTTTCCCCGTAAATCATCCGGGGATTAGCGCGCCACTTATCTGTCCGGCATGCCGTTCCAGCTGGCAGGCGAGGGGCAGCATACGAGTACGAGTGCTAGAGCTTGAGAAGAACTTGGACTGCGGAGTCGGATGGCATCACTCTGCACTGCTTGCGCCCAGTGTTTGCTGAAATAAATCTGGGAAATCACGTCGAAGCAGGCGCTTGGAATACCCTTTGAGAATAGAAGTGTTTTCCAGTCACTCAACAAATACGGGTTGCATGCTACCTTCACTAACTTTGAATCACCACTGTTTTCTCTTTGGTGTTAATCTTTTGCGCAGGCGTGAAAGCCCTTCTTTATAACGGTTAAAAAGTGGATATAAAGTTCCAGTACACTTAGGGGCAACGCCTTAGGATCATCAAATTGATCCGCATATACCAATTATTATTCTCTAGCTGTAATTTAAGTAAAATATATTCCTCCCCATTTCCCAAGCTATTCTGTTGCTGGAAAACCATAAGCCGAATTGGTACATCTATTTTTTTAAAATCAGGGTAGGGAAGTACTCCCTGAGTAATCACTGTAGTATTCACTGAGATGTAATTACAATTATCAACAGTTCGTTATGGTATGGGTTCCCCATTCATGGAATGAGTTTTTACTAAAATTAACATTTTATGAAGCCATTGTGAGGAGTTGGATAACTCCCCACAAATAATCACGGGCTGGATAAAAGGATAGCGTGGCCGCGGTGGACCTTGGACCCGGTCACGCGATCCAGCCAAAGGAGTAACGGCATCGCGGTGGACCTTGGACCCGGTCACGCGATCCAATCAAAGAAGCAACGGGATCGCGGTGGACCTTGGACCCGGTCACGCGATCGAATCGAAGAAGTAACGGGATCGCCGCTGGACCTTGGACCCGGATGAAAAGGAGACGCCGAGAACTAACGGGACCAGGGGGGCCCTATATAAGCGGGGCCCGCAGTTCAGCCGGGATCAGTCAAGGAAAAGCAAACCACGAGTACACACAAACGGCGAGAGTACAATCAAGGATACGAGCAAGGATAAAGCAAGGATACAAGCCAGGATATCAGCAAGGATATCCTCAAGGAGCCAAACAAGGACGAGAAGGACAAGAGGAGAAAGGATCAACGGCGCGGACGAAGGACGCAAGGATCCCAAGCAAGCAGTCTACAGGGAGCAAGATCGCTACGTCGAGACGTTCGGGACTTGAAGTTGCAAGTCTCCGAATTGAGACACAGGTAGCTGAGGTCCTGTGGGCAGCACACGAATCGATCTAGGCGCCTGTGACGACCCCTGGTTAGTGACATTGAGCCTGGCGTATTGCCCGGCGGGTCCTGACCAAGTCTACACATACGAGTCCTTAATCGATTAAACGTGTCCTCGGTGGGGCAGAGTCAAGAACCAGACGCATACTGTAGAGTCTACCAGACCGTGATCCGGCGTACGCTTGGTCCGTCTCGTGGCGAGAGTTGTGTTCTGGTGCGACGAGCCGCGAAGGACGCGCAGTTGAACGGCACGGGTGTTAAAGGCGTGCACGCCGAGAACCCTGCTGTGTCTGCCAGAGTCCTGGAGCAGCGAAACCCCGAGACCCAGGGATTGAACAGCCCCAGCACGGAGTAGTAGGGACTAGGGTGGAGCCCAGATAGTCCGACTCCATTGCGTGAGGTACCCGACATCGACGGCAGCGTTCGAGCGGGAGCACAGGAGAGGGATTCAACCCAGGAGGCGACATCGAGGGAAACGTAACCGAGAGCATCGAGAGCAGCATATCGAGGCGAGCAGCAGAGTATACTAACTTGTCAGTTTTGGGAAGTCAATAAACAAGTTTTAAAGTCGAGAAATCTACATTTGTCTTCTCATTCACGGGTGGGGCAATCACAACAAATAAATTTGGTGGGACGAACAAACAAACAATACTGAGCTAGCCGCACAATTAAGTAGCGAGCACAAAAGTAACAAAAACAGTTCGTTACATCTGGCGCCCAACGTGATTGTCCTATTAAGTGAACAGAAGCAACAGAGATGGGGAAGAGCTGGATATACCTGCTGAAGTCCGAGGATTTCACGAAAGTCGCGGCGAAACTAAACATCCAGCTGGAAGGCAGATCGGAGGACAAACGGAAAACATTAGCCGCATACTACGATGAAACCGAAAACGACCCGGAAATGTCCAAAATATGGTTAAGCCTAGAAGCTACGTATAGCCAGAAACCTGCACCATCTTTCAAGATAACGCACCAGGATCCAGAACAACTAATAGCTAGCCTGGACGTAGATAGCATGAAGGAGTCAGGCAGAAGCAGAAGCAGAAGCACCGGGCGAACAAGAGATGAACAAGGAAACCAAAGGCCAAGCCCGCCAGACTACGCAAAGATCGCGAAACAGGTCAGAGAATGGTCATTCAAGTTCGACGGAACGGAAAAGCCACTAGAATTCCTGGAACAAGTGGAGTGGTCCGCAAACACTTACGGCTTGAATTTGAACATGGTTCCGCGAGCTATGCCGGAGCTCCTACAGGGGAAGGCATTGAAATGGTTTATCTCTAACAACAAACACTGGAAAACATGGAGCGAGTTCAGCGAAAGTTTCCAGACATATTTCCTGCCGAGGGGTTTCTTTACCAAGTTGGCGGACCGAGTGAAGCAGAGAAAACAAGCCTTCGGAGAATCATTTAAAGAATACATGGTCGACATGCAAACTTTGATGAGGCCACTCGGATATTCTACAAAAGAAGCCCTCGAAGTGATAAAAGAAAACTGCACACCAGATCTTAGGATCTCCCTAAGAACGTACAAGATCGACGACCTGGAGACGCTGATGATCCTGGCGGACGAGTACGAGGAACTCGAAAAGGAGCGAGAGGCGTTCGTGCAGGAAAACAAATTCTGCAAAAGCAAAGGACCATCCCAAGCGCCAGTCACCTGCAGAAGGTGTGAGGAAGCGGAGGCTCCGGTGACGTCTACAAGAGGCCAATGGACACCACAGATCGCAAGTCCGCGAACCCAGCCGCCAAACCCGCAGTGGAGACCACCGAACACAAGCCAGAGACCACAGGGACAACGAAACGGCGGAGCCCAATCGATTGTTTCCTACCCACATGAAGCCTGCAGACGGTGTGGCGGACATGGACACTGGGCGCGGGGGTGCCGACAGCAGCGTTTGCTATTCTGCTGGATCTGCGGTAAGGTGGGCGTTAGAAGCATAGAATGCTGTCAGAGCATGGGAAACGGCCAGCGATCCCCGCCGCAGAGAGGCGAGCAGGGGTCGCAGTCCTCCGCCTCTCCAAACTAACTGGCAAACTGATCGAAGAGGAGCAGCAGCTATCAGCATTAGTGGCCATCGGACAGAAAAATTACAAGGCTACTATCGATACAGGAGCCACAGCAAGCTTCATAAGCGAAGCGTTGGCAAGGACACTGGCTGAAGTGGGGAAAATAGAAGACACAAGACGGCAAGTTAGGTTGGCAGACGGAAGATGCAGCGAGATATCATCACAACTCAAGGTCATGGTCAGATTCGGAAACAAAAGACTAGACATGAGCTTGTTGGTACTCCCAGGAGTGGTAGACGCTTTGGTCCTTGGATGGAATTTTATAACTGGCATAGGAGCTGAGGTCAGATGTGCTGGCCATGAACTACGAATTCCGGCGAGAAAACGGCACAACGGGTGGCTTGAAGAAAGATTGTCAGTGGCGGTAGTTACGAGCGAAATCGAGGAGGAGGACGTCGAGAGATTTCTAAAACCAGAGCTGAAAGTTTTTCAAGGAATGTCGGGAACCTCTAACATAGCAGAACACAGTATAACCATGAAGGACGACAAACCAATCAAGCAAAGGTACTACCCAAAGAATCCGAAGATCCAAGGCGAAATAAACGAGAAGGTGGATGAACTGCTAAAAATGGGATGCATAGAACACTCGAGAAGCCCATACAGCTCGCCCATAGTCATGGTCAGGAAGAAGACTGGAAAATGGAGATTATGTGTCGACTTCCGCCAAATAAACGCGAAGTCCATCAAAGACGCATACCCAATGCCGCGCATAAACTACATTTTAGACCAACTCCGGGAGGCCAAGTTCATCAGCAGTCTAGATCTGAAGGACGGCTATTGGCAGATCCCGTTGGAAGAGTCGAGTAGAAAATTCACGGCGTTCACGGTACCCGGCAAAGGACTCTTCCAGTGGAAAGTGATGCCTTTCGGATTACACTCAGCATCGGCAACCTTTCAAAGGGCGTTGGATCAGGTGATCGGGCCAGAAATGTCACCTCACGCATTCGCATACCAGGACGACATCATCGTGATCGGCAGGACGTTGGATGAGCACAAGAAAAATCTACGAGAAGTGTTCAAACGACTGAGGGAAGCAAACCTAAGAATAAATCCGGAGAAATGCCAGTTCTTCAGGCAAGAGTTGCTGTACCTAGGACACCGAGTAACAAGCCAAGGGATAGGGACAGACCCCGAAAAAGTAGCTGCCATAGCCGAGCTAAAACCGCCAGCAACAACCAAAGAATTAAGGCAGTATTTGGGAGTGGCTTCGTGGTACCGTCGATTCGTGCCGGATTTCGCGAGAATAGTGAATCCACTAAACAACCTGCTCCGAAAAGGCACAAAATGGATGTGGACACAGGAACATCAAGAAGCATTCGAAGAAGTAAAGAGGAGATTGGTGGCGGATCCGGTGTTGGCATGCCCAGATTTTGGGAAGCCATTCACTCTACAGACAGACGCGAGTGACTACGGAATAGGGGCGATCCTGACACAAGAGACAGACGACGGCGAGAAGGTTATATCCTATTCAAGCAGAACCCTGAACGGAGCAGAGAAGAACTACTCCACCACGGAAAAGGAGTGTTTAGCCATCGTCTGGGCCATACGAAAGCTGAAGCCATACCTTGAGGGTTACCACTTTAAGGTGGTGACCGATCACATGGCATTGAAGTGGCTAAACAGCATAGAGAGCCCCTCCGGAAGGATAGCAAGGTGGGCCCTAGAATTGCAGCAATACGACTTTGAGGTCAGCTATCGGAAAGGCCAGCTGAACGTGGTAGCCGATGCTCTATCCCGACAACCATTACAAGAAACGGTGAGAATAGCTAAGGCGGGAGCGGCGGACAGTGGAGACTGGACGGAGGACATGCGCAAAAAGCTGAAAACCCATCCACAAAAATTCCCAGACTACGTGGTGGAAGGCGAATCCCTGTACAGACACATACCACATCGAGCTGGCAACGAGGATGTAGTAGCCTGGAAGCTGTGTGTGCCGCTCAACAAACGAGAGTCAGTGCTACGGGAAAACCATGATGCACCAGCAGCCGGACATACGGGCACTCGGAGAACAATAGCACGCCTAGCAGCCCGATACTACTGGCCAGGCATGCATAGAGACGCCAGGAATCACGTGCGAAAATGTGAAACATGCCTAAAATATAAGCCAAATCAACTACAGGCTGCAGGGAAAATGCTAACACAGGTCCCGGAGGAACCTTGGGCTACAGTGTGTGCTGACTTTGTGGGACCGCTACCAAGATCAAAGCACGGAAATCAAATGGTGCTGGTGCTGATCGACAGGTTCTCCAAGTGGACGGAACTCGTACCGCTGCGCAGCGCGACAGCAGATTCGTTAAAAAAGGCATTTAGAGAAAGAATAATAGCCAGGTACGGAGTGCCAAAGGTGCTGATAACGGACAACGGAGTGCAGTTCACAAGTAAGGCTTTCAAAAAGTTCTTAGAAGAAATGGGTGTTAGGCAACAATTCACAGCACCCTATACGCCGCAAGAGAACCCCACAGAACGGGCGAATAGAACGGTGAAAACTATGATAGCACAGTTCACGGGGCAGGACCAAAGATGCTGGGACGAAAAATGGCCGGAAATTATGCTAGCAGTCAACTCGAGCGTGTCAGACTCGACGGGCTACTCCCCAGCATTTCTCACGCAAGGGCGGGAGCCACGTCTACCAGACAGCCTGTACGACAGAGAAACCATAGGGACAGGAAAGGCAGCAGAAACGCCAGAAGAGAATGCAAAGAAGCTGCGGGAGTTGTTCGAAGTCGTGCGGCGGAATTTGGAGAAGGCTGCCCAGGACCAGAGTAGGCACTACAACCTGAGGCGGAGAGAATGGAAGCCCAAGGTGGGAGACATAGTGTGGGCCCGAGAACATCATTTATCTAAGGCTGTCGAAGGCTTCGCTGCAAAGCTGGCACCGAGATACGACGGGCCGTATCAGGTCATGGACTTCACATCGCCAGTGATCTGCAAAATACGCCACCAGAAAACACAAAAGGAGCGAACAATGCACATAAGCGGGCTTAAACAACAACAACAGGAAGAAGACGCCGGACCGGACAAGAAGGCGGCGCGTTCCAGTCAAAACTAAGAAATACAAAAAAAAAAAAAAATACGCAGAAAGGAAGCGGAGTGGGAGGAAGGTAGTCTTAGCGTCGGACGAATGCCAAAGTCAACCGCATACACGGTTTCAGCGTCGGGCATAAGTCAGAGTCTGTAAGGCTACGCCATCAGGATCATCTTAGCGTCGGACGAATGCCAAAGTCAACCGCATACACGGTTTCAGCGTCGGGCATAAGTCAGAGTCTGTAAGGCTACGCCATCAGGATCATCTTAGCGTCGGACAAATGCCAAAGTCAACCGCAAACACGGGTTTAGCGTCGGGCAGATGCCAAAGTCTGTAAGATTCAGCCCAGGCCGATTGGAGATTAAGGATCACATGATACACAGGAGTTATATGCCGACAGAGGAAACACCTAGCCAGGAGCAGCCGACAGACTTATCATCAGGCTAGCGCCGGATTCGGCTGATCGGAAATCCATATTTGTTTTTTCCCGAAGTGAGGGGAGAGACGGTACAGCACAGGAAATAGAGGCTGTACCGTACGAGACAAACGATACAGCCGAGCGCACTGTGAACAAAAAAAAACATAAAAGGAAAGGAACTAATTGGATTTAAGGAAAAAAAAAAGGGCGTATTGGAATTCGAAAAAAAAAGGAAAAGGGAAAATTTTTAAAATTGCCCATGAGTTCAACGATCTGAAATAAAAAAAAGGGAAAATCAGTATGTGAAAGGAAAATGTTGGCCAACTTACGAATAAACAAACCAGCCACCGACCGAATTCCGAAGGAGGGCACCGAAGTCGTCAAGGAGGGCATTGACCCGTGGGCAAGGAGGGCATTGACCCGTTGTCAAGGGCAAGAAAGGGCATGGCTGCGAGCTGGATCCAGAGGAAGTGGAGTCGAAGGAAAATAACGTGAAAAACAACAACTGGCCGAATTTGCATATTCATTGCATATTGGGGATGGGGGCGCCTAGATAAGGCGCGATCGGTTTGCACTAGAAGGGCAATCGATGGGAGCACAATTGGAAATATCGGTATGCGTTGGGCAACACTGCACTAATCCACCCCGATCAGGTGGCAACCCTGCACTTGATTTGTGCAGGTGGAAACAGATCAATCAGCTGACAGTGTGACCAGAGGATAGTCGGGAAGGCGCGAAAATTCAAATCTGCGGAGGATATTCGGGAAGGCGCGAAAATTCGAATCTGCAGAGGATAGTCGGGAAGGCGCGAAAATTCAAATCTGCGGGAGAAACGAAAACGTCTACGAGGGAAACGAAAACGTCTACGAGGGAAACGGAAACGTCTACGAGGGAAACGAAAACGTCTACGTCTACGAGGGAAATGTCTACGAGGGAAACGTCTACGGGGAGAAACGTCTGCGAGGGGAACGTCTACCAGGGGAACGTCTACTAGGGAAACGTCTACGAGGGAAATGTCTACGTCTACGAGGGGAAACGTCTACGAGGGAAACGTTTACGTCTACGAGGGGAACGTCTACGAGGGGAGAGTCTACGAGGAAAACGTCTACGAGGGTAACATCTACGAGGGGAACGTCTATGGGGAAACGTATACGCCGACGAGGGAAGAGTCTGTGGGGAAAACGTCTACGAGGGATGCATCGGCGACGAAGGAGTCAGGAGGAGACAGCCGGAGCGGAGATACGAGCTTCGTTTTCCTTTCCGAAGTAAGGGGGAATGTGAGGAGTTGGATAACTCCCCACAAATAATCACGGGCTGGATAAAAGGATAGCGTGGCCGCGGTGGACCTTGGACCCGGTCACGCGATCCAGCCAAAGGAGTAACGGCATCGCGGTGGACCTTGGACCCGGTCACGCGATCCAATCAAAGAAGCAACGGGATCGCGGTGGACCTTGGACCCGGTCACGCGATCGAATCGAAGAAGTAACGGGATCGCCGCTGGACCTTGGACCCGGATGAAAAGGAGACGCCGAGAACTAACGGGACCAGGGGGGCCCTATATAAGCGGGGCCCGCAGTTCAGCCGGGATCAGTCAAGGAAAAGCAAACCACGAGTACACACAAACGGCGAGAGTACAATCAAGGATACGAGCAAGGATAAAGCAAGGATACAAGCCAGGATATCAGCAAGGATATCCTCAAGGAGCCAAACAAGGACGAGAAGGACAAGAGGAGAAAGGATCAACGGCGCGGACGAAGGACGCAAGGATCCCAAGCAAGCAGTCTACAGGGAGCAAGATCGCTACGTCGAGACGTTCGGGACTTGAAGTTGCAAGTCTCCGAATTGAGACACAGGTAGCTGAGGTCCTGTGGGCAGCACACGAATCGATCTAGGCGCCTGTGACGACCCCTGGTTAGTGACATTGAGCCTGGCGTATTGCCCGGCGGGTCCTGACCAAGTCTACACATACGAGTCCTTAATCGATTAAACGTGTCCTCGGTGGGGCAGAGTCAAGAACCAGACGCATACTGTAGAGTCTACCAGACCGTGATCCGGCGTACGCTTGGTCCGTCTCGTGGCGAGAGTTGTGTTCTGGTGCGACGAGCCGCGAAGGACGCGCAGTTGAACGGCACGGGTGTTAAAGGCGTGCACGCCGAGAACCCTGCTGTGTCTGCCAGAGTCCTGGAGCAGCGAAACCCCGAGACCCAGGGATTGAACAGCCCCAGCACGGAGTAGTAGGGACTAGGGTGGAGCCCAGATAGTCCGACTCCATTGCGTGAGGTACCCGACATCGACGGCAGCGTTCGAGCGGGAGCACAGGAGAGGGATTCAACCCAGGAGGCGACATCGAGGGAAACGTAACCGAGAGCATCGAGAGCAGCATATCGAGGCGAGCAGCAGAGTATACTAACTTGTCAGTTTTGGGAAGTCAATAAACAAGTTTTAAAGTCGAGAAATCTACATTTGTCTTCTCATTCACGGGTGGGGCAATCACAACAAATAAATTTGGTGGGACGAACAAACAAACAATACTGAGCTAGCCGCACAATTAAGTAGCGAGCACAAAAGTAACAAAAACAGTTCGTTACACCATGAACAGAGGATCTCGCTAAGCTAAAGACTTACTCTTTATATCCAAGAGCTGTTTTCGTCTTAAAATAATTTATTTGCGGCAAGTGCCTCAGGTTTCTGTTTCGCTTTGAACTTTTGTTTCTACCGATGAAGGACTTTTGGACAGTTGTGGTAAATTTACCCGAAGAACCAAAAGCATCCATCACATGGTGCTTCATTGGAAGAGGTCTGTTTACTCTTCTCACGTCTGTTGAAACTTTCCATTTTCAGTGTTTGCCCCTGCATAATTTTGTTTTTTGACAAGGGTAAATACTTTTGCCAGGTTGCAGGGGGCGGAGCGGAAGTTATACGACCCTTTGCCGGAGTGTGTAGAGCTTAACACCGTTGGCCCACCGATTACGGTCCAAATATTTGCCAATGCCAGTGATAAGAATTACGATTCTCCCTGAAGCTTTCGCCGGCTGATTAGGCTGGTCCCTCGCATAGGGGTTCCTCGAGACCAAACGTTGGGCTTTTAGTTTACTGGGTGTCCATATGTTTGTATGTACAGGCAAAAAAGGTTGTAGAAAACAGTTTTCATAATGATAAGATCGTTCATTCAGTCAATCTATTTGGAGTTCGCTGGTTAAAACCGCCTATCATTTACAGTGAAGCTTTCGTAGAGCAAACGCTTCCGAATTCAATAGCACTGGGATGATTCTAAAGATTCTTTCTTTTTCAATTTAATTTGAAATAACTAACAAAAATTAAGCTAGCGTTGAGAATATTCAAGATAAGCAGTCAGCCTTTTTGTTCTAACTCGATAAATGTTTCTATAAGTTAGAGAGGTTCGACTGCCACTCGTATCTCCAAATACCTTGATGCTTATGAAGTATATCTAATTGTAGGGTTCACATCCACATCGTCATCAGACCTTTTCGACCTTCTCTAGCTTCAGCTGGTGGGGCTCCTCCATGGGGGTCAGTTTGTAGTCGACGAACGGCTGCACCACCGGAGACAGGAGCTTCGGGTCCAGATTGTAGCCGGCTCTGGGCTTGACGGTACAGCTCACGGAAATACCCACCAGCCAGGTGATGAGGAACCCCGCCACCGTGTACAAGTTGAAGGAGAGATCCAGGATGCTGAATCCCCCGTCTTTCACCGGGGCTTCCGTCGTTGAGCTGAGGAGCAGGGAGGACACTGTGCTGGACTCCGTGGTCGTCCCGTTCAGCGGAGGAGCTGGACAGCCGGCGGTGGTGGTGGGCAGGGGATCGTAGTGGTTGCGTCCCCAGCTCAGAACCACAATGGTCGCCATGCAAGCGATGCTGACGAAGACTCCAGCCAACGCACCCTGTATGGAAAACGGATTTCAAATGGGGAGCCTTTCGAAGTTCAATGGACTTACCCTGCCGTGGGACTTGGGCACCAGCATCCCCAGCAAGAAAACACCACACGTGGACCCATAGCTAACGCCTGTGATCGAGTAAACCACCTGCAGGATCGAGTTGAAGTTCTCCACCAGGATTCCGCCGAAGATGCAGTAGATTCCCGTGAAGAACACAAATAGCTTCATGATCACGTTCGCCCGGTGCTCCGTGTGCCGGATGTGGGGCTTGATGTAGTCGAAGTAGACCACTCCGCCCAGCGAGTTGATGCTGGCGGAGAGTGTGCTGAGGGCGGCGCTGAACACGCAGGAGATGAACACGCCCGGCATGCCCCACAGGTGGCCCACGGTGTCCTGCACGAAGTAGGGAACCATCTTGTCCACCTTGGAGACGTGGCCCGCCTTGATGGGGTCGCAGTCGTGGAACAGGGCGTAGATCACCACGCCCGTGAAGCAGTTGAAGAACATGATCAGGATGAAGCCGAGGCCGAAGAAGACCAGACATCTGCAATGGTACCCAATGGCATAAACAGTGGTTGGACATCGGAGGCACAGTCCTACCTTCTCGCGTGGCCCAGCGAGGGCAGGGGACACGATTCGCTGCACGCAGCTCTGGTTTAGGCCCACGTATCCCGCCCAAATGATCGTCGCCGAGGTGAAGATGTTCCAGATGGTCGACCGAGTGGTCAGGTCGAAGTTGTAGCTGAAATGGCAGTGGAACGGGGTTAGCGTTAGCCTGGCTGCGAGGCCCGCGGAAAAACCCACTTGATGTCCAGGCGACCGCCCTCGCCTGCAATGCGGAACACTTCGGAGAAGCCGCCCACTCGATGGGCGCCCATGGTGCCCACCAGCACCACCGAAACGACCATAATGGCTGCCTGGATAACGTCGGTCCAGACTACAGCCTTGATTCCGCCCTGGAAGGTGCGAAGAAAGGAGGTAGAATATTGACTCACCTCCCCCGAAATGGGTACTACTCACAAACATGGTGTAAAAGATGCAGATGCTGCAGACGACGGTGTTGATGAAGTGCACATTGTATCCGGTCACTGGAAGCGGAAGAAGCTTACTAGCAGGGGAGGAACCACCCAAGACCAACCGGGACACTCACCCTGTGCGAAGGCCAGGGAAGGCAGGAAGATGAAGATGGGCAGCATGAAGAACATCGTCGTGATGAAGATGAAGGTCTGCACCACTCGCACCTCGCGGCAAAAGCGCAGCTCCAGGTACTGCGGATATAGCACATGAAATACAGGGCTCACTAGTCCGGTAATAGTTCACCCACTTCGTAGCAGTTTGTGATGTTGTTGTTGTAGAAGACCGGGATGACCACGTAGTTGAGCAGCGGCACCACCACCACCATGCAGACCACGTTGAAGAACCAGTTCACCCCGTAGGCGTACAGCTCCGCCGGAATGGTCATGATGGAAATGGCCGACAGTTGGCTGGCCACCAGGGAGATGGCTATGGGAATCGTCTTCATCCGCTTGCCGCCCATCAGGTACTCCTCCGTGGTGTCCTCCCCCTTGGCGAAGAACCCGAAGTAAACTCCGATCGAGGCGGAGATGCTCAGCATCAGTGCGAAAACGGCGTAATCCGTGGAGTTGAAGGTGAACTGCGAGTCGGGGGTCGCGTTGGCCGCGGTGGCCGCGGTTGCCAGAACGGAGGCATTCGAAAGGACGTGTTGCGACATGTTGCAAGGATCCGGCCGGGGATCTGCGGCTCACGAGTCACTGAAGCTCTTGTTCTATTCACCTTCCGGCTCCGACGGCGGAGATTCCCGATTAGGCGCATCACGGAGCCCGCCTGCTCCTTATATATGGTTCTTTATCTCCACATTCGCCTGCTCTAAAAATAATCCATCGACGGCGCTCTCGCGTACGGAGCTTATCTAGTGATGCTATCGTCTCCTAGGATCGCAAGTCCCCTTCGCAAACTCCCGTCGCCTTGCTGCAGTGACTGTGGGAGTCCGATAAGAACTCTTACCCAGCGGAGATTATGCCATCTGTGACGGATCCGGCAGCATGTCATTAATTGTTTTTCCAGTCATTAGACTGGCGGGGCATGTACTATGATACCACTATTACAACCCTGCTTAGAACCCGCCAGTCATCCGGGATTCGGCAGTCGTCGGAGGAGCATTTCACGTGAGGTGAACTCTCTCGGAGATCGTGCTCCGGATTCGCTCCTCCGGAAAGATCAAGGCAAGAATTTTATAGGCTTGTAGTGACGTTCCAAAACCAACGGAGATATCTGTAACTGTTTTTCAGAGGCAGGAGATAGTGTTTGATAGATGCTGAATTTGATTCTTATCAAGTGTTTTATTGGGAGCAGTGAGCCCAGCTGTATTCTGGCTGTCTGTGTAAATACTCATATAGATCTGGGGCCATTATGAGACTTGGGTGGGTTTAAATTATCGCAATCTCCCTTCGTATTCTATGTGCATTAGTTTTAAACGGATGATTTATGATAAGTAGAATGAGAAGAGTGAACGGAATTCGGATTTCATCACAGTAAGTAAATTCTAGATATTCGCGATTTGAGTCGAAGCTAACGTTGATCTTTTGGGGGTTCAAACCCCCAAAAAACCAAAAACCCAAAAAAGAACGCAGTCGCCATCAGGTCTGCATTTGCAGAGCGGTAAAATTGAATTGAAACTATTCGTTTATAATTGAATAATTTTACAATAATTATAAATATATATGAACTGATATAAAGTTAATTCCCAAGATGAACATTTAAATTCCACAGACTAGATTTACACTGATAAATTGTTTTCCATCGAAAACCCTCCCAGATTAAAATTCTAAATCCGCCGCTGCATACCTCTAAAAGTTTCTTAGAGAACTCTTGAAGGGACTGCATTTAAAATCCCACTCTGGGATGGTCGATATTTTGACCCCCGTTCATGTCATATTTTTCCAAGTTTTCGATAATGTTCCTTTGGGTGGCCCTCCATAGCACTTCCAGGTCCCATAACTTGGCAAATTAGCATGCGACTCCAAAGTGGCATACCTCTAAATGTTTCTTATAGAATTCTTGAACTGACTGCATTCAGAATTATCCATTCTGAGATGGACGATATTTTGAGCCCTGTTCATGTAAAAAAATCTTAAGTTTTCGATAATATTACTTTGGGTGGCCCTTATAGAAATTTTACCAAAATTAATTGCATTTTTATTTGTAACGCTTTGTGCGTACTTGCACAATAAATTGGTAATAAAACGTGATAAATAGCGTCGTTTAAAGTATTTAAATGGCATAAATAAATGCCAAATAAATAAATAACAAGAAAGGAAGCTAGCCTCGGAAAGCCGAAGCTTTTATTCCCTTGCAGTCATCATAAACGTTTTACTTCACAGTTTCACGTTTATTTTCACCGATGGTTCCTATGGTAACTGTATGATATAGTCGTCTGATTTTCATGAAATTTAATTAAATTGTTTATTAATAAAATCAACGAAAATAATTACTGTCACAGGCATGCCACTTCAAAATCTGATTAAAATTAAAAAAGTGGACTTAAAATCAGTACATTTTGACCAATTTTCAGCAAACCCACGTTTTGAAAATTTGAACAGAGGTTACAACATAAAAATTAAAAAAAATCGGATAAAAAATAAAAAAATTTATTCTACTATTCATGCAGTTGCTTAAAATGTATTTTTATTATAAACTTTTAGAGGTGTGCCGCTTAGAAATCAGTTTGAAAATATAAAAGTAACTGACATTTAGACATGCAAGCTTCTGACTGAAATTATATTCCCTCTGCAAGGATATAAAAAGTGAGCCTCAAAGTAAATTTAGAAATAGATCATTTTGTTAAATTTGGCCTTTTTTTGGAAAACGAGCAGTGAAACAGATTATTTTTAAATAAAAAATAGTAGATTGAAGGGATTGCCAATGTTCAAATAAACTGATAAATGGATTTCAGTATATCTGATTTTTTTTTAGCTTTTTTAATAAATTAACAACATTAAAAATTTGAGTACCAAGCTAAATGCAAAAGGTTAAAAAAATTATTTTAAATGTGAAATGTTAAAAAAATATAATGTTAATATAATGTTAATTTAATGTTAATATAATTTTAATTTTATATAATGTAAATGTAATGTTAACTTAATGTTAATTAAATTAATATGGCCACGTCAGCCACAATGATAGTTAAATTTTTTTTTCCTTTTCTTGCACCTATAATTCCCAAATGGTTCTGGCTGATTCGTAGTGGGATACCCCTTGATTTTGGCCAATTTCTCAAGTTATCCGGGATGACCGGCAGTTTCTCTAAGAAACTCTCTCCGGTCTCTGGAAGTGTGTATGTGCGTGTGTGTTGGTGAAGTGGTTGCAGAGTGGGAGAGAGAGTATCCGGCCGACTCCTCCTACTGGAGTCCACTCCCGGATGCAGTGCATCATGGGTCGGCTCCTCCTACTGGAGTCCACTCCCGGATGCAGTGCATCATGGGTCGGCTCCTCCTACTGGAGTCCACTCCCGGATGCAGTGCATCATGGGTCGACTCCTCCTACTGGAGTCCACTCCCGGATGCAGTGCATCATGACCTGACTTGGTATGAACTTAAAGGTGCCCGATACCTTAATAACTTCCTGCTTGGAATGGACTCCAGGATGCAGTGCATCAAAACCGGAAGAGGTGAGTAGCCGTTTTTTTTTTTAAGTGATGACGTGGACTTTTGTAAATGTAATGCAATTATTTAATTAAATATTTATTTTATTTTATTTCAGGATTTTGGTTGTGTATTTGGCTGGTTGCAGAAAATAATTGGTGACACCATCTTATATGTAACTTGGAGCTGGTCATCAGGATGCAGTGCACCAAGGTTGTTACGGAGTGAGTACATTTTAATTATTTCAAAATGTCAGAAGTATCATGGCAAAGCAATTAAAAGCAACAGATAAAGATCTGAAAGTATTCAAGAACTTGAAATAAATTTAAAAGGTGAATTTTATCAAATATTAAACTAGGAGAACATGAAAGTCAAACACAATTAACAATTTAAAACAAGTAGGGATATATAATTTTAATATATACAGTAAGAATAGTTGTAAGAATGCGGTTACCAGAGACACATAGTATGCTGATACCACCTAAATGGACTGGACATCAGGCTGCGGTATCAAGTATGAACGGCGTTATCTTCTATTGAAATCCACTCCAGGATGCAGTGCATCAACCCACTGGGGTATGTATCTTTTAAACTATTAATTTGTATAAAATAATTAAACTAATATTTTGGAATTTTTCTTTTCGTTACAGGTGATGACTATACCTTTCTACTTGGAGTGGGCTTCAAGATGCATTGAATCAATAACCCAAAGAGGTAAATACCCTTTTACTGACAAATTTATTCTAACTATTGTTATTTGTAACAAATTAATTATTTTTTTTGTTTTTTATTTAATTTCAGGGTAAAGTGTAAATGTTGCGGATAAAGTGGTTGCAGTGATTATCTTATTGAACTCTACTCCAGGATGCAGTGCATCAACCCATTGGGGTATGTATTTTTTAAATTATTCATTTCTATAAAATAATTAAACTAATATTTTGAAATCCTTCTTTTCATTACAGGTGATGACTGTCCCTTTCTACTTGGAGTGAACTTCAAGATGCATTAAATCAATAACCGAAAGAGGTAAATACCTTTTTTACTAACAAACTAATACTTACCATAACTATCTGTAACACATTATTTATTTATTCTTTGTTTCTTATTTAATTTCAGGGTAAAGTGTAAATGTTGCGGATAAAGTGGTTGCAGTGATTATCTTACTTCAAGAAGACGAAAGATTGCGGTACACCAAGATTTTTTCGCAGTGAGTACATGAATCAGACATTAAATAATTAAGTTATTTGTTTTAAGATGAAAAATACGACTTAAGGTAGGCTAGCTTAAAAAAAAAAGGCAGTTTCTTTGCCATACCTCAACATCCCATAACTTGGCCAATTTTAATGCGATTCCAAAAAGAAACAGCTCTAAACGTTTGAAATTGAATTCTTGAGTTAACTGCATAAAAAAAGGCGGGTTCAAACCCCCCCCAAAAAACCGAACCTGACTCGGCCAATTTTACCCATTTGCATTTGCAGAGCGGTAAAATTGAAACTATTCGTTTATAATTTAATAATTTTACAATAATTAGAAATATATATGAACTGATACAAAGTTAATTCCCGAGATTAACATATAAATTTCACAGAATAGATTTACACTGAGCAATTTTGTTCAATCGAAACCCCCTCCCCCAGATTAAAATTCTAAATCCGCCGCTGTTAATACTAATGGTGTGTGATTTTTTGTCTGTTGCCTTAAGCTAACAGAGTTAATCATAATATTCACGTAGCTATTTTCATATGGTGTGCAGATGATTGCTTGTTTTTGCTGATATCAGAAATGTAAAAAAACAGTCAATTGAATTCGCTGAGTCCCATGTATAATTCGAAAGGTAATGGCTTTTGTGGCATCTGCAGTTTTTCTGTTTTGAGTGGCTGCAATGTCGTAACCGACGAAATCCACGGCTTCCACTTCATTTGGTGGCTCTTCTGCCAGTGCATCGTTTTGGGTGCACATCCATATATGAGGACGGCCACCTCGGCACGCATTCAATTGGGCAATCTAATGATGTCGAATGTTGGTTAAGTGGCTGCAGCTTCAGCCTCCACTTCCCCTCCGCAGCTGTGAACCGAAACTCCAACTTCAGTGGAGGTAGTTGTGTCCATCGACTCACCCCCTTTCCTCAGCCCCCTCCTCCTTCGCCATTTGCAGCAGTCTGCCCCAAGCTTCGACTGCATCTGTCGCAATGTTCGCGTAATGAGCGCTCCTCCGGCGCCATCTGCCATCCGAACTCCCATCCCCATCCCCATCTTCCATTTGAGCACTTGCACGACAGCCATCGAAGCTGAGAGTGCTCCAAACACCACACAAACTATTCTGCATTATTCATTGATTTTAATAAAACGTTAATGTATATTTATAATTTTAAACTACTTCCAATAATTTGCAATCTTCGAAGAGCTAATCTGTATTCCTTTTCAATTACAAAAACAGTGAAATGCCATGCCTTCAGTAGGTGCTCCTAAAATGCATTGTTTTATTGGGAAAACACTCCTGGACCGTTTCGCACAGTGTACGTGGGGATGGGGATAGGGCAGGGGTTACGCTCATTGTCGAGCTGAAAAGTGAAAGGATTTCTGAAGATGTTTGGCTTGGTATTTAATAGACTCGCATGAGGCCAGTGACAATTCGGTTTTGGAGAGCTGCGAACTCGTTTAATTGGAATCGGTCTATGTGAATGGACTGTCATTACGAGCACGAGATCTTCGAGTGCCTCGAGGGTGAGCGATTGGAAACGGGGTCAGTTGCTCTTGATGATGTACGCCACGACGTACGATACTTTCGGAGTCCCCCATGGAAATTGAAATGAAAAGCTTGCAGTCGTTTAACGGTGACAAAATTTACTATTTTTTTTATTGTTTTCATATTTTTTTTGTTGTTTCTTTGTTTGTTTCATATAAAATAAAAACACTTACGAGCTAATAATGCGTTATAACACTGTCTGGGGTGTTTTTCCATCTCGGTGTTGTGGGTGTTGGTGTCTTGTGGTCTTCGTTTTAGGGTTTTCTTGTATTCGTGTAGTGTGAGAAAACTATTTACAAGGGTTACAAAAAAGGCCAAAACGAAGCCCCGAATTCGAAATTGAGTTTGGGTTTTCGGGAGAACGTAGAGTCGGAGTGTTTCGGGAAACGAGAGGTACAGTCGCTGAGTTTTGGAAGGGGTCAGGGGGGAACGATCACCAGTTCTCTCGGGATCAGAGCGGATCGGCACTTCCTTTTCTGGGACTCCAGGATGCCCAAACACCAAATTGGCATTGGGACTGGTGTGGGTGTTGGTGTTGGTGTCGTCTGTGTCGGTTACGTGTCCGTCGGTATTCATTTTTGGCAGAGAGAGTGTCGTTCGGAAGTGAGACCTTCGGATATGAGGACCTAGAAGGGCGCTCCGTAGCTGCCGCTGGGCCTCGAGGGGGCTCCGTAGGATCCGGACGGGGCACTGGGGTATCCACCGCCTCCGCCACCGCCGCCCTGCTGGGAGCTCTGCTGGGCGAACTGGGCCACCTGGATGGCCTGGCGCACGCCCTCCAGGTCGATGCCCACCACGCGGCCGCCGCCGCCGCCGCCGATGCCGGGAGCTCCGTAGCTGGAGGACGGAGGGCCGTAGCTGGTGGACGGCCCGCTGGGGTAGCCACCGCCGCCACCACCGCCTCCACCTCCGCCGCCGCCGCCCTGCTTGCTCTCCTCGTTCAGGAGGATCTGGCGCACCTGCTCCAGGAGCTGCGGGTCCACGTTCTGGCCCTCGGAGGTCTGGAAGCCGCCGCTCACAGCCTGGTAGCCGCCTCCGCCACCACCGCCGCCGCCTCCGAGTCCGCCTCCGAAGCCGCCGCCGAAGCCGCCTCCGAATCCGCCGCCACCGCCGCCTCCGCCACGAGGATAGTTATATCCGGATGGAGGCTCCGCCGCAGCCAAGGCGGCCAGGGCGAACACTAAGAACTGCAAAGACAACACGGCTCGTTAATAGGTAGTCCACATTGGCTGTACATCCGAGGCAACCGAAGTCTGGCAAGGCAGTGATTGAGAAGCCTTTTTGAAGAAATTATTTTGAAATCTGTGTCTTCCCATTTGGGGAGATTTCGTGTTTAGTGGAATTTAGTTTGGAAGTTATCTCTGATTTATGGGGATTCCCTTTTATCCGTTTGGGGTCCGCTATCCGTTCGGGTCCAATGGTTGCTGGATGACTGGGGAAGGAGGTCGGAGGTCTCCGGGACAGAAGTTCACTTACCACTGAGAAGGAGTTCATAGCGACGAGTCGGGTGTGTGTGTTTGTTGGGGGAAGAGTTGAGTAGAGTAGAGTGGAGTGAATTTGGTTGCTTCCGAGTGGGGAACCAGCGACTGAATGCATCTCCCTGGCCAGCAGAGCCACTCTTTATACCCGCCGGTCTGCAGCTCTTCGGGCCAACTCGTCCATTCGGCAACGTCATTATCGCCAAACTTCGTCCGCAACTTGTTTTTTCTGCTGCTGTGCGCTTCTCACAATAAAACAAAATTTCCAAATGGAAAACAACGTTAAGGCAGAAAAAAGAAAAGGCCGAAAAAAATAAAATGTCGCTAACGATTTTGGTATTTGAAATTTTCCTTGGCACTTTCCTTCGATGCGCGGCGACCAGGAAATGATTTTTCCCACCATCGCGATCTCGGATCGATACCAAAGGCAAACAACCTTGCCACAGAGATTTTCGGACGGCCCAGGAGGATCGCTCCTCTCGATCCTATAGCTTCCCAGCTCTGCTTTTCGGCCATGAGGGATGGCTCCAATGACGAAACTGCACTCCGCATTTCCCGTTGCCCAACTGCAGTTGCATTTCAATTGTGGGTAAAGTCGCAACATGGGCCCGTCATCCATCAGCATCAGCGTCGCCGGGCACGAACATTACGAAATGGGCTGGGAAATGCGAATCGGTGGAAGTCAGGGGAGGCGGAGGGGGCGGGGACAGAGGCCCGCATAATACGTATGATCGCGATGTGGAGCAGTAGGGCCTCGCACCACGGGGCGTATAATTAACGTTTCCCAAGGAGCCAAATTAAATTTAAATTTGCAGATGAGCGCAACAATCGCAAGAGCCCCAAAAAGCGCCGCTTAACACTTTGGCATACAAAACAACGAGTCGTATGTATTCTCAGGAACTTTGTTCGTTTAAAGTAGATAACTTGGTTCTCTGGATCAGCTCTATCCAATCTGGTAAATGTGCTGCAATAATTGCGGTCTTGGGGGACATGGGTCTTCAGGGATCGGGATGGCTGTCGTAACCAACCGACTGACCTCAAAAGAAGCTCGATTGCCAGATAACTGCGCTAATTCTGGCAGAAGTGAAGGAAGGCTTATTATGTCATGTCAGCGGATGGTGCTATTAAATAAACACAATGAAAGGGAAGGCGACTGAATTCGAGTGGAAATGAAGCTGGCAGTAAATTGGAGTAAATGAGGTTTATTTACATCTCTGCAGATACTTTCGCGAAGACTCAAAACCGGCAATGACTTTGACTTCATGCGGAGAAATCTTTTGAACACGGATGGTAAGCGATTTATCTGAAGAATCAGTATATATATACTAAGAATTTTTTCGTACAAAAAGTATTTTCATATTTGAACACCAGTTAAAACATGATTCGACCACTCTAGTTGGACAGCCCTGCGTATTATGTTTTCGTTGTTCATAGGATTACTACCCACGTACTTCTCTAAGTGTACTCGGGGCGTCTTGGCTCTTCGGAAACCTTCACGCTCCAAAGTGAAGGACTTGCTGCGTTGCGTGTTCCCCTGCGTTGGGGCACGATCTGCAATTGGAGTTTGGGGCTTGGACCGGGGATCGGGTTCGGTTTTGTTTTGGGTTTCGGGGTCTTGGGTTCGGGGGCAACAATGAGATGAAAGTCAACACTTCACACTCGATGGCGGAGGCAGTGGACCCAATGACAGCGCGCTAAATTATTTTCGTGGCTCGGAACTGTTTTGATCAGCTGTGGCTGCCACTGTCGTTAATTCGGTTTATTGTGGTCGAGAGATTCCGGCGAAGGTCTCTCACCCATCGATGGCGTAACTCACTTTTTGTCGGGCTTCACTTTCGGCCGTGTAATTGGAGTAACGGGAAAAGGTCACATGCAGACTGGCTTTGCCTCGAAAAAGTCGTGTATCGACAGCATAACACTTCATGAATCATATTTAAGCACTTAGGAATAGCATTTTCCTAACCCGACTTCATTAACTTTTTACCTTCGTTTACCTACTCGCGGTTCTTGTGGGTGTTCAAAACTGATTCTTTGATTTAGTTGATCGCGGTCTTTGCCGATTTTAATTCGCGTTTTTGCAACCTTAATGAACGCTTAACCATACATCGTGGCCTATCTGTACATATCCATCATTAACACGTCTTCCACTAGGTCAACGTTGGACAGTGATGGCGATGGCTTTGGCTCTTGGTTTTGGCAGTTCGCTCTCTTCCAGTCTTTTCTGTTCGAGTTCGGCTCGAACAGAAACTCATTATGCCTCTGTGTGTGCGTGCGTAATTGTTATGACACTATAATTGGGCCAGCAATAGCAAAACAAAGCGGGCCGAAACAAAAATAAAATCCCCCCAGACGAACAGCTGCCAACTGACAGACGCGCGTAAATTTTCAAATCGAATTCGCAAAGCCTCGTCTGCCATCGAGATTTCTTTTGCAATTCGTCTTTTGAAGAGAGGACAACGCCCCCGCCCAAAAAATAATAAAACAAAATCACAGGCTGCTGCGCATTTTAAGTGGGTTCAAATTTGTTTTTTGGCTTTGCTTTAAGCAACAGAACATTATGCGTTTAATCAGAAGGCAGGGCGAGGGTCTCCACGCATTATACCATTTGATACACGGAACATGATTTCCCTTTCGTAGCCAGGATTTTGTCTGGTTGGAGAGCCAACACGGCGTATGCGCAACATACATACGAGTACTTAGCAGCGTTCTTCTCAACCTGATGATCTCTACAGGTGCATCATTTCGCCTTCGGACAAGCTAATCGACCCAGGCACAAAAACCACCAACATGATTGATGAAAAAGAGGGGTCATTTTTCACAGACGCAGATGAGGCTGGTGGCGAGACCAAAGACCAAAAACCGATTACTTCGGCCTATTGATGACAGCGGGAGAATGCCCAGTACGACAAAGCTGTAATTGCGGAGCTGATGAAGATGAGTCCGCGAAACGTTTGCTCGCCCGCTGGTGCTCCGCGGCTCATTCTCTCCAGGTCCCTCAAAGCCAACGACTGGACAGGCTGAGCAGGTTACATAAGCCAGCGAGCCCCCAGCAGCGGTAGCCAAACATACACGGGAAAATATTTGCTTTTCTACTCAAATATATGTATAACCATCTTTACAGTATCCACGACTGCAGCTCTAAGAAAGTAACAGATCCAACTGATTTGGTTGCACTTTAAATAATTCATTCGGACACGATTGCTGCTGTGGTACAGTTTAAAAAACGAAGCGTGTTCTTGTTTAAAATATAAGTTCATTATACTCTGTGTGACAGCTGATTCATTTGCGACTGCACCTTTTGATGCTTAATTGGTGTTTTAACTGAAGCATGACCTAGTGGTATCAATGTTGACTACGGTTTTAACGTGTAGCCATGGTACGCATACCATCCACTCCGCTCCTCCTCGATCCCATCTCCTCTTCCCCCGGGCCAAGTCTCGTTTCCTCGTCGCGGCCAGAAACAGGTTTTCTTTTGGCGTGTGAGGTGCTCCTCGCTTTATGTAAGTCAAGCGCGGAGACCGAGACATGGAGCCCAACGACGCAGTCACGGAGATGGAGCATGCAGCGTGGAGCAGGGAACCTGGCACTTGGAGCCGGCTGGCGGGCAGATGAGCAGACCCGTCGTCATCGGGGGGTGGAGCCGCGGCAGTGTATATGCCGACAAAACGGGTGGCAGCGTGGCAGAGTGGCAGAGACACTCTAGAAAAGCACTCGATTTCATTTGAAAAAATTTCTAAAAACTGAAATCTTTCACTAAGTTTATTGCATTACTTTCATTTTCAATTTTGGTTAAGAGAATTAAAATGTAATTATTACTTTTTTAAGCTAAGACCTAACTTGTATCACAGCCTACAACTCTTTCCTTTCGATCCTTAATTATTTATTTTTGATGATAAGAAAATGCAGTGATTTATGTTGATATCTTCCACGATGGTTTTATTATTTTTTTAAGTGCCGACAAAGATGCCACGGAGTGCATATACAAGCTGCCATTGCATGGAAAATTGCTGCGACACGTTTTCGCCCGAGTCCACTGGGATCTGTGACCGGTCTGTGGCGGTGGCGGTGGCTGTGGCTTGGTGTCGATGACTGTGTCCATGTCTGGGCCCACGTTTGATTTGTTTTCCGCAAAAAAAGACACATCCACGCTGGCCATTCTGCGGCCAACTTTAGCCTTTGGGTGCTAACCACACAGCTTATGCAAAAAAGCCACATCCTCGGCTGTTTCGTGATGAGATGACTTGTGCAACAGCCAGACAGTCCGACCAGTGGATCCACTCGCCATGTGGTCATCTCGGCGCATGGTGGCTCCGTTCTCGACCCAGGCGAAAAGTAAAAGTTCAAAAGTGCGGCCAGCGGGAGAGGAACAATCTCAGATCGATGATCGCAATGGAGCAGCTGGCTCATTTGGCCACCTTAATTGAGCCACGATCTCGCTCGGCCAACTCATCTGCTTTCTGGCCATGGAGATGCCCCACTGTGCGCCTCATTTCGCTGTTTTGTTTTCATTTTGCCAAAACTCGTAAAGTGGCAAAGCGTAAAATATAAATGGTTTTATGAGAGGGTCTAAATGAGTTAATTAGGTTTGCTGCCGAGAGGTCTTAACCAACACGAGTTGACCGTGGCAAAGCAAAGCCAATGAAGACATCAGGGAAGGGGTATGACGTGGGTGTACCCATCACTTTAGTACTACACGGACCTTGCGTACTTACACATAAGGCTAATGATTTCAACCTTACTTGTTTTATATTAAATATATAGACATATCACTAGTTATTTCACTAAGGATACTGAACCTTTTGGCCTCCACAAAATGCAATATGGACAATTAAGGCTTATAATGTGCGCATTTGTGTAATCCAGTGGTCTAAAGCTCGTTATGGACATTCTTGGAAACGTACACCGCAAGGTCCTTTGGAACGCTGCACTGGTCCAGTTCCCGGGCTATTGCAAAGTACCGCCACCTCAGGATGTGGGCCACTTGCTTGGGCTGCCGGTTCCTGGTGAAGACGCCTTTCTTGTTGCCGCCCACGCGAGTAATGGCTGAAATGTATTTATTTCAACATTTAGTTGAATACTTCTTAACTATAAATACATAGAGCTAGGAAACCCACTCTGCGCTGTCCGGAAATCGGCAAAGTTCCACACGAATTCTCCAATGAACCACTTCCTCGCACGAAGCTCGTCAAAGGCTTTAAAGTGCTGTGAAAAAAGTTCTACCTGGTATTCTTCGGACCAAATAAAGGCGGGAAGCTTTAAAGAGACGGAAACATAAGACGCAGTACAAAATACCTGGTCCGAGTGTCTCACCGAATGCATGCCCTCCATGGTATCACCTCCGTACTCGAACTGGATGACTGGCTTTCCGAACGCATCCCGCCAACTCTGGGCCTCGTTCGTCAGCAGATTTACTATCATGTCAGTGCGCCCCGAGTTTTGATACCAGGAGTTGTAGCGATTAAAGCCGACGATGTCCAGAAACTGCGCCAAGTGGCAGGTAGAGGGGCTTTGATTGATCGCAGCTGTGAGAGGGCGGCCGTGGGCAATGCCCCTTGTGTAGTTCACCAAGGATCTGTGCGCAGAAGTTAGTACTCCCAATAGTTACGGGTCTAACATCCTACCTACTCAAAGTACTTGAGGGCTCCCTGCTTGTTGGATCTCGGCTCATTAGCCACCGACCAGGCGATGACACTTGGGTGGTTCCTATCCCTGTGGACCAGCTGCTCCAGCGAGGACATGTGATGCTCGAGCAGCTGCGGCTCGAAAATGTCAATGTTGACAGCAGGACACTCGTCGATGATCATAATCCCATGCTGATCGGCGAACTGCATTGACTCTTCGGAGTATGGATAGTGCGAGGTGCGGTAGGCATTGGCGCCGATCCACTTGAGCAGGTTGAAGTCGCGCGCCAGTAGAGCGTTGTCCAGTCCCTTGCCGCGGATCTAAAACGAGAGTGCTATGGAGTACAGGTATAGGTTTGCTCGCAACCGAAACCCACATCTGAGTCCTCGTGGCGTCCAAATCCTCGCAGATAAAGCGGTTTTCCATTGAGCTGCAAGCTGTCGTTGTTCCAACTCAGACTTCGAATACCCACTGGCAGTCGATAGGCATCCTGTAGAGCATCAGTCACTGTATCCTCGTTGCTTGCCACGAAGAGCTCGAACTGGAGGTCGTACAGATAGCCGGGGTCTGGGTGCATCAAGTAGGGCCACCAAGGTTTGGCTTGGGGCACCAGCAGAGTTCCATGGTAGACCGCTTTGTTGACCTGCTGGGCGGCCACTTCCCCGTCCCTGTCCCTTAGCTGTACTAGAATTTGGGTGGGCTGGACCTCCTGGCTGCCATCCACCCACAAGCGGTAGTCTATGCGACCCAATCCCTCGTCGGTAAGTTGAGTGGTGACCCTTACATCGCTAATATAGAGCAGTGGTGTCGTGAACAGGTGGACGCTTCTGTGAATCCCGGCGTAGTTAAAAAAATCGAAAGTGTAGCTCTGAATAGGTACAGGCCCTCGATCCGTGGCTGCCTCATATACGGAACCCTGGGGGACGGTCCGGTTGCCCAGGCGGTTGTCACACATCACAGTTACCCTGTTTTCCTCGCCAAAGCTAACCAGTTTCGAGATCTCCGTCTCAAAGGGCAGATGGCCAATAGAATGACTGGTGGCGTTCCTTCCATTGATCCACACAACGGCCGAGTAGTGGACACTGCCAAAGCGCAGCCAGGTTCTTTGGTTCCCCTCCCAAGAGCGGGGCACAAAGAAAGTTTGTTCGTACCACACCGTTCCCACGTGATCTCGCAGGTTATCCGTGGTTACGTCGTTGAAGGAGGCAGGAACTGGCATGAAAATGATCTCCCTTCCGGTTTTCCTCAAGGGGTTTGCGTACCATTTTTCCCGGATCCCCAGGAAGGGATCTGCAGGGTCGCTTTGCACCAAGTGCCACATGCCGTCTAGGCTTCGCACTTCGCGTGTCTCTGAGTCCCTGGGGTACAGCAGTCCCTTAGTGGGAGTGGGTCTTTTAACCGCTCCATACTCAAACAAGGGTTCTTCCCCGTATTCTCTGGGTTCGCCAAAAAATTCATCTTGGGTGGCGGATACCCGGAACTGGAGGATGTTGAACACTAAATAGGCAACAATTATCCAAGAACACTGCATAGCTGGTCGGAATACGGCTCCCTAGACGTGTTTCCACTTAATGACTAATTGCAATTTAACGACTATTATTCTCGCTATTGGACTCGATCTTCTTCTTCGCCCGGCTTTTGATAAGAACTATGCCAGTGTGACCATCACATTTTTTGCAAAAGGATTTTATAGTTCACCTATTAGACCTATTATAGCAAACAAAAGTGTCAAAAGAAAATTTTATTTAGATTATATATTTAAGCTATTTTACCGCACGCTGCCCACTGGTTTTTTATTTTTTGCACCTGCCGTCCAGAAAGTCCTATCGATAATAAAAAACGAAACACCGATAGTTGCCAGTTAAACTACATCGATTCTACCGAATAAACATCGATTTTTGCTCCAGCTCTAGTACGTACTACGTGTAATTATCGGTTCGTAAAAATAAAAATATTAATACGCCCTAATAAAGCCACCACTCCCAATTCCAGAATAGCCAATCTCGATGGCAAGGCAAACAACTTCGTTCGGCTAAAATAACTCGGCTAAATTTCAGCGTCGACGAAAGCAAGTCAATATTTTCGGAAAGCGAAGCAGAGCTCCACCGATACCAAGTGATACCTTTTCCGAGAGCTACGGCATTTTATGTTAAGTTGAGGGGCAAGCAGAGATCTCGACCAAAATTAACATATTCTTGGAATCCATCAGCCAGCTGGCGGCCCTGGCGACCTCAAGCGGCATCATGCAGCTTCTCTTGTCCTCCGTTTGCATGGCGCTGACCAGCGCGGTGATCGGGAACGCTTATTACCAGAAGCAGCAGTTCTATCCGGCGGTGGTCTACATAACGAAGTCGAACTCCTCCATGGCGGTGCGTATTCTGCCTGGCAAACCCGTTTAATCCCAGTCTGATTTCCTCCTTTACTTCCAGGTCATCTACATACAGTTTTTAGTGATTGTATTAATGTTTGGCAAGCTGCTGCGCAAGGTAAGTCGTATCAGAAAACCCTTTGTAACTCCCGTAACTTGGATTGTCCCTTAGATCTTCCTGGGCACGCTTCGCGCCGCCGAATTCGAGCATCTGTTGGAGCGCTTTTGGTACGCGCTCACGGAAACCTGCTTGGCGTTCACTGTGTTCCGAGATGACTTTAATCCGCGCTTTGTGGCCCTGTTCACAGTTTTGCTATTTCTTAAATCATTCCACTGGCTGGCCGAGGAGCGGGTAGACTTTGTAAGGACTTTCCCTCGTATACACTTCGATCTCGACTTTAATATATTTACCACCAGATGGAGCGCTCGCCCGTACTCGGCTGGCTTTTCCACATTCGTGTGGGCAGCCTGCTCACAATGCTGGGCATCTTGGACTACGTTTTGTTGATCCACGCCTACAACTCGACTTTGGTGCGCGGGCCCACCGTGCAACTGGTCTTTGGGTTCGAATACGCCATTCTTTTAACCGTAATAGCCAGCACGGCCATCAAGTACGTGTTGCACGCCGCCGAAATGCGCACGGACACGCCCTGGGAAAACAAGGCGGTGTTCTTACTATACACGGAACTGGTCATCGGGCTTATTAAGGTAGTGCTCTACATACTGTTCGTGGTGATTATGGCCAAGATTTACGCGCTGCCTATGTTCGTGTTCCGGCCTATGTTCTTCACCATACGAAACTTCCGCAAAGCGCTGAACGATGTGATCATGTCGCGGCGTGCGATTCGAAACATGAACACCCTCTATCCGGACGCCACGCCCGAGGAGCTGCGCCAGTCTGACAATATCTGCATCATCTGCCGCGAGGACATGGTCAACCATTCGAAAAAGCTGCCCTGCGGTCACATCTTTCACACAACGTGCCTACGCTCGTGGTTCCAGCGCCAGCAGACCTGCCCCACCTGCCGCCTGAACATTCTGCGCACGCCGGCAGTAAACTCCACGGCAATGCCGCGCGCAGGAGATGAAGCTGCTGCCGGGAACGCCGCTCCCGCTGCAGCAGGAGCCCAGCCGACTGGTGGAGTGCCTGCTCCAGCTCCCGGTGCTGGAGTGGATGGAAACCCGGCACGCGCCAACGGTCCGATGGCCGGAAGTCCAGCACTGCCGCCCAGCATTGCAGATCTTATTGGTGATGCCAGTAAGTTTCAACTAAAATACAGAAACTCAGAATCGAAAACTGATTCCGATTCTTTTCAGCCGGCTTGCCCAACGGATTGCCCAATCTGGCTGGTCTCTCGGTACCTCCGCCCCCAGTTATGCCCCTGCTGTCGCCTTTCATGATGCCGCCACAATTTGGCCTCTTCTCACCCCTTCCGCCGCCGCCAATCCCACTAGACCTGACCAAATTCACCGACGAAGAGCTGCGTGCCATGGAGGGTCACCAACGAGAGCAGATCGAGCAACGCCTGAAAGTACGTTTTTGGTTGAAGTATATGGCATTTTTTTTCAATAATAACGAACATGATTTACCCCCTCAGTTGCTGCAGAACATAAACCTTATGCTGGATTCGGCGGCGATAATGATGTCCCAGTACCAGAGTTTGGCATCGCGATTGCAGTTGACTTCAGTGCCGCCAGTTCCCTCGGCAGCTGGATCTGCCACAGCTCCACCGAACGTGCACGGAGCTTCAGGATCTAGCGTGTATGACAAGCCCAGTACATCGGCCAAGGCGATGGCCCAGCTGGAGGCTCATCAGCTACACCCCGCGGGAGCAGATGCACTGCCCGTGGAGAAGGTAACCATTGAGGATCTTGGCGCTGACGCAGACGAGGACGACGTGCCATCGACTGCCACGGAGGCGGTCAGCCTGCCCAGCTCCGATGCTGACTTCGAGGAAAACTCATCTGAGTTGGGCGAGTTGAGAAAGCGCCGCTTGAAGTTCCTGGAGGAACGCAACAAGTCGGCAAGCGGCAACGAACGCACGACAGTGGACTAGGCGCTTCCAATATGGCAGACTTAACTCCAAGTGACGACAGCGAAATCCCTCATCACACAGAAAACAAACGAAACGTGCTTGCGTTAATCACAATTTTCTATTCTTTTGGCTGGTATTGATTGTTCAAAATCCGCGTCTCATCCGCTTCACCCTGTCACTGACTTTTATTCTTTTCTACGGCTTGCGATATGGAAATAATACGACGATGGCGACAAAGACGACTATGATGCCCCAAACTCACACACTGAAGCGCTGCCGCCCAGTAAAGCGGCGTGTGGAACGAAGGATCTGAACGTGAGATTTGTGGCATCGAAATTCAATATGTAGTAATACGTATTGTGTAAAAACTATTTTAGAGATGGGAAACTGATGATTTGTATTTAATATTACTATATGTGTATAATTAATGTGAAATATAATTAAAACGAAAAGAACGGTGAAATTAATTACGGGTGCATAATACGCCAAGTACACTAAAGAAACTGTTTCGATTCTCACACTTCCAGAATTATCATTTTTCGAAATTGCCTAAGGAAATATAAAAAAATCGAAACAAGTTGAATACAAGCTACAAATTATAGGTAAATAAATAAGGCGACGCGCACTACACATAGATAACAACAGTAGACCGTCGGGTTCCACGGGTGTGGAAAATTTGCATTTGGACGTCGCCGCATCAAATTCTCGACTCCAGTTCCCGGAACTCTCCTGGGTCCGTAAATCTAACGGTCAGGATGTAAAAAAGCGTGGGAAACGGCACCAAGCACATAAATGCATAATGGTAATTGAGGGAGGTGATTCCATACGCCAACAGCATCCAGTGGACAGCTTTAAAAACAAAATTGGTTGACGCAATGATTGCCATAATTAAAGACCAGAAATACTTACCTATTATAATCACATTTTTTAATTCCCACAACGAAGAGTGAACCAGAGCCTTCAGGGTTTGGTCCAGCTTGAGGGAATAGTGGATTGCATTGGCCACCATTGAGATTGCCACACTCAAGTACGGAAAGGAGTAATCTGAGAAGAAAGCCGAAAATTGAATCCTCCGGGGTTAGTTCACATATAGGGATTTTAAAACTCACAGATTAGACCACATCCTAGAGCATGGACAAAAGTAAGCAGGGGCAGAAAGTAGAGTGCGGAGTATATGGGGGCCCTGCTCCTGCCGCCCACATCCATCAATTTACTGACCAGCGGGCGAATGAGAAACATGTTAACCAGACACAAAAAGTAGAACACCAAAACAATGGTTTGCCTGCAGAATCAACATTTCGGTAACTATAATCGAGATTCTGGAGTGAGTGAGAAGTGCCTCACAGTGGATATACCGCCTCCTGAGTGCAATAGACCCGTGCCTCATAGTTGGGACTGGGATTGTAGAACAAGGTATACCAGTCGGTGAGCTTCCGAACGTCACATGCGTACAGGCGCAGCTCCCACATGGGCTCCATAAATAAGGTGGCCAAGACGGCAGATAGTGCTACCTCAACGAAGGCGCTAGCCGTCAGGATCAGCTGCTTGCGGGAAAATCTACAAACACATGTAGAATCTCATTGTTCTTACACAATACTAAAAATTGTTTTCGCTTACTTGCGATCCTTGGCGTCCATGTCGATGAAGAAGCAGTGCATCATAAGTGGAAGCATGGTCATAAACCCAAGATAAAGCCAGGAGTATGTGGTCAATTCGTCGCGGCAAGGAGAGCAGGCATAGCTCTGGTTCACCTGTGGGCAGATGCTGTTGAAGTCTGGTATGTCATATGCCGGGCAGGACACTCACCCGGGATCCTCGGGGACAGACCCCGCAGCTACTCCAAGTGTCATTTCCGAGCGGGGACCGTCCACAATATGCTCCTGGGCAACGTTCCAACGCGTCGTACATTTTCATACGAAAACCGAGGCCAGTGTTGCCAGATGGTGAAACGGTCTTCCGCCCAAGTCCATGGACAAAATATCTTAATACTTAATATAATTTTTCTTCACAAATAAAAATAAAAATAATAGAAAAAACTATATATATTCAGTAGAAAAACGATTTTAAAAATATATAACATCTAACGGTTTTCCAACATAGAGATTTAAATAAGAAACTCAATTTCATTCGACCCCTCCAGTTAAGGGAGGGTAAGATTTTAAAGGCAAAAAACGGCTATAGTTGTGTTTTTTTTATTAGCAACAAGAGTAATATAATTTTATTAAGTTTTTTCTATTTTTCCCAGCACTTGGAAGTGAAAACCGCGATTTTAGCTCAAAAATTAACGGTTAATTAATTATTTAAAAATAGAAAAAAATCCTTTTGATTACCTTTGATTTTTGTGAAGAAGTTATGTTTAAATTTTCATAGGGAGTAGATTTTGAGTTCTAATGTTCACGAACTTCAAAAATATATCTTCAAAAGTATCGGGCAAATCGATTTAAAGTTTTTCATCCTTCAAAATCGTCAAATTCGATTGTTTAAAAATATCTAATTTCGTAAGTTTGACTCTGATTGACTCAAAACTTTTACACAATATTATTGTCATATTGGTCTTTTAACAAACCAAAAAGATTTTTTTAAACCTATCCCCTTCTTAAAAATAGTTCCAGGGCCAGTTCAAGAGACAAAATCTTTGCCAGCCTGGCAACTCTACCTAAAAGCACCAGATGAACCCCGCGAACTGGCTCAGTTCAAAACTAGTTCGTCCGAACTGCACAACCCTAGCAAAAGAAATAACTAAATATAATTAATTTATCGCGAATTGCGAAGCGAGCGGTTAAGAAGCACGTCGTGCCAGTAGCACCACATCTCCCCGCAGGACTCGCAACACTTTTCCGTAGGCTAGGCAGGTAAAAATCCAGTAGGAATCGTCCCAGAACAACAGCAAAGGCAGACGCCATTTTGTCTATTGGCCGGCTGATTTGTAAGCTCAATATTCGCGAAATAGTTACCGCGACAAGTTTAGAGGAAGCAGTAAATTTACGGCTCCCAATCCGCAAAAGGAATAGTTAATAAAAAGCATTAAACTTCTTGGGGCTGCTTATCAAAGTGTGAAATTGTCAGCTCGTTCGATTCGATTTGCAAAAACTACACGTACGTGCGTGTGAGCAAGTGTGCGTGCGTGTGTGTAAGTGGCTAGTGAAAAACTGAAAATAATAAAAAGCCGCACTGGCTGCCGTCCTTGAGTGACTTCCGTTACTCTCCCGCAACTCCAAAAAAATTAAAAGAAAGTGGGGAAATTCCCACCCTCCCGACACCCCCTTTAAGTGGCTAATTTTTGCATCGTTTTCGGGGCTGCAACTTAAAGTCTTTATGCGTAGTTATTTTCACCACCCTGCGCCCATTTCCGCCTACCACCCACTTGCTCCACCCACCGACCGACATTCCGCTTAAGGATGTTGCCGGGTGGAGAGAAAGAGAGAGAGCAAGTGGAAAATCCGTAAACGTGATGTAATTTTCAGCAGAAAAAATGTTCTTTGTTTGCCCAAAAAATAACAATAAATAAATAAGAATAAAGAGCGCAGCGTAAAACAAAAACAACATTAAATTAAATTCACACGCACACAAAGGCTGAAAGAGAATGTGGGTGAGCGGGTGTGTGTGCGTGTGAGAGAGCGTAATTTGTGTGCTTTTGGAGCATTATTAGGCGCTTGGCTGCCCTGTCTATTAAATAATATTGATTTTTCATATTCCAACCCAGAGCTCTCTTACATACACGCAGGCCCACTCACACAGTCACACTCTGCGGTGCATGAGTGTGTTTTTTCGGTCTCTCTTTTAGCGCCTGTATTTATCCGCCTCTCCTTGCCTCTTTCTCTTCGTTGCAGTTTATAGATTTTTGCAAACTTGTGCCGCTGACCAGGAATATGTAAACGCAACGCACGGCGCCAGTTCTTATTGGGAAAAGGACAATAAGAGAGAGCCCAAACACGAGGAGTCGCCGACCAACAGTGCCTCAAGAAACACCAAGGAAGCGGGGTAGCTCTCAAACTGGACAAGGAGTGCTCCGGATACCTCACAACTGCCATAAGCCAACAGCCAAAAGCACCACCCGTGCAGACTGCAGTAGGACTAGCCATTAGCCACACACCTAGACAACTTGAGCTCCTGCCCCTTTAACTGCTTCCGGTGCTCCACAGGACGACTTGGCTGGAGAGGATCCGCCCGGTGAACAGCACCACCATGACGTTCGACACACGCAGGCACACCACCGCACAGTCTGGTACGGGCACTACAGCCACAAGCAGCAGCACCACCACCACAGCAACCACCACAACGAGTCCGGCGCAGAGTGCGGGAACGGGATTAGGGTTGGGATCGGGACCTAGCTCAGGATCACTTACGGGAACTATCACCACTTCTACCTTGCCAGGTGGAGGAGGAGGAGGAGGAGCGGGTGGCCTGGACAGCAGTCAGGAGCAACAGACGGCGGACAGCAGCCAGAGTTCCGATGATGTAGCCGCCTCTTCTTCGGCGGGAAGCGTGGACAGCACCGTCACATTAGTGTAAGTGGGCGTGGCGCGCGGACTCGCATGACTCCGCCCAATTAACCGGGTTTAGTGCGTTGTTTATTGCACTTAATTAGCTGGAGCAACTGTTTTCGGGGTGTGTGTAGCACCAGTAGCACCACCCTCCATGAACTCCAACCTAGGGCCTTCATGTGTTTACTTTTCCGCAGTTTTCTCCTTCTGCATTCTTTGTTTGCTTAAGGTGGGCCTGCACAACACTCGCAATAGATTCATTAAAATATGCTCCAGCTGATTTTGGCCAGGCTATTTCAAGTGGTGTCGTCACCAGTGCTCCACAGAACCAACAATTCCGCAGATCTATTGCAAGCGGACAACAAATATCCGAGTTAAAGTGTGTGTAGAAAAGTGATAGAACCAACAATGAGTCAATAAATGTTTTCCTCCCCTTGATAGGTACCTTTCAAGTTGCCCTATTGAATCTACCACATTTGTATTAATGTATTTACGTTACGCGTCTATTATTGTCTCATTTGGAATACCCATGCAGGTTTTATCTTATCGCCTGGTCAACATGATTAGCTGACAGAAAGTACCCCCAAATTTGAATCTATTCATTCCGGTTTGAAATTCATTTTAAATAGACTTCTCCGAACGATTTTTTTTTTTTTAATTGAAAAGACTTTACCTGACCTTTAAAATTATAACCATAAGCTAAAGTATAATTTATTATCTTTAATTAGGCCTCCAGAAAAGCTTATTTCTTCGTTTCCCACTACGAAGCTGAGATCGCTGACCCAGAAGATATCCAATCCCCGGTGGGTAGTGCCCGTTCTGCCTGAACAGGAGTTGGAGGTACTTCTGAACGCTGCCATTGAGCTAACCCAAGCTGGTAAGCTTGTACAAATATCAAAAAAAAAAAAAAAAACGGAATCCCATTCCTCTAATCCACTTTTAGGTGTCGATCACGACTGCGAGCCATGTGTGGAGTTCTACCGCAACGGCTTGAGCACTTCGTTTGCCAAGATCCTAACCGACGAGGCCGTAAACTCGTGGAAATACAACATCCACCACTGCATACTCGTGTCTTGTGGCAAGCTGCTGCACTTGATTGCCATCCACATGCAACGCGACAATCCTTACCTGCTTGACTTGCTGGCCATCGTTTTCGATCCGGAAAATAAGTTTAACACGTTCAATGCAGCCCGTCAGCCGGAGTGCTTCGCCTCACCGGACTGCATTTGGGGTCAGTTGGACAGCAACAAGATGTACGCCCGGCCGCCGGCTGAGCCAAAGAATGCTCGCGGCTGGCTGGTGGATCTCATAAACCGCTTTGGCCAGCTGGGAGGCTTTGACAATCTGTTGGAGCGGTTTAACAGCGGACTGGAGTTACTGAAGCGCAACCAAAACAAGGCCACCGGCAAGGGAGTGAGTGGCGAGGGCAGTGGGGAAGGAAGCTGTCAAGATAACCGTCTTACATTGGCGCTGATCCACAATCTCCTGCGACCATTTGGTCAATGCTACGAGCTGTTGACGCCGGCTACCATCGCAAAGTACTTTATGCCCACCTGGAACGTGGTGTTGGACCTTTTGGACAGCTTCTCAGACGAAGAGCTAAAGCGCGAGGTTAAACCCGAGGGTCGGAATGACTACATTAACGGGATCGTAAAGTCGGCCCGCTTCCTGGCCAGTAGATTGACGGGTCAGGAGGAGCTGATCCGCGATTTGGAGATGTTCCGACTTAAGATGATCCTCCGCCTTCTGCAGGTGTCCAGCTTCAATGGCAAGATGAACGCCCTTAATGAGATCAACAAAGTGCTCTCCTCGGTGGCATATTACTCGCATCGATCCCAACCCTTGCCCCACTGTATGCCCGAAGACGAGATGGAGTGGCTGACGGCGGAGCGCATGGCACAGTGGATCAAGTCGTCGGACGTCCTGGGCATCGTACTAAAGGACTCGCTGCACCAGCCCCAATATGTAGAGAAACTGGAAAAGATTATCCGATTTCTAATTAAGGAGCAGGCACTGACGCTCGACGACTTGGATGCTGTTTGGAGAGCTCAGGCCGGCAAGCACGAGGCGATCGTGAAAAATGTGCACGATCTTTTGGCAAAACTGGCTTGGGATTTTACCCCGAACAACTTGACCATCTCTTTGAGGCTTTTCAAGTGAGTTTTCATTATTTTAATCAAAGCCTCTTTTATTAATTTTGGTAATCCTTCATATTTTTTTCGATACTAATTAAATTTCGATCAATTCTTGTTTTTGTCCCGATTCTTATCCATCGACTTGCTTATTATAGGCCAGCATGACCACGGCCAACAAAAGGCAGCGAGAGAGGCTTCTAGAACTGATTCGTCGGCTGGCTGAGGACGACAAGAACGGAGTAATGGCTCAAAAGGTGCTGAAACTTTTCTGGACACTGGCCCACAGCCAGGAGGTCCCGCCGGAGGTGCTCGACCAAGCGCTGGGCGCACATGTCAAGATTTTGGACTACAGCTGCTCGCAGGAGCGGGACGCGCAGAAAACCATTTGGTTGGACAAGTGCGTTGGCGAGCTTAAGTCGGGCGATGGATGGGTGTTGCCTGCCCTACGTTTAATCAGGGATATTTGTTGTTTATATGACACTACGCCGAATCATGCTCCTCGCACTCAAACGGGAACGAACCGCCAGCAGGTGATCGAGCGGCTGCAGAACGAATATTCTTTGGTCATACTGGTCACTAATAGCTTGACTGCTTACATGGAAAGGGTTCGCCAAATGGTGAGCGAGACACCCGGCCTGGAAGCGGCCACCATCCTTATTGACGGAAGGTTTCCTCATCATGCCCAAATCGCGGAGCGTCTGGAGTTTCTCAAGTTCCTTCTGAAAGACGGACAACTGTGGCTTTGTGCAGATCAGGCAAAGCAGATATGGCACTGCTTAGCGGTGAACGCAGTTTTTCCGGCGGATCGCGAAGAGTGCTTCCGGTGGTTCGGCAAGCTGATGGGCGAGGAGCCAGACTTGGACCCCGGCATCAACAAGGACTTCTTCGAGAACAATATTCTGCAACTAGACCCGCACCTGCTTACCGAGAGCGGAATCAAGTGCTTCGAGCGCTTCTTCAAGGCGGTCAACTCCAAAGAGGACAAGCTGAAAGCGATACACAGGGGATATATTCTGGACAACGAGGACCTTATAGGGAAGGACTACCTGTGGCGGGTGATCACCACAGGGGGCGAGGAGATTGCCGGGAAGGCCATCGATCTGCTTAAGGAAGTGTCGACGGCGTTGGGGCCACGGTTGCAGGAAAACATAGCCGAGTTTCACGAGATGTTCATCGGGGAGTGCTGCTCCCGCCTGCGCACCCACTACGGAAACATTGTGATTCTGGGCAAGACGCAGCTCCAAGAGGAATTGGAAGCACCCGACCAGTCGGACAACGCTAACGACGAGTCGAAAGACTCCAAAATGCGTTTTATCGAAGCGGAGAAGATGTGCCGCATTCTTAAGGTGCTGCAAGAATACGTTAAGGAGTGCGACCGCTCCTTCAGCGGCGATCGCGTCCACTTGCCTCTTAGTCGAGTGACGAGGGGAAAAAACATAAGTCTGTACATCCGTTTCCAGAACCCAGGTAGGCCTATCGACGACCTGGAGATTGTAACACATAGCAACGAGACGATGGCTGCTTTCAAGCGGAGTCTGCTGAAGCGCATCAAGGGCACATCGACGACCAATATAAAGGTTGATCTCTTCTACACAAATGGCGAAATGATCGAGGTATCCGACGAGATAAATCCGCTTTACCAGTACACAATCCGAGACAAGATGATCCTCACAGCGAAGCTCACACCTGTGGGCACCGGACTGGCTAGCAGTCCTGACTCCTCCAGCGACTCGAGTACCGGCTCTCCCCCGCGACCCTGTCCCGACATGCAGCGAGTGGAGTCGGAGAGCACGCTGCCCGGCGTCATCATTTCACAAAACTACCAGTACACTGAGTTCTTTTTGAAGCTCTACCAGCTGGGCAGTGACCTAGAACACGGCCGTCTGCGGGACAGCGCCAAGGTTCTGCTGCACTTGCTTCCCTGCGACCGACAAACTATGCGCCAGCTCCAGTTAATGTGCAAGATACCCAAGGCGTCCGTTACGGTGCCATTGGTGGGGGAAAAGAGTTCTAAGGACGAGGACGAGCAACTGAACTCAACTGAGCAGCCGGCGAATGAAGCTGAAGAGGTAAGATCAAACCATGTTAAAATATTATTCAGCTTGCTTTAAAACCTCCTCTCCTTAGGAAAACTGTACGCCGGAGCAGATGTTCCTGCACCCGACACCCGCCCAAGTTCTGTACAATCTGAGTGTGCTGCATGGGCTGCTAATCCCAGCGCTGGATCCTCTAGGCGAAGGAGCTCTGCTCGTGCAGTCTGCGTGGATGCACTCGGGCTGCGCTCATTTCGTGCTGGAGCTGTTGACTAAAAACAATTTCCTGCCCAGCGCCGATATGCACACAAAGCGTGCCTCCTTTCAGTGCGTGCTTCGGTTGGCGAAGCTATTCCTGTACATCGTGGGCAGTGTTCTGTCGCGCGTTGGCGATGAGCCCATGATCTGCGACCTTGACAACGGATCCCGCTCCCAGGTAGACATCCTGAAGCAGAACTTCTCTGCAATGCCGAACAGCTCGCAGGGCACTTTGCGGGCGATATCCGCGAAGCTCGCAGTGATGCTGGCACGCGAAATGCTCTCTGCCAGCCAGGAGGGCGATCGCTGCCGCACGCTCTTTACCTCAACGCTGCAATGGTCCTGTCCCGACATTTCCACCATAAAGGCGGTCGTGCAGCTGGCCTGGGCTTCGTCGTGCGGCAATCTTCAAGCTCTGGGAAACAGCAGCGGTGAGTTTGAAGACGAAGTGATCCAGCCCGACGGGCAGGATTTTAGCATGTGTAAGGAGGCACTAGAGGTGCTCACCATCTCGTTCATCCTGAACCCAAGTGCCAACGAGGCGTTGAGTAGCGATGCTAACTGGCCCAAATTCATCACCTCCATCGTGCTAAAGAACCCGCTTCGCCATGTGCGGCAGGTGGCCTCGGAGCAGCTGTTCCTGGCTTCCACCTACTGCGCCAGCGACCGGCGGCCGTTCGTGTACATGGTCAACCTGTTGGTTGGCGCGCTGAAAACACTAGTTCCCCAATATGAGGCCACCTGCGCCGAGTTCTTTTCGGTCCTATGCCGCACGCTGTCTTATGGATGCATCTACAACTGGCCGCTGCAAATCAGCGAGGGACTGTTGGACGACGAGATTAAGTGGCTCCAGCGCATACGGGAAAATGTCCGAGCTACCGGTGACACTCAGGTGCACGAGGAGCTTCTCGAGGGCCACCTGTGCCTGGCAAAGGAACTGATGTTTTTCCTGGCCGCCGACTCAAAGGCGCAACTCAACGAGCTCATCCACGAGCTCATTGACGACTTTCTCTTCACGGCTTCGCGCGAATTCCTGCATTTACGGCGGCATGGCAATCTTCGGCAGGACACGGTTCCGCCACCGGTTTGCCGCAGCCCACACACTATCGCCGCTGCCTGCGATCTCCTCATTGCCTTGTGCCAGCTCTGTGTTCCTAATATGAAGCTACTCACCAATACACTCATCGATTTCGTCTGTACGGGTGAGTTTTCTTGAGAAACTTTGCCTTATTACAACAAATGTCACCTCTCCTTTTCTGTTGTACAGATACGGATCCGTTGCGCGAATGGGACTATCTGCCGCCGGTGGGCGCCAGACCAACCAAAGGTTTCTGCGGACTGAAAAACGCCGGGGCCACTTGCTACATGAACTCGGTTTTGCAGCAGCTTTACATGGTTCCGGCGGTTCGGGTGGGCATCCTACGAGCCCACGGCGCGGCGACCACCGACGGTGAGGACTTCAGCGGTGACTCCGATATGACAGGCGGTGGTTTAGGACCGGCCCTTTTCTCGGGACCCGCCTCTGCCCTAGTCACATTTTCCTCGTCATCGGGCGCTGTCGAGGATGGGACGCAGGATGTGCGAAAGAACTATCACGTGGTGATTCTCAAGCACGTTCAGGCCATTTTTGCCCACTTGGGCCACAGTGCTCTGCAGTTCTACGTGCCCCGCGGTCTGTGGACGCATTTTAAGTAAGCCAACCAGGCAGTTCAGTTTTCGTTCTGATACTAATATGTGTTATTTAATTTGATAACCCTCACAGGCTGCAAGGTGAGCCTGTAAATCTCCGCGAGCAACAAGATGCGGTGGAGTTCTTCATGTCCCTGTTCGAGAGCCTTGACGAGGGTCTGAAGGCGCTTGGCCAGCCGCAACTGATGAATGCGACGCTGGGAGGCTCGTTCAGCGACCAGAAGATCTGCCAAGAGTGCCCCCATCGCTACTCCAAAGAGGAACCATTTAGTGTATTTAGTGTCGATATTAGGAATCATAGCTCATTAACCGAATCTCTGGAGCAGTATGTTAAAGGAGAACTGCTCGAGGGAGCCGATGCATACCATTGTGATAAATGTGATAAAAAAGTAAAGTATTCTTTTGATTTACTATGCAAAAGCTTTTTCTACAAATTGAATTTCTTAATGGCCAACAGGTAGTTACCGTTAAGCGGCTATGTGTGAAGAAGCTGCCACCCGTGTTAGCCATACAACTGAAGCGCTTCGAATACGACTACGAACGCGTCTGTGCGATTAAATTTAATGATTATTTTGAATTTCCGCGAATCCTGGATATGGAGCCTTACACAGGTAAGAAATGCACAGCATTCCATCATGCCATTTTAATGGTTTTAATCAATTTTATGTTGTTCCGCCTCCGTCTAGTTTCTGGCCTAGCAAAGCTAGAGGGCGAGGTGGTGGAGGTGGGTGATAATTGTCAAGCAAACGTTGAGACGACAAAGTACGAACTAACCGGAATTGTGGTGCACAGTGGCCAGGCTTCCGGAGGGCACTATTTTAGCTACATACTCTCCAAGTAAGTGCCAAATAAATTTTGCGTGGCTGCAAAGTCTAATGCCGATTTATCCTTGCAGAAACCCAGCGAACGGAAAGTGCCAGTGGTATAAGTTTGACGACGGCGAGGTCACTGAGTGCAAAATGCACGAAGATGAGGAAATGAAGGCGCAGTGCTTCGGTGGCGACTACATGGGCGAGATCTACGACAACAATTTAAAACGCATGCAGTACCGCCGGCAGAAGCGCTGGTGGAACGCCTACATGTTGTTCTACACCCGTTGCGACCAAAGTCCCGAGCAATATGAGCCCAGTGTCGAGCAGTTGTCCCTTACAGAAAGCCGAAATTTCGTTTTGCCGCTGCCAAAGCCTATCGAACGCAGTGTGCGGTAAGTGGGCGAGGTGCTATTCAACTCAAAACATTCTTACATATCTCCGATCTACCAACTTTGCAGACACCAAAACATTCGGTTTCTTCACTCCCGAAGCATTTTCTCTGTGGAGTTTTTCAACTTCATTAAAAAGCTAGTCAGCTGCAATATTCCCTCAACGCGGAGTGATAAGATCGTGAGTTTGGGCCAAAGTGCTTTTAGTTGCCTTGCTAACAAAAGTTTATCCTTCTACAGACTCCTGCGGCCGAGGAGCTTTCGCTGCTGGGCGTGCAATTGGCATCGCAGTTCCTGTTCCACACCGGTTTCCGCACAAAGAAGTCGCTACGCGGACCCGTCATTGACTGGTAGGTGTAAGAGATGTTCTTGCCATGGTTTAAATTGATAAAGTCTTAATTGTCAGGTACGACGCGCTCTCACATCACATACGTTCCTCGGCATTGGTTCGCAAGTGGTTCGCAAACCATGCGCTCCTCTCGCCGCCTTCCCGCTTGGGGGAGTACATCTTAATGGCTCCGTCGCCGGAAGTGCGTACAGTCTTCGTCAAACTGGTGGTTTTCTTTTGCCACTTTGCCATTAACGATGAACCACTTACTGGCTATGACGGTGCCAATCTCTGCGAACAGGTGCTCATCAGCGTACTGCGCCTGCTGAAATCCGAGGCAGCCGACTATGGCAAACACCTGCCCCACTATTTTAGCCTGTTCAGTATGTATGTGGGTCTGGGAACACGCGAAAAGCAGCAGCTGCTAAGGGTGAGAGTTATTTGCATTCAACCCGATTACTAGATTATAACTTTTATAATCGTTGGCAGCTTAATGTGCCGCTTCAGTTTATCCAAGTGGCGTTAGACGACGGCCTTGGTCCGGCTATTAAGTATCAGTATCCGGAGTTCAGCAAGCTTCACCAGGTGGTTTCGCATCTGGTGCGCTGCAGCGATGTCAGCGAAAAGTGCCAGAGCTCCAACCAAAACGCCCGTCCACTGCCCAATCCGTTCAAGGATGCCTCTGTGGCGCACGAGGAGCTTACCCCGCTAAGCACTGAGTGTATGGATTTGCTTTTTAATCGCACGGCGTAAGTTGCTGCAAAGAGTTTATTGCCATTATTGATACCTTATTGGATCTACTGAAAAATGTTAACAACTTTGTACTGTTCTTTTTAGCTACATCAAAAAGGTAATCGAGGATACCAACGTGGGCGACGAGGGGCTCAAGTTGCTTCAGTACTGCAGCTGGGAGAATCCGCACTTTTCGCGTGCCGTGCTGACCGAACTTCTGTGGCAATGCGGATTCGCCTATTGCCACGACATGCGGCACCATACGGATCTGCTGCTAAACATCTTGTTGATCGGCGATTCCTGGCAGCACCACCGCATCCACAATGCGCTCAACGGAGTGGCGGAGGAGCGCGAAGGCCTGCTGGATACCATTCAGCGGGCGAAGACTCACTACCAGAAGCGAGCGTACCAGATTATTAAGTGTCTTACGCAGTTGTTCCACAAGTCGCCGATCGCACTGCAGATGCTTAACACAAACCCGGCCATTAGTCGGCAATGGAGCATTGCCGTAGAGTGGCTGCAGGACGAGCTAGAACGGCAGAGGGGCATCGGTTGCCAGTACAACTCGTACTCGTGGTCGCCGCCAGCGCAGAGCAATGACAACACTAACGGCTACATGCTGGAACGGTCGCAGTCGGCCAAGAACACGTGGACTATGGCCTACGAGCTCTGCCCGGATGAGGTCAGCGAGAAAACGGTACCTATTAAAGCGTTACAGTTAAAGAAAATAATCTAATCTGCGCTCTTGCCAGGAACAGGACGAGAACAACGAGTCTGATTTGGAGTCGAACCTCGACGAAAACAAGACGGAACAGACGGCACAGCCGGTAGCGGCGCAGGAGGCTATTTCCGGAGGAACCGAGCAGCCGCTGGAAAGCAAGACGCCCACCACAAACAGTCCATCTACGGGCGCCTGGCCGGCACGTGTGGATAGCAATTCCATTCCCCGGCTCTCGCGTCAGCTCTTCGGAGCGTATACGACGCCGAGCGGTGGCATGACCATCGCATCCACCGCACCCACACTATCCACGACAGCGACGGCGGGCAGCGGGGCCAACAGCGAGACGGAGAGCAGTGCTCAGGAGACCACCGGCGAGTCGAATATCAACGGGCTGACAAACAGCCTCGACCAAATGGAGCTAACGGCCAAAAAGGTAACTAGAGCGGACAAGGTCTAGGACAGTTGTCCCTCTGTTGAGTGTGTCCGAAGCCGCGGGATCCTTTGAGTCGCCTGCCAAGCAGGCCCCAGCGTAACAGTAGACACAATAAACACATTTTACACTCCAAATCCAATCTGTATCTCTCTATCTGTCTCCCTAAACCCGAGGTAATCCTACCTTCGACCAGAGCTATGGACAATTTTAGTTGTCGTTTTGACCTCCAAATAATCTCGATTAAAAGAAGTCCGTCCGATAAAATTATCTCTAACTTTATTAAATGGAACTACTTAAATAAACTGAGTCTAAATAGAGTAATCCAAGCTTCGGCATCCGAAGATTTCCTTCCTATTCCGTTTTCTTCTAACTCTTCTCTAAATATTTTTATTATTCTAACGAAATTCTCGCGATTCGTCTGCTGCGTTTGCGTTGTTTAATTCTCTGTTGCCCCGAATCGTAACTTCATGCGCAGGGAATGCGCAGTCGCTCCAAGGGAGGCAAGCTGCCGCCAGTGCTGTTCCACCATCACCAGCTGCCGCCGGAGCAGCAGCTTAAGCTGAAGCAACTGCAGCCAAAGCAGCAACAGCAGCAACAACAGCAACAGCAACAACAGCAGCAGCAACTACGTGGTGATATTAGCAAGAGTTCCTCAAGCCGCTTGATTTGATTTGCAGCCAAGTTAGTTAGAATTGATGTTTCATTTGAGCCCGAACGCCCACCCTAGTTTGTGTTTGTTCTGTTCATGTCTTCTGTTTTTACTGCCTCGGCACAATCGAGATGCACTTTCATTCCCGGGTCTGTGATCCCCTTCGCTTTCTTCTTACTTTTCTTAGCAAGCTTCCTTCCCTCAAAATTACGCACTTCAACCTCACCTACGCCACACACACACTCGATCAAAGGGTCATATATAGATCAGCGAGGTCAGAGATGTTTATTTATTTAATATGGGATAATTAAAGCCAATAGCCTTCACTTCTTTTTATTTGCTGACTCTAAGCTTGCTTTCCAACATTTTAATCTCCTGCTCCACTAAAAGATAGGTTTCAATCGGATTGATTCGTATAAATAGGCAATACAAGTCCTCTGATGAGCTCATATACGACCTGTTTGATAACACTCGAAGCAAGATTGCAATTACTGCTTAGCTGGCACGCAGACGCTGACGCAGCACCTATAACACCATGCTTTCGTTAGCCGAAAATTCACTAACCATACTCTTTCTGTTGGCCATTCGCAGAAGTATCGCAGGGTGATGAGAAGAAAACTAGGGGGAAGTAAGGACGAGGAGGACGCGACGGTGGAGACCTCGGAGGCGACGATTTCGCCAGCGACAACTACTGAGACGGCAGAAACTTCGACACCAGCCATTACAACGGAAACGGAAACGGGGTCGGGATCGGGACAGCTCCCGGCAAGGATAGAGAAAAACTTAATCTAAAACCCGGAGGAAACCACAATCGAAAAGTTATATGCAATAAATTGTAATCGCAACCTAACGAGAGCAGCAACTTATGAGGAGCATCCATAGCGTTAAGTAAACCAAAGCAGCCAGGCAATGAGAGCGGTGTGGACAGCAGGTGTTTAGCTAGTGGGGCTCCTGCCGTCGAAAAGAGACTTAATGGGTTAATATGCGCAGTAGAGAAAAACCGTAGATATTAACAAATAAAACGATGCGAGTCAAGGATCGAGAGCCTGTGTGCGAGATAAGTCCCACGGTATGTACCAGAGAAGGTGTTTAGTAGTTATCGAACTTTATAATTACCTTAACAGAGACACAGATACAGACACCTTAAACAAAAACACCCATCACACCACACACAAAACGAACACAAACAAAGAAACACACTCATAATTACTAAGAAGCGTTAAGTTGCACGTTTACAGTACCATATAATTGTATTTATATAGTATATAAATGATGTATTACGTATTGAAGCCGAGCAACATTAACTAATACTAACCGAATTAAAAAGAAATCAAAACGAATGGAAGCATATAGATACGATACTAGAAAACCTAATGGAAACAATTCGGCTGAATGTAAGAATTAGGGCAAGATACCAAATTGCATCTTCAGTACTCAGTACTCGCCTCTGAAACTGTTTCCATTATAATACTTCAACAGCGTAAACCAAGTTAATGGGATGCTAAATCAAAACAAAACAGTATAAACTCAAGAACAGAATGGACTAAGGCAACACGAGCATAAAGAAAACTTGATTATGGTTATACTAAGTATATATATATATATTTTAAATGATTAGTGTTTGGTATTAAGTGAAATTTGTTAAACATTTATTAAATTATTATGTTTTAAGTTGCGAAATAAAAGCGAAATGTAAGCAAACAGCGCAATGTCAAAGCCTTCTCTCAGTTTCCGTTTACGTTAACCAACAGCAACAAACTCAAAGTCAAACTGATAAGTCGCAAAATTAAACACAATTTTAAATTAATGTATTCATAAAGATAAATCACATTTAGGAAATGTGTGTTTGAGACTCTGAATAAATCTTATACATCCATTAAAATTCAACAAAAGGAAAACGAATAAAAATTTTTTTAAAACCATTATTGTTTGCTGTAATTGTTCTATTGTTTGCATATAAAACAATTGAAGAAAACAATCGGAACATTTTTAATGCCGTGGGAATAAATACAACAAAATTCCATTATATGGACAAATTTATGCTTAACTCTAATAAATGCGCTATGGTATCCCTGAAGCAGATGCAGATCACCAAAACATTCTCAATAGAAACTTGTAAATAAATGCAGCTAAATCATCCCTGGTACGAAGTAACGCGAAATCTCTATAGCTCGGCTTTGTCCTCATCAACAAATGTAACCACGGCCGAGCCTTTGGCCACATTATCGCCCTCGGCTCCACCAATCGATTTTATTGTCGCATCCTTGGGCGCCTTTAGTATGTGTTCCATTTTCATGGCTGTCGACCAAAGATGAGTTATAAGATAAGAACAATAAAATTATTTTACATACCAATCAGAACGGCCAAACTGTCACCCTTCTTAACTCGGTCTCCTGGCTGCACCAGCACTTTCTCCAAAACTCCGGGCATAGGTGCCACCACGCGCGACCCACCTGATCCCAGTTGATCCATCTGCGCACCCAAGAACTTGGGCTGCACCAGCTCAAAATCAATCTTTCCACTCTGCATCAAGGTAACAATTAATAATCACGTACTATTTGAGTGAATAAAACTCTGTACCTCCAGGAACAAGCTGACACTGGGTCCATCAATATTGACGTTGTAAGTGGTGATGTTGTTATCAATATTTGCACGAATTTTCAGGCGGTCGCCATCTTCCACTGTGTCGGCCTTGATTACCTGCCAATCGCCATTATCCACTTGAATTTGCATCTCCTCGCCGTTAAACTTGGCGGCCACGGAGTAAGCTGAGGGATTTAGATATAGCAATGCTAGATTTGTAAGTAAAAATATATATTACCCTTATTATTGGCTTTCAAGTTGTAGGTGCGGACTAAGTCGTAATTAAGGCGCGCATTGGGTGTGGCGGCAAATGGGTCTTGGCCTCCCGTGCCGTTGCTAACGGCTGCCTGCAACTCGTTAAAAACCAGCGCCAAGGCAGCTTGGCTCAATTGCTGGTGACTGATTACAATTGGTGGAAAAAGAGTGTCGAAGTGCTCATCGATGAAGCCTGTGTGTACGTTAGCATGCTGAAATTCAGGATGCGAAGCCAGATCGATGAGAAAGTTGATGTTCGTGTCCAGCCCGGATATCTAGAAGTAGGTTAACATTACTAAAATCTACATAGGAGTTAAAAGGTATAGGATACCCACATGATACTCGCCCAGACGGGCAACCAAAGAATTTAGAGCCTGTGAGCGGTTTTCTCCCCAAACTACCAGCTTGGCAATCATGGGATCGTAGTGCACTGACACTTCATCCCCCTCGCGGACTCCCGTCTCCACACGAACATCGCTAGAAGGTACAGGAGTGGTCAAATAGCGCAGAGGTCCCGCTCCGGGTAAGAAACCACCACGAGGATTCTCCGCATAAATACGCGCTTCGAAGGCATGGCCGCGTCGGGTGATCTGCGACTGCTTTAACGGAAGACGCTCGCCAGCAGCAACGCGTATCTGCCACTCCACCAGGTCAGTGCCGGTGATCATCTCCGAAATGGGATGCTCGACCTGCAGACGGGTGTTCATCTCCATAAAGTGGAAGGAGAGGTCCTCCTTGTCCAGAATGAACTCCACAGTGCCTGCTCCAACGTAGCCCACGGCCTTGGCAGCCCGCACGGCGGCCTCGCCCAGTTCACGACGCAGTTCCTCCGATAAGCCAGGCTAGGGAGCAAATAAAGGTTAGTAGCAGAGTCTTCTTGCTGGTGAACAGATCTTACAGCTGGTGCCTCTTCAATAATCTTCTGGTGGCGGCGCTGCACGGAACAATCCCGCTCCCACAGGTAGACAGCATCGCCGTACTGATCCGCAAAGACCTGCACCTCTACATGGCGTGGCGATCGAACGTAACGCTCCAGCAGCACAGAGCTGTCGCCAAAGGACTTCTGGGACTCGGTGCGCGCGGAGTTCAGAGCGGTAAGGAAGTTGTCTGACGTTTCTGCGATTCTCATACCCTTGCCTCCTCCACCACGCACCGCTTTGATCATCAACGGAAAGCCGATGACATGGGCCTCCCGCTGCAGGCGCTCGTCCGACTGATCCTCGCCGTGGTAGCCGTTGATAATGGGCACTCCGGCAGCGGCCATGATAGCCTTGCTGGTGCTCTTTATACCCATGTCCCGGATAGCGGTGCTGGGCGGTCCCATGAAAATAACGCCCTCGCGCTGGCACAGCTCGGCGAACTCCACGGACTCGGACAGGAAGCCGTAGCCCGGATGTATGGCTTGGGCACCCGACCGCTTGGCAATATCTAAAATGTGCTCTCCCCGCAGGTAGGACGCAGAGGAAGCGGCCTCGCCAACGCGGTACGCCTCGTCCGCCAGTTGTGTATGCAAACTCTTCTCGTCTGGGTCGGAGAAGACGGCCACGGTGCGGACGCCAAGTTTGCGGGCTGTGCGAATAACCCGGCAGGCGATCTCCCCGCGGTTTGAGATTAGGATCTTGTTGATGGGCCGCACTTTTGGACTGCTTTCCGCGGCGAAGCCCCTGCAAAAAAACAAAAACAATTTGTCAATGTTTACGTAATCGATTGTGGGTGAAGAGGAACCAGTGGACTCTTCGCGGATTTTGGAGGCAACCTCGTCATTGTTCTCACCTGCCGGTTGCAACCAAATTGTGAAGTAGTCTTGTGTACATTATGTGTATGTTTTTATGCACAAGTTTTTAAAATATACTTATTCGGCACAAAAGTGCGATCGTCTCTTATCACAGCTAGTATACACATGCATGAGCGATAAACACTTTCTCGTGTCACGACTTTATGGTTAATATCTAGCCTCAGAATCAACTTCTGGGTAATTGTTTACTAGTGCGGTCTACGGTATCATGAAATCGGCAATTAAATGATTTGAAAACAACCACAAGACTTTATTTGGAATGTTAAAAAAATCAAATGTTGCATTGATATCGATATCGATAATTCGCCAATATATTTTCCATTTGAAAACATGAATGTCGGGCTTCGTTTTTAGTTAGCTGCCACAGAAACTTAACCTTCACTTTAAGATGCCAAAACTTCCCCCAAAAATTCTACAATTTTAAAAAGACATGACTTAAAGCTTTTTCAAAGAATATACATTTTTTAATAACACATTTATTTTTTGGTTAAATTAACCACTTAGTTATAATTATCTGTTTTCAATGGGCAACAAAAAGGAAGACAATAGACAGATAAAAAGGAAGACAATTTTGAAAAATATTAATAGAATTTCTTTCATTAAACTAAACTGAATGTCAGCCTGTTTCATTTGCTTCAGGTAGCAAAAGCTTTTTTAAAGAATATACATTTTTTAATAACATATTCGTACATGTTAAATTAAACACTAAGTTATATTTATCCGTTTTCAATGGGCAATAAAAATTTTTTATTCTGTTTTTTTAATAATTAAACTAATAATTCAGGTAATCCAAATGTAAGGTCATTACAGCTTCTGGAAAAATAAAAAGGAAGAAAATGTTGAAAATTTAAACTCAATAGTAATAGAATATCTTTCAATATACTAAACGAAATAAAATTTAAGCCTGTGTCACTTGCTACAGGTAGCAAAAGCTTTTTCAATGGGCAGCAAAAATCATTTTTTTTTTTTTTTATTTGTTTGATCCTGCGTGGCTAGTTTTTTTCCTCTTTTTCAGAATAACATGTTTCTGAGTAGCTGATGTACTTGGGATTACATCGCTACCCATTTGTTTTAAGTACTTGGTCCACCTAGGGGATGGCCAGCTTACAATATCATCAACATCTTCATTCAAAGTAATTTTTTTCCTCTTGTCAGTTGTGTTGGAAGGAAATTCGATGGGTTCCTGCCTAATTGTCTCCATATTTACGGAAATTGGTTCTTGTGATGATTGGCACCCATTTACGATTCCCTCGCTTTGAGTAGCATCAATATCTTTATCTTGCTCCTTCAAAGTAATTTTTTTCCTCTTGTCAGTTGTGTTGCAAGGAAATTCGATGGCTTCCTGCCTTATTGTCTCCACCCTTTCCGATGTAGGTTCTTGTGATGATTGGCCCCCATTTGCGTTTTCCTCGGACACTCTCTTGCTTTGAATACCATCAATATCTTTATCTTGCTCCTTCAAAGTAATTTTTTCCCTCTTGTCAGTTGTGTTGCATGGAAATTCGATGGCTTCCTGCCTTATTGTCTCCACCCTTTCCGATGTAGGTTCTTGTGATGATTGGCCCCCATTTGTGACTCCCTCGGACGCTAGTGGATTAAATGCAACTTGTGGCAACTTGGAGCCAAGGCTTACGTCTCCCACATTGATAAAAGTGGACTCATTATCCTCAGTGGACGGACCTTTAGGATCCTTTGAAAATAAGGTGATGAGTATTCTAATTGTTAGAAAAGGTTTTCTTTCCGGACAAATATTTTATGAGAATTAAATATATGGTTCTTATATTGTATTCTTAAAATAAAAATGAACTCACCCAAAGAAATTAAAATTGGGAATCGCTCCACTCCTTGTATTTTAGTGTTTTGTATCTCGTTCAAGATCTTTGGATCTTTCCTCGAACTACGAAATAATGAAAACAAAGGTTAAAGGAAAACATATTTGCGAAACGCTTTTGTTGCTTACTTGTTTTTAAGTGACTTCCTTTCCTTAATCTGCGAAAGCGTTTTCATTGCCTTATCATCATAGGGCCTGCCAGATTCTAGCAACTTGGCCAAAGGAGTATGTGGACATTCTTTGAAATAATTTCTCCTGCCACGATATTGTGGGAGCATGTAAAAGCGATTATAGAACTTTTTTAGGGTTCTATGACGCAATTTAACATCGTCCAACATCTTCAGACCATCCTCTCTGGTCTTGTTAATCTTGCAGAAAACCACTACTTTGTTGATATTGTTTTCAAAAGTTTGGAAAGATACAGGAAATATGAAGGTGCCACACCTCCCCAGACCGAAATGTTTTTAATGCCATCAGTTTGAATTGAATTCCACTTACTTGTCGACTTGAACTATCTCATCTCCAGATCTTAGTTTCTGGTTTCCCAGTAAATTTTTCGACTCTTTTTTAGTATTGGCTCCGTCGACCACAACCACTTGTTCTGATATTGGTTCACCCTCACTTATTATCAGTTCAGGGTCAAGAACCTTGAGCAACTTTTCTCGAATGCGACGAGGACAAGGGGCCACCTTGAACTGATACTTTTCTCGAATACTAGGATCTCTGTAAAAGGCTTCATAAAGCCATCGTGCGCACTCGTCGTCGGTTTTGTGCTTTCTAACGGCGATTCGCAGGGTGGCTATGATTTTAGCAAGGTTAACGATTAGCCTTTTAAACGTCTTAAAGGTTACGGGATAAATCTGATCTCTTAAAGCCGAATTGTAGATCGACGGCTCCCTGGATCGGCTTTTGCCCTTTAATTCAGACATCAAAACAAGCAGTAAATTATGAACAAAGTTTACAAAACGACAACTAAAGCCCCGAAAACAGCCAAAATAATACGACGCTAAAACTTTAGACGTTTAAGGTGAGACCGTACATAAAATTTAAAAATTCCGTTACTTATTTCAGAAATCTATCGGTCGATCATCTTCTTTTGGCCGCGTCTTTAGGCGTTTATGCGCCCGCCAAATGCGGTCACATTGTTTGTAAAAATTTTGCGAAGGCGCGTGAAAATATTCGGTGCGTTGAAAAACAGACGGATTTAAAGAGCTGATGTCGCTAAAGCTAAACGCAGAGGTAGTGGAAAGTGCCGGCAGAGTGTCGGTTGCAGAAGGCGTGTAAAATTGCGCTGGAACGCAACGCGCGAAATCAGAAAAACCGTTTGCATCGAAAGCCCCTCCAAAGAGGTGGGAAAATTTGGGCGCCTTTTGCGTCTGTCGCTTGGCGTTGTGAAATTTATAAGTTTCCCCGCATTTTTATCCTGTGAAGTGCTAACCGTGTGTTCTAAAGGATTGCCATTAAAAAGGTGGAGGCGTACAATCGCAAAAAAAAAAAAAACAAAATGCCTATTTGTAAGCGGGATGGATTCGAGAAGGAGGGCAAAAACGAAACATTCCACGACAACGATGAAGTTTTCTGTTGCTACATTACTAAACGCATTTTCCGCGACTATGAGTAAGTGCATAATATTTATGTTGTAAATGCATTCCTCAGCTCCCCCGCGAAGGACACAAAAGTATACAACAAAATCGACGCTGCAAAAGCGTTTGCCTTTTGATGTACGTGAACTTGCATTGGTACATCACTATAGGAGTGTGTGTTAGTGTGCGAGTCTCGTGGGCCTAGGGGAAAAAACGCTGTTTGGTGGCGGGAACAATTTACAGCTGCCGCCGCACAGCTGCTTAGTCGGCGTTGCCATCTGGTTTTTAGAAAAGCGCGCCAGCCCCAATTTTAAATTTATGAATTTAGAGAGTTAAATATAATCGTAAAAAATCCCTTTTTAAGACTAACAATATTGCGTGTCGTTTTTTTTAGTTATACACTCCATACTTTACCTGAAAAATATACAAATTATTTATGTTGTTGACTTACTGCTAAAATCCCAAGTTCGGAGTTTCAAAAACATTACACATGAATCAATTATAGCTATGCTAAAAAATGACTTTATTTACCCAGGAGCTACTTCCGGCACGTGATGGTAATCAATTCGACTGTGTGGCAGTGCGAGGCCACCGGAAAGGAGAACCTTACGTTCGAGGAGGCGGTTAAGAGCGAGCGAGCCGCACGCAAGAAGATGGAGCAATTCAAGCAGAGCCTCCGGGCACCCGTGCTCCTGGTAGTGGAGCATGCTCGCCAGTCGGCTGTTAACACTCTAAATCTGATGGTCGCCAAGTTCCTGCGCAAGCGCTACTTCATTGGTGAGGAGGTGACGGTGCAGGCGAAGAAGAACACCATCTACACTGTGGTGGGCATCAGTTTGGATAAAAACTTACCGGAACCGGGAAATGGCATCTACGAGGACACCGACAGCCTGGTCTACAGACTCCGCCCGAATAAGGGAGATCCCAGCTTGGAGGTTGAGCTGCCCTTCAAGCAACTGCGTCGATCACGCACAGAGTTTAACATGGAGAACCTGAGCATGTTCATTAAGAGCAACGTGACGCGCGTGGAGGGGCTCCTGCGACCTAAACCAGAGGCATACAAGCAGTTCGTGACAGACCCCGGTGTGAGCTTCTCCACCATCTTCATTGGCAAAATGCCGCGCTATTCGCCCGCCAAGATTAAGAAACCGGATGCTAAGGATGCCAAGAAGCAGTCCACTCTCAACAAGTATATTGTGGCTGACGAGGCGACGGCTGCCAAGTCCAAGGCAAAGGCGAAATCCGATGCCAAATCGCTTGCTGAGGAAATGGAACGTGTGAAGCGAGAAAAGGAGGCCAAGCTGATTGAGATGGAGAGGCAAAAGGCGGAGAAGAAAGCGCAGCTCATGGAGCGCGTTGAAAGCGAGTGCAATTTGTTGCTCCAGAAGACCGACGATCTGGAGAGAACCGACCAGAAGAGGCTGCCCCGCTATAGACAAATAGTCACTGTGCTGCCCGAGCGACTCCTGGGTGACGCCTTCATGGTGCGAGAGTTTATGCACACATACGCGGGACTCTTGTCCGGGATCGAGGTGTTCCGCCAGAACCTCAGCTTCTACGAGATGACCCGAGCGCTGACTACGCGAGAGATCGCGGGTCCGCTGTCCGACATCCTTCTCGTACTTCTCGGCACTATTTTTGATCTGCAGAAGGAGGAGGAGGAGGAGAGTGCAGTGTACTACCTCACTCGGTCGGCCCAGGCACACGAACCCTACAACTCTATGAGCCAAGCCATCAAAAGTCACATCTACGCCAAACGCCATTTTTCCTTTAAGGTACAGTACCTAAGCCGTTTTGCATTCAAGTAAACTGTTTAAATAAAAGTTCCACCTTTTTTGCTAGGTCAATGAACTACCGCTGGACGCGTTGACCATAAGCGAAGTGCTGCGCTTACACCTGCTCGGATCTGGAGCCATCGTGAATGAGAGGGCGGAACGATGGAGGGTGATGTACCGAAACGGGTATTCCTCGAGGGAAGATCCTGGGCTGGAGCTGCGCCTGCACCACCCGCACATCCTGCGCTCCCTAAAAACACATTCCATATATCAGCTTAAGTTCAGGGATATAGTGCACTTGATTCGGTGCCTAATGTCCCAGATTCTTACTTACTCGGGCACCATTAATTTGATTGAGGAGCGCATGGAGCAGACGGCAAAGGCCAAGCAGGATCTGCGAGCCCTAGTCGTCGCGGAAAATAGGCGTCTGGCTACTGTGGAGATCAACAGGAAAAAACTTACTCAAACACACCATCTAGAGTCTATTGCCGCTGAGCCAGAAAAGAAAGAAGCGATGGCGGAAAAATTCAACAAAAGCATCGCAGAGCTTCATGCCCAATCGGATCAGCATCACCGAAAGCATGAGCAGCAAATGCTTAAGTTGCATTCCCAACTGTTTAATTTCTTGGTGTTTCTGGGCATGGATAGATGCTACAGAAAGTACTACGTTTTGGAGTCGATGCCAGGGATCTTCATCGAGCATTCGCCGGACAGCCTGGACACTTGCATGGAGCAACCACCAGCAAACAAGTCGCAACTAGAGATTCGCCAACAAGCAACGTTGCCGAAAAATCGCAAGGACCTGAGAATATATCTTCTTAAACTCTACGGGGACGGTGACACGAAGACCAAAAGAAAGGCAAAGCAATCGCAAGAGAACAAGGAAAACCAGGAGCATCGCCTCAATGGCAGTGCTGAACCCATGGAACTGGACTCGGACTCCCCGGAGGCTCCCACCCAGTTTGAGTTGATGATGTGTAGCGGCGACAAGAAGAATTGCATTGTGCACGATCCCAAAAACGGGCATAGGCAAATCTGGTCATACATCTATAAACCGGAGGAAATCGATGAGCTAATAAGGTCACTAAATCCCAATGGTCTGCGAGAATCCGAGCTACTCCAAGAACTTACCGTTCTGCGATCCCTCATTGAACAGCATGTGAAAACATGCCCTGTCGAACTTCTTACCTTGGAGAACGAGGCGATGCGCAAAAAGTTCTTGGCAACGATGGCATCTGAAACGAACCGTAAGTACGGAGAAGCAAACTTTGGACTGCCAAATGGAACCGATTTGAGCGAAGTGATGCGCCTGCATCTGGTGGATCGTCTGGTCCAGTTCGAAAGTGATATTTACACGGGCGATCTTGGGCGCCTAAAGGTTAAGGACATGGAAAAGTGGCGAAAGGATTTGATTGGGGGCAACTATGATCCGCAGTGCAAGCTGCAGTGGGGTCCGGGTGGAAAACTTGAAGATGAGGCTGCCAACAGTTCTGACAACGACTCCCATGACACTCATGAGGGCGATGACGGCGCCCTCCTGGGTAAATTTGCCAGAATGCCGTACCGTGATCCTGGCCTGTATTTGGCTGCTTCTGCGGACACAGAGTCTCCACCAGACAGCGACGATGAGAACGGTCTGCCTGCTAATGCCGTTTCCATTCCGATGGAAGTACATAACATGGCCTCGGCCCTTCTCCAAGTGGAGCAGGCCATCGGGAAACGCTTCCTTAAGGAGCCCTACGGCATGAAGAAGTGGGATCCGAAGCAGGAGGCCCAGAGACTCGCCTGCGAATCGCGTCTGCATCAGTGGGAGGTGTCGCTTATGGAGAGCACCAGCTTTGCGCAGGTGTTCCTTCACCTGAACATCCTGCACGACTGTGTCCAGTGGAGGCGGTCCACCAACAAGTCCTTGTGCAAGGTCTGCCGTCGTGGCAGCGACCCGGAGAAGATGCTGCTGTGCGACGAGTGCAACGCCGGCACCCACATGTTCTGCCTGAAGCCCAAGTTGCGTTCCGTTCCTCAGGGGAACTGGTACTGCAATGACTGCGTCAAGAGTCTGGGTCTTAATAATGGCCAAAACGACAAGGATAAAAAGCAGGCGGCAAAGAAGAAGCGCAAGTTTATTGTTGAAGAAGAGGTGGACGAGCCTACCGATGAAAAAGATGAAGACGAAGATGAGGAGGAGGAGGAGGAGGGGGATGGCGATGGCGATGGCGATGGCGAGGAGGAGGAAGAGGACGAAGAAGACGATAACACAGATGAGGATAATGATGAGGAAGTCGCGGACGACAAAAGTATGACCTCCACGCGCTCCTCTGAGAAGCTCAACGGGCGACCGAGGAGGCAGTCCCGAACAGGGCGTACCAAAGAGGTTGAGACGGTCACCGAGGAAGAGAGTGAAAGCGTTGAAGCCAGCGATGACTCATCACTGACAGCCGATGAAGAGACAGCCGAAGAGTCGTAAGTTAATGGTGTCCTTAGGTACCTCTTTCACAGAATTAATCGTGTGCCTATTCACAGCGACGAGGAGAAGGTATGTCAAAAGTGTTTCTACGACGGCGGCGAGATCAGATGTGTGCAGTGCAGATTGTTCTTCCACCTGGAGTGCGTCCACCTCAAGCGACCGCCGCGCACTGAGTACACGTGCAAAATGTGCAAACCAATGCCGAAACCCAGGCGCCGTCACAGTAACAGTGAGTCAACAAGCTAATCAAGTATGTTGCTTACTCAATGTCCTTCTTTTTATGTGCCCAGTGAATGGTGACGATGACGACGACGAGGATGAGCCGCAAGCCAAGCGCTCTCGCTCCTCGCGCAGCTCGGTGCGCTTGTCTGTCGACAAATCCGCACGCCAAAGCAACGGTAACAACAACAATAATAACAACAGCGCCAACAACAATAACCACCGGCGGAGCGGCCGCAGAACAAACGATAACCTGCCGCTTAACAGCGCCGCCTTGTACGATTTGCTGGAGCAAATTATGAAGCACAAGGCCGCGTGGCCGTTTCTCCGTCCCGTACTGACGTCGGAGGTGCCGGATTACCATCAGATCATCAAGACGCCAATGGATCTAGCTAGGATTAAGTCCAAGCTAAACATGGGCGCCTACCAGCTAAACGAGGAGCTCCTGAGTGACATCCAGTTGGTGTTCAGAAACTGCGATTTGTACAACGTAGAGGGCAACGAGATATACGAGTGAGTAGAAGAAGTTGATCTGTTATTGCATCTTAATACAATTTTGAATACTGCACCTTCAGCGCTGGCTGCCAACTGGAGCGATTCGTGATCGAGCGCTGCAAGAACATGCAGTTGCCGTTTCGACCAAGCGACATGAACGGAGAAATCGAAACCTGCTGAGCCGAATGCTGATCTCCGCTTGCTATCGTGTAAATTTCTACCTTCTCTAGAGTTAAGCGCAACCATTCGCAGTCTTAAGTAGACTTAAAGATGTTCCCTATGTTTAATCTTAGCATTTATATGCATACCAGTTCAAAGTTCAGCACACGCACAAGCAAAAAAAAATCTTATCTGTTGGTTCATAAGACATTATGTATTTTTAAATTATTGTAGCCATTACGAAAAATTTACAAACAATAAATGAAATAAGAGAAATTTAACAACTTAAGAGGCACAACTAGTGTGAAGTTTTAAAAATTTTTTTTTTTTTCATATTTCCGTTATTTCCTTTAAAAATAACATATTAAAATTTCAAATCGATATGTCAAATAGTTTTTGAGTTATAGCAATTTTAAGAGCACCCGCTCTTATAACAGTGAATACAATCATTTTATCTTTAAGGGGTTATATCCAGTTGCGATTTTGAAAAAATCGAAATTTTTTTTTTTGCATATTTTGAAAGTATATATATCTAAGAAGATTATCTGAAAATTTCAAAGTATTCCGGTAAATAGTATTGGAGTAATCAGTGTATTTGTAAAGACGTCTCCCATGTAGTTCAACTAGTAGCCAAAACTTTAAATGCGTTTTTCTCGAAACTATGTCTTCAAAATCGGTGAGGAAAATTTCTCGGAGACGGCTTGACCGATTGACTTGAAACTTTCACATTCTCTTCTTAGATATTTTTTTCAGGTAATGAGACTTGGAATTTTGGCTCCGACAAAAATTTCGATTTTTTTAGCCACTTCAAAGTTGAAATTTTTGTGCCAAAAACAAAGTTTTATGTTTGGGAAGCCGCCATTTTGTCAAAAATCAAAATTTTGAAAATCCCAAGTCTCATTACCAGCATTTGTCTATTCTTTACGTAATCCTTCTGGTTTTTTGTATTTCTGATCATATGGACCGGAGATATTTTCCTCACCGCAAAACCCTTTTTTGAAGTGGATCCTCGGGAGATCCTCTACAGGACCGACGGAGTCCAAAAAAAAATTTTTTTTTAAATGTATTCTAAAACTAGAAAAAATTACCTATCTTTTCATATATAACACGTATACATACAATAAATAGCCTCTCCAAAAATAATTTTCAAAAAAGCTCATTTTTTTGGCCTCGCAACTGGATATAACCCCTTAAATGAGTTTTCTCGAAACAGCATTTTCCGAATTTCCGAAAGGAAAGATTATTGTAAGAGGTTTTAAAAATTCAAGTAAAGTAGGAAGGAGCGCCTTGAATAACACTTCTCCGGTGTTTATGAAAAATATGTCTCCCGGTCGTTCTGAGTAGTTTTATTATTAATCATAAGTGATTTTGAATTGTTCGCATTTCTTTATTATGCACTTTAAAAATACAAAGTTCGATAGGTTTTATATGTTGGTAACATAAAAGTAGTTAATCACACGATTTGTTTTAAGAAAGTAGGTTCGCTTTATAAAAACCCTTTTTTCTTTGTTTCTATCAAAAACTACGAAGTGTAGTTATAAATACTATGAAAGCTAAGCTATGAACGAATATGTGAGTTTCAGCGGAGATCCAAACGTAAAGTGGATGGTTGTTTATGCTTATGAACATAATTTGCCTGCCATAGTGCTTCAAAAAGCTATTATCTGGGCTTCAGTATGAGGCCAATCTACATGGACGAGGACGTGGACGCTGTCGACTCCGCATTACAGATATCCGGAATTAGACCGTTGACTGCCTTGCTATTGTGGATCGACGTCAGTTGGCTGTTATTATTGGTCTCCAGTTCGGGGGAAAAAGGAAGAGAACTGGAGTTGCTGGGAGCCTGGGACAGCTGCGCCTCCATGGAGGTCATTGAGCTGGTGGAGGAGCTGGCCCCATGCTCGTCTTCGCTTTCGTTGGCAATGTTGTTGTGATTGTTTCCCTCCTCTTCATAGCCATTGTCCGCCTCCGGACAGTCGGAGTCTCTTGAAGCGCTGCTTTCGATTTCGCTGTCCGTTTCGGTGGGACGTAATCGACGAGTCGTTCTCCTGTGCTTGTCTGAAAAACGCTGACGCTTTAACTTTCGTTTGCGATCGGTTCGATCGACAAGGGTTTGCGTTTTTTCAACTGAAACAGAAAAATCGTTAATGAAAAGAATATTTTGCGTGAAATATATTTAGTGAAAAATTCATTCGGAGTGTGTTTCAGTTACATCCCGTTGTAGTTACTAATAAAAGGTACGGTAAAGGTAAGCATACACATATGTATATGGGCTTGGGCACCATAAATGGCCCCATGACTTGGCCAAGTTAAGTAGTGTCAACAAGCCCCAGGCACTTGCCAATAATTGTGCGCAGCAGTCCGCCCTCAGGTGTCACCGGTTCTGACACTAAGCAAACACTCGACAAAGAGGATGTCAGCCGACCTACACCCTTAGAGCGTGAGTCCAGTGTCCTATTGTTGGCTACACAATCTCAGCCAGAGGTTCAGTAACTCCTGACATGGCGACGACGCTGCAGCTAATTATGCTAACCCTCGTGGGAGGCACCGCTGCTCAAGCCAATAGCACGGACTTCACGCTGGTTCTGGCTTCGATTTTGGGGCAGCTGGAGGGTGGCCTTGAACTCCACCTAAGAAGTCCTGCAGACGGAAACAACGACCTGATCCAGTTTCTGATGACGACGGGAGCGATCTCTCTTAAAATTCGTCTGAATCAGGACGACGAGCCTCCGACAGCGGAACTTTGCCGTCACAATTTATATTTGTTTGAAAATGTGCAGCAAATGCAAGGAATCCTAAACCACTTGCTCGACACAGAAGGCTTTTACATACTGGCTTTGGAAAGCTATACACCTGTTGATGACGAACCTTTAGTGGACTTTATGGGCAAGGTCTGGCTCCAACATGGACACAGTCGGGTTTACTACGCTCAGTTGAATATGGGACGGATTGTGCTCTACAATCCTTTCAAGCAAATGGTAGTGTTGGTTCGAGGTCCCAAAACGTATACCACAATCTACAAAAATTTGGCCGGCCATCCCTTGAGAATATACATCTTCGACTCGGTTTACTCCAGTGTAACGGGCGATGGCGAAAGCCATAAGGTAGTGAGCGTGAATGGGGCGGATGCAAAGCTGGCCAAGATCGTGGCCAGGCAGTTGAACTTCACGTCCGATTACCTCTGGCCGGATGACGAGTTCTTTGGAGGTCGCCTGGCGGATGGATCGTATAGCGGCGGCGTGGGTCGGGCCCACCGTGGCGAGGTGGACATCATCTTCGCGGGATTCTTCGTCAAGGACTACCTCACCTCCCGCATCCAGTTCAGCGCAGCCGTCTACATGGACGAGCTCTGCCTGTATGTGCAAAAGGCCCAAAGGATCCCGCAGTCCATCCTGCCCCTCTTCGCTGTGCACGCGGATGTGTGGCTCTGCTTCCTGTTGGTGGGCCTCCTTGCGTCCCTGGTCTGGCTCCTTTTGCGGACTCTCAACGTTGCCCTCCGCATCGAACGCATACCAGATGACTCCCAGACGGGAATAGGTTACCTTGCAGAGGCTCGTCGCATTTTCATCGACACCTGGGTCGTTTGGGTGCGAGTGAACGTGGGCCGCTTTCCGCCTTTCCACTCGGAGCGCATCTTCGTGGCTTCCCTGTGCCTGGTGAGCGTGATCTTCGGAGCTCTGCTTGAATCCAGTTTGGCTACAGTGTACATACGACCTCTTTACTACCGCGATGTCAACACCTTGAGGGAACTGGATGAGTCCGGCCAACCAATCTACATCAAGCATCCTGCCTTCAGGGACGACCTCTTCTATGGCCACGACTCGGAGGTCTATCGGCGGCTGGATGCAAAGATGATGCTGGTCGCCGAAGGCGAAGAGCGCCTTATTGAAATGGTGTCCAAGAGAGGCGGGTTTGCGGGAGTAACCCGCTCGGCCAGCTTGGAGCTGAGCGACATTCGCTACGTGATGACCAAGAAGGTGCACAAGATTGCCGAGTGCCCCAAGAACTATCATATCGCCTACGTCCTGCCACGCCCCTCTCCGTACTTGGAAGATGTTAACCGCATCGTGCTGCGCCTGGTGGCTGGAGGAATCGTGGGCTTGTGGACGGGGGAGGCGAAGGAGCGAGCCAAGTGGCGCATCCAGCGATTCCCCGAGTACCTGGCCGAGCTGGACGCCGGCCGGTGGAAGGTGCTCACCCTGTCCGACGTCCAGCTGGCCTTCTACGCCCTCACCATAGGATGTCTAATGTCGGCTGCTGTGTGTCTGGCGGAGATCTTCCCGGGTCGCAAGAAGAAGTTTGAACTCAAAAATGACAAATTGTCCCATAGCTTATAGATTTCTTGATGTTATTAAACGCTCACCTTGAACATTGCCCCTGACCAAGGTGTCTGTGTGACGTTAGCAAGCTTACCTGCTCTCGAATTCTCAGTCCGCCGGGGACTGCGGTTGAGCTGGTCGTCGGAGCGGTGTTGCTGCTCCCGTGCTGCTGCCTCCGCCGATGTGGTGGGCAGCTCGTCGTTCCGAAAAAGACGTTGCGTCTCTTCAAGCCAATCGCTGATCCGCGCCTGCGTGGCCATTTGCTTCTGCTCGCCGAGGAGACGCTGGAGCAGCAAGTCCACGTTGCGCGGCTGTCCAGTGGTGCCCCTCACCGCCAGCTGCAGCAAGGCACGTCGCTTCTTGGCGATCAGGTAGAAGATGCGGTTTGGATGGGTCTGCAAGCTCAGCTTGCTCACGTTGGGTGTGTCGACGTCCTCCCGATCGTGGCTCCCCTGCTCCCTATCCGGCCGAGAATCTTGATCCTGTCCACGCTCCTCTTCACTAGGCTCCTCCGTCGCCGAGCTGGCTGCGCTGCGCTCCGTAGAGGTGCTCGAGCTGCTCCAGGACTCGAGCTCGTGCTGCACCAGAGCGTCGAAGAAGGCCAGCATCACCTCATCCTCGTCTGTGTTGCGGGCGCTGAAGTCCTGGGACACATGGTCCGATGACTCGCGGTGCAGGGCGCGGTTGCAGTAAGGCCGGGCCTCGGATTGGGTCAGGGATCCCTCCCAGCCCTGCTGGGCAAAGGGGCTCCACAGCTAAGGGCGGGTTAATAATGAGTTAATAACTAAATAGCAACCCAGATGACTATAACTTACCTTGATGATCTTCTCCACGCCGGAGGAGGCGAGCAAGCAGCGCTGGCGGTTGTAGCGCACCTGGTTGACTATCGAGCGGTGGCCAGTGAGGATTACAGGCGGGGTCTCCATCCACTGGTTCTTTTCCTCCACTGAGAAGGGAAAAACACACAGTCAGTTAACCAGTCCACCAGTATCGGGATCCCCCAAGCAAACGCACAATCCACTCCATCCAGCCGCCAGATGAACATGTTGAAGTTGTCCGAGCCGGAGACCACCAGCTCGTCTTGCGGCCCCGCGAACGTGCAGCTCTTCATGGTGCACGAGTTGAAGTACTCTTCGTGGTAGAAGGTGGCCACCGGCTCCGGGGACCCGGGGCTGTACAGGATCGGTGGCAGCCGGCGGTGCAGGGTGAGCAGCAAGGTGCCGTTGCAGTTGAAGCGCACACTCATGCAGCTCGGGGACTCCGGGATGTAGCTGTACTGGCAGAGGGCCCTGGATCAAGGTAGGACTTAAGACTTGGTCGGGAGAGTCTGGAAAGTGCCACGAGAAACTCACTGCTGGTGGTGGCGCAGGTCCCAGAGCATGGCTCCCCTCTTGGCGTTGGCGGTGGCCAGGAAGTTGCCGTTCAGGGGGTGGAACTCTACGGCATTGAAGGGCGTCTTGAACTTTGCCAGAGCCAGGGGTTCCGACTTGCCTGCCCGCAGGTCGTACACCAGGATTTCGCCGTGCTCAGTGGCCACGCTCAGCATATGGCCACTAGTCCTGTCTACACTCAGGCCATAAACAGGGCCATCGTGCGAGAAGTAGTTTATAGTTTTTCCACTAAATAAAAGGACAGAATGTTGTAAAGGTCTTTTGATTAGATTTTGAGTGGATACAGTGACGAAAGTAACGATAGTTATTATTGTTATACTTTTATCCTAAATGTAATAATTAAACAGGTATCTCACGTTTCCAGGTCGTGTTGGATGACCAAGTCATCGTTTCCCCCGGAGAAAATGTAGGTGTTTTGGGTGTCGAATCCCAGACAAAAGATGTTGCTGGCATGCCTTTCGTTCATGGCCCGTGGCTTTCCCAGTTGGGACACCACCTCGCGGTCAATGTTCCACAGCAAGACCCGCTTGTCGTCGCCTCCTGGGGAGGAAAGGGGGACACGGTTTAGCTGGGAGCCTATCAACAGGTAGTTCCACTTACCCGAGGCCAGAAACTGACCATCCTGCCCGCTGAACTCCAGGGCGTTCACGCAACCATAGTGACCGGTAAGGTTGCGCTGGAAGAAGTTCTCCGCCGCACCGAGGCGCTCTCGAAAGATGGCCGACGGAAGGTGGCCTGCCACCAACCTATTCTCCCGCTGGTTAAGGGCCAGGTCAAGATTGCGGGATTCGAGGGAGCGCAGGTTCCGCCACAGACTCATTTTGAGAGGTCTGGTGAGCAGCTCTGCTTAATCTTAATTTTAGCTCAAATTGTGGCTCAGACTCTGTGGATTCGAACTGCAACCGCAGTGCACTCTTTTCACATCGGAACCAAATCCCAATTACGCACTTTTTAAATGCTTCAGTTTATATTTTCAGTTGGAAAGTTGCTTGCGGAAAAGCAAACACAAAAGTCAATTTTTTTGAGAACTGCGACGACTCGTTTCGACGGCTTTAATCATCGTTCCCTAATCAAAATGAAAACAGAAAGTATACAAACCGAGGAACCACCAAACAGCTGTTCGCTCAGCCAGCTACAGTGGGATCAAAGTGCTCAAAAAGGTCATCAAAATCGGGAGATCGAAACCGTGGGAAGGTGGAAATTGCAACAAATAAATTTATTCAAGATATATAGCAGTGGAGGATTTACGGGGGGTTTTTGGGGTTCAAGCCCTCACCAAAAAACTGAACCTAACTCGGCCAATTTTACCCATTTGCATTTGCAGAGCGGTAAAATTGAATTGCAACTATTCGTTTATAATTGAATAATTTTACAATATTTAGAAATGTATATGAACTGATATAAAGTTAACTCCCGAGATTAACATATAAATTCCACAGAGTAGATTAACACTGAAAAATTTTTTTTCAATCGAAAACCCTCCCAGATTGAAATTCTAAATCCGCCGCTGCATATCTCTAAAAGTTTCTTAGAGAACTCTTGAAGGGACTGCACTCAAAATTTTCCATTCTGGGACGGTCGATATTTTGACCCTCGTTCATGTCAGATTTTTCAAGTATTTGATAATGTTGCCCTCCACAGCACTTCCAGATCCCATAACTTGGCAAATTAACATGCGACTCCAAAGTGGCATACCTCTAAATGTTTGTTATAGAGTAGAATTATAGAATTAATTGCATTCAAAATTATCCATTCTGAGATGCTCGATATTTTGACCCCTGTTCATGTCAGATTTTTTTTAAGTTTTCGATAATATATCATTTTTATTTTTAACGCTTTGTGCGTGCTTGCTGCTATCACTTCCACTAGTATACTTTCATAAGCACATAGTAATTACCACAAAGCGTTACAATTTTTTGCAGTATCTGAGGAAGTACTCTTCCAAATGTGAAATTGCATACATCGATGAGTTCGCAATAAAATTTCCTATCCGATGGCATTCACATTTGATCTGTTTCAATCAACTTACTCAAGGATGAGTTAAATTGCATTCTGTGGCATAGATAGTTGGGCTTCTTTGCTTTCCAAAACTATACTTTGTTTGGCTGCGTGCTTATCCGCGTAGCAAAAATAAATTGGTAATAAAACGTGATAAATAGCGTCGTTTAAAGTATTTAAATGGCATAAATAAATGCCAAATAAATAAATAACAAGAAAGGAAGCTGGCCTCGGGAAGCCGAAGCTTTTATTCCCTTGCAGTCATCATAAACGTTTTACTTCACAGTTTCACGTTTATTTTCACCGATGGTTCCTATGGTAACTGTATGATATAGTCGTCTGATTTTAATGAAATATAATTAAATTGTTTATTAATAAAATCAACGAAAATAATTAAAAAATAAATAATTCAAAATCTGATTAAAATTAAAAATGTGACTTAAAATTAGTACATTTTGCCCAATTTTCAGCAAACCCACGTTTTGAAAATTTGGACAGAGGTTACAACATAAAAATTAAAAAAAATCGGATAAAAAATAAAAAAATGTATTCTACTATTGATGCAGTTGCTAAAAATTTATTTTTATTATAAACTTTTAGACGTGTGCCGCTTAGAAATCAGTTTGAAAATATAAAAGTTATGGACATTTAGACATGCAAGCTTCTGACTGAAATTATATTCCCTCTGCAAGGATATAAAAAGTGAACCTCAAAGTAAATTTAGAAATAGATCATTTTAGTTAAATTTGCCCTTGTTTTGGAAAAGAGCAGTGAAACAGATTATTTTTAAATAAAAAATAGTAGATTGAAGGGATTGCCAATGTTCAAATAAACTGATAAAATGGATGTCAGTATATCTGATAGCTTTAGCTTTTTTAATAAATTAACCACAAAATTTGAGCACCAAGCTAAATGCAAAAGGCTAAAAAAATTATTTTAAATGTGAAATGTTAAAAAAAATACATAAAATGTTAATTTAATGTTAATATAATTTTAATTTAATATAATGTAAATGTAATGTTAACTTAATGTTAATTAAATTAATATGGCCACGTCAGCCACAATGATAATTAATTTTTTTTTTCGTTTTCTTGCACTTATAATTCCCAAATGGTTCTGGCTGATTCGTAGTGGGATACCCCTTGATTTTGGCCAATTTCTCAAGTTCTCCGGGATGACCGGCAGTTTCTCTAAGAAACTCTCTCCGGTCTCTGGAAGTGTGTGTGTGCGTGTGTGTTGGTGAAGTGGTTGCAGAGTGGGAGAGAGAGTATCCGGCCGACTCCTCCTACTGGAGGCCACTCCCGGATGCAGTGCATCATGGGTCGGCTCCTCCTACTGGAGCCCACTCCCGGATGCAGTGCATCATGGCCTTACTTGACATGGGCTTTCGGATGCCAGATGCCTTCCTGCTTGGTGTGGATCAGGATGCAGTGCATCATCACTTGACTTGGCATGGAGTTGTGTATATCCTCCTGCTCGAAGTGGAGGATGCACTGCATCATGACCTGACTTGGCATGAACTTAAAGGTGCCCGATCTCTTAATAACTTCCTGCATGGAGTGGACTCCAGGATGCAGTGCATCAAAACCGAAGGAGGTGAGTAGCAGTTTTTTTTTTTTTAAGTGATGACGTGGACTTTTGTAAATGTAATGCAATTATTTAATTAAATATTTATTTTATTTTATTTCAGGATTTTGGTTGTGCATTTGGCTGGTTGCAGAAAATAATTGGTGACACCATCTTATATGTAACTTGGAGCTGGTCATCAGGATGCAGTGCACCAAGGTTGTTACGCAGTGAGTACATCCGTTAGACAATAAATATTCAAGTTATTTATCTTAAGAAATCAGAAATATTTTGACAAAGAAATTAAAAGCAACAGATAAAGTATCTGAAAGTATTCAAGAACATGAAAGAAATTTAAAAAACGAATTTGATCAAATATTTAACTGGAAAAACATGAAAATCACACACAATTAATAATTAAAAACAATTAGGGACGTATAATATTAATGTATATAGTAAGAATAGTTGTAAGAATGCAGTTACCGGAGACATATAGTATGCTGACACCACCTAAATGGACTGGACAACAGGCTGCCGGATCAATTATGAATGGCGTGATCTTCTATTGAAATCCACTCCAGGATGCAGTGCATCAACCCACTGGGGTATGTATCTTTTAAACTATTAATTTGTATAAAATAATTAAACTAATATTTTGGAATTTTTCTTTTCGTTACAGGTGATGACTATACCTTTCTACTTGGAGTGGGCTTCAAGATGCATTGAATCAATAACCCAAAGAGGTAAATACCCTTTTACTGACAAATGTATTCTAACTATTGTTATTTGTAACAAATTATTTTTTTTTTTTTTTTGTTTTTTATTTAATTTCAAGGTAAAGTGTAAATGATGCGGATAAAGTGGTTGCAGTGATTATCTTATTGAACTCTACTCCAGGATGCAGTGCATCAACCCATTGGGGTATGTATTTTTTAAATTATTAATTTCTATAAAATAAATAAACTAATACTTTGAAATCCTTCTTTTCATTACAGGTGATGACTGTCCCTTTTTACTTGGAGTGAACTTCAAGATGCATTAAATCAGTGTTTCCCAAACTTTTCGAGACCGCGACCCACCTACATAAAAAATTACAAGATCTATATGACAATTAGTACCCACCAAAAATCTACACGCGACCCACCAGTGGGTCGCGACCCACACTTTGGGAAATACTGCATTAAATCAATAACCGGAAGAGGTAAATACATTTTTTACTAACAAACTAATACTTACCATAACTATCTTTAACACTTTATTTATTTATTTTTTGTTTCTTATTTAATTTCAGGGTAAAGTGTAAATGTTGCGGATAAAGTGGTTACAGTGATTATCTTACTTCAAGAAGACGAAAGATTGCGGTACACCTAGATTTTTTCGCAGTGAGTACATGTATCAGACAGTAAATAATTAAGTTATTTATTTTAAGATGAAAAGGTAGGCTAGCTTTAAAACAAAAAGAAAACGCAGTGTCTTCGCAACATCTTAATATTCCATAACTTGGCCAATTTTAATGCAAATCCTAAATGGCGTACCTCTAAATGTTCGTTTGAGAATTCTTGAAGGAACTGCATTAAAAATGTTCCATTCTGGGAGGGTCGGGGTTCAAGCCCCTCCAAAAACCGAACCTAACTCGGTCAATTTTACCCAACTAAAATTCTTGGCTAATTTTTAGCGACCGAATATTTCAAAATATCCAACATGCAAGTGGGTCAAAAATGCGACTAGCGAAGAAGGCTCAACTTTAAATGCAGTTCGTTAGAGAATCGGTTCATAAACACATTAAAATCGGGAATAAATTGGCAAAGTTATGGACTCCCAAACAGTTTTGGAATAGTTTGGGTCGATAACCATGGAATTTTTGAAAATATCCACTTTAAAATGTGAACATAGTTTGCCCTTAATACGCAGTTTTGGCCTAGCTTTTTGAAGTAACAAAATATTTTTTTTAAGAAATACACTTATTTTGCTGTCAAATTGACGTAAAAGCGAAACTTAAAATTTTAGGTTTAGTTTAGATTTCGTAAATCGAAAAGCAGAGTTTCGTAAATTAATAGTGTTTTTCGGCTGCGCTCACTTGATTTTAGCGAATCGTCATGGCCGACGATAATAACAAATCAGGGACCGAAAGTTTGATGCCTGGTAAGGTTTCGTGGGGAAGTCCATCATACCACTTGCTCCTCGATTAGATAATACTTAATGATAATTATGCCGGCCATGCGGCTAGGTAACGCATATTAAGTATTCCCTCCTTTAAATTGTTCCATTTTACCGCAGTCTTTTTGGAGGATTTGGATGAGAAGGAGCAGGTGCGCAAAATCAGCGCTTACCTCCAAAACCTGTGCGATCGCTTGAGGCTGGGAATCCAGCAGCACCAGGACGTCGTCCAATCGTCGGTCCAGTTGCTCAAGGAGGTTGGTGACGTTAACAACATGATGCAGTTGGCAAGAAGTGGCCACCAGGCCCAGGCCACTAAGATCCGGCGCTTGATCATGGGTTTCGAGACGGTCAATGCTGCGAACGCGCCACAGATTCCCAGCGTGACGGGAATCAGCTTGCCCTCGGACCTGACCGAGATTCATGGCCTCTTGGTTGAATTCGAGCACCTCAATGAGAGCCAAGTTCTGCGCGAAGGCCTACTAAACTTTAAGCGGGCCCGGGAATCGCTGGAGAAAGTGCTCGGCTTTCTGGAGAAGATTGGCAACGACTCCCCTCGACCTTCCCCCCAAGCAAGCCAGCTGATTGGGAGCCCAAGCGCCAGTCGCAGTCTCCGCGAGAAAATCGAAGCTTTTAACAAGGTCTTAGAGGCGGGCCCCGAAGAGCTGGGCGACACCTGCCGCCACTTCAGCGAGTGCTTCTGCAGCTGCTGCAGCTTGGACGAGTCCCCCGAGTCTGGAGGCTCCGTTGCCTCGAAAACCAATTCCGGATACGAGGGTGACATCGACAGCGAGGTGGAGCAGTCGAATGGGTCCACTCAAACAGAAAATTCTAAAGACTTGCATTTGGAATAACTCAAATAAGATAAAGATAATTTTTTAGTGTTTCTAGACGAATTCAATGATTTGGTGGTGAGGACCGCATCCTGAAGAACAATTAAACACTAGGATTTTCAGTATATATGCAATTCTGTGATATAATTAGAAACATCGGTATGGTTTCGATATAACCTTAAAATTGGTTAACCAAGTTAAAAGTGCCGTTCAGGTATTTTGGTATTGTCTTCATTGTGACTATGGAGGTGAAAATACATATATAAAAATATCACACTATACTACAATAAAATCATCTAAAAAATCACGATGCATTCCTGGATACTTCGGTTCCGCCGGACTTCCGGCTAGGTCAGCAGCTCGTCTCTGCGGCTTGAAACAGATCCGAGTAGTTAATGGCGAAGAAGATGGCCACCGCCCCGATAGCGGACCCCAGCTGCGTGATGGCGCCCACCCATACCAGCGACTGTCCGCCCTGCGCCCGCATCACGGTGGTGATTCCCAGCTTCGTGTAGCTGACGATCCCTACCAGCAAAGTCCAAGCGGTGACCACCAGTACGGCTCCCACTGTCTGATCGTGGAGTGGCGGCAGTGGACTCAGGGCAGCCGTGGTAAACACGTAGCTGGTCAGCACACCAGCTAGGATAGAGAGCACGGTGATGATGCGTAGCGATGTGAAATGCAGGAACATGGCCATGAAGCACGCCACGGGATTGGCAATGACACTCAATGTGGCCGACAGGTGATAAGCCTGGGATCCATACGGGGCACTGGAGTAGGACTGGATGCTCCCAAACATCCCGTTGCTGAACAGCGAGATGGCTCCGATCAGTAACAGAAGGTATGTGTACTGCCCCTTGCTGAGCTTGTCCGCCTTGGGTTGGTTTTCCGCCTCTCCGTAAACGTACTTGTTGCCCTCGCTGACGGTCACTTCGGCATATTCCCTCCTGGCCACTGAAAGGGAGTTGAGCAGGGTGTATCCCACGTAGGAAAGCACCATCAGTGCGAAGAGGATGAGGAAGAAAACTCGGGTGTCAAATCGTGGCGGTGTCTTCTGCAGCTCGTAGATCTCCTGGCCGGTTTCGGTTACATTGACCAAGACACAGTCGCCGCTCTTGCCAATTCCCTGGATCAAAGCGGTCACGCTAGGCAGGAGTCCACTAAGCCCCTCGCCAATGAAATAGGTGACCATGTACTGCTCCTTGAAGCGACCCATGTAGGGCATGAAGAGTACCGAACTGGTGCAGGCGTTCAGCGCCGTAAAGCAGGTCAGCACGAATAGGGCCAGGCTGTGATCCACTCCTGCCACGGTAGCAGTCCGGTTGTAGAAGAAGGCCGTTAGTAAGCAAGAAAGGGCTCCCACCAAGAGCACTCCGTGGATTGTCCAGCCGTCGTTCAACTTTTTGGGTGAATATTTCTGGATGGCCGTGTAGAGCAGCGGACCCAGGTTGCCAATCTGGACCATCACGCTGAGGTAGGAGGGCAGGCTCCAGCCCTCCGGTGCCTCGTCCACGAGCAGGGGCAGTTGAATGAAAGTACCATTAACGCCCAACCAGGTGCCAATGCCGAAGAAAATGGTCAGCACGTCGACGATCCAGCTGCGCTCTCTCAGCTTCGCCGCAACTTCCACACTCATTTTCGGGCTTCCCCAGTTCAAGAACAAGCCCAGCTCACTTTTTCTGGCCTCAAGTGAAGGTCTTCTGTGAAAAAAGAAGGCAAAGACTTATCATTACAACGACATCAATGTCATTCTTTGGAGAGAACTCGGAAAAGAAACTATTTCAAGCTTGCAACATTGTAGACAACTATTTACCCAGGTTTATGGCTCCAAAGCCCGAAATGTTTGTTTAATGTTCATTTCGTTTTAGGGCTCAGATAAGCCTTAAAAGTCATTATCAAGCATATGGTATTTACAGTTCATTATGTTTGTCTTTTGGACAGATAACCGAACGAGTACGATTTAAACGGGTCTGCGGTTTTCCGTTGTGCTTGGGTTCCACGCGGGAATTTAAAAAATTATGATGACTAAAAAAATGACCCAGTATTGAATTGTAACTATATTACATTAACCAAGCCGCGCCCCCTTTTTTTAAAGTATGATTTAAATTACAATGATATACACCTCTTTAACAACATTCTGCTTTACTATTTTACGGTAAATCCATATTAATAATTTACTTAATTGGCTGGATATATCTTCGCTAATCTTATTTTCAAGTGATACTGACGGGTGTGCCGGTGGTCACATACGATCCTGATCTAATCTGCTAATTCAATTAATTTGTGACCAGTCGAATGGAGTGTCGTTGTCTGCACGTATCTTGGGAACCCGATAAGAATCTTAATAGGAAACGGCACTTAACCCCGAGTTGCATATTGACAGTAAATAAAGATGATAGCTTAATCTCAGAATTTCTGATTTTGGATTGATGGAGTACAATAAGAAAATAAGCACTTTATAATGTTCTTCAATCAAGAATGTAAATATGTAAAAACATATACACGCATGTAGTATATATACATATGTAGAAAATTAATCGAAAAACTTGGCCAAACTCCGTTTAAATTGTACATATATTAACAAGAGTTTAAAGCGCAAAAACGGATAATAAACTATAGGACAATTAGTGACGATAACCGAATTACTTATTGGGAAAAGCCGTCTATGAAAGTTGCTGCGTCACGGGATGGTCGTTAAACCTTAGACGCCAACAACCAAAGAAACAGACCGATCGAAAGCCCGCCTGCAGCCCAATATTAAGCCGGTTTTCTCTCTCCAAACAGTAAATCAAACCAAAACAAAATAAAAACGTTTTCGAGCCGCTTACCTGGCGAAATCCGCGAGATTCGGAGCAGTGTCGTCCGACGACGAGATCACGCCGTAGACTGGCCCAGCCGGATTCGTGGGGCCACCGGCTCCTCGGCCTTTCTGGTACCTGCTCATATTCGGATTCGGAGCGTACTCTTCGAATTAATTTATGGTCCCTGCGGCGCGATTAGATTTCTCGATCCAGGCCACTGTGGCTGTACGATGGGAAGTGCAGGCCAAAAGCGCTTGATTCCTCCACTTGGGTAGTTATTAAAAATCAATTCCTCAATTGGCGAAATGCGAAACAATTGACTGTTTAATACAAAGTCGAACTTTCAATTAACTGTCGCAGCTTCGATGGGAATATTAGGTTTCTTATGCAATATTCTGGGAATTTTATTCGATGGTACTGCAGAATACGAAATGCAGGAGTTTCCAGGATGCGGAGGCGACTGGAGGAGAGCTTGTCCAGCTGTGGCAAAATTTGTCTTCCATTTGATCACTTCAAAGCGGAATTTGAATTAATAAACATTGGCGAGAATAAAACTTACAGCCGAACAGCTGTTCCGACCGATAAAAAAATACCGAAAGCAGCGCACGTGCGCCAAAGAGAGCGAACGTAAGATACTTATTAACAATGATTTTAGAAGGGCATATTAGCCAACGGCATTCCCGTGAGTTGTTAAATTTAATATTCGAAAAAACGAAAATGAAAGATATTTCATCGGTATGGCAAAATGATGATGAAAACTTCGAAATATTATTTTATCAATTGATGCCTTATGAATGAATACTCCTCCATAATACCAAAATAACGCCAGAAAAAAAAAATAACATTTTGACTGTTCTGCAGTGCCTGTTTCATTTTATTTTTAGCGCTATAAATATAAAGCAGTGTGTGAAAACCATTCCCCAAGAATCCCAGATGAATGCAAAATTGTTCGCTCCCAGGAGGAGCACGACGCTAGCCAGCGTATTACGTCGGCTGTCTAAGTTGAACAGAGCTGCCGATACCAGCTCTTACTTTCCCTGCACTTTGGATTGGAGCACATCGGGCACCGCATAAGGAACTTGGGGTTGACTGACTGTTGGGACTTTAGGTGCTCCGCCACTATGTTGCTTAGGGCGTCGATGAACAGTGGGTGGTCGTTGGGGGCCGCTGCGCGGCGAATCTCCTCTACGCCTACCTCCTTGGCCAGTTCGTCGCAGTACTCGATATCCAGCTCATGGAGGGTTTCTATGTGCTCGTTTACAAAGGCGATGGGCACCAGGATGAAGTTCTTTAAGCCTTGCTTGACGTATCCCTAAGTAGATTGAATATTTCTTTAGTTCGATCCTGGGAATCACCATAAACGGGAACTCACCTTAATGGCATCATCGGTCGCAGGTGCCAGCCAGGGTAGCGGGCCGACTTTGGACTGCCAGGCCAGGCTGTAGGGATTCGTCTGGCCCAGTTCCTGCATCACCATGTGCACGCTGGCCCCGATCTCCGAAGGATAGGCGTCGCCCCGGCTTACAGCCTTCAGAGGGAGGGAGTGGGCGGTGAAAAGGATGACCACATCGTTACGCTTCGTTTCCACAAATTTGGCCAGTTCATCCCGGATGCGCTGGGCAAAGGTTTTAATCAGTAGAGGATGAGTGCCCCACCGGTCGATGATGCTCCATTTGGTGTCAGAGGGCAGGTTACTGCAGGCACAATATTGTCAGTTGTGGTCAACTTTATTTAGTATTAATTGCTTACTTGTTGCGGTAGTGCGTGAAGATGGAGTTGAAGCTGGAGCCCGAGGTGGCGCAGCTGTACTGTGGATATTGCGAGAAGAGAACTATGCGCTCTGGATTGTCGCTGTAATTGGATATTGAGAGTGAGTGTTCAGGTTTTTATAAGTAGCAGTCCAAAGACATTGCATAGTAAATTCCATTTGACCTGTGGTCACAAAGGACACGCAACACGATAATTGAAAAGTCAGAAAAGGTGCAAAAAATATTTGCAACATACGCATGAGTAAGCAATTTCAGTTATTCAGTTGAGCCAATACCACTATACCGTTTTTCGTAGTTTGTGCTAGAATTCTTGGTCAACTATGATTTCATCACCGAATACTTTTTGCCGGCTGCTTGGCTCACCTTTCAATCTCGGCGAGTGTGTTTTCGGTGAGCGGATTCACATAACGGAAGCCCACGTAGTGCTTGTGCGGTCCGGTCTCCGGTGAGATCCTGTCCAGCTGCTCGCACATGAGCTGGCCCTGCAGCTCTGTCCACTTGAGGATCGGCGACCCGCCGCCGATCTCTTTGTACTTCTTCTGCACCTCCGGCGTCCGACGCTGGGCGATCCAAGGTCCAAGCCGACTCTGTACAGGCAGCTGTATCATGTCCCGGTCCGTCATGATGCGGAGCAGGTAATCGTGCACCTGGTCCGTGTGAGTTGGCCCGCCCATGTTAAGCATGAGGATTGCAGTCTTAGGCCTCTGGCCGCTCAGGTGGCGAATGCTGGTCGCCAGGTTGCCTGCTAAGAGAGAGTAATGCAACAATAGTATTGGAAAAAACTGAGTTGACCACCCACCTGCTAGCCTGCACAGTTTTGTGTTATGCAAAAACATTATGTTTTCTTTTATATTGACCCAAATATTGCACTTTAAAGGTGAAGAAACATCGATGTTTAAAAAGTGATTAGAATCATCGATGTTCAACGGCGACTATCGATGTTTTTCCACTACTCTTAGATTGCCCTGTTGTCATACGCTGGCAGTCATGCCAACTCAATTTGCCGAGAAGCGGTTCGTTCAAAAATAAATAAACAATCCGCATTGTCAAATTTGTAATTTCAAGTTACGAGAATATTCGTGTAAATGTTTTGCGTCATTTCATAAACACACTTAAAAGCAATATTAAAAAAGACATCTTGAAAATAAACTATTGTTCAGTGTTTAAAAATACATTTTTTGAACAAATTTGTGTACGAGTATAACTATGAATATTGGCGTTTTTGGGTAATAGTATTTCTGGGTTGGAAGAATTATATCTAGAATATACCGATATCATAGCGTGCAATGGGACATTTTCCACGCCTGCGCTTTTCCAAATTTTCCTCCTCCTACCAACGTCAGCCAACTGTCGTGCAGTCTCGCTCTTGCACGCTGCATTTCTCTCTTGTCGCTTGCTTTGAGTGTCCGTTTCCTCCGATCAGCAAACATTTTTCAGTTTTTCCAGCAAATGCAGCTTCAAGTTCTGTGCAAAAACACAAGAAAAACCGCCCGTGCCAGTTGCCCAAAAGGTGAAATAAAATAACTGAAAGTGTCGTTAAATAGCGGGAAAGCGAAAGAAAAGCGGCGCAAAAAAGTGAAAAAAGCGATAGGAAGTTGTGGAGTGAGAGGGAGGAAGCGCCACCGCGGTGGTGGATTTTTCGCGTATTGGTATTGGTGTCGTCTTCATATCCGTGTTATCGCCTTTAGCATTGAGTTGTTCCAAATTCGCGGCGCATGCGCAATATAAAACGCGCTCTCTTTCTGTCGCTCTTTCTTTAGAATCGGAACAGGATATTTTATTATACTGAAATTCGTACGCAGGAAATTCGCATAGTTGTGAAAGCTCCGCGTTGCCACACGGACGCATTCCGCAGCTGGCTTCCCCGCACACCCACACACTCTTACTCCCACACGCGCTCGCACACACACTCGCGCAAAAATCAATTATAAGGCAAAAAAGATAAGTTGCAGTTTTTCCGGGAACCCAAAAACATGCAGAACCTAACTCACAAGTTGCGAAAGAAATGCCGCAGTAAAAAGTACGCAGGCAAAGCTCTGAAAGCGAGGAAACTGTGAAAAAAAGCAACGAAGAATAAAGGAGAAGGAAGCAATAGGAGAGAGGCTGCAAAGATGTACTGCAATTTGCAAGTCCATGCCAATGACCACCGAACCAGCTATTTGTTTCTAACAACAAACACACCGCAAAGCTATTCGCAATTTGCATTTTTTCATTCTCACTGCCCCGGAAGTGAAAACAGCTTCAGCGGAAATTAAAACAAATCGAAGCCGAAATAAAAGGCACAGCAAGCGAACGAGCGAAAGAGAGTGAGTGAGCTAGCTGAGAGAGCGGAAGAGAGCAAGTGCATCCTCTTTACAGCACGGCACACATTTACGACCGGTGACTGCAACTGGCCCACTCCTCCTTTTTTTCCCTCGCCGCCCACTCCTGCACCCGCCCCTCTTCACCCTCCTTCTCACTCATGTCCTTTGAAATTTGTGATCTCATGTTTTCATAACTTGGGCAGCAGCCGTTGGCACGGATTAGAGGAAAAGCGTCAGGCGTCAGGACGTCAGGACGCATCCATTTGCAAAGTGCAGGTGAGTGGGCCGAAAAGCGTAGAGAGTGGTAAGAGCTATTCAGCGGGTGTGCAATGTGCAATTCGAAATGACAGGTGACGATGAAGTGGGACAGTTTTCAGTTAAGGGCTAATTGAGCGGCGGAAAGCCGATCAATGGAAACGTCATGTCGCTGTCAACTCCAGTTTATTTGAATGAAGTTTCGACATCTGCAAACAGCGAACTTTTAAATAACAAATTTTTAATTGAAACAAAATACGATGACGATCGTAACAAGAAAAATTTGGTCAATTCGATTCTTTTAAAGGAAAATGTTCTTTACCTATTTTTATTAATAATAGCCTTTCTTTACCTTAAGCTAAACATTACAGCAACACGGCAAAATGAAAAATGTGGTATTTCGCGGTCGCTGTACCTCCCACGACAGTTTACAAGTTTCAGAAACCAACAACCAAACCAAAAAATAAAAGCAGAATGCAAAAATTAACCACAACATTAACAATCAGAAATGTTTTTCTTTCGTTTTGTATTCCACTCAAAGCCCCAGTTTCATTTCACTCCCTCAAAGCCGCCCCTGAGCCATTAAACTACCCTTAGAGTTAAGAGCTTTGCTCCAATTTTACAAGCAAACAGAGAAATATTAGTGTGGGGTCCAAAAAACATAAAAAACAGAAAAACAAAAGGAAATGCAAGGTATTCAAGAAATAATATCTTTATTTTGGCCTAAAATCGTAAAACAAAAACGACCTGCAAAAGCTTTAAGGGGGCCATCAATTTAAATAAAAAAGGAACAATTATAATATATTCGTAAAGCTTTACAACGTTTGTTATAATAATATTATTATGTATGAGGTAGTCAAAACATTTTTTAGCTAGTAAGCTCATGGTCAAAATATTTAATTCCTTTTTTTAATCCGCTTATACATATGCTAGACTCTTATGCTTCAACGCAATGGGAGGAGTGGCTGCTTCGTCCGCTGCATTTCATGCTGGGCAACCATAATTCCCTCCATATCTGCACTCACTAATTAGATGAATCCCTGCGCTTGCTTGCAGCTTGCCAGTTTCTGTTTTGAGGATACTCTTCTTTCCCACGGCCAATTGGCAAGCTTCAAATTTGGAGTTCTGTTTTAAAAATAATGTATTTTATATCCCAAAAATATGTTCAGCAGAGGAAATAAAATTGGGATTCTAGCAAGAACCTTTTAAACCGGCATAAAAAAGACGCAGGAAAGTGTTTGCGTTGTTTGACCAGTGAAATCTGAGTTTCAAAAAATGCTTAATAAATATACGTTATTCGCCTCAGTGTGTGTTTGGGGTGCTATGGTCCCCGGTGGAGGGTTTTGGTTTTCGTGGAAATTCTTTGCCGGCAAAAAGGCGTTGTGAATATACTCGAACGCAGCAATAACAACGCCAAATAATGTGAGGTTTAGGATTGAGCCAAAAAAGAGCAATCGATAAATCTATCTTGGCAGCGCAGAGGATAGCTGTCGTCATTTTTGCATTGCCTAAATGGAGAGCACTGCTCCTAAAAAAGCCTAACATAGTTAATTCTAGATTACGTATTAACATTTGTATTTTAAATAACCTAATAATGTTTGAGTTCTGAGCTTTTTTAAGTTAATATATACTTGTATATTACAATTTATAAGAACATTTTTCTTTAAAAAAATCCATAGCTTCCGGGTATCCGTTAATATTTCTCCTTACATTACACTTTCGCTGAGCGTTGCCAATTCTTTTTCTGTAATGTTTTTCTTGCTCACTGCGAGAAGTCTCTGTTTTTTATTACTTGATAAACGATTTGCCATTTTTGTCGCTCTGGCGGAGAGTGGGAAGTCTTTGTCACTCATTTATGCACACACATAGCAGACTGAATTTATGATGTCATTATAATAAATTTTATGCGTGCCTAGACAACATTCCGGCGACTGGCGACTGGCAAAGTTGTTCTCGATGTGGTAATGGTTGTTTCTGTTGGCAGAAAACACCCGGTCAGAATTTTTGCCGGTTGATTGCTGTACTCTGTCGTTGTGACACAAAGTATCTTGTATCTGCATGTTCCAGCTTTTCCAGCTCCCCCGGATGGCTGCAGCACACCCGCTGCAAAAGTAACTATGAATAGACACTTTTCTGTTGCACACCAGCAGCTACGCCATTTGGTCTAATACTTTCCTGCTTTTAACAATTGTTTCTTTTCTAAATGGTATACTGAGCACAGCGATGATTTATTTCATTATTAAAAGTGTAATTATTTATTCTGTAAGTTATTAGTTATTTGCTTTTTGCAACTCTATTCTCTGCATAGTGTAACTATATTCACTAAAACTAGTGTCCTTAGTGTCCTTTGAGTTCGATGGATCTTTTCAACAACAATGCATCGCTGAACCAGCATTGAGGGTGGCGAGGAACTCAGTTGTCAGTGACGCAGCTGGACCCCTATGTATGCAAAGGGTTATGGCTCGATATTCCTAGTACGTTTGAATGTCCTGTGCACGATTGTAGCATTTTTCATTGCATTTGTGGTGGAGCAGGATGAGGATTACAAGGAAACTTTGCACAGGGCAGAAAAAACTGGTAGGGAAATAAAATCACAGTAGGAGACGTGGGCAATGTGCCAACCGAAGCTTCACTGGCTTACTTTCGGCATACGTGCCTTTCGTGGTGATGACAATAATCAGCCGGGCGATGATGACGAATAGTTTTAGTCTAGGGTATCTATGTTTCTTTTTCCGCTCAATCCTAGCTTGCTGATTTTTTTATGATTCTGTGCTGCTAACAGCGAATTATAACTTTTTTGGTTAGGGTGGATTTTTCGCTGGCGCAAAATAAAATTTGCATCTAAGGGACAACTATTTTAAATTACTGATTTACTTTTCGTTTTTTGAGGAATAAGATAAGATAAGATAGGATTTCCATTTCTTATATAAAAGCATTGATATATTTACAAGCCCTGAAGGATCATTTTCTTTACAAGAATACAGTTCAGCTTACTGGCGAAAATCAGGCCAACACAATTAGCCCTAAGGGTGAGACAAGCTGGCTGCTAGTGCGCATTACAATCGTGTGTGTAGGAGAGGAAAAGAGATATTTCTAAGTTTTTCGCATGTTGTTGTTGTTTACTTGCAATCGACGGCGGGCAGTGACTGGATTGGCCAAGTTGACAAAAAGAATTTGGGTAGAACACTTAAGGAGAATTGCGTAATATGCAAAATGTTTCTTTGTTCAATCCTCGAAACTTGACAATCTTAAAGTGAAGATTTTTACTGTTAATAAGGATAAATGCAATGCTATTAGTGTCAAATGATTTAAATATTCCATTAAACAATAGGGAGAAAAACTACTTCCTGATCTTGGTATTTGTTTTAGTTTCTCTTGAATTGTATTTCATAGTTTTTGGCGGCCCCCAAGCTGAAAACTAACATTTTGTTCGTCGAATTTTCGGAAGACGAAAGCTAGGGAGTAGGGCGAAGATTGCAATATCAGCTCTATAAAATCAGAGGCAGACAGCTCCTCGATTAATGCTTACTATAGAGGAGCTCACGGAGTGGTCCGGAAAGCGGGAGAAACTGTCCAAGTACTTGTCAGGCAAATGCATATGACACATGTCAGTCCCGAGGCTCCAGGCCCGCGAAGTGTAAAGCTTCATTAAGTTAGGGGGACCAAATACATTCCAAACAGCAACGCGATGCTCAGGTTGTCCAATGTTAGGAGCAACAGCATTAAGACTTCAATTTTGCGTTTTGATCAGAAAATAATCATGATAAAAGAAAGATGAAAATGCTCGATACACGTTGATAAATTAAGATGTATGAAATGAACGGAAAAGCCTAAAACTACTTTTAAAATCTAAATATCTGTATTTATTGTATTACTGGACGCGAACAAAAGAGTAAGAGTAAGAGCATACCTATATGCGTAGTTAGTAAGTCACGTCTTTTCCGCGACCCACTGTGTCTCGTCATGTCAGGCGGCTATAATGCGAGTATGTCCCAGCTTGTTGACAATCATGTGACAGTAAATACTTGCTTACGACTTTGCGCTTGTTTTCAACTCATTACTTCCTCTCTGCTTTCCCCTTTCAGGATTTGAAATCACACAACGAAAAAACCGAACTTGCATTTTTATACCGAATTTTTGTAAGAGCCTGAGGAAAGTGTTCAGCATTGACCAAATGCAAGTGCCTCCAACTCCTGTTGGACGAGCAAGCAAGTGCGGCAATTGACAAGAGTTGCCTTCGAACGAAACCCCACCCAAGGCGAGAGGAGAGGTCAGGAACGAAGGAAGATATTCCCAATCGGATCCCCACTAATAAATGCAGTGGAAGAAGAAGTTTACTCGATTGAAAGCAGCTACTGGAAATTCGCGTGTGCGAAGAATGCTTTGTTGTGGACGTAGAAAGGTAAGTGATTGACTAGAACCGATATTAACCCAGTGCAAAAGGATATGTTCCCTTTCGAGCCAATTAAAGACTAAGCAAGGTTGGCGGATGCCCTTCCCGGTTTTGTAGCATACTTTGTAGCGCTATAAGTGATGATAAGTTCAAACTGTCAGTCAACCAGGGTTCTCCGTCATTCTGTCAACATTTTTGTAGCTGCCAGAATAAATTTACATTTAACGCCTGAATTTCAATGATGGCTTAATTGCAAAATCCGATTTTAATGCTGCTTCCCGCACCGGAGGTGGGGATGTGTGGGTTTCAATGACGCTCTTGGAGAGGCGTTTCGACTTTTAGGAGGGCGTTGTTTAAATACAAAGTGATGTGAAACATGTCGCGCCGCTCTTCAATGCCATCGATATATGCTCGGCGACAAATTCAATTAAAAGCCACACGTGCTGCGTTTATCGAACTTTAATCAAAGTTACCGCACAGTTTAATGCAATTTTTGAAATGAACTCCCCATTGAATGCCGAGTAATTGGGCCGAACAAAGGGGTTTAATCTGCTGGCCGACAGCACTTAATTTGATTGCGACTCGTGCTCAGTGGAATGAACAAGAGTGTTTGCTCGACTGCTCCCACCTGGCCATTCCACCGCCTTATTCCTTCGTGGCTTGCCCGTTCATTAGGCACCTAACAGAGCAAGGTGTTTCACTTCGGGTTGCCAGGAGGGCACTGGAAGATCAGCGGACTTCTCGAGGCGAGCGACTTTTTCGAGGTGAAAACATTATTTTCTGACTTTTTTAGAAAACTAAGAAACACAATGCGAGTTTTAGGAGACCTCCCTGATAATCGATACACCAGAAACCAAGTCCTCTAACAGACTAGCTTGCCTACGGCTTTTTTCTCAGTGTAATCTGAGCAAGGCTGCCACCTCTAACTGTCTTGCCGCTAGGAAAAACTTTATGATAAAGTCCTTGCGGATGAGTCCTTGGAGATGCAGTTGCCGGCGTATTTGGACCGCAGCCACGCCCTGCACACACTCTGCCGCCTGTTTGTTTTAGTTATAGTTGATTATTTTTCTTTTGGCCGCGTTGCAAACTTTGACTTTGGCTCCCTGACATCGCAAAGTTTAACAAATAAATTAATTTACCCGCTGCACCAGCGCTGCCGAAGCTGCCATCTTAATCGTCCCGCGGGGCTGGCGTAGAATTCAATTTGCACTAGCGGCGCCCTAAGACCGCTCCGAATTGTGCCTCAGGCGCGAGAACTCTGAGATTCCCTCGAACCCTGCGAGCTTGTGACCTCCTAAAGAGTATTCCGAGTGCGGCGCACCCTGCCGCCGCTTTTAAATTGCATTTCTTTGCTTCTATGGCTGCCGTTGCTTTAATCAGTTTTGCGCCAGGCGCAGTAAATTGATTTGTTAAACAATTTTTAATTGAAATAAGACGCTGCCGGGCAGAATGTCAAACTTTTTGCCAATACTGGCAGGCTTCCGGTTTTCCTGGCACTTTAAAAGAGGCAAACAGCTGGAAAGTTGGTCAAGTGAGGAGCGTTCGCATTCCGATTGGCACACGAGTAGTGACTGGCAGCCAAACGGGCAACGGGAGATGGCAGACGTGCCAGGGGCAGAAATCAGCATATTGCATTACGAATTGGAGGGCTTGCAACGCTGAAATCGAAACCATTCAATGGGATTGTTTTGCACGCTGCAATCAATATCCAGGATCCAGTTGCATCTGCAGCCTTTTTAGCGGAATTTCGATGAATTCCGACTGCCGGCGAGGAGGTAAATTATTTTGATTTATCTGTGGCGACGCATGAGTGATGTGAATTGGTGGCCCCAAATGTTTGTTGGCTGTTTTCGAAATTTAATTGAAATCTAATTGATAGATAGTGATGGGGGTTAGATTATATTAATTTTTGGTTGGGCTCGGTTTTATTAAGCTCTATGATTTCAATGCAATCCATTCGATTGGGTTTTCAGGTGTTATCCAAATTTAACAAACAAATATTTGTTGGTTAAATAGATAATGGTACTAGGGAGTTCTTACTTATCGATTAGGATAATTCCAATACTTGTGCAGAGTCACATAATTTGAAGGCTTTAAATACCTCCGCCCCATAATTTTAAAGACTTTTCCCAGTTAATAAGACTGTTGCAATAGATTGATGGTGTAGTGGCTCTCGGGACTTTAAATGTTTGCGTGATTAGTTGCGCACTAGATGGAAGTTTATGAAAATAGTTTGCGGCTGTGGCCGACGGCCCTTGATGTATAGGAAGCTTGTTGGAAGCTTTGTGGAAAACTTTTCCAACTTGTTTGCCATGCAGCGGCACGTTTAGTGCTTTGAAATGGCGCAGAATGACGGCGTCCCCTTCAGGCAGTGTTTCCCCCAGTCTTCCCAGCCCTAGAGTCTGTCGAGTGCCATTCACAAATAAATGGCGGGCATTTAGGCGGCCACAGTCTAGAGTCTTCCCTGGTCTGTTTGAGTTGCCTTCCGAGTTGCCAACAACAATTGAAAGACGCAGCCAGGAAACTGGGAGCGAGGACCGGCGCAGAATTTTGCCTTAATGCAGATAAGGATATTGCCTCAGCTGGAGCTGCAGACGGTGATAGTGATGGTGTGGCTGGTTTTATGTACATACACACCGAGAAGAACCCCCGCTCAATAGGGAATGCCCAAATTGGCCTCTTCTTAAAGGCAGCTTCTTCTTCTAGTGAAAGTTTATCCGTCTTATAAAACTGATCGCTTGTCCAAACCCTTGCTAACAAGGAATTATCAGGAGCTATGAGATTGTGCTTTTAGTTCTCTTTTTCCAGTGTAAGCGTCTTCAGAGATACAAGTCGGAGGTACAAAGTTTCGCCCAAGACAAACACTGGCGCAGCATTTCTCCTGGCCGTCGGCCAACTGCTTCCGATATTTCGTGCTATTTCTTTTGCCTTTCCCCAGCAATTTTTCCGCTTGACTACAGCGCAGAAAAAGCGTTTCTGTCCTGCTGCACTTTCTGGAGACCCACATCTTCGTCCATTGTTTTAGTTGCCAAATGGGTTTGAAAAAAGGACAAGCTAAAACTATTAATTGGCAACGCAGGTGTAGCGGTTTTTAATTGCTGGCAACGCAGCTCAAAAAGTTTTTACTCCCATGCTGCTTAATAAGCTTAATTTCGGGTGCATTGACTTGAAATAAGGCGAGATATGGCGAAGTAACTCCAACTCGTTCACTCATTAATTTCTGGTTCTGCTTTCAAAAAGCCCATTCATTCTGCTCTTGAAATTTTTATAATTTAATAGGGGTAAATATATATATTTTTTGTGTCTCTAACTACTGGTGTTTTTATACAACATATGTATTCACACAGAGCAGTTGGTCAGCATAGGTTTTTATACTGTGATCAACTTTACTGAAAGACTTAGAACTTAGAGAAACAATTGCAATCACTTAATTAAATAATTCAGTGAGAAGTGGAGACTAGTTTCAATGTATTTGCGAGGAAGTAAAAACGCTCATCTTGTGCCAAGTTTCCCCCGGCTTTCGACCCGGTTAACATTGTATGCCAACTGGCTCAAGGACGGCTTTCTCGGCACTTTGCTTACCTTGTTAGAGATGCTTACGTGCCTGGAAATCCAGTTCAGACTTCTGCTGCTCGACTCGGCTCAGGTACGTGTCCTTCATTTGCACAACTAATTGCAAAGGTCTTACGCAACTGCGGGAGACAGTCGGTACGTCGTAACGTCGCTAGTCAGCGAGAAGTAGAGGTATTGAAATGTTTTCGTACTCATCGAAGAGTCCCCCGAGTTTTTGCGTGCACGTAAAACATTTGCCTGTCACGGGGCTCGCACTCTGCCATTGGCGAACTGGCGAACGTGTTTGTATTTTGCAGTTTTGACAGTTGACTTATAACCAAGGACCAAGCTCTAAACCTATTTTTAATTATTTCCGTCTGCAGGGCGGCCCATTAACATGATGAGGCGGAATTAGCCGGCATTGCGGTAGTGATAATGGCTGCTGGTCGGCAGAGCCGAGTTGAGCTGCCGAGCTCTGTGCCGCACTCCTCTGGCTGGTTTTTCGTGTCGACTTTTAAATGGCAACACTGCGTATGACACGTTTTATTTTTGGACCATAAAACCATCCGCCTCTTGCCGAGACGGCGGTCACTGTGTTTGGGGGAGTGCATCCTTTTGCGCAAATTGAGGCCACTCTGCAGCACGCAAGTACAGTTATCAAAGCGAACGACGGGAGCACTTTAATAATTATTAACTTGTCGTTTTACTTTACTCTGAATCGTGTTATCACCTTGACGTGGCTAGAAGCACTCGATTGGTTGACTGATTAAAGTAGACATCCTGACACTCTGAAATTGTTTGGAAATCAGGACCAGTGATGTTTACCCCATCTTGATCCAATCTACGCCGAGTGGACGGACGGGTCGGGAGCGAGTCGTGGCAGCTGCAGAAAGTGCAGTTGCAAAACGAAATTAACCCACAACCTGCAATCCTGCAGAAGGCAGCATCCACACACACACACGGTCACATCAGCGGGCGGCGGTGGTGTGCGTGAGTATCCGTGTGCGCACTAAAAGCGGTTTATGCCACTCACATGCAAACCCAGTTGCCTGCCAAGTGTTTGGCTGCGTCCAACACCCACACGCGATTGTTGTGTGGGTAGGTCGTGGCTTCGTGTGCTCCATGCTCCACGCTCCATGCCACCCACTTGTCCGCCCCCTCTCCCCTGGGTTGCTCAAATTTTCTGTTTGCTTTGCTGTGGATTTTCGTTACGTTACGGCGGAACGCCCCTCCCCCAGCTTCCTTCCCCATACTCCCCCACACTTCCCACTTTTTCGTACCTTTAACGTATTTTGCATTTGCTTGGCACAGATCTGGGGGCTGCTGGGTTGAGGCTGTGGGTGGGCTTGCTCTTCCCTCCTCTCACTTCCCTCTTTTGCTCTTCTACCCCAGCTCTCTCTGCGAGATTGCCACTGCTGTTTGGAAAGCTTTTGTAGTAGAGAAATACGAACGTTTATGTTGTTGTTAATTTTCCCTCTTTTCGTTCTCTCCTTTCTGTGTAATTCTTTGGCTTTGCGGCTTGCTTGCGGTTCCTTAGAGTGGCCAGAGCTGAGCAAAAGTTTACGGCTTACGAAATCGGGCAAAAACATTAGCGCATGGTGGCTCGACATTTAATATGCAACATGAAAGGTCACAATCACGCAGAAATGCCTTTTCAAAGAGGAATTCAGAGCCTGATCTACAATGTACAGATGTACATACGTGATTCTGGATGCCCTCGAGTTCGAGATATTCCATGAAACACCTAGACGACCATCTCGAACCAAAATTTGGCAACACACTTCAGCAGGAATATTTATTTTAGTATTGTGATATTTATTACATTTCCATGATAAGCCCAAAAAAGGCACGTACTTACATATGTACATATGTATGAAATTTATTGTGCGTGGCTCTTGTCATTAAATACGTCGTTTTGAGGATGCTGATGCAATGGACTTTTGCTGCGCACAAAGTTTCACTATTAATAGGACAAGCCACAGGCGACTGAACGACAAAGAGACAACAAATGACATCAATTAGCAGGGCGAAACCCTAATCGTACCTTGGGAACTGACATGTTAGCAGGCGAAGACACCTCCAAAATTGTGCCAAGGCTTCGCAGCCAGTTAGGTTTCGAATGTGATTGATGGGGTGTGGGTGAAATAACCTCAGAAAACGCTTGGATAGTTGGCGTAGCATTTTCACGCCAATTGCGATTAGTTGTTAACGCGGACTGCCATTAGTCTAGTGCCAAGGCAAAGCCGGCGGCATTAATTGCCCATGAAAGCACTTAAAGGGCAATTTAGCGAGGAGTCCATACTCTCCACCCCTTCGAATAACTGGGGTTTACCTTTGAACCCGAATAGCACTCGCTAAGCGGCTTACGCCTCACGCAAGAACAGCGCGAAACTTTGCATAATTCACTTGAGGGAAACAGCATCAAAGCCGCATCAAACTTGGTCTCCCAATTTGGCTTTTTTCCTGACCACTCTAACTTTGGCCTGAAGAGGCTTAAGCATACTTTGGACCAGGGCTAGAAAAACCTGAAGAAGAGGGCAAATATACGGGTTCTAGACAAGTTTTTAAAAAACGGGGCAGAGGCGGGCTAATATTTGTTTTAGTTATTTTTCTTATGCTAGTGTCAGTTTAAAGTTGCGATAGATTCTCTTAGTTCTATTTAAACCATATATACTACCTAATTATACTGTTTGAGATGTTTTTAGTTTTAAAATTCTCTGAGTTGATATTTGAATCCTAATTTCAGGCGGCCTACCGGTGTATCATTTGAATTTTAACTTTTGGCAGGTCAGCGGCCCCACGAAAGATTTGGTTCCTTGATGGATTTTCCCTTTTCCAAATGCAATTCCGTTTCAAGCGGCGCGTAGCTGAGAACTCAATTTGCTGCGCTTGACAAATTCCAATGACAAAGAATTTTTCCTCTCCGGAAGTTTGTTATTAGTCGCTCGCATCCGGCTGCCACAGTCGCCGGATAAATTCGATGACCCAGCGAGGTGGCCATCGGAATGCCGAGTCTCCCTTGGCCACTCCATCGCCTCCGTTGCGCATCTTATCCGCGCAGGCGTCAACGGTGCGTATACGTAACGCGGTGTTTTTGGGGGCGAGCACTCGTCGTGTGTGGTGGCGTCGCCTGTGGTTGCCTGTTCCTTGGAACACACTTTTCGCAGTGCATTTATTTTGAAAATCGCCCGGCCTGACAGTTGATGGCCTGTCAGCGGCGGAGGGCTGCCTTGGCTGGATTGGCAGGCCGAAGTGACCCACATTAGATTGGTTCGCTGGTGTCGATACGAGAGTGCTTGTGCAGCTTTTGTGAATGATGTGGCCAACACACACACACACACGCGCACACAAACACTCGCACGGGGCAGCCCCAATCTCTGCACTCGTTTTCCTATCAATGTAATGCGTTTTTAATGGCAATGCTTGCGTTATCTGTTTGTGTCATCGGCGCTGGGCTGTTAAACATATTCATAATGCGACCCGCCCCCAAACCATTCGCTTTGTTTCGTTCCGTTGATTCGAACGGCTTGATAAGCAAACATTTGCACAAGCGCCATTGTGTTGAACCGTTATCATTCATAATGATTCTCTGTCATGCCAGCCGGTCCCGCAGCATTTTTGAGTTGGGTCCGCTGGGCCGCGATCCCTCGGATGGGTACTCTGTGGGCATCTCGTTTCATTGGCCACTTTCCTTCCCCAAATGGACCTGCCTCTGTAACTGTTGTCGATGTCGGGACTAGGAGCACTTTCTGGCCAGTGTGCGTGGGATCAGCAGAAGGCATAAGTGCCAGTCCAGTGGAGACGATTTGAGTGGCATTCAGTTAGTCCTGCTAATGTCCCACGTACTTGTGGTATCCCTAACACTGTGCTGGGTCTAGAAGCTCACCAACAAAGCTTTTGTGTCGCTGAAAATAGATGCTTTTTAATCTCGGTTGGCGTTCGATTTGAGTCTAAGTGGGGGAGGCCAAAATTGAGGCACTTGGAAATTGGAATGGTTTGGGGAAACTGCTACTGATTCTCTGAAATTTTAAATAATTTAATCAAAAATAACAGAAACAGTTAGAAAAGATTTTGGGTTTAACTACTTCGGCAGTCGAAACCAGTTTGCCTTCGCAATAAATTATGCGAACCGAGTGTCCTAGGCATTTGAACAAGTTCAAGAGCGCTCTGGCGAAATCGCATCTGGCAATGCCGGCCAGGAGTTCCCAGCAGACGTCTCCTGTACTCCGCTCGTCAGTGGGAGGCGCTGGCATCCTCGCATCCTGGCATCATGGCGCGTATGAAACACAAGTCCCCAAATCCCGACTGCCAATTTTTCCGTGTTAAATAATTCAAGTACATACACACACAGAGCGGCAGGCGGACAGCACGCAAACGCACACCAGTGTCCGAGGCCCGAAGTTTTCCGAACGAGAGCTTTCGCTCCCGTTACGCAAGAAAGTTTTCCGACTGCGAAGGAGAGCGAGTTCGGGTGGAACTTTCTCTACATGTGTTTGTGTGTACATGTGTGGGTGTGTGAGTGGCTTTCCCTGAATGTGAATGTGCTTGCTCCAATTTCGAGAATGGAGATGTTACGCCGCAACTTCGGCTCGCATTTTCCCGTTTTCCGAATTTAGAGTTCGCTCGCCGGGCAAGCGGATTCAATACGCAAGTTTCAGTTAAGCGCGCCGGACGTTTGACTCGTGGTCCGTTCGAGGGAACAACGTCGTGCGTGCGTAGTAGTACACGACCATACACACACACACAACCCCATACAGAGCCGAGCTGCCGAGCTGGGAGCTCGTGGCGTGTAGTAAAACTCATTAAAAATCAACTTATTCAATACTATTTCACGCACACGGGGCGAGGGAAAACGCGCGCGTTCAACAGAGGTCCCCAAAAACCGACTCAAGCGAAATCCTCGTCATCTTCGAGGGCGGACTCTAAAAATTTCTGCACAAAAACGAACGGAGTGCGGCGGTAAAAGTTAAATGTCGCGTTAAACTGCCTCGCGCGATCAATACCGAAAGAGGCAGCAGAAAACGACAGTCAATTAAAACGGTCTTAGGGAATACATACATATTATTTTTTCAAGGCAGAAGCAACTCTACAACTAGGTAAACAAGCGCCGTATGAAATGGTGGAGCCCAGTGCACGTGTCCTTGTGTGAAGTGTGCGTGTGTGAGTCAAGCGAAATGTAATTTATCGGGGCCAGACAACGCTGCGTATACGCAACATAATTTCTTCGCCGTCTTATTCATTTTTGTATGCCTCGTTTCCCTTCTTTTCGACTGTCCCATATACAGACACAAATTTTGTTGCCAAATGCGCGCGCTCACGCCCCCTCACACACACAAGGGCAGATGTAGTCCACCACTCCGTACACACACAGAGGCGAAACGGCACATGGCGCTGGAGCAGACGCACACACTTAAGGTTCAACAGCCCGACGATTGCCTGGCAAGGATAAGGGTCTAGGAGCAGGGAGTAAGAAGGCGGGGGCGAAGGGAAGAGGGGGTACGTGGGAGCATGGGCGGCCCCCAAAGCCATTATCTTCGACAACGCTTACCCACGTATCTTGGCTCGCGTTGCGTATACGTCGCGTTGCCTGCTGCCAAACTCCCGCGGATTTTCGGGGGCTTCCTCTGCAAAAGTGGCAAAATGTAATTTTTGGCATTTACTTTCCGCTGTTGGTCTGCACGTCTGCAGCGTACACCCGCAGCCTTCCTGTCGAGCCACCCACTCAGCCCAGTTTAAGTTGCCAAAACGGCCGCGCGGGAAATGTACCAGAGCCAACGGCTTTGTCTTTATATACACTCCGGCAAAAATCCCAGTTTATTTCCCATTAAAATGTCATCCTAAACATCATAAAATTATGGGATTTCCTTGGCCACAGAAACTTCTAGTTGCATAAATGTGTATCAAGTTTTTCAGACTGACTAGGTTACTAAACTGTATGGCTATGTTAACGGTTTGAACCACACTTATTGCATTGTTTATTTTTTAGATATTTATTTACTAAGTGCATTTTTTCTTTAGTCAGCGATGGCGCTTAACAGTTTTGAAAGTGCGCTATACTTGTATCCGCCTTAAAAAGAAACACCATTTTTCTTCGCCACTCCCTCCCTTGCTCCCCCCAATTGGTAGGGTTTGCCTTTGTTTCGGCTGTTGTTCTGCCTTTACCTCCTTTTAATTTAGTATGCCTGGAATTAATGAAATTTCGCACGGCCAGACAAAATTATTTTCGCCCGGCAGAAAGGCGTGAAGTAAAATGGCCGAAGGCGGCTCCATTCGCTCCGCATCCTTATCTTCAGCTGGCTTTCTGCCCGACAGGAATTAGTGAGGGGTGGGGCAGGCCGCATTTAAAGAGCCATTTAAATCAATTGTGTAGAAATTTTGAGATTGAGAGCGCCATCGAAAGTCGCCATTGGCAGTGAAGCGTAAAGGGAAACATAAATATTTCGCTTGGTAACAAAAGGCAGCCAAAACGGAAACCACACTCACACACACACTGGCACACGAGTAGGGGTAGGGGGTCAGGGGTTAGGAGGTATCTGGCAGATATACCGATATACCGAGCCACTTATAGATACAGTTAACACAGCTCTTGTGTACTCAGAAAATGGAAAGCGGATAAGGCCATAACCGGGCAAAACAAAGCGAAGAAATGATACAATTGGAACTAAGCCTTAGGACGTGGGCTGCAGCAACAAAATACGTATCAAATCAAACCCTGAGAAGCAGTTACGAAACCACCGAATCCGAGCAAGGATAGAGATACAGCGAATTAGTATACAGGGAGCATAGCTCGAGTGGAAACCAATCGATTTTGGTGCCGCGAAAGCAGAAACTATCTCGTAAATTAGACAACTAAACATATCCCCTCCACGGTCCACAAGTATAGTGGACATCGCGTTTCAACCTCCTACCGTCGATGCAAATCAAGCAAGTTGGCTGCAACGAAATTAATGTGTGATAGCGCCACCACAGGATGTTTCCTGACCAGAAGCAGCCATCGCAAGGTGAGTGTGTTGAATGTGTGGGGATTGTTTATTATCAGCGTGTTGAGGAATGTGGCCTGGGGCCAAGCAGAGCTTGCTGGGGTTGTCCTTGCAGATCCGCGAATGCAAATTATACGGGATTTTTTTGCACTCTGCCTTCGAGAACCAGTAACTTTGTGAACCAGTAACTTTGGTATACGACGAGTTGAGCGATACACCCAACATAAGGCATGAATATAGGCTTAGTTAAGCTTTGCTGGGTCAAAATAAGTATTTCCGCAGCATCACGCTGCAGGGTGGAAAGCGTCGAAGGGGCAGGCGTCAATGAGCCCACATCAATATTAACCGACGCTCCGAAAAGCGCTCGAAATGTCGCAAGACGGCTTGAAGTACGCAGGTCCAATCGCCGCCCACTGCCACTCCACGTGGGATGATGGGATGATGGGTTGAGGGAATGAGCGGATGAGGGGGTCCTCAGCCCGAGGCAAACGAATTTGCATGTCATTTTTGTATATATTTTGTGTGTTTCACTTAATATTTATGTATATGGATCGGTATGCAAATATTGCCTTTTGCACGCTGCGGAGTTGCGACTATTAGCCGGTTGAACCCCCGCTCCCCGGGTTTTTATTTTCATTTCTGTTTCTGCCATAAACGGCGCACGCTGGTTCCCTTCCCGTTTGCTCTTTTTAAATTACTTTTCCCTTTCTCTGGTTGATAGCGAATGTTCGATTGTGTGCGTACTTTCATGCGGATGAATGAATAAATAAATGTGCGTTAAGCAAATAATAATACATATTTTATGGGTGCGCGGAGCAGAGGCCAACGAACCAAGCCGAATCCACTACTCAAAAGGTTACCGAAACTAAAAAACTCGGCAAAATAAATAAGCCAACTTTGAACTTGTGTTGATAGAGAGGAGCCAACCCACTCTTGCCCCTGCGCCATGGCCATCCAATGGGAAGCCACTTGGACACATAATCGCTTTTTGTTTATTTACACACGTATTCATTCGGGCGGCCACAGATTGCAACTCTCAACTACTTTGGCCGACGGCGGCGGGTGCTTGAAATATTGAAATAAAATTCCATTAAGCAGGCAGCCTTTCGACGGGGCGCTAAAAATATTTGCATAGATAATGGCGAGCACGAAACTGTGAGCGCACTTCTTCCATTCCGCTGGGTAATTAAAGCCTTTGGATACAGGCATCGCAAGGCAACTAAAAATGTTGTTTCCCCTTTAAATTCTAGAGCTAAGGTGTATGGCAATTTAAGGCATTTATTTTCGTAAAATAAGTTCACGGCTATCTCAGCTTTTACTCCCAAAATAAATTGTATTCTTCAAGTGTACACAGTGGGCACAATGGGCAGGAAAACCCTTCTCGGTCCTCTGCCTTCAGCGCCAGAACCCCCATTCGCGATGGTGTCCTTGTGCATCTGAGCGATGTGAGTGGCCCGAAGCCAGTGAAAGGTTTGCCGTGCACTCTTCTGGCACTCAGCTTTCCGGGCTGGATATCTTCATGCTTCATCCAGTTGACACTGTTGATTGGATGGAGGCTTAAGGCCTTTGATGCCATGATATCCTGATATCCTGATATTCTGGCACTCGGCTCAGCCGAGAGAGTGTGTGTGTGTGTGTGTATGTGTGTGTGCCTGGCTGAGCGGGCCGGATCTAATTGCATAATGCGATGCTTGGAATGCGTTTGACGCCATCTTGGTATGCCCCATTGTTGCCGGCAAGCAGATTTGAATTTAATCAATAAATCACGTATGCGCCGGGTGTGCCGTGCCCATGAAAGTGCGGGCAGCTCCACGCCACCCTCCACTCACCACCCGCTTCCATTTCCATTCGGGGGCCCCACCGCCTCCTTCCTTTTGCTATCGGAGCGGAGTCACCTCCACAATGCGGCTTGTGCCACTTAGGCTGTCGTCGTGGTTGTAGCCTTGTTGTTTGCCTTAATTTGCGGGTATCTCGACGGGCGCGCCTGCACCAGGCCAGATCCAAATCCAAATTCAAGGCAATCCAATCTGATTCGAGTCAAGCCACAGCTCTGGCGTCGCTGCCAGTGGCGGGGAACGAGAATGTGCCCGGTTCCCAGGTCCTGCCCACACATTCTGACATTGGCGCAGCTGCAAGTGACAACTATTATTAACATGGCAGCGGAATGGTGTGCATTTGGCATTTAATTGTATTTGTTGTCAGTGGATTCGGTGAGTTCTGGACGAAAGCAGGTGAACGCAATTCGGCATGGAGGCATGGGCATTTAAATTTATAATTATCCGGCCTTTGTTTGCGGCTCCATGGGAATTTTGTTTCGGTATTCGTTCGGTTATGTTCGCATTGTTCTCTGACTTCCTGAAATAGTTTGGGCCAACGAAATTGTTTTGTCTCGCTAACGTCCAACTGGAATGCAAAGGTCTGGAGCAGAACAACAGTTCCTTGATCCATTTGCTGGCCGGAACAATATTTGTTTTCGAAAACGAATCATTGAATTAATGTTCAACAAAAGTGTCAAGCTAAGAATTGTTCCCCAGAACATAAAACATTCTGGTTGAAGCATGTTATGCCCATTACAAGTTTATGGCCGAGACCCACTTTTCGGATGGTTCTGGTCCCTTTGGGCTGGCGTAGTAAATTGATCAGTTTGAGCACCATTGCACAAATAGGATGACGTGTTTTTTTGTATAGAGTTATTAATTGCTCAACGCTGGCAAAACAAAATCAATTTCATTAGTTCAAATGGCTCAAAGCAAGGGCAATTATTCTCATTTGACTTAGACCATCTGAGCAGCGTCCAAATGAATCCAACAAAGCAATGGGTGGAGGGGCCAGCATATCATGTTAAATCACACCCCCGCCAATCAATCAATGCGTCGCACAATCAATCACCGACAGAACATTGAGGGGCAGACACAGGAACTATCGAAAGGAAAGTAAGCCCCGAAAAACAAAGGCAGGGCTGTCCAGAAATCGATTTGGGGCTCAGTCATTACAATTATGGCTGGTCAATTATTAACCTGGCCACTGAGTGACGCACTCAGCAAGGCGAAGTAGGGCTTAGACTAAACTATATTGGGTACCTTAAACAGTTCGGGGTTCCTTTGCCGAGCAAACCCGTTTCAACTAGCTAGTCCAACTTGTTAGCCCAATACCTTTCACACATTTTGAGTTCAATACAGGCGAAAGTCTGGCTTACTCTATTTTGGCTGCCGTTCTGGCAGTTAATGGCGTCTGCTTTGACATAATTACAATTTTAGTCAATTTCCGTTTTCGGGTGTTTAGTTTTTATTTGGCTTAGGGCCTCTAAAATGGTTTTATTGATTTGTGTTGTCACGCAACTTCCTCTAATGACTTCCGCCCCTTCCCTCGTTTTCCCCCTATTCCCCTCTCTCTTTCGTCCTGTCGTAGGTCCTCTCCAAATTAGTTTTCCTGCCAGCAGAAACTGCCAGCCAGAGGAATCATCCATAATTAAAAAAGCCTGCCAAAGTCAGTCCCCAATATGTGATGGTCTTGAGGATTTTCAATTAGTTGTCGTCACCCGGCGGGAAGGCGAATGCGTGCAGGAGAAAGGGAGGTCGTCACCCACTCTGGACGGGCTCTGTAGGCTGGCTGCTTAGTCAGCTGCCGGAACAGCATAATGAAGCTGAAATGGGCTTAAGCAGGCAGCCCAGGCAGAGGGGGTTCAGCCAACCTTCGGCCTCCGGTGAGTCACATGTGCGCCAGACGTTGACTAAAGACGCTTAATGTAAGCCCGCCCTGCTAATTTGCATTTGCCGCAGCAGCACTCCTCCGCGCGGCAGCCAATTTCCTAGCTCCCCGCCTTATTGGATTTGCCGGTTAATAAACTATGTACTTACTAATTAAGTGCGCGACTCGCTGCAGAAAACTTATGGCCGCAAAGTGAGTGCGGAACTCCTAAGGCTATGCAGCTAAAGCCCACGAAAAAGAGAAGAAATCGAGCCAGAGCTGCAGTTGTGGGGAATGTGAAGGCTTCGTTAGCAAATAAAGCTGCAGGAGCCCTAAGCAGGTATCCAATAAAAACGGTTTAAGAAAGGTGTAATGCTTCGGTTTAAACCTTCATGTGATTTTAAGAGCTCAAGCTCAGACTCACCTTTGCTGAAGCTTAGCCCGTGCCAGCCCGAGTACTGATTAAAATTATGAATACGGACTTTTAATATGTGTATGTCACAAAGAAAGTGCCTGGGAAATGATTTTGCGGAATAGGACGGGTGCAGGACACTAATGGGCCACATGTGGGTCCATAAATACTCCTCGCTTGTTGTTGCTTTGGCACTTCATGTGTCCGTTCGGAGTCCGCCCTTTCCATTTCCCCTCCCCCATTCCTCCTGCCCAAGCGGAGCTGCACGCGATGCACACCATCCATGCTGATTGTTTCTGCCGGAGTCCACTGGCCGTTCTCGTTAGCAAACAGCAATAACAAAGGGAAGCCATCAACAATGTGCCGCCTTCTTGTTCTCCGCCCGCCTGGCAAGTCCTTTTATTGAATACAGTTGTTCGACCAAGACCACGCCCACTTTTGCAACTCACACACACTAACTAACTCAAGTGGGCGTTCTTAACTAGAAAGAAATGGACATTTTTGTGCCTTGCGGTGTGTGTGTGTGTGTGTTAATGACGCCTCGGCATTCGCCTGAATTATTTATTTGGTTATGCATTTCAGTTGGCGAACTGCAAGCAAACACCGAAACTCCATTACAGTAAACACACTTTAATAGTTTAATGCCAGTTAACCAGTAACTTTGCCAGCAATTGCCCAAAAGGCAAAAGATTGAAGAAAAGCTGTTGCCCAGAGGATCAAACTTCACTGGTTGGTCCATACACTGGGCGAAAGCTAGTACTAACGTCAGTGCGTTTTCAGCAAGAGAAAGGAAAACGTCTAAACCCAAGCTGAAAGAAAGAATTCCAAAGAAATAAGTTACAGCGGAATACTTCTCGTAAGGATCGAAGCTTGGTGATTTTTTTTAACATTCCAGTTATATTTTAAAATGGCAGAAGTTAGTTTTGCTCTGTGAATATTAGTTACCACGAAGACGCGTCAGAATAATTTTGGCAAGTGAAGACGGACTTTCACAGAATATGCACAACATATACGTATAATAATGCCTATTCGACTAGCAGCAATGGACGGAGCAGGCGCACTGTCCAAACTTTCTCCCTAACGACATCTGCTGTTGTTGCAAGTTTAGCAAAGTTACACAACAGCAACAACAATGGAGTGGGGGCGTGGCGAACTTGGGGGCAGAGAGTCGCCGACACAGGCCGAAGTTTCGCAATTCCAAAGCCTCCTTATTGCTCTTTTCCATGTTCCGGCCGGAGCGAACATGGTTTTCGAAACCACCGATCCGAGCGAAGAGCCACTTGAGGAGATGTTGCTGCCGGGCAGCAGTGCAACTTTGCTGCTGACCGCAATTTGTGTGTCCGCACACCCTTTTCCCAGATCCCGTCTCGAACCATTAGGAACTTCGCAGGCGACTCCATCTAAAACCAGTTTCCAGTGAAAACCAAAGTTGCACATTGTGGCCGTCGCCCTTTTCCGACGGGAAGGCGGAAGGGGAGTCGTGTGACATCATCGGAGAACGCCACCTGTCCTGGGCTCCTGGAGCTTTGCATGGCGCTGTGGCCGAGTAGCGTGGCACTGACAGAAACTACAGCTGGCAAAAACACTCGGACCAAGTAATTATAGCCTTCTTTCCAGGGCAACAGCCATCCAATAAGTTGAAGGCGTGGTGGCTCGCACTGCACTCAGAACAAAATGCTAACGAGGTGACAAATGTTTTTCTCTGTTCAAGAGGAAAGCTAAATTGCGTTACCATGAAGAGTTCGGATGGGATATTGTGAACTGCGCCAAAGTAGCCTAATTAATGCAAAGCTAAATCTTTTAGCGCGACTCGAGTGCTCCAGCAGCTGGAGCAGCACTTGAGTTAATTTATGCAGCAGCGTGCGGCACTCGAGATTTGCATTTAAGCCTGCGAACCTAACGAGCCCAACGAACCCAACCTTACGAAACCCTTGCTTGTTCTGCTTTTCTTGCAGGAGAATGGAAGATCAGTTCCTGATGTCACTGCCAGCCCGGGAAGAGCCCCGCCCGGCCCGCTGCCCGCCAACCAGGTGTCCTCGCTGGGCAGCCAGCAGCAGCAGCACCACGGCAACCAGCAGCACCATGCCAACCAGCAGCAGCACCACGGCAACCAGCAGCAGCACCACGGCAACCACCGCGGCCCGGGCGGCAGCCTCTCGAACGCCGCCGGGGTCAAGGACCCGGTGATGCTGCAGGGCGACTTCCGCAAGGTGAGCGGCATCAGCTCGGAGATCTTTCGCCAGATCGAGGCGGTCGAGAACGACCACGACCCCAACACGGCGGCGGCGCTCGAGGCGGTGGAGCGGCGCGGCGAGATGATCGTGCGCGTCCTCGAGCCGCGCTGCATGGGCAGCAAGCAGGCGGTGGACGCCGCCCACAAGCTGATGAACAAGGCCGACGGCCGCCACACGGTCCAGCTGGTCGAGATCGTCAAGCGTCCCGGCCAGACCCTCGGCCTCTACATCCGCGAGGGCAACGGGGCGGACCGCACCGACGGCGTCTTCATCTCCCGCATCGCGCTCGAGTCGGCGGTCTACAACAGCGGCTGCCTGCGGGTGAGTCTTCGCCTCCTTTGCGACTTCGCTGCTCTGGGAGCCCCCATTAATTCTCTTAAATGCTGTTCTTAGGTGGGCGATGAAATCCTGGCGGTGAACCTGGTGGACGTGACCCACATGTCCCTGGACGACGTCGTCATCATCATGTCAATTCCGCGCCGCCTGGTCCTGGCGATCCGCCAGCGGCGCGGCAACCGGGGCACCGGCTCCCCCGGACCGCCGACCCTCTCGCGGCCGGAGCAGAAGCCGCCGCCGGTGGTCGTGATCAAGCGGGACCTGAGGGACGAGGACCTGGACGAGACGGACCGGATGCCGAGGCCGCGCTCATCACGAGAAAGACGTACAGGTAGTTTGAAATGGGCGCCGTGTTCGCAGGGCTAATCGACCCCTCTCTCTTTCCCCCTCTTCCTTCCAGGAGACGGCCGCGAGATGACCGAGTCGCGCTCCCGCCTCGGCCTGGGCCTCAACAACTACAGCCCGCAGTCGGAGCAGCTGGACATGTACTACAACGCCCGCGGCGGCGGCGGAGGGGGCGGGGCCATGGGCGAGCCCCCCAACTGGGGCTACAAGCCCCCGCCGCCGCCCTCCTCGGTGATCACGGAGCAGCCGACGAAGGGGCACGCCTTCGCGCCCTCCCACGCCTACTACCAGAATGCGGGCACCCTGGAGAGCCTGGCGGAGAAGGTGCACGCCTTCTACCCCGGCCAGCCTGGCGCCCCGCCCCCCGTGGGTCCCTCGCGCCGCATGTCCACCGGCACCGGGAACGTGGGCCTCGCCCAGCAGCACGCCCGCTTCCCGCGCTCCGGCTCCGACCAGCACTTGCCGCGCGTCGAGTACGCCGACTACTCCAACTCCCTCGGCAGGCACTCGCTCCTGCGCTCGAGCCTGAAGCCGAGCACCGCCGGCGGAGCTCCCATGCCGGTGGGTGTGGGGGCACCCTCGGGCGCTACGGGCGCTACGACCAGCAGCGGGCGGGCGTGTCCAAGTACGGGCCGCCGGGCGGCGGGGGCGCAGTCGCTGACCCGACGCTCCCGGCCAAACCTGGACTACTCCAGCGACACCGAGGCCACCATCGGACCGCGGCCGAGCTACTACTACTACAACAGACCCGCCATCGGCAGCATGCCGCGGGGGGCGGGCGGAGCCGGCGGCGGAGTGGGCGCGGCGGCGGCGGCTGCTCTGCTGGCCGGGGCCGCGGACCTCAACAAGTTCAACTCGCTGCCCAGGGAGCGGCCCGGGGTGCGGCTGCAGGGCATCCGCTCCAGGATGGGCGACCGCCTGGTGGACGAGAACGACGGCAACACCTCGGCGCCCGAGTTCGACGCGCGGCGGGGCAGGGATCTGCGGCAGCGGATCACCGCCAGCCCGTCCATTTTCACGGCGGACGAGTACCGCGCCTGGCTGCGCAGGGCGCCCAGCAGCTCTGCGATCGCGGAGCAGATGCGGATGACGCGGGACATGTTTGCGCAGCCGCGGGCCCAGCGCTTCTCCTGCAGTGCGGAGAACATCCACGACGCGCTGCGAAACGTAAGTACACACAGTGTATGAATTCAAACGAATTCCTAGTGCTGAAATATAGAGTTCGGTTTTTGTTGCGTGCCGCAAGTACAATGCCAGTGGCAATAGTCGCCGCAATAAGTACAGTACAAATTGGGCTGCTGAGAAGTGAGTTCACCAATAGTTCTTTTCGTACTTATTTTATTGAGTCAAACTTAGGATTTATATACATGTTTTTGGGTTAAAGGATATTTACTAAGGTCTAGTCAAGATTACAATTATTTGTTACATTGCTTAGCCTGCCAAAACAATACCAGTTGGACACAGACATCTGAGAGAAATATTCCTACAGATGGGAGTGCAGATAGTGTGAGGTCGTGACTAATTGTGGGTTTTCTTTGTATGATAGGTCAGTGTTTGCTTAGGAAGGCCGATTTTAATAAAAGATCCTTTTCTTATCCATAAATACCGATCCAGCTGCAAGCTAATTTCTCCTTGACGAAAATCGTACTCAGTTTATGGCAGCACAATTCACAGCGAAGCATTCACACCTCTCCTCCGCTTTGTTCCTTTCGCAGACGGAGAGCATCTACTCCAGCAGGACCCACATCCTCGGCACCGGCACCCTGGACCGCAACATGGGCCTCACCAGGCCCATCTCGGCGCTGCCCGTGCGCTCCATGTCCTCGCAGCACATCGGGGGAGCGGGCTCCATCCGGTCGCCGAGCATCCGCCGCATGCGGCAGCTGCTGGAGCTGTCCGCCGGCCCCGCCAGTCCCAGCGGCAGCATCCTGAGCACAGGGGGCCACCAGAGCCCGGCGCCGACGCCCAGTGCGACGCTGCCACGGCCCCACCGCCAGATCGACATCAACCCGGCGGAGTTCGCCAAGTACAAGCTGGACAAGCCCATCGTGGACATCGGGGGCATCTCGGGCATGCTCTGGATCCACCTGCTCGCCGGCCGCGGCCTGCGCACCGCTCCTGAGGGGGCTGGGGGAGCGGGGCCGCCGGGCCAGACCAGGGACCTCTACTGCGTGATCGAGTGCGACCGCGTGCACAAGGCGCGGACGGTGGTGCGGTCCGGGGACCTCCAGTTCGACTGGGACGAGTCCTTCGAGCTGGACCTGGTGGGCAACAAGCAGCTGGACGTGCTGGTCTACTCCTGGGACCCGCAGCACCGGCACAAGCTCTGCTACCGCGGCGCCATCTCGCTCTCGTCGATCCTGCGCCAGTCGCCGCTCCACCAGCTGGCGCTCAAGGTGGAGCCCAGGGGCACGATATACATCCGCATGCGGCACACGGACCCCCTGGCGCTCTACAAGCGGCGGGGGCTGCCCAGCCTGCGGGCCGGCTACCCCACGCTCTTCGGCGCCGACCTTGAGACGGTGGTCAACAGGGAGTCGAAGAACGCGCCCGGCTGCGCGCCGGTGCCCATCGTTCTGAGGCGCTGCGTGGAGGAGGTGGAGCGCCGCGGCCTGGACATAATCGGGCTGTACCGCCTCTGCGGCTCCGCCACCAAGAAGCGGCTGCTGCGCGAGGCCTTCGAGCGCAACAGCCGCGCCGTGGAATTGAGCCCGGAACATGTTCCTGACATCAACGTCATCACCGGCGTGCTCAAGGACTACCTCAGGGAGCTGCCGGAGCCGCTGTTCACGCGCTGCCTCTTCCAGATGACGGTGGACGCCCTGGGTGAGTATTCCCCCGCAGCGAAGGCTGGGACGAGCTCACTGACTCCTCTCCCTTTCTGTTTACAGCTGTCTGCCTGCCAGACGACCCGGAGGGCAACGCTAAGCTGATGCTCAGCATTCTCGACTGCCTGCCGCGGGCGAACAGAGTAAGATCCGCACTCCGCCTGTCGCTCAGGTGACATTTGTACATGTAACTAATGCAATCGATCTGCAGGCCACGCTGGTGTTTCTGCTGGACCACCTCTCGCTGGTCGTCTCCAACTCGGAGCGGAACAAGATGTCCGCCCAGGCGCTGGCCACGGTGATGGGCCCCCGCTGATGCTGCATTCGGCGAGTGCGCAGCCGGGCGCTGACATCGATCACGCCCAGCCGATCGCGGTGCTCAAGTACCTGCTGCAGATCTGGCCGCAGCCGCAGGCGCAGCATCAGCAGCTGGCGCAGCACATGGGCGGCGCTGCGGGGGCGATGATGGGCGGCCTGGCCTCCGCCGGGAGCATGAGCAACATGGCCGGCGTTGCTTCAGGTAACGTACTCCCTGCTTCCGCCCTCCCACCCAGACCACCCCAGATCGACCGATACTCCGATACCCCATACTCCGATACCCCGATACCGCGATACCTCGCGGGAACCTGATCCTCCGACACCCAGAGACACACACTCAACGAGTTTGGACACACAATTGCAAGAGTTTGATCCTTTGTTCGTTTCTGCTTTGGATGCGCGCTGCCCCAGCAGCAGGTCCGCGTCAAGGGCGCTGCCACCCACCGCCCTCTTTCTCAACCCTAAGTGCGGCACGAAACCGTTCTCACTGTTAGCTGTTATGCCACCCACACTCAGACACACACACGGAACACACAGCTCCCGATCACCTCCGATCCCCCGCAGCGGTTGCCATCTTCGGACAGGTTTTGGGTTTGAGTACTTACCCACTTCTAACTTCTAACTTGGTAAGCATTTCCAATGGAAATCCTGGTTGGGGAACCGCGCAACATAGAGAAAGGCTCCCTGGGCGAAGGTGGCAACCGCAGGACACTCTCACCTAGTCACCAATTCACTCAGCCATGACAACACCCGAACCAAACCGAAACGAACCGAACCAAAACCAAACTGAACTGAACCGAACCGAACCGAACCGCGTCCACATTAATATTGATTAATACAGAGTCCTATGTAGACAGGTCGGCGCGGCGAGTCAACAGGGCAGCGTGGAAGCAAAGTCAGTGCGTTGCCAGCGGACAGACAGCAACTTCTACTGCAGCAGCAGGCGCAGCTCATGGCGGCGGGCAATCTTCTGCGCTCGTCCACTTCGGTAACCAACATACTCTCCCAAGGCCATCCTCAGCTCTCAGCCACAGCCAACAGTCATCTGTATCAATCAGTAGTGGGTCAGTTAGCTCAATCGCATCGAGCCTTGCAACAAGCGGTGCAACAGGTAAACAAACAGTGAACACTCCACCACACAGCCAACACAGCAGTACAGTAAAACAGCAGAGCAGCAGGACAGAGGCGACGCCGCGATGGGGAAACTGTACTTGCAACAAGACACAGAAAATACCCAACCGGAAACAAACAATCCTGCCACTTTCTCATCCACATAAACACACATTGCACTTCCACTTCCACTAACAAACGTTTTTGGTTCGGCGGGTCAGGAGATTCGGGCCTTTAAAGGGTTAATCAGTACTCTGGCATTCTAGATTATTATATGATTTGATTTAATGCCTTCCTGGTATATTTTTTTTTAAATTTCCTGAGCAGTGAAAATACTTTTTAAAATTGAAATTTGCATAATGAGAATATTTAAGTTTTTTTATTTGATTATTTTAAGTACATGAAACGAGACTCTCCTATTTCTAGCACAAACAAAGCCCTGCAAGCATTTTCTATTGCGAAAGCCACTTTTAAGTGACTTAACCCCGGAAAATTCAATAATAAGAACTCTAAAAGATAATCAACAAATAACAAATAAATTACTTATGATGCAGTTTGTTAGAGAAATATGGAAATGGAAACTTTTATAGGTATACCACTTTAAAATCGGATAAGAATTTGGAATGTGACGGAATGTGATTCGTGAAATTTTTTTTTTTTCAATTTCGAAAGGAGAAAAATTGAAAAAAAAAATCGGCCAAAAAATTAATACCTAACTGATGATGCAGTTTGTTAGAGCGATTTTTATAAAATTTTATTTAAATGTAATACTTGTTAACAAACATAATCAAATCAAGTATATATGATCAAAAACCACTGCGTGATAAATTGTTTCGGGTTATTTTTTCGATCTCTCCTAAGGAAGCTATCTTATAGCTATACTATAGTGACTTTAAAGACAGTTTTTTTGTATATTTGATATTATAAACTGGGTCCTCTAGTCATCATCAAAGGGACTTTTACGTGATAGGCGATCGAGATCTCGTTTAAGTGCTTGCAGGGTTAACTAACACATACAACACTTCACAAACATTCGAAGACATTATCTTGACCTTCTAACTTTTCCTGTTGACCGTTCTGCAAAAACTAATAATTGCAAACATGCATACCTACTGATATCTAAAAAACTATCTGTTGTCTATTTAATTTGAGCTTTTTACAAGAATATCAACGCCAAAAAATATTGTAACGTAAATCATGATTTGCTGTGATTTGTAACCGATAGACGTTGTAATTGTGTCTTACATGTGCATATATCTATCTGTATCCTCTAACATATCAGTAAAGAAAAGATATAGGCGATGCTAATGATGATGATTTGAGCGATGTGGTAAATGTTGAACGGCGTGTTAAGCATGATTGGCCCACTACTGGTAACAAATAAACATAACGACTACTTATAGTACATGTACTCCACTCCAATCCAATATGTAATCCATACAGCTCTGTATGCCACCACATGCCAAATGAACAAACACATCATGTAAATGCTTATTCAACTTGTGCGCCTCTGCCATTGTAAAAACTTCATCAATCATTATTGTTTGAGTTCCACAGTGAATTAGAAACCCCCCTCCCAGGAATAGAATTCCGTCCCTTGTTGGGTAGATTTTTAAAGATTACCAACCAGAATCCCCGACACTTTGACGTATTGATTTATCTGAATCCCAAAGCCACAGCTGAAGTAGTGTAATTCATTTTGAAGACGGGCTTGCAGCTTCCCAAGTTGTTCCGTTGACCACCTTTCCAACTGCATAGGTTTCGTCAGATTTATTTTTTGGGAAAACGCATTGATTTTTCCTTTTTGAAATCACCTTCAACCTTTGTCACGCCTTAAACCTGCACACCGCTCATACACAAAGTTCGTCCTTACCTCAAAGCGGTCTAAAGACCATAAGATATTTTTCCTTAAAGGCATATAGTTGTGATGTCACATATTCTTGGTAGTTCGTATTTGCTTTTGTTTTTGTACCTTTTTGCATGTCATACACCTCACGCTTTGGCTCTAGCACCCCTGCCCTAAAACAGTATTCCCCATCCCGAACCCAAGTTCCAATAAAATATAAAACATCGAATTGGTTAACGAATTGGCCGTCACCCGTACAAGAATCGCACTGCGCACGAATTGTCTGTTAATCTTGGCTTGTCCGTTGTTGTGTCGCACCATTATGGAAACACCCACATGGAAACACCCCACTAACACTGCAACACCTCACCCAAGAAATTCTAAAGTTCTAATTCTCCTCCACACCCGAACAAAGAACAAGCACGCATTGCGCCCCTAACTCCCTGAAAAGCCACCTGAAGCCCCTTGCCGATTGACAGCTGACATCTGACCAACTGGCGGGCATCCCTGCTCCCCTCTGCTTCCCAATCTCTTGCAGCCCTATCCATTGGGGGCCTCAGCGGGCTCAGCAACTCCCGACCCATCGCCACTGCCACTTCCCGGCACACCCTCCCCCGGCAGTAGTTCGGCGTCGACGGGCTCGGGCTCCGGATCCGGGTCGGGTAAAAGTGAGTAGCCAGCAGTGCCAGTGCAATCCGATTACGGGGCTAATGCGCTTGTAATCCCGCAGGCACGGACACCATCAAGCGCGGCGCCTCGCCCGTCTCCGTGAAGCAAGTGAAGATAGTCGACCAGCCCTCCAGCCCCTACTCCATCGTGATGAAGAAGCCGCCGCTGCAGAAGGACGCGCCCGTCGAGATCACCACCCCCACCACCCAGGCGGAGGCGGCCCTCTCCCTGGGGAGCAGCATCGGCATCAGCATTAGAGACAAGGACAGCAACGGCGCAGCCGCCCGCCGGGGAAACGTGGACTTCTACGAGCCGCACAGGGCGCAGGCCAAGAGCGCGCTGGCCGAGGAGCCCAGCTACAGCTCCAAGCTCGCCGGCTTGGAGGCCAAGAAGAGCGGCTTCGCGAGCGGTGGCTACGCTCCCAGCAAGCCAAGTGCGAGTGCGAGTGCGAGTGCAAGTGGCAGTGGTCTCTTCGCCGGCGAGGACTACAAGGCCATGCGAAACAAGTCGAGCGCTACGTCCAGCTCCAGCTCGTCGCAGGCCACCGTGCTGAGCGCCGGCTCCACGGCCACCTCGGCCCCGACCACCTCCTCGGACGACTCGGACGACCTGGTCTCCTACAAGTCCTCGGCCTCCACCAACGCGCTTCTGGCCCAGTCGCAGGCCATGACCACCAGCCAGCTGATGTCCAAGTATCTGAAGCGGGAGCCGCGCGTGCAGTTCACGCCGATCAAATCGCCGGACTCGCCCTCGCCCCCGGGAGGCGGCGACGGTCTGCCCAAGGGCACCTACCAACTGGTCACGCCCAGCCCGGGGTCGTCGAGCAAGCCGGGCGCCACCACTGGGGCCATCAGCAAGTACACCACCAGCTCAGCGGACTCGCTCTCCAACGCGAGCAGCCAGAAGTTGTCCTCGCCCTCGCGGCTGCCCAGCAGCAAGGAGACCAGCAGACCTGCGACGGCCAGCAGCTCCACCGCCTCCTCCTCGCTGGTGTCCACTGGGCGGCGGCTGTTCGACAGCCTGGCCTCCTCGTCGTCCTCGGAAACGGAGACCAAGACTTACGTAGGCGGCACCGTCGCGGCCAGCGCGGCCAGCAGCACTTCCACCTACGCCAACGACGCCAGGAGCTCCGGCAGCAGCAGTAAGTCGGCGCCGGGGGGCGGGGGGTCTGGACTGGGCTCCGAGCACCGAAGCTATGGCAGCACGCTCTTCGGCAGCAGCGGCCTGGGCAGCAGCCACAGCAACGGCCACGGCCATGGCTCCAGTCCCTTCTCCACCAGCACCACCGCCAGCAGCACCACCAATGGCAACGGGCACGGCAACCACAACGCCATGCACCTGTACGGCACCCTGCCGAAGAACGGGCCCTCGACGGGGGCTGCCCTGTTCGGCGGGTCGGGCAGCAGCTCATACCACTCCTCGGGGAGCGGGGGCAGCGGGGCGGGCACCGCCAGCAGCAGCGGGGTGAGCTCCATGACGGGCTCCACCAACAGCTACGACTTCTACACGAGCAGCAGCTCCGGCGGCAGCGGCGCGCGGCCCTTCGCCAACGGGGGCAACAACTACCACACGCTGGGCACCTACAGGGCCCAGTACGCGGCCACCAACCCCTTCCTGGACGCCTTCGACGAGAAGCCGGGCAGCAACGGGGGGTGCCGGCGGGGAGGACAAGCTGGGCGGGGACAAGGGCCACCACAGGGCCTCCGTGATGGCGGCCTTCCAGTCCTCGGGGGACTCCAAGAACGGGAGTGACGAGTACGACGACATCAAGTGAGGCTCGAAATGGGCTGTTGATCGTGTCGGTCGCGGACTAATTGCTGGCTTTGGGGGATTTTGAACGCTTGCCTCCCTGTCCTGATTAGATTAGATGTTTCTATGCTAACGAAAGAGTGCGAAGTTGCAGGCCATACAATGCTGAAAGTTTTATTTTGGATGATTTGAGGCTTAGAACCCTACAAGACTCTAGAGATAGATAACAACCAATGCGAGTTAAGGCGACGTAGGGGTGCAATCTCCACCCCACGGAAGCCACAACCCACGAAAACAAACAGAATAGGAAATTATATAATCGTCAAGCTGTACGTGTACGTATATGTGTGTTTATAAAAGACCCTCCTTATAAAACGCTTGACAGTGGGCAGCCATGCAGATAACATTAATCCGAATTCAATAACATTTACGAACAGTATTTTTGAGTGAAGTAACACATAAAGTGGGGACGTCAGCGTATACATTTAAACAATACAAGGGGAAAGTCTTTAACAAAAGGTTGATTGCGCATTTAATATTTACAAACCACAAACCAGTTATATAAAAGCATACACTCCTCTAATCAACATTAAATTACGTAAATTACATATTTTTCAATATTCCCATTCCGCAGAAATGTCTGTATATACGAAAAGCTGTCGTTCTGCCACTTTCTAGCTAGAACTAACTCTAACCGCATCGTTTGCTATGTGTGTGTTACACTGTGACCAACTTTCTAATCTATAGAACCAATATACACGACTACGACATCCTATCTAAGTTTAATATTGGACTACTTTTTGAGCAATACGAGTATATTTGCCTAAAGTGTTTCTATACGCCTCTTACATTTACACGCGCATATATACGATCAGAGTCGGCCGAATCGGCCCGGTCAAAAGGGATTGTTCCCGAGCGAATGATCATTCGTGTCCACGTATGCAGACACCACACGGATACTTACATGCAAATTACAAATATATTAACCTATCGACGAATATATGTGCTTAGTTTTGTATGAAACGAAGTCTGATATACACACTAATATACAACAGTACAGTGTAATGTTTACAAATATTTAAACATAATTATACAAGCAATTAAAAGATCGAGGAAAAACTAATGCTAAACATGTATACTTAAAATAACAAATTAAACAAGTTTGGCGATCAAGGAGTATTTTACAGCAGATTTTTTCAAAGCTTTTTATAATGTATGACCAACTGTGCTTAACCCCAATCTTATATCGAACCAGATTTGTATGAGCTCATAGAAAATTCAGAATCATAAAATCGTCGATGTAAATACCCAGAAAGTAATTAACCAAACTGCTAGTCGAAAAATGATCAGTTAAAGCTAGATTTTAGTCAAAGGCGTCGGTGTTAGATACAGAATGCTTAGAAGCAGCATATAAATAACCGCTAAACGAGCCGAAAATAACAAACATAACGATTCAAAAACTGATACAATTTTTGTTAGCTACCTAAAAGCATAATCACTCGTCTTCATGCAAGTAAAACTTCCTCCAGACACTCAACAAAATCAATTGAGCTAAAGAAATCCAATTAATTGTATTACAGTTTATAAAAACATTTTATAACTAGTCGACATTTTATAACAAAAGCAGATCTGCAACCACGATTGTGCTTTATTTGAATTAACCAATTATTACCGAAGTATTTTTTTAGTCCGAAAAAGAGAGTTCAGATTTTAAATAGCAAATTGTTCGGTTACTTGTTGTCAGAAATTATTTAAACAGAGCAAAAGCATTTATGGTGTTAAACATGATTCTCAAACCAAAGAGTTATAAACCACAACATATGCAACCGCAGGAAAATCGATTTTTATATAGTGAATTGTTAATTATTGCGTATGTCAAGTAGAGTTTTTAAAATCGGAAGTGAATGAAAGAGTTCGTTTGTGGCGGTCGCAACTTGCGAGTCGCTTTAGCTGCCCAGCCTGTTTACTGATTTTAAGATTTTAACGTTAACGTCTTACATACCAAAGAATCGTCAATGTTTCTAAATCTGTCGCCTTCGTTTTAAACAAGAGTAATACTCTGAAGTGCCCCAATATCTCCCCAACCAGGTTCTCCTAATTTCTTTACCCCAAAAGCTTTAATCGTTGAACGACCCGGAGGTTTAAATATCAAATAGTAGCCGAGGAGTAGGAGGAGAATATAATTATTAGAAAACCCGTGGGTTTATTTGCGAATCGTTGTGGCTTCTTAGTCGTAGTTGGCCTAGCCCTAAGGTGTGGAAGGCGGTGGTGAATCGGATGTCGTCAGTTGTTGGTGGCCGGAGAACGGTGGTTGGTGGATGGTGGATGGTGGATGGAACAACTGGAAGCTGCGGCTGCGGGGGCGCAAGCTATAGCTTTTACCGCTTTTAGCTGCTTTTCTGGCCCGTTCCCGTTCGGTATGTACTTGTTCTTGTACTTAGATCTCGTAAGCATAAACTATGGAATATATATCACTGTGTCATATCGTACATTTAACGCAAGTAAAGCAACCAAACCGGAAGATGGTAAACTGTTAACGCGAAGTATTCACTTATTAAAGTATGTATACAAACCTAAATTACCGGCGGCCGAGCAGCAACTACATAATATACAAGTTAAATACAAAACTTAAACTTAACACGATTGGCAGGCAACCAAGTACTACAAATTGTATATGCATTTAAATTAGAATAACTACGACTAACTAAACATTAAATAACTGATACGAGAATTATTCCAATTGTTAGCTGGCGAATGACAACGGCAAATGAATTGATAATTATGCTAACATATTAGGCATTAAAGTTAGTTAACAGTAAATGAAACAGAAACGAACTAATTTACCGAAATGTATTGCACAATATCGAACACATATAAATATTAGCGAAAGTATCTAAGGCTACAACAAGTAATTCGCATACGAATAAAATCGGATACGTAGGCAAAAGTTACACAATACGGATTTCGTTTAAGTTATCTTCAAAACTCGATCTCGAAGGCGGATCTGCAACTGACCGATTTAGTGGCGGGACTCCCAAATAGTTTGGTACTTAAGCAACGGTTTTGATAACTTGGATGGAACATAGTCTAGAAATATATATCGAATGTGTGAACTTATGTATTAAATGTGCCTAGAATTTTGTTTACCTTAGAACCACAAAGATTCTTTCCGCCCTTGCACCTTTAATTTCCGCCCAACTTTGAGAGCCTTTTGACTAACTACGGGGATTTGTTTTGGGTTTTTTGATCAATGCGCAAAGAATGCAAACGAGGTAAAGATTTCTTCTGTCGAACTTAACAGGTAAATGGAGACCAAATGCTCAGGGCTTTAGCGAGTTATACTAGGCGTAATATACAAAACCAAAACAAGGGGAGACCCACCTAAGAACTAAGTGCAACACATCACGAGCATACTCCATCAAACGTTAGGCATCTAATTTGAAACTTTAGCTCTTGTCAGTAGCAGCAGAAGCGGCAGGTGCAACACCAACATCAAGAACAACAACAGCAGCCACAACAGGAACAATCCAGAAAACAAATTTACAAAATCCAAGCAATCAATTTGTTGAAAAGACTGAAAACCTTACAAAATAATGAAAACGAAACAAAACTTGAATAACAACAAAACACTCCTATTGCAAACGCAGCAAGTGCTTAAAGAAATTGACATAAAACCAGAAACATGCGTCAACGAGTATTTTGGAGATCCCCAGTCATAGGAAGTCTCATAGTTTTCCTTCTGTTTGCGATCAGTTAAAAGGTTTTAGTTGATACATTTTCTAGCGCGTCATTGAACGAAACAACATAACAAATCTTAAAGTAATAGTGAATTATTAGCGAAAATGATAAACATATTACCACCAGCATTTTGCTACCTACTTAATATGCAAGTTAAATAATAAAGTGCAATACGAAATAGTCTAACAAATAGTTCAAAACTTATCGAAGAGAAGCAGAGTTTTTAAGTAGAGGTGTAAACAATACCTAATGTATCTATCGCACGGGGTGTTGTGCAAAGTTAATTCCGACTGTATTCAATTTTAAAATCATTTTTTAAAAGACCCACCATACTAGAAGGCGAAAAGATAGCAATTCAACTTAAAGTAAACGAACATCCTTTTTTTTGGTAAGCCTTGTTCTTCATTTGGTCCTCTCCATACTAATGGCATTTGAACGAAACTCAAGCAATTAGTATAAAATAATCACTCATATGTATATATCTCAATATCTTATTGCGGTTCCACATACCTATAACGCAGCAAACAAGCTAATCCACGACGGAGCAAAGAACAGATCCCGGAAACTAACACGAAATTGCGGGGCGTCATAGGAGAAGATTCCTTTGAGAGGATAATACTCTGATTTACCACTGCCACAAAAAAAAAAAAAAAAAAAACAAGCAAGAAAATTGTAACGTTTATATAGACATTAAACAGCCAGTACATTCGTCATACAGATACGCTTATAGCGTATATATTGAGAAGTGACTAATTTGATATACGGACACGCCGGAAATTTTCTGCAATTATAAAAAATGCATAATGTATTGGCGGACGTGGATGCAGCGTCTGTGCGTATGTGATTGCCTAGTGAGCAAGTAAACATAAAATTATAATTTATTCCGAACAAAAACAATAACAATTATCGCATAATTATGGAAACCAAAAACATACAAACTAAAATAGAAAGCGTTCTTTGCGTAAGAATAAAGCGATGTTACATTATTTAATGAAAATATACATATATACATATAAATACAAAACCTTTTTTTTTTTTTTTTCATTGCTTTATGGAAGTCTTTTTGTGGTCTAATAATTTGGGAAAGGTGTAAAACAGAGCCAGCCAGTCATAGCGCCCCCGCCGGCTTAAGGAGGGGGTAGGCATTTCTGTTCGCCTGGTATTTCGTTTTCGGAAATTGCTAATTTGGCTGTCCAAATGGACAAAAATGGTCTTCGAACTCGATGTTTTCAATCGAATGATTGGATTTCGGACACCAGGCAAACATAATCCGCAGTCGATATACCCCAATAAAACAAGCAAAGTTCAAAAGGTAATTTATCTTTGTTAATATCTTATATATATAAATCTCCTGTCACGATGTTTGTCCGCGATGGACTCCTAAACTACTTAACCGATGTTAAATTTAATTGGCATACCATGAGCAGTCTGGTCCAACTTGAGAGATAGGATAGCTTAGATCTTTAATTATAGTCGCAATTTTATTTTATTGCTTATTATTTGTCTATAATTAATTGAAAGTCACAATTATCTGGTAACTCCAAAAGAATCTAATAGATGTCGATACTTTTCGATTAGATTGAGTAAGTAAACAATAGATAGCACTGCTATGAACAATTTTGATAGAAAATACGTAGATTCTGGGACTGAAGTTCGTAGGTTTGCAGGAAAGGCTTGAAGTACGTAGATCTACGTAAAAAGACGTAGAGTTGGCAACCCTGCTGCTATGGTAAACCGACAATAGCCTGATTACCACGTGTTATTGAGGTTAAGGTATAAATTAAATTTATTTTGTAGCAGTGGCGGACTAAGGACTTTTGAGGCCCGGGGCGGTTTTGTCTTGGCAGACGTATCAACAGCAAGATGATAACAACAGTTAGTTTTCCGGACGTTCTGCACTGTACACACACCAGTGTTTGTGAGTGTAGCTCAGTGTCATCACCGACAGATGGCACTGAGCTAGCGTGTGCGAAAAAATGTTTCGAATTCAGCGAAACTTTTTTGATTTTTTATGTTTCATGATCGCACATGATTTTTAGCATTGCGAATGATACGTTAACAACATTTTTTTTCAATTTTTCAATTAATTGGGGGCCCCTTGTGGGGCCCCCTTGATCGCGGGGCCCGGGGCGGACCGCCCCCCCCGCCCCCCCCTTAGTCCGCTACTGTTTTGTAGTAAACGAAATAGAGTGAAATTCAATTATTTCTACTTTTTTAATTTTTGGTGTTAGCATAGCCAACCACGTACGTAGACCGAAGTGTAAATCAAATTCAAATTATAGGGACGATAATACAGTGAAATCATTCCTGCTTTTTAGTTATCTGTGCTTCATTATTCAAAATTCTATAGATATAAAAAATATACATGTAGGTATTGTCACATAATTATAATAATAAATTAAAATGCCGCTGAAAAAAATCTAATCCGTCCGTGCTTTTCTCATGGGCAACTATATGTTGCATGTTCACGTGTTGGAAAACCGTCAAATCTATTTGTGTTAGCTAAAGACAGGTTAACCAGAAATATTGTACACCGATTAGTGCTAAATTAAATTTAAATTGAAAATATTTATAGTTTAAAATAATAAATATTAGAGACTTAAGACTATCTACCTTACCTACCGTTCTTCTTAAATTGTATACTTCAATGTAATATAACAATAACTTTAGCTACAGCAACGCGTGGCGTTATAATTGTACTAGAGGTCCTGTTTCCGCTTCGCTGGTCAACACAATTTAACAACATAAAAGTCAATGTTGCAACATTTTTCAAATATATGGAAGTATAGAGAGATGGTGATTTAACACTTTTCCAGTTTGACTTTTCCACTTGCGCAGCACAATCCAGCCGTTTCTCTTTTAAACTTTAACGCACTGCAATATCGGTATATAGTCGCCATTGGTCCAATATCTAAATTTTCATTATCACTGTAGTTCGGAGTGGGGTCATATTGGAATGCCAAGCGATTGAATGATGCCAATGATCTCCATGTGCTCATTTGTCTTTCTTCGCTTAAGTTTTGTGAATATACTGGCTGCTGGCTTGGATGTCTGCGGCCAATGTTTGCACGTTGTCCTCTAAGCATTTTGGACTCTGGACCAGTGGTGTCATTTTTTTCTGAGCAAAAAAAGCTGGATCAACGAAAAAAAAAAAGCTAAAAAAAGCGGAATATCAGAGAAAAAAAGTTAAGAAAAAAGCTGATTTTTATTAAGCAATGTGCTCTATGTTTTTCATTAATAAATATAGTATAATTTACATGAAAGTACGAAAACTAGGAATTAAAGTACGTTTAAGATTTCGTCAATATCATCGGCACCATCGGTTGGATAAAAACTCTGCTGAGCAACAAATATGCAAAGCGCTACCTCCTGCTCAGTGTTGGCGTTTTAGCAAAATGTATTTTATTTTTTTGCACAAATCCCTCCATAGCAATGCTATGCTTTTTTGTAGCAGCATGTGCACGTAAGTCGCTAAATTTTGCAGTTATGCTGCACTTACAATAGCTGCAAAACACCCGCGTAAGGTTTGTAGGATCCTTCCTCATCCACTCTTTAAACTCCGTGCTCTGTAGCCAGACATCTCTGACTTTTTGCTTGTAGGCTTACTTTGGCATCGTCAATATCTTTCAGCGCACGAGAATTTCACAATGTTAGTAATGGAAGACGCTTCAATTTAGGTGCGATCTTTTGATGGAACTTACTCGATACAAGTAAATATCCATTTTTTGTCGATAAAAATACATTTTTAAAATTTAAGCCGTTAAATTCAATTTAAACATCTCTAAAATTTGAGTAAAAGTAAACTAAAAAAAAAAGCTGCTTAAATTTGCTTAAAAAGCCAGAATTCCCGCTGCCCGCTGTTTTCATATTTTTCCCGCAATCGCACTTCAAAAAAATCCAAATCTGACGGGAAAAAAGCGGAAATGACACCGCTGCTCTGGACAGAGTGGTGAATTTATCCTCAAATGCACGATCCACATAATTTTCAGAGTTCAACTTAAATTGAATAAAAATTTTTTTTTTTTTACAATTTCACAGTGAACACAAAAATTGAGTTAAAATGCTATGGGAGCGTGTTTGTCAGTGTGATGAGGTAGCAACTTACTTTATATGCGACAATATTGCTTTCTATCGGTGAAAGAATTTTTTAAATCGGACCCCAGTAGTTCCGGAATCCGGAGCCTATTCGCTGCAAACAAACAAACAAACAAACAAATTTTACCTCTTTATAATATTAGTATAGATTTATATGTATATATTAAATAAGTGCCTCGTTTACTGTGTTTTATTCGGGTGTTGTTTTCTTTGGTTCCCTTTTTATACCCTTGCAGAGCAAAGGGTATTATAATTTCAGTTAGAAGTTTGCAACGCAGTGAAGGAGACACCTAAGACCCCATAAAGTATATATTCTTGATCAGCATCACGATCTGAATCGAAATACGTCTGCATGTCTGTCCTCCTGTCTGTTTCTATGTAAACAAGTCTCTCAGTTTTAAAGTTATCTTGCCAGTGGCGGATTTACGGGGGTGGTTTTAGGGGTTCAAACCCCTACGTTTTTTTCGTATTCGTATTTTTTTTCAATCGAAAACCGCCCCCCCCAGATTGAAATTCTAAATTTTAAACACCAGGCCAACATAACCGCTTAGCAGGTGTAAATCGACCAGCTGATCAGCTTAAAATTGGCTTGTTCAGTGTTGAGCGCGTGACAAATTATTCTTGTCACGCCAACAACAACCTCATGGAAATTAATTAATTACTTGTGCGCGGCGTGCTATTTCGTGACACGCACAAAGAATCAGCGTGGTTTCGCATCTCTGATCTGATGTTTAATTCGAAATAACGGTTCTTTCGAGTGATGCGGCGTTCTGATTGGTGGAAACAGTGAGGGGAAGTGTGCCAAGGACAGTTAACTTAAAAAAGAACCGTTACTTAACTAAATTCAGTTTTACCAGCTGCAACCTGCTATTGATTATGTTGGCCTGGTGTCAGAAATCGAATTTCATATTGAAATTGGCTGGTTTCAAGATCCCAAACACCAGGCAAACAGAAAGGCTTAGTAGGTGGATGCTCAGCAGCAGCCTTTATGTATAAGGCAGGGGCGGATGCAAAAAAATTTGGGGGGATCCGATCGAACAATTTTTTAGTTTGGCCTGGGAGTCCAATTAAATTTCTCCGTAATTGCTGAACATGTTGCACACTTGTGCTGCAAAAGAAACCCCGACCGAACAAGAGTTATAAAAACTATGCTTTTTCTTTTCAGGAATCAACGAGAGCAGCTGGAGCCTGGGCGCCTTCCCTGCCTCCCTGGCACATACAACCAAGTTTGGGCCAGATCCACAGCAGAGCAGGTCAGCGAGGGCTTCTACTTCTCCACTACTCTCTTTCCGGAACTTATTCGCCGACGATTATTACTGGACGAGCAGAGCGAGGAGCAGATATTAGTTTTATGATAAGAAAATTTATTTGAATTGTACAAACCTAAAAGCATAATGTTTAATCATAATATAAAATAATAATAAGATGTAATAGTCACATAAGGAGCTTACTTATAATAATAAAACTATACTATAAGTTAAGATAAACATATAGTAGGAAACTTAGCTATTATTATATTATGTCTGAATTATTGAATATAATAAAAACTAACTAATGAAATTATTGACTGTTTTAATGTGGTAGGCGGGTGGGGAATTTGAAATACCAGGCAGCCCCCCTAAAAAACTTCTGTCAGTAAGCAATTATTTGGTATTGATTTTGGCTGAAAATGAAATACCAGGCAGCCCCCTAATTGTAGCAGAAAGCTTCTGTCAGTAAGCAAGTATTTGGTATTGATTTTGGCTGAAAATGCAGCCCCCTAATTGTAGCAGAAAGCTTCTGTCAGTAAGCAATTATTTGGTATTGATTTTGGCTGAAAATGCAGCCCCCTAATTGTAGCAGACAGCTTCTGTCAGTAAGCAATTATTTGGTTTAGATTTTGGCTGAAAATGCAGCCCCCTAATTGTAGCAGACAGCTTCTGTCAGTAAGCAATTATTTGGTATTGATTTTGGCTGAAAATGCAGCCCCCTAATTGTAGCAGACAGCTTCTGTCAGTAAGCAATTATTTGGTAATGATTTTGGCTGAAAATGCAGCCCCCTAATTGTAGCAGACAGCTTCTGTCAGTAAGCAATTATTTGGTTTAGATTTTGGCTGAAAATGCAGCCCCCTAATTGTAGCAGACAGCTTTTGTCAGTAAGCAAGTATTTGGTATTGATTTTGGCTGAAAATGCAGCCCCCTAATTGTAGCAGAAAGCTTCTGTCAGTAAGCAATTATTTGGTATTGATTTTGGCTGAAAATGCAGCCCCCTAATTGTAGCAGAAAGCTTCTGTCAGTAAGCAATTATTTGGTATTGATTTTGGCTGAAAATGCAGCCCCCTAATTGTAGCAGACAGCTTCTGTCAGTAAGCAATTATTTGGTTTAGATTTTGGCTGAAAATGCAGCCCCCTAATTGTAGCAGACAGCTTCTGTCAGTAAGCAATTATTTGGTTTAGATTTTGGCTGAAAATGCGGCCCCCTAATTGTAGCAGACAGCTTCTGTCAGTAAGCAATTATTTGGTATTGATTTTGGCTGAAAATGCAGCCCCCTAATTGTAGCAGACAGCTTCTGTCAGTAAGCAATTATTTGGTATTGATTTTGGCTGAAAATGCAGCCCCCTAATTGTAGCAGAAAGCTTCTGTCAGTAAGCAATTATTTGGTATTGATTTTGGCTGAAAATGCAGCCCCCTAATTGTAGCAGACAGCTTCTGTCAGTAAGCAATTATTTGGTTTAGATTTTGGCTGAAAATGCAGCCCCCTAATTGTAGCAGACAGCTTCTGTCAGTAAGCAATTATTTGGTATTGATTTTGGCTGAAAATGCAGCCCCCTAATTGTAGCAGACAGCTTCTGTCAGTAAGCAATTATTTGGTTTAGATTTTGGCTGAAAATGCGGCCCCCTAATTGTAGCAGACAGCTTCTGTCAGTAAGCAATACCAAATAATTGCAATACCAAATAATTGCTTACTGACAGAAGCTGTCTGCTACAATTAGGGGGCTGCATTTTCAGCCAAAATCAATACCAAATAATTGCTTACTGACAGAAGCTTTCTGCTACAATTAGGGGGCTGCATTTTCAGCCAAAATCAATACCAAATACTTGCTTACTGACAGAAGCTTTCTGCTACAATTAGGGGGCTGCCTGGTATTTCATTTTCAGCCAAAATCAATACCAAATAATTGCTTACTGACAGAAGTTTTTTAGGGGGCTGCCTGGTATTTCAAATTCCCCACCCGCCTACCACATTAAAACAGTCAATAATTTCATTAGTTAGTTTTTATTATATTCAATAATTCAGACATAATATAATAATAGCTAAGTTTCCTACTATATGTTTATCTTAACTTATAGTATAGTTTTTATTATTATAAGTAAGCTCCTTATGTGACTATTACATCTTATTATTATTTTATATTATGATTAAACATTATGCTTTTAGGTTTGTACAATTCAAATAAATTTTCTTATCATAAAACTAATATCTGCTCCTCGCTCTGCTCGTCCAGTAATAATCGTCGGCGAATAAGTTCCGGAAAGAGAGTAGTGGAGAAGTAGAAGCCCTCGCTGACCTGCTCTGCTGTGGATCTGGCCCAAACTTGGTTGTATGTGCCAGGGAGGCAGGGAAGGCGCCCAGGCTCCAGCTGCTCTCGTTGATTCCTGAAAAGAAAAAGCATAGTTTTTATAACTCTTGTTCGGTCGGGGATTCTTTTGCAGCACAAGTGTGCAACATGTTCAGCAATTACGGAGGAATTTTAATTCTGCAAGCGGTGCGAAAAAAGTTTTTTTTTTGCCCAAAACTACATAAAATGACTCAAAAAATGCCAGTTTTTTTAGCAATATCTCCGGAAATATTCTTCCAAATGTGGAATGGCATACATCGTTGAATTCGTAATAAAATTCTGATTCCGATGGTATAAACACCCAAAAAAGTTGAAATTTTGCCATTTTTCGCAAAAAATGACGATGTTACCCCTTAAAAAAATTGTGAAAAATGGCCAAAAATAATTTTTTTTTAATCGTCCAAAAAGTGATTGGGCTCGTTAACTGTGGTCATAAGGAGCTCAAAACAGTGTTTGGTTCGGCTGTATGTAGTAAGGCCAAATAGTGACTTACAGCAAGGCCATAGTTAACAAACCCAATCACCTTTTAGACGATTAGAAAAAATGATCATTTTTTGCGAAAAATGGCCAAATTTCAATAATTTTAGGTGTGAATGCCATCGGCTAGGAAATTTCATTGCGAATTCAACGATGCATGCCATTCCACATTTGGAAGAGTACTTCTTGAGATAATGCAAAAAAACTGGGCTTATTTGAGTATTTTTTACAAAAAATGCCATCTTACTTTGACTTTTATTTAAATTTTTTACGTGTGTTTCTAAGAGTTTACTTACCGGATTGTAGGGCTGACAGTCTCTACTAAAAAATCAAATACTTTCCTGATTATAAAATTTTTGTTTTTCCTATTTTCCTACAAATAAAAATCCTTTAATTAATGATTCGAATCACTTTTATTTTATCTTTATTTCTCAAATATTTTCAATAATAATTAATATTATAATAATTAATTAATTAATGTTGTAACATAACAAATATTTTTCTCATATCATTGCAATCTTTACGCTGCACTCAGTTTTATATTTCGATGCCAACTCCGCAGCTTGTAGATTGGCCTCCATTTCCACTTAGTTACTGCCACTGTCCTCAATTTTAATTTTACTTCTAAGTGTCTTTACTTAACCAAGCGAAATGCTCGATTCGTACGTACAGTTTATATCGCGCATGTCACTTTGTGCTGTCAAATTCAATTGCATTATGAAAATGTACCTTTAAGTTTAAAAATTAATTAAGAGTCACGTAGCTGCTGTTGGATGTTAATTCATTCTGTTTGACTTTTCATGCGTTGGTTTTGTATTTGGGTTGCTTTCTTCGCAATCGCAATATATTTAAATATTTCAATACACTTTTGTTTAGTTTTCGTTTTTCTTTTTATATACAATACACATAAGAGACTTGTAGTAAAATTTTGTGAGAAAAATCTTGCATTAAGTAAACATCGCCGTTTAGTTTTTCTTTTTTATTTATAGAGTAAAATGATTATTTTGTTGTATTACCGTTAAGTTGCACAATTAGATAGCACAAAAGTTTCAAAGTTTTCTTGCTTGGTGTATACTAAAAGTTTGATTTTAGAAATGTTTGATTGTTTCGCGTGTGTCTTTTCGCAGTTGGATTAGTTAAGCAGTTAAGAGTCGAGGGCAGATTGCTAGGCTTTCTTTCGATTCACACAGTGGTGAAAGTGAGCGGTGACTAATAATATTTTCCATAAAAATTCTTTTTGAAATCTGGGTACCAATAAAACAAATATTTAGCTGGCACTAAGCCAGGTTCCGTCTTTACATTAGTAATACCATCGTAAGGTTTTAATTATTAATATTTAAAACTTGGACCCTATTTAAATTTTGCAATAATGCCTGACCTTTGATAAAACCGCACCAGATATTCACATGTGTTTGTTAGATCAAGAAAATCAAACCCAGCGCTAAGGAAAAATGGCAATGAGTAAGAGAATCGAATCAAACTCGGGTTGAGTTTTATGAGTAGGCGTATTTAATTCACTTCTGCAAGTTGTCTCATTTAATTATGTTTTAACCTTTAATCGTTTTTCTAAAAAGTAGGAACTTCTGCCTGTTGTCAACTTCTATGCTGTACTAAACGCAGCATGCTGTATGCTGTCAAAAACGCAATTAAAATGTTGTGGGAAAAATTCGGTTTAAAAACATCATGTAAAACACATACAGATTTTGCTAACTATAAGTAAAGGTAATGTATTGCGTATCAGTTTTATACGTTTTTCTAAATGTACGAATTAAATAAAAGTTTAAACATAACAACTTTTTGATTTGTGCCTTTTGACCTCGCTAGAAACCACATGCAATATCCGCTTCTAGCGATCTTTTTACCAAAACTGAGTACGAAAACCGAACAACTCCGTTTTATAAACCTAACACAAACTGGTAAACTTTACAAATTAGTGTATGTATTTCCACATGATTATGTCCTATCGCTTGTTTCTTCCAAAACTCCGAAAAAATCCCTATGCTATCGTCTTGACGTCTGCGGTTCATAAGACCTTCGATTTTTTTTTAATTTTTACGGAACTCATAATTTGTGGCGTTCACTGCACCCGTTACCTTTAACAAATCTGTGTGTTTATTTCAAAATAAATGGTCGATAAAAAGTCAAAGTGGGGAATTTGGGCAGCCCAAAGAAAAACTGGGGTTTTAATTAACTACTCAAATGTCAAACTATGCTGATATGTTTCTGTTCATGTTATATAATTTGCGCATGTGGTTTCGTAACTCAAAACTATATCTATTTTTCTTTTCTACTTTGAATTGATTGTAGTTTGTTTGTGTTTAGTTTAAACTCTCTATTGACTCAATCGCCACGATGACTCAATCGCTATTAATCTACGAATTCTCTGCGTTCTCGTCGACACATTTATGTATAGTTACAACTACCATTACATATAGTACATACACATATTAATCTGGTTTCCTTCCAACTGTAAAAGTACCATAAGGTAAGCCTGCGTGGATTTTGCCGCCTCTTGGCACACTTGGCTCACAACATTCGAACATATGTATTTCACGATTAGTCTTCGATTTATAATGTTTCACTTTGCAGTTTGGTAAAATCTCTTCTTGAAATGAATAATGTACAACTTAAAACTGTTGGCTTCTGTTAAACTCCGTTATTAAGCTAAGCAACCCTGGTGTCTTGATTATTTTCATCTGCGGTTCGACCGATCAGAATCTCTTTGAGTTCGGTGTTTTGGATGCTTCCTTGGTTCCCTTCTTATGCAGGCTCTCACTGTGGGGTTGTAATAAATGAATTAGTCGTTAGTGGTTTCTCTACCTGGTAAATTAATACTTTTAAGTGTTCGGTTTTTCAATTATCTGCGTTTACTATTCTGCGCATCCGCTCTTTTACCATCGCCTTCCATAGCTGCACTGCTACTTTTATCTGATTTATCTGATTTTAATGCATATTCGTATAAGGTATTTGTATTTTGTTTTCGGTATTAGTTCTATTAATTCGTATGCTGCTCGGTGTCGTGTTCACTATCAACATTTACACGCCGGAGCGCATTGTATCTATATTATCGTTGGGCTAAATATTTGATTACTCTTTGAACGCTGCACACCAACAAACAGCAAGGACACAGTCCTTAACCTTTTCTGATTGATTAGTTAAAGTGATCGCGGTGAGGATGTGCCATTGCTTACGTTTTACATAGTCTGGGTTGCTTCGGTTGTATGCAGTTGTAGAGTTAAGTTCGCTAAATACTTGTATGAAATTTTGATTTGTCAAGAGTTCTCGTTTGAAATTCTAGCAGTCGTGGGTCTGATATAGAAGAACATCTTATCGCTTTCCCTTGTATCGATGCGCTAACAAAACGTGTATATAGTGTATATATAAGTAGTAGACATAGACATAGAGCATATGTTAGTATCATAAATAAGTTTAAAGATAGTTAGATAGCTAGTTGCAGTAGGTATATGAAACGCTAGAGTTTGCTCAAAAACGTTTGGTAAGCTTTCTGTGATACATGGAATATGTAGGTCGACATTGCCAACTATTTTTCGCGAGCTCGTTTAAATACGATCCTTCAAAAGTGTTTGTTTTTGCCACCATAAACTACATTTCTGTACTGCCTGCACGATTGTTTGCACGATTGTTTGATAACTGTAAATATAGTACTCAATAAATTTTACATTTTGTAATATTTTACTGTTGCTTTTCGTACACGTTTTTGTTTAAATATATTCATTCATTTAATTTATACCAATTTTGTATTGTAATTTACTTGTTGCCTTTGTGTTTGCTTGTTTTAATTTTAAATTACGATCACTGCTACTCTTGCTTACGTCTAAATCCATATCATTAAGTTATAGTTAGTTTATGCTTTCTATTCGTTTTTATCTTTTTGTTTGTTCTCTGCTCCAACGTATATATAATTTCACTTTCTAAATATATATAAACTTTCATATTTGTCTGTATTTGTTTGCATCTATGTGTGTGTCAATGTGTGTGTACTGCGAGTGTGTTAGTGTGGTGTCGGATGTGGGGTTCTTGTAAAATTATCAAAAAATCTTTCAGTTTTGTTGCTAAAACACGAATCTGTCTTTCATTACCATTACGTCTATGATTATATATAATTACCTTCTGTTTTGATTCCATTTTTTTTTGGATTATAATTTTGTAGCTTAAAATTTGTTTAATTTCCTGTTTCATGGTTTGTTGTAGTTCAATACATACTTAAGAATATGTATATTTGATCGTTTGTGTATAATTTGCGCTAGCTTAACAACATTTACATATACATACACACATAAGGTTTACGTACGCGTTGATTTAACTGCCTTTAAAAATTATTATTCTCCCGTAGTTCTAAACAAACGGACGTGAAGGATATATCTTCGCAGTGTCCAAGTTTTCGATTTATTTAGGTTTATTAAATTTAATACATTCTTCTTTAATTTCATTTAACTTTACTTCACATTGCCTCGCTTTATCTTAATGCGCTTAGGACTCGGTGTGCTTTTCGGTACCGTCTCTCTAAATACTTTCATACTCTTAAAGTTTAGCAAAATGAAAACGTTTACGAGCTATCTTTTATGCGATTGTTTCAATTGAAGTTGCACACTTGTAAAAATTAAAGTTAAGTTGCATTCATTTAAAATATAATAACAGCATCATGTACATAATAAAATTTTTCCTTAATTCTTTAAACATAATTTCTCTTTTCAGTTTGTTTCTTCTTGACTTTCCGTCGTTTCTTAAAACCAAAACACAGTACAGTGCACTAAAAATATCTCTAAGTTACGATATTCCTCTTTTTACCTTAAATATACTTTACTCTTACCTTTTTATATATTTTTTTCTTTTCTTTTCATGTGTTTTGTTCTGCAATGCAATTTTTAAAAACTATAGTTTTAAAGTTAAGCTTAACTTACGATGTTGCTGATTGTTTAGTGGGTTGTTTTGTTTGTTTGTGGTTTGCTTTGTTTTGTTGTCTGCGTGCGCTGTTAGTTGAAAATCTTTTTCCCCGTTATATTTACGTTGTGTTTATTTTGAGTTGACTTTTTGTTTATTAATTTAGTAAGATTTTCTGCTTGTTTCCGTCCTCTTCCAACGCAGTGGTTGTGTATAAAACAGAAGCAGTTCCTAGAGTGAGCTGCTCTGACTAAAAATTGTATAGCTCATGCATCGATTGTTGCCGCTGGTTGACCTGTTGAATTGGGTGGGTGGTGCTTCTGGCCTTTTCTGCCTTTTTAGTAGAAGTTCGCGTGCATTCTTCTTGTACTACGGATTATAGTTTGAATCTGTTGCTGCCAATAGACTTGTAGATGTTGCTGCTGGTGCATCTGCATGTAGCTGTAGCCGCCGGAGGCACCCAGTCAGGTTCAGTAAACCTGACTCCTAATCGGATTCTAGATGTTCGACTTGGAGAAGCTCACGCGCAGGTGGTTAGATTCGGACAGCTGGTGGTTGTGCATCTTGATGAGGGCCAGGACGGCCTCCTCCACGGACGACAACTGCAGCAGCGCCATTTTGCGGTCCTTTCTGTGAACACAAACGTGTTTAACTCATGAGTAATGTATTAGTTTAAAAGCTTTAACACCCCCATACTTACGGGAAAAATTTGAATGCTTTGACTTCGAAGCCGTTTGAGGTGAAGGCTTCCTTGATATCATCCTCTGAGCAGGACGAGCTGTGGGCGAGAAGGAGCATGGTATTGGCCAGGTATTAAATAACAGTCATCAATTTAGGAGTGCATGGCTACGAAGCCATGCCCGCTGTGCGGCCGCTTCATTGATAGCGTCTGGCAGTCACCCCGAGGGGCTTTCGGCTCAACTCATAAATTCGCACAGTGAACGGCAGACAACATTCTTCAGTCAACAGCGAGCCCCAACCAGCGGGGAGCTTTGTCATATTCGGCAGACGAGGCTGCCACGCGGGGTGCCTGCTGCTCATAGCGGTAATTGTAATTGCCTTGCCGTGCCGAATCGAATCGAACCGAGCCGTCGCCTCTAAGCCTCCAGGAGCCCCTGCCGACGAGGCAACACCTTGGCGAATACTTACGGAATGTTACTTAAATGCAGTGTCGCCGACGGCGGGTAGATGTTTTGGTAGTTCTTGCTGCCCGGCTTCTTGAAGCGGTGCAGCGGATTCTGCGAGTAGTCACGAGTGAGTCCGGCGTCCGGCTGTCCCTCCTTGGGCAACTGCACGGCCTGGTGTTTGCTGGCCATCACACGTATCGGCTTGCCCCATAAACGTAATTTATCAAGGTGAGACATGGCTGTGAAGCAGAAAGTAAAAAAGTAAAGTAAAAAAAAAGTTTTTTGTGTGTTAGATGACTCTTGAAGGGGACGTGGGGGACGTCGCTGTGTGTCAATAAATATATCTGTGGAAGTACAATTTATATGCTGAGCCACAAGCCATAAAATGGCTGCGCTTCAACTTCACGAAGACACACGGATAAACAAAATACTCGTATTTCGATAATCACTCCACGAACATTTAACAGGAACCGAATGGCGACAAGAAACGTGTGACAAAATATATACTATTTTTAAAGACCATGAGCTAACCTAACCTTAAAGCCAACTTTTGCCTTTCGTTATGACCATTTTTTTCGTCGGTGTAGCCAAAGATAGCGTTCGCCAGCCGTCGAAGTCGAACAAAGTCAGCAATAAGTGCAGGCAAATATTTACATACTGAAATGTAACTGCAACTTTATCAATGTCGTCTGCCTTTGGTGATTTACACAAGATGAAATGCTTGTTTGCCCGTAAAAGTATTACCAAACAAAGTTCGCCATATTCGGGCTGTCTTCTGGTGTATTCCCTTTTGAAAGTTTCCATCGAACTCTGCCTTGTTTCTCATATTCTCGGCAGGCAAAACACCTGCGGCTCACTCAGAATGCATTTGCAACGGAGAGCTGTACTTAAGAACAATTCAATTTCCATTTCCATTCCCATTCCCATTTCGATTACGTTTTATTTAATTTCAGTTTCTGCCAAGTCACCCGACGGCTTAGACCAGGGCCACTGTCCAGGGTAGTCCGAGCTTTTCTTAACTCTCATGTTGTGCATTACATTAATAAATTACATCACATTTTATCACTGCTCCTCTGTTTTATTGTGAAGCAATATGCTTACTCAGCCATTTATTGTTTGCCTAATGGATTAAGTGATTTTCAAAAAACGAAGGGCGCAGGAAAATAATAAATTGTAAAATAAAAGGAGCGCCAGCAGTGACAAAGCCTGCCGCTGCTCATATGGCACAAGCATCCTTTTTTCTGTACTCGTCGTTGTTTATGACAAACACTTGTAATAAAGATTAATGTGCAGGCGAGAAGCTCTCCGGAAAAGGGCACCAACAGGCCTTAACTTGCCGACCACTCTTCAAGGGTGCAGCTGCTCCTGGGCACCTTCTCAAAAAGTATCTTAAACTTTTAATTACGGTTCCGAGATGTTGTGGCTGATGCTGAGGCTGAAGTTGACCAGCACCGGGGGCAGCCACAAATCATTATTAACCAACAACAAGAAAGGAAGCTAGGTTCGGCAACCGTGGCTAATATACCCTTGGAGTCATCATATATGTCGAACAAATAACATAAAGGCTGAACAACATCAAAGCTATGACGATTTTTCTATTAAATATGAAAAAAAATCACAAAATCTTTAAAAAAACTTAGTTTTTTGTCTCTATCCTGGTAAATACTGATATAAATAGAGAATGACATGCACCATGGAATTCGTAATAAAATTCTGAATCGGATGGTATCCTCACCTAAAAATGTTAAAAGTCGGCCATTTTTCGCAAAAAATGACGATCGAATTGAATAGTAGAGCTTCTCTAGTTTCCAAAACTATACTTTGTTTGGCTCTAAGTTGTTTCTTGCCCAAATAACAGACAAATAACCATTAAAAAATGTTTTTTTTTCGGTGAAAACTACGTAAAACTACGCAAAAAAGCCCAGTTTTTTTGGAATATCTCAAGAAGTACTCTTCCAAATGTGGAATGGCATACGTCGTTGAATTCGCAATAAAATTTCCTATCCGATGGCATTCACACCTAAAATTATCGAAATTTGGCCATTTTTCGCAAAAAATGACGATGTAACCCCTTAAGAAAAATGCGAAAATTGGACAAAAATCATTTTTTTGTAATCGTCCAAAAAGTGATTGGGCTCGTTAACAATGGTCATAAGGAGCTCAAAACAGTGTTTGGTTCGGCTGTAAGTCGCTTTTTTTTTATTACAACCGAAAAACAACTAAAAGTGTGGTCTTTTTGACCAAATTTATGAACTAATGTTTGTCCATTTTTCGCAAAAAATGATCATTTTTTCTAATCGACCAAAAAAGGTGATTGGGTTTGTAAACTATGACTAATGTTTGTCCATTTTTCGCAAAAAATGATCATTTTTTCTAATCGACCAAAAAAGGTGATTGGGTTTGTAAACTATGGCCTTGCTGTAAGTCACTATTTGGCCTTACTACCACCGAAAAACCACTAGAAATATAGTGTTTTCTACCAAAATTGTTAACTAATCACTTCCAAGTTGGGTTTTATCAAATAACTAAACGATCAAATAGATTGGTGGGCTTCTCTGTTTTCCAATCTATACTTTATTCGGTTGTAAGTCGTATCGTGCCCAAACAACAAACAAAAATCCTTTAAATATGGAAAAAATTGCATTAATCATAAACAAAAATTGGCAAAAAAAATCATTTTTATAATCGTCAAAAAAGTTATAGGGCTCGGTAACTTTAACAATGTTTGATTTAGTACTTGTCCGATTTGAATAAAATTTAATTAAAAATTCGATAATAGTTAGAGAACATCATCTGGAAGAAATCAAGAATCAAGAAAAGACTAGCTTACATAGAAACAGACAGACGGTCGGACGGATAGACAAAGACTTATTTCGATTCAGATCGTGATGCTGATGAAGAGTATATATACTTTATGGGGCTTTACCCTCTGCAAGGGTAAACAAAAAAAATTCAGCTAGAAACTGGGAATGGGGAGTCCGAAAAATAAGGCAAAAGACTCGGCGTTGAGGCTTCGGGGTCTACCCTTGTTTTATGCATGGAGTTCTGGGCTTAGGACTTTTAAGCACCATACACTTGGGACCAACCCCACTCAGGAACGTTACTCGAGAAGCAGAAAGAGCAGAGTATGGGGCGTGTGTGGCGCAGGTGAGCCCGCAACCGGAACTGGGAACTGGAAATGGGAATGGGTTTAATACCCCACCTGACAAACTCAAAGTTAGTTGTAACTTTCATGATTTGAACGATTAATGTCCAGCAATTTCTTGACTATGATCTACGGCCGCACAGGCCAGACACTTTATTATCTCTGGCTCGTAAACTATGCAAAACATCCTCTGCCCGGCCTTTTCCCAGCTCCGTAATTAATAGTGGCCCACAAAGGGCCGGGCGCCAAGTCGTTCAAACAGTCACTTAGCACTGTCAAGCCAAGTCGCAGGAAACTTTCTCCGAATAGGGAGACTATACATATACATTTCCTAGTACACGCACACATGGCGTATGCGTAATCGACCATTATACGAATGCCAAGAGTAAGTGTGAGTTTGTTTGTTTTTATAGCAAATGTCTTTATGCGCTCGCCTATGCAAAATATTTTGTTCTAATTTGTACGGCAAAAAGGAAATTTATTTGCTAGCAAAAGGGGGAAGCCTTCGGTCCGCAGCTGGGCGTGCGCCAATAAATTTGGCTGTTGCGCAAAACCTAATTCCGACCAACCCCCAACCCCCAACACAGCACTCCTCTTCCCCTGGTTGCCGCCCAACAGACAACGAGAGCTCCATTATTCCCCTCCCCGGCAGCCTATCGCCTCAAACTGCCCAACAAGTGGACTGGAGTCGGTTGGTGGGCAGCTTATTGTTTTTTGATTGTGTGTTTTTCTCCACTTCCCTGCCCTTCTGCCGCCTGATTTTCGTCACAGTAGTCGGACCGAGTTGTTGGGTGTCTGTCCTTTTCGATTTTCATCGCCCCTTCCCCGGCAAATTCCTTCCTATTTCTGTTGACTTTCCTTGCGAAAGTTTTTGCGCCTTTACGCTGTAATTCGTATGCTGAGTGTGCAATTGTAGCCGTATTTTGTGTGCGGACCCCGCCATAACGCACACCACCTTACGAGACACTTTCGTATGCATGGGGTGAGTCGGGTGACCCTGGGCAGATGCGGATCCCAGTTCCTGCTGCTCCTGGTGCGGTAATCGTCTTTGTTTGTTGGCGAGAGTTTGGGCAGAGAAACGAATGAATTTGTTAATATTTTATGAGGACATAAGTGCGCACTCCCGCCCCCAAACTCCGCTTCCATTTCAGACATCCTCTTGTTGCCTGCTGTCCAGGTAGTAAATACACTCGAAACAATACACAAAAAATCTGAGATACGTCAAAGCTCACAATTTTAATTATGAACAGACTATTATTAGTGTTTGAGTGTCTATTTCTGTGATTTTTATTCTGGTACCCTTAAAGCATTTTCTTGAATACGATATTACAGAAACCAGTTTTTCATAGTGTACGTGAGTTGAAACATAGGAAAAGGCAGCAGCGGAAGCGTTTGCCATTTGGTAACCCTTGCGGCACATTAGTAGTCTATATGCTGCCACATGCCCATTAATATTTTCACATGCCCCGGGACCGTTGGTTCGCATTTCTGAGTTTGACGGGGAGTGGAATGGGGCGTGGGGAGCGGAAGGGATGTCGACTTCCTAGTTAGGCACAATAATTTGTTTGTTTGGTCAAACAGTTGACTGGCTTTGGTTTTGCCGGTTCATTTGCGTGAAATTTCCACAATAGTTTTATCAACTGCAGCCGGCGGCGGCATTCTGTGGTCCTCGAAATGCTGTCAATTTTTGGACGAATTCAATTAACACAACATTACGTATACGCCACCGGAACAAACTCGGACAGCTGCTGATGCTGCTGCTGCAGGCAAATGCGTACAAAGGAAAATTACCCCGAATTAAGCCATGCATTTTCAAGAGTTCCTGCTGATTAGCACGCCTTCTTGCTTTCCCCAACTGTCCGATGCTTAAACCCAATTAATTAAGTGGGAGAAACCCAAAGCGGGAATGCTATTGAGTTGTTAGCAAAAGAATGCAAGGTGCACCCCAGGAAAAACTTGGTGGCGAGTGCCGGGAATATGCGTGTTTACATAATTATAATTAAAAAATTAATCGAGTGCAGCACAAAGCATATTTTTCAAAAAAAAAAAAAGTGCTGGTGACAAGCTGGCGAAAATAGTTGGCGGTTGAGTGGCGGTCGAGCGACTGTGACTGCGCACATAACGTATATTTGCGCCCGTGTCTGCTGGGCTGCAATGCACTTATTTTCATTTTATTTAAATCAATAAACCGTTGATGGCATTCATTATGCAGTAGCTTACGCTTTCCAGACGCGCAATTTGCTGGCAATTTCCGCAGCGGTCGTACATTGCATTTATTGAACAGATTAAATTTATTTAAACTCTATCAACAACAGCAGCAGTAGTCGCGACTCGCGCCAGTGACATCGAACCGTGCCGAAAAATATAATTGGTAAATCACATGTGCGAACGATTAACGCCCAGAAGGCTTTCCACCTGATTTTCTTCATCCCTGCTCTCAACGGAGCTAATAGCGGTCCTTACACCGGAAATACTGGGGAAACCCCTAAGCAGTTATGATAGGGGCAATGAAAGAATTGCGAAATATTAACAACATGGTTATCTATAAGCATTTTCCGTAAGGCCACACAGTACACACTTTAAGTTATGCATCCGTATGAGCCAGCAATTTTACTCATAAGGCCTTTGATCTACGCTTAAAGTGCGGATAAATTGGCGTGTGGCAGCAGCCACTGCAGTTTCCTTATGAGCAGCTCAAAGGCAAGGACAACAAGCGAAAATTTTCGCACCGCTGTCCTTTTCAATTAAGCGCCTCCCTGCAGGGGCACAGCACTTTGACAGCTTTTGAGTTATTTTTCCAATGAATAAATAACGCAAATGAAAGACAGAGGCGGACGCACCGCTGAGTGGGAACAATGAATGCTGACCGGAGAGAAATCGGGAGAGGAGAGGGGTCGCTTTGCTGGATAGTTGGCGTGTTAAATGGAATAAAACCAAATCGAAATTGAAAAAGGTGTCGCTGTCAGCGCTGTCAACGCTTCGATCGCCTTGCCACTGCCGGCGCTCCTGTTTTTGTAATAAAGTGGAATTTGGCACGTCGGTTGGTTGCTCTTATCGCGTCGCAATGCGCGACAATTTTCATTTCGTTTAATGCGTGCAGGGGGTCTGATGGAAGAGCGGAAGGGGGCGGGCGGACCCAGATGGGGCAGTCCTTGGCCAGCGGCAAGGCGGACAGCCTGACAATGCCAAAGTGCACACAAATAAATGCAATAAAATGATTGGCATGTCCTGCCTAGGAGTGGGGGCCTTTGTTGCCAGGACGGCGGGGAACTGCATCTCGACCAGGTGTTGCTGCTGTCCAGCCGGGCTGGTAATAAAGCGCTTATAAAATTTCATTTATGCGCACCACCATCCGTTCTCTCGCTCTTCTCCCTGACGCCGTCTCTCTCGCTTAAACAATTTTTATTATTAATACATTTTGTTTGCTGCATTTGCAGCTGCACAACCAACACCAACAGCAATAGCAACAGCAACGGCTACGGTTGCCAAAGGAATGCGCCGTTTGGAATTTCATGTTACCGGAATTTTCATTTAAACAAGCTGCAAATTGCAGTTGCTTTTTTTCGCCCCGGCCCTCAGCTTTCGGATTGAGACTCAGATTTTTCATTACTTTTATTTCGTTGTGTTTCGGTGTGGCTGTGTGTAGTCTAGCAGTTGAGTTGTATGTAGACGTAGTAGGTGGTGGACGTAGTAGGTGGTAGGTGGTGGGTGGTGGGTGGTAGGTCTATGCAAGGGTTAGTAGTAAAAGTGCGTCTGCTTGACTTACCCAAATAAGCTTGCTGGGGCTCTGCCATCTGTATGAGTGCCGAGTCCTTCTTGTTGTACAAAATCTTCACACGTTGCACATCGCCGTATACACCTGCGGATGGGGAGAGAGCAAGAGGAGAACAGTTGAGGATTATGGGCAAATTCTAGGGAGACTTCTGGGTGCACCAGCGTCGGCTTAAATTTCGTGGCACTGCCAGTTAAGTTATAAGAGTGTCGCGACACGAAAGCGAGTGGGGCACCTGAAACTAAAGCACCTCGTAGCTGCTACACCGGGGGAAGTTTCTCGTTAGACTGGGAATGACTGCTTAACACCTACACCTCAAAGGCAAGGGTTGCTTGCTTCCAGTTCTTTAGTTTTCATAGTTGACAAAATAATTGAAGGGAAAGCGATCGCGGACACCTCATTTGCGTAACTACCACAAGACTGGATCAGCACAAAGTATTGAGCTCTTCTGCTCCTTTGCTGCTGGTTGAATCTTCGGACAACTCCAGGCGGTTTATGGCGCCCGCGGCGCAAGTTTTACACCCCACCAAAAAGCCATAACATGAACACAAGATATCCCCTCCATCCCCTTCTCCCTTTTCGTCCGAAACCCAAGCACTTGCATTATTGCTGCGGGCCACGCCGTTAGTATCATGTACGAAACTCATAACTGGCTCAATAAGTTTTCCTGCTATTTTTACGAGCTCCAATTCGAACTGCGGCCCAGCTCCTCCGCTGGCCCAGCCGGCATGGCTTCCTTGGCCGCGTTTCGTTTTAAGGCCACGGATTTTACAGCTGTCAGACAAGGTGTGCCGGTGGGCTGGTGTGCAACTTTTTGGCGGTGGCGGACGCGTTATTGAATTGTATTTTATGGCTTTACTTACGCCGCAAACTATGCAATATAAGGCGAACTGAAACCCACCTGCAGGGCTGCATTAAGAATGGCAGATGACTTTAAGAAGCTGCTGGCTTTTCTGTGGCCAGCGGACTATGCTTTGACAGCTGCTCGTGGGTGACTTATTTTAGTCCTGCTCCCCGAGCTCCACTCCATGTGCAGCCAATCAGCGCAAATTCGAAGCAGGGCGCAAATTGCCATCAAGCATAAAAAATAGTTGCCGGTCGAGTTGTTGGCCAACGGGCAATGGCAATGCCAACGGGCAATGGCAAAGCGACCCCAAAGCAAACAATGTAAAGTGCAGCCCTGCCCAAGACAACAAATCGAATAATGCGCAAAGTAAATTTTCAACTACTTTCAGCCACACATACACCTGCAAAAATAGTACACTCTGGGAAAATTCTCTACTTTAATGCGGGGTACCCAATAAATGGTTTAAATAAAATTTGGATCTTATCAACGTTCGTCAAATAAAAGCCATCTTCCCATCATGAGGTATAAGCCTTTTGACTTCGCAATCCACCTTAGTGTTTATAAGCACCTTTAGGTTTTCTCCCAGTGCGAGAACTTAGAAAGCAATGCCGGCTATAAAAGTGAGGGCCAAGCCAGCTATTTGGAGCGTAGCGAAGCAAGCACTGCGCTAACAAGTTACAAAAGTAGCAATGGAAATGCAGGTAGTAAATAGTGGGGCCCACGAGGAGTTCGCAGGACAGAGCACACAGTTCAACAGTTGGCAGTAAATCCATTTTATACGGACGACTGCCTGCCTGACTGACTGACTGCCTTCGTTCCCAGTTATCCAACGGACTTGACTTATGCCAAACACCGAGCAATTTCGTTTCGTTTTGCCAGAAATTCGGGCCACAACTGCAGGCGAGGGCAGCGGTGGCGACGGCAGCGGCAGACGATCCACATCTGCAGGTATTGGCAGTGGAGCATGCTGGATGCCAGGCATGCCGCTCTCCCCCAGTCGCCAGCCCAGCGTGCAACGGGGCGTATGAGCAGCAGCTGCCGGCTGCCATGCAAAGAGCGACCAGCAGCCTCACTCTTTGTTCCTGCTTTCGACTCTAACTCTGACTCCGACTCCGACTCCGACTCAGACCGACAAACCGACAGACTTGATAATAATTTATTATCGCCTGAATGTACCTCCGGAAGTTTTTCGCTTTTTTGTGGTTTCGCGACACTAACGTATGCAGACAGAGGAGCCGATTCCCCGAGGGCCCATTAGTCGTGAGTTTGAGCGTGTTCTAGATGAAGAATTATGCGGCTGCTGGTAACACAGTGGCCTGGGAGTCTATAAAGTTGAACAGCGTTATAAAACCCGCCTGCTTTCTATCTCTATTATCGCCGGTGTCAAAAGCCAAACGGAAACTGGAATTCAAATCGACGGCTTCCATTTAATCACATTCCCTTGAACGCCTGTCACGCTGCTTTTGGTTGCTAAAGCGATTTGTTGCGATTATGAAATATTCATTGAAATTATTCGAACATTAGATTTAATTTTTCCTGTTTCGGGCACTTTATAAAATTGCATTTCTGCCGCAACATGTAGCGCATATAATTTTATGATATTAATTCGCGCATACGTAGCAACCAAAATCAACTCGCACACAAAGAGGGAAAGCACGCAGCAATACGCCGGATCTCTAAACGCATAAAAATTCAATTAAACACGTTTCGACAATATTTTCGGCAATGATATAAATTTTTATCGCGCCATTACAATTACACAAGCGGATTACACGGCATATGTGCGAGTGTTTGTGTTCCGGCGCTTGTTTCCCAGACGATTTGCAGACTGATTAAGTTTTCTTTTATTGTTATGCAAAGGCAGCTCGGTCCCGGCCCCAAAAGCGGGCAATCGAGTGCCGGGCGGACGGGTTGGGTTGGGTTGGGTTGGAAGCTCGCCTGGGTGGTTTCCGTCCGAGAGAGGTGGGCGAGGTATTGAATGCTTGACAGCCTAAGCGGCATGTGTCAAGTGTCTAAAGAGCATGCCCCAGAGAGCCGGCGGGCCCTTTCGATTGGGTCTTCACCTAGGAGCTGGCTGGCAGAGTTGGCAGAGCGAACAAAGCGCTGTCAAAACTAATAAAATGTCTGACTGGCTGGCCCGAAAGGGTTTTGCCCAACTTTTTCGGGCGCTCATCCTTTTGTTGCGGCGCTTGTTGCTGGGCCTCGACTAGATCAATCCCCGCGTTTGAAGTGCGTTGTTTGTCCCCGGCTCTAACCTGAGCTTGCCACTTTTATTATTTGGTATGCAAACAGCTTTTAGGTGAGCACACTCCGCCTGACTCTTTGAAGTGTTAAATTCGCCACCCAAACGTGCCCCGCAGCGCCCTTAGCCCCACCTAATGTGGAAATCGTTGTTACGTGTCCTTGCGTGTTGCCATTAACATAACAAAAGCAGCCGTTTGCCATTTGCCGGTTGACGTTTGCGATTCGCTTGCCAGTTGCCAGCTACACTGCTCGAAAATAATTTAACTTCCCCCACACAGTCTCTAAAAGATTTGCGCATTTTGAACTGGAAGAATCATAACAACTGCAAGAGGTGTAACCTTCCAATTAAGGCACATGAAAACACTACTTTTATAAAGCAACCCTGATAAGGCATTAGTTTTTGCCTCTGTGTGCTTGTTTGCTGTGCAACTTCTAGCTCCTTCGAGTGTCATTGGCGGTGCTCTGTCTGTCCGCTGTCTGCTTAAGCTACTTGGAAATTCAAAGGATATTACATAAAATTTTAGCCGGCCATTTAGCTGATTGCCCGTCGAGACTTTGGCCGTCAATTACACGCTGGCTGCTCGGGAAGCGGGCAAGTTTATCTAAATCTATTGGCACCTCGATAATAATACGCTTAACGTTCGACTTATCGACATCTCTCCATCTTGACTGTGCAGCGGAGCGTGTGGGTATCCACATTTTCACTTCGTTCTGGCTCTGGGCCTGAGTTTGGGTCTGGGTCTGGGTCCAGCCCTTCGGAGCGCTTAATCAGCAATCTAAGCTTTATTAGCTGTTCAGCCAGCTGCCAACTGGCGCCGAAGCAGGACCTGTAACTTTAGCTGCAGCACTCTGCTAAGCGGTCTGCTGATCGGATTTCCCCGGCTCAGTGGCTCAAAGTTTCCAGTAGGCGGTGGCTCCGCTCCGCCTACCCTGTGGTTACGCTGCACAAATCCGACAGCGAGAACAACGGCAGGGAACAGAAACAATTTTTAAGCAATTAATACTTTCGGCAACGGTTACTGTTTACTTTGAGCGATAAGCCCTGAACTGCTGACAGAATGGATGCAATTTGTAAATATAAATCAAAGGCGGCAGCAGCAGCAGCAGCTCACCGCACCGCACCACACCGCACACCAGGGTTAAGTTCTGGGCAAGCAAGCGGCTTAACTCCCTTTGGCCGACATTCCATGCGGTTGCGTTTGTTTGGCAGAAGTTTATATTTGGGTATTTAAACTCAAATTAAATGCATTTGCATGCAAACAAAGGGGAAGCCTGTGTGTGTGCCCGCAAACAAACCGTTTTGTGTCACCAGAGACAAAAGGGAGAAACAGACTCCTGTTGTCGAGCTGCCAGACGAGCACACAGCAAAAAATTCACCAGAGATTGGATCGCCGGCGGAGGAGGAGAGCGGAGAGGTGGCAGGAGCTATTGTGGCAACAAAATCCATTATGCTGCAATTATGCGCCACACTTGGCAACATGTTCCTAGAACCGGACAAAAACTTGCTCAATCGATGTGTTTTGGTAATTAAATCAAGTACATAATGGAGCAAGCCAAATGGAGAAATGCAGCGCAAGTGAAAAGTCAACTGGGAATCCCATAAAATTATAAAGCACACAGACGGAGCGGGGGAAGTTGGGAAAGCAATTCAAACAGCAAACCCCATTAACTTTACAAAGTTAGTTAAATTCATTTTGCAAACAGACGACAGACTACGAAAAACTAGCAAGGAGACAGGAGACAATCCCCTTTTCCATTCGAGAAACCAACAAACCAACCGACCGGCTAACCGAACCAACGAGCTACGAAAAGTCACAAGTAAATTTTATTTCAATTGTAAGAGCCAGCAAAAACTACACAATGATCATGTCTGTGTGTGGTAGAAAAGGTATATATATATACATATATATACATACCAAGAAACCGGAGAGTGGGAGGTGAAAAAACCACAAAAGCGCACAGAGAGAAATAATAGATTTTGTCACGTTAAACAATTTTAGGAAAATCCATTTAAACTACCAAGCCTACAGGTTGCAAGCTTTGAATAATTTCTCCAGTTATTATGTTGCCATGCACTAAAAGCACTTTCGATTTAATCTTATCTTCATTGAGGTGTGCCCCAAAATCGATAAGAATTAAAGAAACCATCAGCTATTGAAATTGGAATTAATCAATCGAATAAGTAAATAGTAAATAAATACGTATAACAACTAAATTGAATTGATTTAAAGCTTTGCAATTGCAAAAGTCGGCAGACCTTGGCTCGGCTTTCAAGCTCTTCTCGGCCGGACTAAGTACACTTTTTTGCCGGTACACACACGCCGAAGGAGAGCAGCAGGAGCAACAATGGGCGACAGCAACAAGCGCAATGATAACTAAATAAATGGACATTTTTATAGCTATGCACTTCCGCACTCAATCTTTTGTGCAGCGAGTGTGTTAGTGGGTGCTGGAGTGTGTGTGTGCGTGCGCGTGTGTGTGTGTGTGGCAGGATGAGCACATGTTAAAGCGTATGTTTTGTGCATGCATTTTAGCTCTCAGCTCCGAGACGCCCCTCCCCCGTGCACCCTCGGTGCCCAGGGTCCTGGGCCTCAACAATGGAAACCAGCCACGAGCACACTTAATTCATGTAATTTCACACACACACTGCGACGCACACGAAGACAACGGAGGAGCAACAGGATGCACAGGCGGAGAGGTGGCGCTGAATCTGCACCACCTTTCCCGGCTGAGTGCGGTTTCACTTGTTGCCAGTGGCTGTGCTGTGTTTTTAATATATGTATGTTGGTACGAGCGAGCATGCAGGACGTCGAGTGAATTCTCATTTTCATTGTTTTACAATTTGTAAGCAGAACTTATGACAGGATAAATGGCAAAAGGACAAGGCTGGGTGGCCCAAGAACGGTTGGTTTCCATTCCCGCTGCAAGCTGCCTGATGGATCTGCCACTGCTGCTGCATGAAGCTGAAGCTGAAGCCGAAGCTGGCAAAAAGCTATTAGAAAGTCATTTGTTGCCGGCTTTAGCCGGTTTATTCCATTTGGCAATACAATAAATACTGGCACTGGCACCGGAAAAAGTGCACAGCAGCAGCTATCCATTTGAATGGGTTTTATAGCCGGATCGGGTTGCTCTAAACTTGTTTACTTTTCTCGCAGGGACTATTGGCTCTTTCCTCCTCCAGAATATGATCGCTTTGAGGTGGTAGGAGCGTCTAGTTTTACTGCTCTAGGTTGAAGGCTTTATTTTGAATTCCCACACGGCGGGGATGCATTTTATGTGCAGGCTGGCAGACGCCCGATGCATACTCAAATTCAGCAATGGACCTACCGCTTTTTAAGGCTTTTTCAATATTTTAAACACTTTGTGCCGCTTTTTTGTCAGCTATTGCTTTGTTAACCCGGCCCTTCCCAGGGCGCCCACGCCCACACATACTGAGCCATAAATAATTCATGGCACTTTTGGTGATTGCACGTAAATGGCGTAAATGCCAAGGGGAAGCGAGGATAAAACGGAGAACCCGGAGAGCAGCTACGCGGAGTAGGGAAGAATGCGTTCGCCCGCTCGATTCGTTCGGTGTAAATTCAATGAATAATCAAGTAAACTACATATAAATTGTTCAAGGAGTGTTCATTTAGGCTGGGCAAAGCTAGATGCGACAACAGTTGCTTGCGGTTATCGAGGGAGAGACAGAACGGGAGTCAGATAGACAGAGAGATAGAGGTCAACTACGAACTGAGATATGTCCACAGAAGGGTGCACTACGCATCTCTCCAACCGACGATCAACGGTCGCCATCTAGCTTGGCCCGCCCAGCAAATATAGTAAATAAGATCGAAAGAACTGGTACTTATAGGGTAATCGATTGTGCAAACGTACCAAAGAGGGTAAAGAGAGCATCAGGCGTGACCATCTACAGAGAAAAAGAGAAAATAGAGTTTGTCGTCAGTTAGCGATAGTTCAGTTTCAGATGTCTTACAAATAATAAACAACAAAGTAACGTTAAACAGAAGTAAACAAATTGTCTGGAGATAGTGTCAGTGTGTCAGTGTCAGGCTGGGACGCCGGAAAAGAGATGAAGAGGTAGAGGTAGAGGGTAGGGAAGGGAAGGGAAGGAAGGGAAGGGAAGGGAAGGGCTTCTCAGCTCCCCCGCCTGTCGACGGACACACTAGCATTCAAAGTACAAACAAATAATTATTAAAATGTGAAACCCTTTGTGTGAGAGGCGAGATATAAAGCGTTTTTAATGGTTGAAATGTGAAAAACAAGTTCGAAACTGATGGGAAAACACGCGGGTTAATGGAATGCAAACTATTTTTACACTTCGAGTGAGCTTATTATTCTTAAAAAGTCGGTAATGGAATTTGTTACAGTTTCACGGAAATCGTATCGTAGCGTTCTCTTTAACATTGCTTGTCGTTTAAATAAATACCTTATATTTATTAAAGTGCAGAGCTAAAAAAGCTTTTTTCTGCAGTCGGGGAGCCCTTTAACTATAATCTCAAGCGGCACTTACCTCCTCATTTAAATTCGATACGAGCAGAACATTCGAGTAGCCGCGCATGGCGGGGGCAGCGGTCTGCAGGGCGCCACTGTTGGCCAATGAGAACGCGGCCAAGTTGGGCAGGGCGTTGCTGTACCCGCCGGTGAGCGGAGTGCCCAGTCCCAATGCGAATGGCGGCAGGACTCCGGGTGCGCCTAGGCCGTTGACTAAAATAGAACAAAAGGCAGTTAGCAATCTCTCTGTGCCAGGGGTTTCCGATTAGTTGCATGCCACTTAAGCTCTATGCGAATCGATAGCAGGTGAATAGGCAAAAAGGTGTGGAACGAGTAAGATTCTGACATTTCGGACATTTCGGCTAAGAACGGTTTGAAAACTAAAGACATTTTGTAATTGTATAAGTTAATGAAACAGCTTCGAAACAGCTGCTGGTCTGTCGGGTGTTGGGCAACATGTAGCATACGAAAACATAAGGGAAAAATCGGGAAAATGTTCCGTTCGTGTTACCTATTTTATCACCTGTGAGAGAAGGCCGCTGCCGGGCGGCGATCAGTAGCAGATCGTTGGTGTTCATCAGTCCGCCGGCGGTGGGCATGAGGTCCACCCCCGGCTCGCCCGGCGGCAGCGCGGGGTTCGTGAAGTCGCGCGACTTGTCGTTGTTGTACTTCACGTTCAGCGCCGTCAGCTTGCTGTTGTCGATGCGCAGCGTGCAGCAGCCGTTGTAGATGTTCTGCCCGTCCAGGAGCGACTTGGCGTGCTGGGCGGAGCTGGCGTCCGGATACTGGATGAGGGCCTGGAAGGACAGCAGCTCATTAGCCAAAGGCACTAAGCACAATCCAGCACACACCAATTAGCCACAAAACTCGCTCTTACCTGGAATGAGTTGTTCTTGGTGAAGGTGACGATCTTCAGCACCTTGCCGTACCGCTGGAAGATCTGGTGCAGGATGTCCAGCGAGACGGGGTACATCAGCGACTCGACGATCACGCGGAGCACCGTGTTGGGCCCGCCGGCTGAGTTGGTGTTGTTCCCGGCCGCGTTCACGGCACTCGTGTTGTTCTGCAAGATGCCCACGGCGCTGCTGTTGCTGTCGCCGGAGCTGTTGGCGTTGTTGCTGGTCGCGTTGGCGGCGGCGCAGAGGGGCAGAGGCGACCCGCCCGCCGGGGACTGGATGCGGTAGTCGCTCTGGACAACCGAGTTCTGGAACAGAGGAGGGATATGATTCGGAGATGAAGACGTGGAGCCAATGTACTGGAGGGGGTCGGGCGGAGGAAACTTTTATTAGTTAAAGGCGCAAACTTTTGCGCATTAATCAGAGCCACTGACAGTGCGCAAAATTTATGCAGCCCAGCAATTTATTTTGAAGGGAGGGAAATCAGCAAGGGAAAAAAACTGAACTTGAGAGAAACAGCAGTTCTGTCTTCTGTCCAGCTCTATAATAAAATTAATATTTAAATCAATTTTAAGAAATCATTGATTTTGAGCACCAGTATCCCATTTCGAAATCATTCACATTCACAATTAAATGCTCTGGAATTTTACAATTTTCTCTCGTTCACAAGTTGAAACTACGTTCATTTTTTGGGTGAAGGAATATGCAAAGCGTTTGCACGACAGTCCGCCAGTCCTAAACTCAGCGGTATCCTCCGCTATACGAGAGTCGTCCTTGCCAACATAAATCTCAATCAAAATCAATAATATCAAGTATCGTAGTAATAAAAGGAAAGCGGGAGGCGAAGGGCGGCGCGTCTGCCGGTGACGAGGATGCTGGGCGGATGCGAGATACGACTCTTAGTGAGCAGCAAAAACTTCTTGCGTGAAATATACACGTTCTATCGGAAAACAATTTAATGACATTCGGAAGTAAATTTATTCCTATTCGTGCTGAATTTTGATTTCGAAAATCATAACGTAAACACATTCGACCGCCCCTCGCCTCCGATATCCTCTTAGCCCGCCCGTTTGCGACGCGTTTTTTGTGCGTTTGTCAGCAACAGGAGGGATGGGAAAAGTTCGTGGCAATCCTCCCCAGGCGTGCTATTTGTTTCTGCTCTCGCCTAGATAAATTCCTTCCCATCGGAAACAAAGAGAAGGTCGACGTGAGCCCGGTCTTCTTTCTGTGCAGGCAGCCAAAGTTTGTAAAAATAATAAAAATTGATTAGAATTGCCGAGTGCCGAGCTGCGTGGCTAGACAGGGCGTATGTGGGATGTGTCGTGTGGCATGAGGAAGGGCCCCTCATGATGATGCGGCGTCTTCATCTTCGATTGCCATGCTGGCTTCAGATGCCTGTGGGATGCCATCAGTGGCTGCCGCAGAGTTTCCTTTCCATTCCTTTCCTTTCCTTTCCTTTCCGCTTCCCGTAATTTGATACTTTACTTTGCCTGATTATTATGATGACGATGACGTTGATTGTGTAAAAATTGTAATGTAATTGTCGAGAAGCGTTTGCCCATTTATTACTCATCCTTTCCTCCAGTTCAGTTGGCTTGTTTAAACAGCAAACTCGGCTAACCTTAACTAGCAGTCAAGTGGCCAATTGGCGGGATGTTCGATAATTGTGCGTAAGCTATAGAAGCTAACGTTAAAATTTGTAAGGGAAGACCCAGTCGAAATGCATGGATACTGTAGTAATTTAATGCTTGCCCAAATACTCGTCGCGAATGCCTTTGCTGCCATTTCCCCAAGTGTGTTTAAGGCCCTTCAATAATGGGTATTCACAGTTGGAGCGGGCAGCCAAAACCAAATTTTGGGTGCACTTGCACGCATATTAGGCTAAGCCATTCTAATTATCCTGCAGGACACTGGGCGGGTGCAGCGAACGGTATGAGGAAAGTTTAGGGACCACAACAGGCAACATCATTAAACATAACAAATTGTTGTGTGTGCGGCTGTGTTTGTATTGGACTTTGCTTGTCGCGGTTTTGCCTGTTAATGAGTCAATTGTGCGTTCCCCACCCCGATTGTTGTTGTGGGCTGATTAGATATGCAAACAACCTCCCTCACAGGGAACTATCTCACCACATTGTTATAATTCAATATCGATGGGCAGGCGGTTGCTGCCCCGTCTGCCCTTCCCTCCTAGATAATGCGACGTTTGATAAGCTAAAATCCTTTGATAAGCCAAAAGTAGACAGCTTGCTGATAGGCGCATTTATCGATCGACGCACGTCAGTGGGAAAATTTGGATAAAGGACACATGTTTACCGCCTTTTACTTGACCATTTAACTCATTTGTTAAGAAATCCATAATCGGCATACAAAGAATTCCCAGCTAAGTGCTTGAGCATTCAAGGATGATAGGGACAACTGAGTTAACTAAGTTAAGATTTCTGTCTCCATATGGTTCGAGCAAATCTAGTCCGAAAATCTGATACGTTGCCAGCTCGCTAAAAAGAATACTGGGCAAACTTTTGTAAAATTCAACAAGCAAAAGGCAGTCGGCGATTTTATGATTTTGATGTGGCTTTTGCATAAGAAATAACTTGAACAAGAAAGGAAGCTAGCTTCGGCAAGCCGAAGCTTATATACCCTTGCAGTCATCAAATATGTCGAACAAAACTCATAAAGGCTAGACAACATCGAAGCTAAGACGATTTTTCTATTCATTTTCCATATTTTTGACTATAGATCATATGGGAGCTATACGATATAGTTGTCCGATTTTAATCAAATTTAACTCGTAATTCAAGAGTCGTAAGAACACTCTATATTCCAAAAATCACTTGTCTGATGAAAAACAACGATGTTATCAATTTATTTCCATTAATTCTATATATAATTTTCGATCCCTCCTATGGCAGCTATATGATAGAGTTACCCGATTTTGATCAAATTTAATCCGAAACTCAATAACAGTTAGAAAACGCCATCTTGAAGAATTCAAGTCGATCTGATGAAAAACAATAGAGTGAGAATTTTTTATTTCATTCTCTTGTATTGGAGCTATCCGATATAGTCGGCCGATCCGGCCCATTCCGACTTATATACTGCGTGCAACAACTACACAACTTTTGGGAAAGTTTCAGCGAGATAGCTTTAAAACTGAGAGACTAGTTTACATAGAAACCGACAGGAGGGCAGACGGACAGACGGACAGACGGACAGACAGACAGACAGACAGACGGACAGACGGACAGACGGACAGACGGACAGACGTACATACATATTTCGATTCTGCTCGTGATGCTGATCAAGAATATATATACTTTATGGGGTCTGAGGTGTCTCCTTCACTGCGTTGCAAACTTCTGACTGAAATTATAATACCCTTTTGCTCTGCAAGGGTATAAAAACGGCGGACAAAAGGAAAAAGCTGAAGGCGGAAGCCGCAGCTCCAAAGGCGCCTGAAAATATTGACGCTGCTTTCACTTAAGGTTTTGCATAAATATTTTTGTTTCATAGAGCTTTCGTGTGTTGCTCCTTTTTTTGGCCAGCAAGTTTATTTTTATTGCAATGTCACACTGAGTACCTTGGCTTCTCCCGGTTCTCCTGACAGGCCCACTTTAAACTGCACGGCGAGTCCTTTCGTGCAGAAGAAGGACTCAAGTGTCGTCGCCCCTTTTCAAGAGTCGGCTGAAGTGAGAGCTTAAGTGTTCGAGCCAAGTTAGAAAGTAAGGCAGCTTCAGCAGCCACAATATCCAGCGGATCCCCTCGCACTGACCAGGATAACTGCCTTGCTGGTGTTTTTGGTGCTTCTGCAGCTGGAAGAACGAAACTTTTTTGGCAACTACCACTACAAGTTATGAACTTGTGTAGTTAAGTTTTAAAGCTGAGCTTGGGATTATGTATTACTTTGCTGTGGGTCGTTTATCTGCTGCGTGGCTTTTACGGTCAACTCAAAGAGGAGAAGTTGCACAAAGTACGAAAAAGAGCAGTGGTTTCAGTGCCAACAAGCTATGTTTGTCTTATTTATGCAAAAGGCAAACAAAAATAGTACCAAAGTGTGTTAAAACCTTCGGCAAAAACATTACACAAATACGGCTAGAATATATATCCAAAAGGCTTAAATAAATACCAGTTACGCAAAGTAGCAAAATCCGCTGCCGAAAAACAAAAGCAAATACGCCTGCGAAAACAAAGGCGGAAAAGGGAAAGCCACTTTTGGGCAGCAGTAATGCAAAACTAATCAATACAATAAAAATATTGACACAAGCGCTGGGAAAGTCAGTGCATACATAGAGTTGTCAGTTGTCGGCAGTCGTGGGTTTTTCTTTGGGTTTCGTGGGCTTGCCGCATTTGTTATCCTGCCGCACTCAGCCCTTTTCTTGACTGGGATCTCACGTGCTGCGAAACAATGTAATTTAAATCCATTTTCAACACGTCGCCAATCAAAATGGCAAAAAGCTTTAGCGTGGCACGAGTATAAGCAAACATTCGCGTTCGCATAACTCAAAGGATCAGGAGCAGAAGGCACAGCCGCATAGGCGACGCTCCTGCTCCTCCGCGCTGTTGTGAAAACAATAAGATTAGCTTACTTTTGCTTTCGACGGCGACGAAGAGCGATGAGCGGCAGGCGGCGGGCGGGCGGTAAAGTAAACGTGAAAATAAAATGGGAAAACAGGAAAACAACCAAGAACACACACCAGCCAGGCAGCGCATAGAAAAACAAACACCGAGCAGATAGCATTCAGCGGATAGCACCGCATATGCGAAGTTATTTGCCTCGGCGAAATCCTTTAACTGCACACGCCTGAGAGTTAGACAAATAGCGTGCCGAAAGAAAAGGCTCCGTAAGCTGCTTTCCCCGCCTCTCGCCTTTCGCCTCTCGCCACCCCCTCCCTTTTCCCCCTTCTCCAGTATTGACAGCCTGTCAGCGGAGGCGCAAATTAAATAACACATTGAGGTCTGTGTCGCTGAGCCCGGCTCATATTATTAACACCAAATCAAATGTACGCCTTATCCCCGTTTGCCTGTTATTTATAGACGTGCGGGCATCAGACATCACGAATAAGACTTTGCTAATCAGTTTGATCCTTTCTGTGGCCTAATCGCTTGACATTTGTATTAGACCTGTGCCCCTCGCCCCTCTTCCTGCCACACTTCGCCCCCAGGTGTCAAACGGTGTGTAAATTAATCCCACTTCGTGTTCCCGCCTAATTTTCATGTGTGAGCCATTAATTGACAATTGCTGTCCGTCAATTGCCTCCTTTTGTGTTTTTCTTGACCGAGCCGCCATTGTTTGGATTGGCAGGAGGCGTCTGCAAAATGCGGACCCTCTGTAGTCGTCAATTTAATTTAATTACAAGGTAACCTTATCACTGGAGGGAAAACGAGCACCTGCCCACATTCACTCACACGAGTGCAAACGCATGCAAACAAGCGCTCGGGAAATGCAGTTGCGTGTGCACTGCGAGAATGCGTTGGACGGTTTAATTTAAAGGTTAAGGATTTGTTATAAGCAACAAATCCTGAGGCACACTTGGAGGAACGTTTACCATAACGAAGCGTTTTTAGGTTCACTTATGGTTTTAGTTAGATTTTTTCGAGTGATTGGCAGAGGTTTGGCTGCTGCAGTTCGAGGCGCGCTCAATGGGATGCAGTGGACCAGCACTTGTCGCGGCTCCATTGTCCTTTTCCCGCTGGGCTGTTTTGCTGTTTTGGCGTCGAGTGCCAATTATGATGATTACCAGAAATGTCGTCCTCGCTCGAACGCGCAACGCAACTACCGCAACTACCGCTTAGGTGAACTTCGGGGTCGCGTACGCAGTCATCTTCACTGCGCACGCTACGATTAATCAATTGTGCCCATCTAATGAAGCCCGAACGGCGGAGTAGGGGGCTTGGCAAATGTTACACTGGAGATTAGACTGGGGATTGGCTGCCTTTTGTTGCGAAATTATATTTCAATCTAATTCTTTGTGGGCCGTGGGCTGGCGCCATTTCCCCGAGTGGCTGTCAACCCTTTTCGGCCGTAAAAGGGCCAGGCTCAAAAATTAATTTATCAAAATTACCCAAAACAAAACTGGCCCACAGAGGCAACAGATGCGCCCCCGCAGTCACACACAAAACAATCACATGTCAAATTTGAAACCCACTAAACAATGCCAGTTGCGGACCTTTGGGGTTGGATTTCTGGATTGCCATGTATCTCGACGCTGGGTGGCTGAGTAGCTGAGTGGCTGACTGGCTGAGTGGCTCCCGGGTTCCTGTGGGCAGCTCGTTGCGGTCGTAACCGCGTGAACTTGCCAGTGCATTTATCTTCATTTCTGGCATCTTAGTCAAGGGTCGCCGCAGAACAGCCGGGCGAGGCGAAACGCTAAGACGCTAGAGCAAGACATCAACAGAAATAGTCACAGAAAACCAGGAGCTCGAGCAGAAACGGAGCCCTTCGAATGAGGTGGAGCGAAGCAAGGTGAAAGGACATCCCAACGACATGACATATTAGAATCCTGTTACGCAGCAGCAACACAAGCAACAGAAGCAGCAGAAGCAGCGTTGCCGGTTGACTGCCAAATTGCCAACATAAATGTCAGGGGCGCGGGGAAAGTTGGCTGGAACTGGAAGTGCTGCAAAGTATGCTACGGGGTATTTCGTTTCTGTTGCTTGGTTCTTCCTCCTATTTGTTTTATTCTCTATACCATGCAATCACTCAGCCGTTGAAATCACACATGTGTGCGACTAGATGTCTCCGCCTCTGAGTGTCTGCGTGTGTGTACGTGTGTGCGGACGGGGAGATGATTTGGAAATCCTGTATTGCTGATTTGCTGCTGCTGCTGTCGTCGCAGCTTTTGCCTTCAGGTGCGTGTCGCCCCCTCTTCAGGGGTTAAAGTCCCCGAGGGGCTTGCAACGGATTTGTCTCCGCTCGGCGGAGGTGAAATAGAATTTGCCTCTCTCTCTCTCGAGTTTAAAGCATAAAGCCTTTGCAACAGGAAATTGGCGAAAATTCGAAACTTACGGATATACCCAACTAACGAGGGAATTAAAAAGGGTTTTTCTGCAATTGCACAGGTTCCGCACTTGACAGCAAACGTCTCCGACTTTTGCTCATATGATTTCTTAAGTTCGCCGCTCCAGAGTGCCGACAACAATTCGCTAAGCACCTTATCTGGAGCTTGCCACACTGCAGCAGCAACAGCAACAACAGCAGCCGCACAGCGACATCAGCAACACAAGAAGCAAATGACAGGCGGCGAAATATGACGCAAAACACAGAAATAAAGGAACAGTCGCAGTGGCTGGGCTAGGACGCCAAACAATCAACTGAATTCTGCACAGGTGGGCCGCCAGACAGAGGACACAGAATGGGGAAGGGGGGAGGGGGGAGGCAGAAAGGGCCCCGGAGGAAGGCCCAAGACAAGACATTCGCACAATGGACATGGCCAGAAGAAAGAAAACTGAATGAAATGGGAAATTGTATAAATATGTTGGCAGCAGAGCACACAAGATTAAACCTCTTCCACTCGTACAAACACACTCTCCTGCATTTTAAGAGATTTTCCTCTGGAGAAAGCGCCGGCGTTGACTTTTCCACTCGTCTGACTTGTCTCACGTTGTCTGCGGGCTAACAACAAGGCCTTTTACCAGGATTAGTAGTTAACAAGAGAAATCTGCCCACGCACACTCACACAGGGATACACACACGACGGCTGGTGTGGCTGCCACAGCCAAAAGGTAATCAGTGAAATGTAACTGTATTGTTTGGTCTAGCTGTGTTGTTGTTGCTGTACTGTTGCTGTTGGTGTTGTTGCTGCTGCTGCCATTGTTGCTGCTGTGTCACCTAAGTCATAGGCCCGCCCCTTGGCCCGAGTCTTGTTTTTGGCCCTCGTGCTGCTGCTTCTGCTGCTGCAGCCTCTTAACCTTTTTCGTTGCTGTTCTGCTTCTGCTTCTGCTGCTGTTGCTGCTGCTACTGCTCCACTTGCGATCTCTTTTTAAGTAGTTTGCTTTTGGGCTCACCACCGACCAATCCTCCACCGCCAGGTGAAGCTCCCCGCACCCTACACACCCCACACCCATTCAAAGGTGACAACCTTCTTTGGGTTTTCCTGGCCCGTTTTCCTGGTTGTTGCTCTTACTGCCGTTGCGGTCGCCCCCTCCGCTTTCATTTAAGTAATCAAAATATGCTTTTGACTCCGGCTAAGCAGCTGGCAACCCTGCTCCGTGTGGTGGTCTTCTGATTCGTTTGTCTCTTGGTATGCGTGCGGTTTCATTTGTATTTATGTTCGCCGTCCCCCTTACTCCACACGCCCCACTCCCAATCCCCGCCTTGATTCCCTCTGTGTGGGCTGTCCGCAAAACCCCAAAAACTATGCATTTTACTGCTTTTGTCAGACACGTGTGTGCCAGTGTGTGTGCCAGTGTGTGACAGTGTGTGTGCGGCCATGTGTATTTATTTGAAAGCTTTTTAAACTTTGTCAGTGACTTTGTGGCTTACGAAATTAAAATTAGAAATTGGTTTAGAGCACCCACAAATAAAGGAACGCTCGCAAAGGATATTCGAGTGTGTGTGCATTTATGATGGGACCAAATCTCTTGAGGAACGGGTTTAAGTTGCCCAGAAAGTGTAATTAATCAGACGACCCACATTTGCATATAAATCGCAGTTGCTTCATTTGTTTCCTCTGGCCGAAAACTTAATTGCCGCATTAATAACACTTAAGACCCAGGGTGGCGCCAACAGCAGAAATCGGCTCGGGTAGACTTGGGAATTAAAGCCTCCAAAGTTGATGCTTTCGATGATAGGATAGTGCGACTACGAAATGGCTTATTAACTTGGCGTTAACATCTCAAACTGTTGCAAAAAAAACCGAAGCCCCAGCTTGCATACACACTTCAAGGGATTCTACTTACATTGTGACTCTGGTCCGTCTTGAGCTCGCGATGGTTGGAAAACTGCACGTAGACCATGCGGCCGCGCATCTGGGGCGGATTCACTGTGTAGCAGGACACCATCGACGTGGCGGAGATCTCGTCGGCCATCTCGATGAACGCCTGGTTCTTGCCCTTGAGCACCAGCACGTTGGTGACACGTCCGAACGGAATGCCCAGGGCAATCACATCCGACTCGCCGGACTCGTTTGGAATGTTGCGCAAGTGGATGACTTTGGAGGCCTTGGCTGCAACGGAAAGAGGGGAATGTAAGCGAGCGTTGTTTAACCAATTGAAATATTAAACAGGTGACAATCCCTGCAGGGTCCCACTGAGTCTACCCCACCCCATCCCCTTCCACTCCCACTACCCTGCTATCCTGCTATACTGCTGTCTCTTTTGGGGCCATCTCCGGCTCACTTAATGGCCAGCGCTGTCTGCACTTCCGCTTTCGCGCTTCACTTAATTTGTTTATTTTTGGGTTTTATTTGTTGCCTGCCTTTGTTGCCAAAGTAGAACGGGAGGGAGCAAATAAAAACGTTGATAACATGGCCAAGCGCCGCCACATTTGTATACCATTTGCACAGTTAAACCCGCTGCACGGCGGCGAAGGGAGTGCGGCGGGGGGAGTGGAAGTGGCACGCCATAAATTCATTCATTGCACACTTTCAACGGCTGTGAATAATCCAGCAGCAACACGGCGACAATGTCCGGCGCACAGACAGCGTTTGAGGCTTTTAGGCACTCGTAGTCGTTTTTGCAGCTTCTCTGCTTTAGCTGTCGCCTCTCGCCGGCTACTTGTTTGTTATTTTTGCATAAATAAAGCGCCCCGCCCACTGCCACTCCCCCTGTGGTGCAGCACAAATGGGATTTAGGCCGCCTTTGGCCCTGCAAGCTATGGCAGCCACATTTTGGGGATGCCCCTGCAACACCACTGAGCGAAAGGGGGCTTTTACATTAGGTAAATGTAGATAGAAGCAAAGAAAACATGTTTTTAATGAAATAAAAATAATGATGTGCATCACAAGGTTTTTAACAAGACAATTTAGAACATCAACAAATAAACAGGAACAGGAAAATATCAAAACAAGTGCTTTATCCGATTTCATTGTCTTTTTTCTGTAAGTGAACCCCGTGCACTGCCACAAAAGTGCCTGAATTTTGTATGGACAAAGGCGAACAAATTTGCACTCTTTATGGGGAACTGCAGATGCGGAAGGGAAGGAAAGGTACGTATATAGTTCCAGAATCTGTCTGGCGCTTAGTCAACACCTGTTAATGTGTTGCCTTGTGTGTTTTTATTTTTTGTGGCACCTGCAGCAGTTTGCTGTTCATATGCAAATTAAAGTAGCGCCTCCTGCGCTCCTCCGATTTTCACACATTCTGGTGTTTGCTTAACAAGCCGACACATGGTCAGAGATAGTCCACGGGCTCTCGAGTTCTAAACGAAGTCCATCTGCTATTTTATTTGTGTCCGAGTTTAATCAGAATGCTGCTGAAACTCATCCACTTAGAGTTCGAAATATTATTTACTGGGAACACCGAATATCTTATGACATTTTTGACCGTCCTACTTGTAGCCCAGATTGACTGCCCAGAAAAGTGAGCTACGAATTTCTTGGGTTGAGATAAATGGATAGTCGGACTCTGGACTTTCTTCCATAACTCATAATGCGAAGGGTCATTATCCGGGCAATTTCCCACATTCAATCACGACCCAGACGCTGGGGGTCAATGTGCCGATTTATTTCACAATGCTAAAAAACCGTGCCACAGGACATGAATGAGTCCTCCCCTAACCCACATTTCACCAACCTTTGTGCTTGCCAAGGGAAAAAGTCGAGCAACTGCGAGAGGCTCGATGCTCGATGCTCGAAGCTCGAGGCTTGAAGTCCAAGCCTCGAAGTGCACTCTGTGAACTCTCCCTGCCCACCGGTCAATGCTGAATACAACTAATCGGAAATTACACTTTTTGATTAGTTCGAAACGGAAATGAAGCCGAAACGAAATTATGCAGCCGGGCCAGGACCTGTGCGGTCGTTATAGTTGGGAATTCAGTCGACCGAGCGGCAGCTCAAAAATTTATTAAAAATCAATGGGCAACTGCAGTGCGATGGGATCTGCTCCATCACTCTGCTGCCCCACAACTCACCATAAATAACAGCCGAAATTGAAAAAGGCTGGGAAAACTGCTGTGAATCGAATCTAAATAAAAAGTCGGGGCGCGCGGGCCGGAAATGTTCAGCACAAGACAAACAACAAATCAAGTGCCGTTGGCCAGATCCCGGAAAAAAACGTCGACGGCGAAAATATGTAAAGGTATCTATCATGCATGATGACGTTGTCGCCGACCGGAGGAAAAACTGGAAAAAATTTGTGGATTTTTTGACGTTCCGCCGCCAACAACTCAATTTGGCTTCTCTGCTCTTTCTTTTGCTACATTTGTTTCAAATCGCAGCGAATGCCGCTGCCTGATGGTGTGAAAACGAGAAATGTCACTGCAATGAGCGAATCGACAAGCGTTGCAGCTGCTGGGGCCTTCGGCTGCTGCACTGGTTTCAACAAAGGCGGGCGGCATAATTGAAAAGGAAGATGGCGTCGAGAGCGCTGACGACAACCGGAAATACAGCCAGAAGCCCGGCAGCTAGAGCTTCTACTGGGAAAAAATATCAATTTGAATCAGGCTGCTTTAGTTTGGGGTTCGCAACCCGCGGGCGGATTTGTTAGCGTTGCTGCTTTTTAATTAACAGCGAGTTAAATAACCCGAACCAGCAAATATTTGCCAAGCAAACAATAAATGCAATTTGTGGCAAACTCCAAAATAATCATGGGTTTAAAACAGATGCCGCTGATCAAGAGCTTCCTTACCGGCACGCTGATACTCTGGGATAATTATGGACAATGCTAAATCAACAAGACCCGAAACGCATTAACTGCAGTGGCTGAAAAAAGTGCAGCGATAAAATTTGCATTCGATAATGATGATGCTGGCGCTGCCTGTTGACTGTCAATGCCCCACGGACGACATGAATAGCAATCATCCGCTCGGCTGCGCGTTAAAATGAGCTGCAAGGACGTGGGGCCAAAACTCAGAGGTATTAATGACCCTCGCACACACTGTGCAAAAGCGGGAGAGTATGTCGGTCAGCCTTTTTCAATTTAACACACTCACCATGAGTTGCACGAAAAATATACATAAATAAACTATTTATGGCTAATTGAAAAGTTTACAAACTGTAATTGAGTTCGGACGACTATGGTTGGGCCGTAATGAATGGTCAGTCTGTTCAGCGTGGCGTATGTGTAATAATTCCCCTCTCGCCCACGATGCGCACCAAGTTAATTAATGACAATTTAAATTCATAAAGCAAACAGAAGCCCCAAACGAAAAATGTAAATGAAAATGAATGGAAAATGCGAGCCGAACAAAAGAAAAAGGCTTTCCCCGGGGGGTTGGTGTCGGGGAAGCGGGAATCGGGGATGAAATAAGTGCTGATTGTTAATAACAATTAAATTTATGCTTACATGGCGGCATTTAATGATTTAATGTGAGCGTGACGCCAGTGTTTGTCTGCAAGTTCCGCCCCGAAACTTTGTCGAGGGCATGTCAACAGACAAATATATAATTTGAATAAATACTCGTTCAACTCACGCTCAAAGAGCCATAGCCGTTCGAGCGTCTTTAATTATGCGACAGTAAATTAGATTTTTACAAGCTCACACATCATAAATTTGAAATTGTTTGGCCAACTTGTGTCCCTCACGTATCTGCGTGTTTGTGGCTCTGCCTTCGCAGTGTGTGCACAGCGGCTTAATGATATTTGTTTAGCCAGTCGGGCCTTGTCTTTAATTTAAACATTTGCCCACGCATAATCAATCATGGCACGATTTTTTGGCAGCAAATGAAACCCAATGCCAGTAGACTCCTTGCCTTTCGCATTTCAGCTCAATCCCCGCCGCACGAGCCCGGGCCATAATTGAAAATAACGATTTTCTTTGCAGTTGAGCCTAACACCCGCAAGAAATGTAATTCATTAAAAATTTGCCAGCAAGGAGAAGGGGAAGGAGAATGAGTAGGAGAAGGAGGCCAGAATGCTGGCTGGCTGGCTGGTGCTTCTGCCAAGTGAATCCGAATGCAAGGAGTCAACGTACGCAGTGAGGTTTGAGCAGCCTGAGCGATGGCGACGACGACGTTTATAAATTTTAATTGCATTTCAATTACGAAAATAGTTTTTTTGCCATCTGCCCATCCGTCTCGTCCTGGCCCGAGTTGAAAAGTGGAACTGCACTGGCATTTAGCCGGCTGCAGGATGCAGGATGCATTCCAGTTAACGGGGACTCCATGTCAGTGTGCAGTCAAGTGGCATTCAGCCAAACAGTCGTCAGCAAGAACTGCACGTTGAGAAAAGGCATTTAATGGAAAACTTAAAAAACAGATTGCAACAAATGTGTTTTCTTGAGCTCTGAGCTCTGACTGCCAAAACAATAAGCAGAGCTCAAATATTTTTTAGAATAATCCCTTTAAGGTTTTTTTCAGTGAGTGATTTCCTCTGGGACATGGTTAGAACTCGGTGAAGTAAATCGATTGTTTAAGCCATGAGCAAACAGAAAAGCGAACTTTTCCCTGCACTTGTGCATTGAATCTACGCTGCAGCAGGAAGCTGGGCCCGCAACGGTTCGTATGCTTAATTAAATGGCACACACAAATATTTCACAGTTTCCCACAGTCAGTCACACAGAGGCCGTGGGGTCAGAAGTCAGAAGGAGTAGAGCCTGCGAGTCCGCTGCCACTAACCGCACTCACGTTCAGTGCTGCCATAAATAGCTGCACACAACGCGGCGACGGGCGAGTCAAACCAGTTGACAATTGCTGTTTGCTTTTGGTCTGGCCGGATTTTTACACTCCTTCAATGCTGTCTCAATATTGATACAGATGGCAGGGAGAAAAGGAAAAAATTATGACAATATTATTTTATTGACTGCGAAAATATTTACACGCAACGCGTAGACCAGGAAGCAGAGTTCGGGACGTGCGAATGATACCCAAACCAAGGCGGCACGCGCAGAACTCGCAGGACTGGCAGGACTGGCAGGAGTCGCAGGACACGGAGGACACGGACACTTGCTGGCTGCCAAACTGTCGCCTTATTGGTTATGGCCATAAAAGCGTTTAAGTGTTTGACCAGACCACCAAGGGGATGGGCCATCGCATCGACTCGATGTGCTGACAGCAACACACTTGGAGCTTTAAATTGATGACCGTGGCGGGCTGATTTAAGGCTTATGGATGACCGGTCATGCATAAAAAAAACAGAACACTGGATATACAAATTTTAGATATTTTTTCAGCATATTTTCCCCGCTGCCGCCGGCTGTCTGGGCACGGAATTAGCAATGCAGAGCGACGTCGAAAAACACAGTGCATACGCAGCGGCAACAGCTGTGAAACTCTTTTTTTCACCTTGTTTCCTAGCTGCCATAGGTGGTGAGCTGACCATTAAGCCCCCAAAATCGGTCAATAAACAAACAAATGTTGGTGGACTATCCAAACAGCGTGGGGGCGGTGCATGTGTGAGAGCTGTAACAATAAACAACAAACTGAAACGGCGGGGAGTGTACGAGTGTGGCGACAACAAAAGCAAAACAAGGTCTGGCCACGCTTGATGTTTCAGCCGGACACGCGACATGACCACGCCATGGTCTCCACACTGAGAAAAGTTTGGAGCCATTGGTCAATGAGTTCGTAATTTTCTAATCGATGCGTATAATTCTATTGGAACTCAAGCCTATCCGATTTTACCGATTTGATTAAAGCATACTTTTTAACATTCTGCTGCAGAAACATATTTTTCTAGCTGCTTCGACTACCTAATTTTTCTACCAGTGCTCCCAGGAACTGGTTGCTACAGTTATACTCCCTGGGGTCTCGTATACCTGGCATAATATATTCCTAATAATAAAAAATCGAATAAATCAAGCGAAACTATTTATTAGCCGGCCAAAATTCGGACCAAAAGGGACCGAACTTCTGAGTCCGAGTTTCGCAGGCAGGCCACTGGCTGCAAGTGTGCGTGTGTGTGTGTGTGTGTGTGCCTCATTCAACCACCATACGCAGTCGCCCACCCACACATTAAAGCACGAGCCACTCACTTCAAGTGGGTGGGCGTGGCGCCACCTCCCTGCTTGTTGCCAAGTCCTGGTTCTTCGCCTCTACGCGCTGCACATGCCAAAGTGTTTTTATTACATTTACGTGAAAAATTTGTTGCATGTCCTGCTAAGCTCGTGTAACGGAAACAAGAGCGTAGGTGTGGGCGAGTGGCCCCATCGATGTATTGGTTTAGTGGCGCACGGATACGATTGAGCCGAGTGCGTGTGTTTATCTAAGGCTCGACCGCACAGGAATACAATGTTCATTGTTGCTTTTTGGATTCTGCTATTTACTTGTCTGGCTTTTGTTGTGATCTCCGTCACTCCTGGAGCCCCGACATGTATTGCTGCTTGCAGTGCAATAAAAGTGTCCTTACACATTTATTTAGCAGTTCCTTTGTTATTATTTTCGGCATCATCGGCATGGCCTGTGCCTTTGTGTGCGATGGGAGAGCTCTAAGTGGCGACCACAGAAATGAATTCATTGGATTTCGGGCACCTTCCCCTGCTGCCCCATGGAGCATCCAGCTCCCTTTAAGCGCGACTTTAATAGAGCGGGACAGAAAGCTGCCTTTGCCTCTGCTGCGGCCTCTGCCTCTCTGTGTGTTTGCACAAGAACTTTGCGTGGAAAATTAAAATGGCCGCAGGTGGCAGGTGTCAAAAAAGGGGAGAAGCTGCGGGAGCACGGCCACCAAAGTGCCGTTGGGTCAAACTCGACTCGTCGTCTGTGGCCGTCGAACAATGCAAAAGGCAGGGTGAAAGGCGAACCGCTAAATGCTTTTCTCTCTGTGCGTGTGTGCGGGTGTCTGCTTGTTGCTTTTTAATTAATAGAAAAGTCCTTTGTAAAGTAATAAATAAATATTATGCTTCCGCTTTTGCGTCCATTTTTTCGCTCCCAGTCGATTGCCATTCACAGGCTGTCGATCCTTTCGCAACCCGCCTTCTCGTCCTTCGCCCTGCGTCCACCCATCCCCTGCCGTGACCTTTGACTGTCTGGCGGCTAATACTCAAGCCTTCTCTTTGTGGCACACACACATAAACACACACAAGCACACACATACACTCATCATCGATGTAGCTGGCGGCGGTGAACGCTGTTAATTACGGCGAAATTGCGAAAGCATTTTGAAAAATGCCACGGAAAGGATATCGACGCTCAGTACCTGCATATGGCGTTAATTAAATTCGTCCTAACAAAAGCAACACAATCCCCGGGTGGAACAGTCGATTACTTTTGAATTTCAGCGGAAATTGTTGCCTATTGATTTGTTTGCATTGGCAACCATTTTGTGGCTCACTGGATTTTTGTGGGCAGGTACTCGGCTTCGGTTTTCAGATCCAGTTTCAGCTTTTGGCGGGGAGCCGGCGAACCCGTCAAATATTTGCCTAATGTGTGGTTTATTCTGCTGGTTACGCTTCAGTTTGGTTTTGTCGGGTTGGTCTGCGGTTTTTGATTAGCTTTATTACTTTGCGGCGGCATATGCAGGGTGCTTTCGCACACATTTTCGTGTGTGTGTGGGCCTGGGCGGCTAATTAATGTGTCGACACAGTGCGTGGCCAGTCAGCGACCGGCGCACATAAAGCAAACGAGCCCGATCCATTTTTCCCTAATAATTTTAAGACTGCACAAAGGGCCGAGCCAAATGTTTTCGCTGTTGGCTTGTTTCCATGCTAATTAGTAGGTTAATTGGCTATAGGCACTAAAGCTTGCTCGCCGTCAATTGGGGGTACTCAAGTGCTTCGGCGACTTTGTGGCCAAGTAAAGGGCTTAAGTCTAATGCTGCACCGAGGGAAAACGGACGATTGAAGCTTTAATAATAACTGCATGCATTATAAGGTACTGAAAAATGTTAAGGGATTTTGAAACGCAATTTCTTCGGATTACATTAACGGTATGAAGGCATGGGATAGACTTTTTTGTAACTTCTGTAACTACTTAAAACATATTCTTTTCGGACAAATGCCTTCACTGCGGCATTCCTTTTCTCCCCGTGTTGAGTACCATTCGGGTGGGTGTGGTTAATTGGCAGACAAACCCAACCGTGACCAAGACTATGGCTGCAAAATGGACTTAACGTGCGCCGTTCGGGGGACGACAGCGGCAAGGGAAGGGCTTTGGCCAAGACAAAAGGCAAAGGTAAAGATGAAGGAGGAGAGAGACAGACAGGGAGGACAGACAAAGTCAGATGGAAAGAGCAGGGGGAGCAGAAGACTTACCAATTCCGCCGGCCAGCACGGTGCCCGGCTCCAGTTTGGCCTTCTTTGTGGCCAGGTCCTGATTGTTATTGTCGGAAGCGGGCGCCATGACTGCTGCTTGACTCAAAAGTTCGTCGCTTCCGCGCTGATTTACAGTTACACAGTTACAGGCACAGGCACAGGTGCGGATGCGGATGCGGGTGCGCGGAGCAGTTTCAGTTTCAGATTCGGATTCGGATGCAGATGCAGATGAAGATGCAGGAGCAGGAGCAGGAGCAGGTTGGCACAGGCACAGGCAGTTGGTTAATGTATTTTTATATTTTTTTTTTGTAGTTTGTAGTTTGTAGTTGATGCACAGGCGGCAGGGCAGGCACAGACAGAAGTTGAAGATGGTTTTTTCAGTAGTAGTGGTGTGTAGTTGTAGTAGATGAAGTATATATACACGAATACGAGAACGGTACATAAAAAGAGAAAATAAAAGAGAGAGAGAACAATATAAATATTTGATGTTTACGCAATTTAAATAAATTACGGCGGTTCTTCAGCACCACTTTAGATTATTTCACTAAGCATTTGCACAGCTCTCGGATTTTGTTTTGGTCCGGTTCCCCAGCTTGGTTAGAGTCAACAAGGGAAGTGGGCAGGTGGGCAAGTAGGCAAGTAGGAAGTGGAAACAATTGTGCCACGCGAACTGCAGTTAATCATTATCCAGTGCTAGCTTTGCCATTTGCTGACCAGGGCGACCAGAACCGTTTCCACAGCTGCAGCTTCATCAAAACGGAATCCACTTGTTCCCATTTGGTTACCCCGAAAAAAAAACAGCAGTGCAAATAATTGCACAGCTCGTGGGAAATATTCATTTAAATTAGCCGGCTAAGCAGCTTGCGCATTGTGGCTTCTGTTCCTGCCTTCCGTTTGCTTTTCCCTGCTTTATTGCAGCGCTAAACTCTAATTACAAAGCACATGAGTGTATTGTAATTACATGTGACACTTAATTACCGCACTCACACAAAAAGTCGAAGCCAAAACCAGAAGAGTAGAAGAGGAGCTGAGCTGAGCACAGCAGCAGCTATCGCAGCGAGCATGCACTGGGAAAAGCGAGCGGAGTTTTGCAGCGAGCACCGATCATAGTTGGAGACCCCCAACAAAAGAAATACACATGTTTTCTTGTAGTGTGCGAATCAGAATCGGAAGCAGGACCGGAGTCGGATTCCCAGAGAACATCGGGAGTCGCCGAGTTAAGCCAAACATTAAATGTAATGCGCCCCATAAAAATAAAGCTGCTACAACTTCAGCTACTGCTGATGCCGACTGTATTGTGCTAAGCAGGATGTGTGTGTGAGTGTGTTGGCTGCTGGGTGTGCCTCTGTGTAGGTGGGCGAGTGTGTTTGTTCAGATTCTGCTGCTATGCATTAGCGGCAATGACAAAAAGTCAATAAACGGGAGCTGGCGAAAGAGAGGGAGGGAGGGAGCTGCAGGGGGGGAAGCACTCCGCACACCGCACAAATTGAAAAGGGTAATTTTGTGTGAAGTAGGCACCTTTATACCCCGCTGCCAACCGCCATCCGCCACCCCCTCCCCACTCCCCACTCGCATCCCATCATCAGCTATCAATGCTGACTACGCTTGAATTCGCCACTTGGCTTATCGTGCTGCTCGCTCTCGCTTTGCTTTTGGCTTATTTGCTCTTTGCCTGCTGGCTTCTGCTTTGTTGTGCCTTATTTGTTATTTGCTATTTGTTGCTGGGGTTTTTATTTTTATGTGGCTGCACGTTTTATATACCCATAGCCGCGCACATAAAGGAATTAGCTCGAATACAAAAACAACATGCGGTAATAGGAATAATAAGAAAAGCCAAAACGCACACTGGCACACGCGTGCGAGGGAAGAGAGCGTGTCGTATGCAATAGACAAAGACAGCCGCGAAAACCGCAAAAGCACTTCACTTGATAATATCACACACAAAAAACGACAGCAAAAAAGCGAAAGCGGAAGCTCCCCGTGTGTGCGTGGCTGTGAGCGTGATAGCCAGTCTGTGAGTGTGAGTGCGAGTGCGAGTGTTAGTGTGAGTGTGCGTGTACGTGTGGGCTGAGTAATGATATCAGCAGAAGCTGCTCACTGTTGTGGTGTTGTGCATTGTGTTCAACATATGTTATGTAGCATACGTTTTTGCGCCTCTACTTTTTTCCCTTGTTCTTCATTGGATTTTATTAAAGTAATGCACTCTGGCTTTATTTTTGGGGGTTTACTTCAAGTCCGCTGTAGTGGGTAATTAAATTTTAAATGCCCTTCTTCCACCCTTCCCCGCCCACTACCCAAAAGGGTTGCGAACTAACTGCGCTTGCTAAGTACGAGCCTCTAATGCATTCGTTATGGCACATTAACGCTCCCCAAGTGCCGGCGGCCTGGCATGCTACGGGGATTTGCCAGCTCTCCACGGGACATCCTTGCTAGTGTTGTGTGTATCAGTGTGCATTACACGGTTCAGAAAGTCGGGCTAATGCCCTCCGCTGCCGCTTGGGTCCGTGTGCGACTGTGAGACAATTTCCATTTTGTCAAGCTGACCGGAAATGTTATTTTAATATGCTTTCTAAAAAGTATGCTAAATATTTGATTAGTAACTGAGTATGTGTGTGTGTGCACCCGTCCTCTTCGTCCTCTACGTGTGTGTGTGTGCGCCTGTGTGGCACATATGGCCAGAACGATAAGCTGCTGTCCACTTTTCTGGAGGAGAGTTGGAGAGGGAGAGGGAGAGGGGGCGGGCGCGGGAGCAGAAGCAGGAGCAGGAACCCAAGTGGACCGTTTCATTGTTGTCTCGCCTCTGTGCCATTTTAATGAATTTTCCCAGCGCCACAGCCTCCGCAACCAGGACTTGTGCTCCCTCCTCTCTGTTCATAAGCAACGCCCCATTGCCGGAGGGCGTGGGCAGTTTGCTGGGCACTCACTGATTTCTATGATGACATGTGCCTTTTTAGCCCTTCTTGTCTCTCTTTCAGCGTGTTTCCTTTGCTTCCGCCTTTGTTGCCGGGTAACTGGGTCAGCGCGCAATTGTTGCCTATGAGGGTTGCTGCCTCCCACCTACCACCCCCTCAGCCCGTCGCCCTTGTCATTGTTGCTACTGTTGTTGTTGTTGTCCGAGGCAGCAGTGGAAAGATAATCACGCATATGCCTAACGGTTAAGTTTTTGAAGTGCGCCTCACTGACGGACATGGAGAAGGGAGCATGAGACGGAAGCAAAGGGTGTCAACGTCATCAAAAGCTGGGAAGAACCCTACATTCCGTTTTCCTTTATTGTTGCTGTAATGAGCCATTCATGGACTGAGAAAAAAGCTGCACGAATTATGGAAATTCATCTACTCATAAATATTTGCACAAAAATTTAATTATGCATTGATTTATTTAATAAAAATGTTGGAATAATTATTTTTTTGCTGCCTCTTAATTATGCGTTGCTTTTTGCGTTCAGAATTGATCCACCAACTGAGCCTTCAATTAGATAATTATTATTATAAAATAACGGATTTCAGCCCTGATTCAGAAGTTACTTTTCCCCAAGTGTAGTGTCCTTTCTATATTTGTCCATCCCTTTGACCAGACCTTGCCTCGCTCTTCGGGGGTTGTTGTTTAATTTCTCACAAAGGCTCACATGCGATTTTCTACTCGAAGACGCTTTTAAAGCGAACAAAGCTGAAAAGCTGAGATCATGTGTAATTGAGAGTGAGGCAAATGATATGCACACCATGTGATTATCTAGTCAAAAAGGAGCTTTGGGAATTATTACTGCCTGCAGGAAAATAGAGCAGGCTTAGAGGGCTCAGAGTTGCCTGGACACGAGGAAATAGAAGTGCCCAAATTAGAAAGCAGGCATACCAACATAATGAGCACTTTTCCGTGTCTATGTCCATGACTATCATAATTTCATTTGCCGCAAAATGGCCTCCAAGTGGGTGATTCAGCAGCCAGTCGCTCTCACTTTAATTCAGTCACGAGCCCAGTTGATAATAACTCCGCACTCAATCGTTTGAGCAAAAGGGGAGCGGGTGTTGGGGGACCTTATCATCGCCCTCATATATTGTATGGTCTGTGTTGTGTTCTGTGCTCTCTTTGTCATGAATTTATGACGACGGCGTATGAATATTAAAATCGAATATGTTTCTGTCGATTAAAGGATTTTCATTGTGTTTGTCTGTCTGCAGCGCACATTGGCGGTCAAAGTAGTAGCAAGCACGGTGGAGCACGGTCTATCTTGTAAAATATACATATGCACTTCTTACAAACCTATTCTCATTTCACAATTCGGATTCGATGACTTATTCAATTTAATAAAATATTTTTTTACCCAAAAATTTTATAGTACAGTAAGAACTGTTAAAGTAGAATGTACTACTTGTGCGACCCCAACTGTACGAATGCGTGTTTCGCTCGCGACACAGATACGACTCAATATTTCCGTTGGTGCACCGGATCGGTTCATTGATGTCGAATATCGCCTCCCCTTTGCCCCACCCGCTGACAGCATTGATGATGCCGCTGACGATGACGGCATTGGGGATGCAGTGGTTCAGGGACGTGGGAGCAGCGGCGAGTGCCAGCCTTGGTGCAAAAAATTGCATATGTAGGTAAAAATAACAACAGCGGAAAACTGCAGCCATAACAAAGCGGCAATCTCCGGTTCACCTCCCGCTCAACCCTCCTTTGAAATAACAATTATTGCTGCCGTTCTTGCAGCAGCAGCTGTTTCTGCTAACGGAAAGAGGGAATTTTCCGTTCCGAGGATGCCTTAAAGGCATCTTTAAAGTGCCAGCCTGTCATACAATAAATTCTAATTAAAAGGCCAAATGAGACAACCACTGAACCTCCCACTCAACGAGCGCTATTTGTTAGCTAGTTGTCAGTTGATAAACGCAACTTGTAGCTGCGGCTACACAGACACAGATATGCGACTCAAACCCTACTCAATCCACCAGCCGACTGAACCACCTATCCCACCTGCCGGCTGGCGGCAGAGCAGGCAATAAATTATATGAAAATGCCGCCAAAGTGGAGCAGCTGCGGTTCTTGCCAAACTCCGTCCGCAAAAGCCGGAGGGGGGATATCAAAACCACAGCAACAGGAAAGAGTCACCGGCTCAGCTCAAGTTTAATA